AGCGTCATATCTCCCTCCCAACTTTACAAAACGTACGCGAAGGACGGGCGCGGATGGCTGTATACGCTCGTCGCCATCCCTGAACGAACGCTCGAAGACTTCCTTTCTGGTTCGCTAACATCGTCCGATCTGTTCTCCGTCTCGAGGGTGAAGGCCGGCCATGCCGTCCACTTCCAACGCCGACAGAGAGAGTACCGCCGATGCGAGCGATCCGGGTATGCGTTCATCTGGCTGAAGTTGTATAGCGTGTCGAGACGAATGCGCTTTGGTGCGCTCCTCACCGCAGGCCCGATTCGCTTTACTGACGCGTTTCAGAGCACATCGTTCATACCGCTCTGGACTCGATCGGCCAGCGGGCGAAGGTTCCGTGCAGCTGCAAAGGCTACACGCGACTGCATCGCGAATTTTGGAGGCTCTCTGACATTGGAGGCTTGGCCAGCCTGAAGCACATCGTTGGATTGTGCGCCAAGTCTGCTGGCGAATCACTCGCGGATTAGACCGGTAAGCCCCGCGATCTTTCAGACTGTCTCTACTAATCTTCATTTTCAGGTGCTCGAGGTCGCGTACATACAGCTCCTGTACATTTATGTAAAACTCGGTTGTCCCTTATCAGCGCCGCAGCACCGCCAATGGAAGATAAGATGAAATCGCGTCCTTTCCAACAAACCGCCATGACCCAGCCCTACGTCTCACTCGCGCAACCTCGCTGGCCAAGAACACACCAACGCGCATCGCCGTCGTCTGCAGCTCCCTGGGACTCGAGCGAAGGTTGGCAAGGACGCATCGGGGCTTAGCCCACTCCACGCTCTTTTCCGACGACGCTCCCGTCCGCCTTCGCATTCGCCCTCTAACTTACGCACTTCTTTCGCAACCAGTCCGTGTCTCTTGATGCCGAGCAGTCCACCCCCACCGCCTACTAGCTTGCCAGCCGCCGTGTACAAACCGTGATCGAGACGCAGGTGCAGCTGAGAATGGAAACAAGGACGAGGAAGACCATACGCGGACACTCGCAGACGGGTGACGGAGCTGGGACACCGTGCGGACGTCTTGCAGCAGACGCGGAGAGGATTGTGAGGCCCACCAGGACCCGTACACGACTGGTGGAAGGTTGGAGGAGGACCTGGAGATGGACGCGTTGATCAAGGACCGGAAGCGGACGCGGCTCCGTGTGCCGAACTAGACGCTGTGGGCTGTCCCTAACCATCGCCACGAGCTGATGCTGGGCGCGTTTCAGACCATCGATCCGCTTGCAAATTTTGAATGAGAGTTGCCGGGTTTCAGAGCGGGTTTCAGCCCTCATGATAGAATCCCAATATCGTTTCCGACGTCAGTTCAATGACTTACATGCGTTGTTGTTGCTGATTGATTTTGAGTGGGCGCTCCGAGAGTAAGCACGATCCACAGCGAAGGTCAGTAAGGGCGCGTCGCGCCTCTTGTTGTCTGCGCGCGTTGTCTAACGTTTGTCTCTGATAGATCTGGATCCAAACCAGCTGCTAGCTTAGGTATCTGCAACTCGTTCGCGAAGGGATATCCGAGCTCGGGAGCATATGTGTGTCGTTGTCATTTGTGCGGGTGTGCTTATCAGCGATACAGGGCTCGCAAATTGTATCGGCAACGGCGGATTTCTATCATCTCCGTCCATGTTGTAGCGTCGTTTCCGTAGCAGATAAAGAGCCGAAATGAATTGGTTCGCAAAGCAGGTACATGGAGTACTTCAATAAGCTCTCGATCTCTCTGCCGCAGTCCAGACAGAAACACATCGACCCGACACCTTCTGCGTAGATCTCTTCTCTCAACTGGATGGGATCGGAGCCGCTGCGCGCCTCGGATGGTGACGCTGTGCACTAGTCTTCCCGCTACAAGCTGCGCCTCTACACAGCCACCCGAGTCACAATCAGTCGGGTTTGATCAAGCGTACACCCTCGACCGGGAAACCCTCCCGACCATCTGTCGGGTGAAATGGCCTGGGTACGGAAGAGGGGGGATTCTATGATTTGTCTCGGCTCTGATCTCTGTGCGTCTGTAGGGGATCAGAGGATCAGAAGCGATAGACCTGAAGCACGCACTGTTACATAGCAGCTAAATTGGGACTGGTCTGCGTAGATCGGGCGAGAGAGAGCGCACCAAAGAAGTCTACCAGTCTCCTCGCATTTGAGAAAGACGCCCGATCTGATACTGGTAGGAGGTGATAGAAGAACATATATAGGTAATAGGAGGATACATCGAAGAGCGGTGTGGGCGTGATACTGTACGTAGGGTAGGCGAATGTCGAGAGTAGTCGTGAAGAGCCAGATAATTCGTCCCGTCGAGATGAGGGTCAGGTTCAAGTCGCAGGTATGGCTTGTTTGCGCTTGACGGCGTTAGTGGACGGCAACTGTTGGCGGTGTTGGTGGCGGTTCAATTACAGCCACCCGAGTCGCAATCAGTCGGGTTTGATCAAGCGTACACCCTCCACCGGGAAACCCTCCCGACCATCTGTCGGGGGAAATGGCCTAGGTACGGAATAGCGGGGATTTTATCGGTTGTCTCGGCTCTGATCTCTGTGCGTCTGTAGGGGATCAGAGGATCAGAAATCAGACCTGAAGCACGCACTGTTGCATAGCAGCTAAATTGAGACTGGTCTGCGCAGATCGGGCAAGAGAGAGCGCACCAAAGGAATCTCCGATTCTTCTCGCGTTCTGAAAAATATCCATTCACGGCTTGCTTTCATTCTGATCTGATACTGGTAGGAGGTGATAGAGAAACATATATTAGTAGGTAATAGGAGGATACATCGAAGAGCGGTGTGGGCGTGATAATGTACGTAGGGTAGGCAAATGTCGAGAGTAGTCGTGAAGAGCCAGAAAATTCGTCCCGTCGAGCTGAGGGTCAGGTTCAAGTCGCAGGTGTGGCTTGTTTGCGCTTGACGGCATTAGTGGACGGCAACTGTTGGCGGTGTTGGTGGCGGTTCAATTACAGCCACCCGAGTCGCAATCAGTCGGGTTTGATCAAGCGTACACCCTCCACCGGGAAACCCTCCCGACCATCTGTCGGGGGAAATGGCCTAGGTACGGAATAGCGGGGATTTTATCGGTTGTCTCGGCTCTGATCTCTGTGCGTCTGTAGGGGATCAGAGGATCAGAAATCAGACCTGAAGCACGCACTGTTACATAGCAGCTAAATTGAGACTGGTCTGCGCAGATCGGGCGAGAGAGAGCGCACCAAAGGAATCTCCGATTCTTCTCGCGTTCTGAAAAATATCCATTCACGGCTTGCTTTCATTCTGATCTGATACTGGTAGGAGGTGATAGAGAAACATATATTAGTAGGTAATAGGAGGATACATCGAAGAGCGGTGTGGGCGTGATAATGTACGTAGGGTAGGCGAATGTCGAGAGTAGTCGTGAAGAGCCAGAAAATTCGTCCCGTCGAGCTGAGGGTCAGGTTCAAGTCGCAGGTGTGGCTTGTTTGCGCTTGACGGCATTAGTGGACGGCAACTGTTGGCGGTGTTGGTGGCGGTTCAATTACAGCCACCCGAGTCGCAATCAGTCGGGTTTGATCAAGCGTACACCCTCCACCGGGAAACCCTCCCGACCATCTGTCGGGGGAAATGGCCTAGGTACGGAATAGCGGGGATTTTATCGGTTGTCTCGGCTCTGATCTCTGTGCGTCTGTAGGGGATCAGAGGATCAGAAATCATAGACCTGAAGCACGCACTGTTAAATACCAGCTAAATTGAGACTGGTCTGCGTAGATCGGGCAAGAGAGAGCACACCAAAGAATTCTACCAGTCTCCTCGCATTTGAGAAAGACGCCCAATCTGATACTGGTAGGAGGTGATAGAGAAACATATATTAGTAGGTAATAGTAGGATACATCGAAGAGCGGTGTGGGCGTGATACTGTACGTAGGGTAGGCGAATGTCGAGAGTAGTCGTGAAGAGCCAGAAAATTCGTCCCGTCGAGCTGAGGGTCAGGTTCAAGTCGCAGGTGTGGCTTACTTGCGCTTGACGGCGGTAGTTGACGGCAACTGTTGGCGGTGTTGGTGGCGGGTCAGTCACATCAATGTCACCGTCACTCACAGCGAAGGCGTCTAATAATATATTCATTTTATTGGTGGTTGCGGCTCGTGAGTGTCGACGGCGTAGTGTAATATTATTCCAATGCGGCTCATCAAGGTCGGCAGCACACTATATGACTCGTAAATTGACTCGTGTGTGCGGCCATGCAACGACTCGTGCCGACTCATTGCGACTCGTTGCGACTCGCATCTTTTCTCACTGAAAAAAGAACATCTTTTTTCATTATCTGTTCTCGGTGGGAATAGATGTCTATTCTCATCGAGAATCGATCTGAAAAAAGATGATCTTTTTTCAGATCGATTCTCAGTGGGAACAGACGTCTGTTTTCCGTGAGAATCGACATTGAAAAAAGATGTTCTTTTTTCAGTGAGAAAAGAACATCTGCTTTTAGTGAGAATCGGTCTGAAAAAAGAACATCTGTTTACAGCTCTGTTTTTGGGGGGAATAGACGTCTATTCGTGGTACAAATCTGGCTGTAAATCTACATCTATTTGCAATATCTTCCTGCTGTCTGAAAACAGAACGGTGAAAATCGAACTTCTAGATTGTCACGCATTTTCCGCGGAAAAAAAATAAGTCCCCCTGCAGTGCCAATCCCTCCCGTTCTCCGATCCAAGTCCTCTTCGGCATACGGACTCTGTCACCATCTAGCAACCGCATCCAATACATATCTCTTGGTTTCGAGTTATTGGCTTGTTGCTTACTATTGTAAATTGGCATTGCGGCAATGCGCATCGGCCATCTCATCTGGCTTCATAGAAATCTGTCCTCTCGGGTGAAAGGCTCGGGTGTTTCGTGACTACTGTTATAGCAGCTATAGAACAATCTTTGTGCCACATTACGCATATTGCTGCATCCGAGAGTCACTCTTCATCCATCACCAATCGTCACGACTGGTCCTCTCTCAAATTGTCGTCCTAATTATAAGTGTCTCTTAACACTTGGCTTGACTTCGTTTCGGAACATCCCTTCCGAAGTTCTAGCTTGTCATCATCCCGGTCTGATACTCTCTTCGCAAAGGATCAGTCTCAAGCGAACAGGCCCGCTCTCAGCTAGCATCATCACCTCAGACGCGGCATGTCTCGCTGCTATTTAAGCCAACACAAGCCTTTGTTCGTGCCCGATTACATCCTCATGTACTCCCTATCAGAACTTCCCTACTTTCCGCTGCCCTCCGGCTCGAGGGCGTGCGGGGTAAACATGACCTACGAGCAGAGCGTCCGACTCTCTCTTGCAAGGGCCAAGGAGATTACCTGCGCTGGTGGTAGGTGAGCAGCACTCCCCGAGGTGTTCAGCTTTGACCGGGGACGTCCAGATCTGACAGTAGAGGACATCGAGCGGACTTCGCGCAAATTCTCGGATTTGCAAATCGACCCAATCAAGCTTGTGGATGGAGCGGCTGCAAGGTTCTTCACCTTTCAGACCAATCTCGCTGCCGGTACCATCTGTGTGTATCTCAAAACTCAACCTTATCTGAGGCAGACCGTCGAGGACATTCTTCGCTTTGAGGTTCAGCCAGTACCGGACTCCCTTTGCCGAACCGTTCTTGACTTTGTCTAAGTGCCAACTACTGTTTGACTCATGTTGGGCACGGTCTGGGCACGCTCAAGCTGGAGACGACAGCTACCCTCTTACCCGGGGGTGGGTTTGACCTCCACACACCTGCTCGCTCAGCCGCCAAGTCGGCGGTTGCAACTTGGCTCAGGGGCACTTGCACTGACCGTTTGAACCAAGTACTAGGTTCATGTCGCCGACCACTCCCTTGTGTGGCATTTCCTCTGTGGCTGTTTTATTTGCGCAGCTTGGGAACAACCACGGCATTCAATCTTTCATCTTCCCTATCTCAGACGGCGAACGAACATATCCAGGAGTCGAAACCAAGTGCGCATGCTATCGACGGAGCAGTAGTGGATTTGCTTAGTCTCACCTAGGCTTTTACCCATGCGCAATGGAACATCCCCCGTGAATCATTCCATCGCAGTGTTCAATCACATGCAACTCCCGGTGGAAGCGCTCTTGGGCTCCCTTGACTCGCTGGAAGATGGCGGCTCCACTCAAGCGACGCACTGCAGCCAGCCTCTGGGTGCAATCTGGCGAGCAGCATCCGGGGGATTGGCGCTCAGCTCTCTTAGCATCGTGTCGCTTCTGCGGTCGAGTTACATCGCAGGTCGATATTCACAGACGCGCACGATCGGGGCTAACGGGGGCACAGCCATAATTGCATTCCGTGCGCAGCATGCGCCTATTCTAGTCGCTCTCGCACAAGCGTTCGTGTGCAAGGCGCTGTGGAGCAAGACACCAGATCTGGCCTCCCACACCATCGCATCCGCCATGCCTTTTCCGTTGTCACCAAGTGCGTCCTCGTCCATCATTCATCATTCTCAGAGCGCCAATATGGAGCTGTCCGAGTGGCTCGGTGCGCGCGGTCTTTTCCAGTTCAGCGACCTCATCAACCAGCCGGCGAGCCCTTCGCGTCTTCGCAATGCTTGCCTCCAACCTGGGCGGTCTCAAGGCATTCTACGAGGGATTGGAATCGCCGAAGTCGGAGATCTACTTGTGGTGTCCGTCCGTCCGTCTTGGCCGCTTTTCGGCGTCCTCGAAGAGCTCATAGAATGATACGCCTGGAGGGAGAACTGCTTGTCGGCCGTTATGTGATTCTTCCGCGGAAAATCCAGTCAGCCTATTGGCACGATTCGAAGCGGGGCTTTTCACCGAGTTTCCACAGCTGGTATCTGGCTTAATCAAGTCTCGCGGCGACGTCTTCTCTCGACTCATTCTGCCTCGTACGGAGACCATGGTGAGACCCATCGGACATTGTATAGCCTATGACGCTGCCGTTGCTGCCAAGCTGGACCCTCGAATCATCGCTGTCTACGAAACCGCAGCAGTCAGACTCAACGCAGCTTGGTATGTAAGCGGGGCCCATCACTCCCTAGCCTGACAGTTGTCGGCCGAAGACAAGGCTCTCAGCGAAGCCTACCCGTGTCTCGATTCGTGGTTGGCCTTGGCCGTCACGCGAGCTGAGGCTGTTCCCATCCTGTCGCCTCAGGATTGCGGTCGATTCGTCGATTCTCTCTCCGAACACGACTCTTTCGGTACATTCTTGCGAGCTCGAATTCAAGAAGAGGAAATAGATACTAACATACAGACTGAAAAAGAGTTACTTCTGATCTCTGAAATCCTCCGGATGCAACTGCGCCCAGTTTATGAACCCCGTCTTCCATCCGATTTTGAATGTCCATCCATGCTTCAGCATCTTGTCGGCGGGACTGTGAGACCAGAAGGGCTCGAATTCGGGACTCGCGGATGTGGAGAGATACATCACGGACGGCACCGAAACTTGATTCGGGAACAGCGGAGGCATCGACATGCCAGGTCGATTCGGAGGAAACCCAGGCCGAGGTAACCTCAGTTGCACTGCTTGCCCAAAGTCGTTGATGCTAAAGTCTTGATCCGTCCCCGCCTGCGTGACTTGAGAGGTACTGAGTGCGGGTGGATTCCTTGGGAAATGACGGACACGCACTGAATATGATGGAACTGGGCGGAACACCCCACTCTTCAGAAAGCTTCCTCGCATTATCCAGGAGGAATCTCCATGCGTCGCCCATCTCCTTCAAGACCTTGCGGTGTGTGATCTGGCAGTCGACCTGAGCACCCGGAGGAACGCCCATCGCCCAACACTTGACATCCCCCAGCATATCGAACGCGCCCAATTCGCTCCTCCGTACCGGTCGGTCATTCCAGCACCACTGCGTTCCCGACGCCGAGCTCTCGATGTCGAAACTGGCCAAACCCTGCTGGATGACGTTGTGCTTGCTAACGAACCCGTTCCAGTCGGCTCCGAGTGGGATGTAGCCGATATCGCCGACGGAGAACTTGCCGCCCGGAATAGACGAGCTCTTGGCCCACACATGGCTGTGCGACTGGGCGTCGAGACACAGTCGACGGAGGCGAGGGAGCGTTATGCTCGTGTTTTCATACGAATCGCAGTCGTCCAGCGCAGATTGGAGCTGTTTGGACAAGCCCAGAGGCGCTTTTCCCGAAGGAAGGAGGGCATCCACGAGCGCAGTCAATTGGTCAAGATGCCACTCAGGGTCATCGTCCACTACGGAGAGATTCAGGTCACAAGTAAACGTAAGATATCGATGCGAACCTCTCACAACGTCTCGTCGATAATTGGATGTTCCTCCGTTGGGTAACATCTGCCAAACGAATCCCGTTGAGTGCGAAGCAATATATGTATAGCAAATTAATGAGCTCACACGAAGAACCGACTTCCTGACGGTCTCAGCGATACCGTAATTCCGCCAGGTCAACGAAGCTCGGTCCTTTGATGGCAGTCCGACAACCAGAGAGTTCGAGCCATCGACACGGAACGAGGCACTCTGAACACCGATTTCAGACGTGAACCTGGTCAGTGGCGATAGTCGCACCTCTAAGAAATCTTGCGCTTGTTCTTCAGAGAGACCGAGTTGTCCCTGCACGTAGATGGTTGCACTCACGATATCTGTATACTGCGCGGTTTTTGAGCATAATCGGATAAACAGGAGTGGCTTATTGACGAACGAAACGCAGCATGCTCTCGATGCATGAAGCCAGCCCATGCGTTCTCAGCATTCCCATGAGGAATGATTCGGGAGAACGCGTTCGCACATTTGACAGAAGGATGAAAGGAGTTTTGGCAGAATCTTCAGAGAAACCCATCAACTGCGGTAAATTCGGATGACTGCAGAACTCATGACTATCTTGGATTTTACGAAAACTCTTATTCAACTCACTAGAGCCCTTGAAGCGCCTTCACATCACGTGCCCAATCCTGGCGTATTCATTCAATGTTTGTTCAAAATGTGCGCCACAAACTCGGCTCGTCCTTACCCTCTGCGCATGGGTTCTGGGTCCTTCGTACCGTTTGATCAATGCGTCTTGCCCGTTTACCACGACGTCGCTTGCCCCAGTCCACCAGCCTTCCATGTCTTTCTTGGGCCTTCCGCTGAACGTGACATGAGATTGATGATAGCGGGTGAACTGCACGAGACAGTTAGCCCTTATCATGACACGGATAATGCTCATTCACGCCATGATCTTCCACCACACCGTGATCTTCCACTACACCATGATCCGTCACCGCACCGCGGTCCTCCATTCGAGCGTTGAGAACCTCGTCGGAAACAATTTCGAGCGCAAGGTCCTCTGCCTCGATATGCGCTTCTTCAGAGATTGCTTCGAAGTTGTACATCGGCGGTGGTGCTCCGATCGGAGACAGTACAAGATCCAATGAAGGTTTCGAAACTGCCATGGGTACGTCGCTCTCCTGCGTAGTCTCGAGACAAAGTTGCGGAGGGCGACGTGCGACCGGTTGAGCGTCAGTGGAAGAGACCGCATAGTGAATTTCAATGAGTGTAGCAAGCTTGGAGAGCGCGTTGAGATGTTGACGAAGTCATCTTTCGAGGGTGGAACCTCACCTGAAATGTCTTCGACGCGTCGTCCAACTGTTCTCGGAATTGTAGCAACGCGTCATCTATGGTGTTCTTACGCAGGAGCCGCGTTCGCCAGCTACCGGACGCGGCATCGAGCATGAATGTGTGTATCGACTCGAGCGTGCTTTTGACCAACGTAAGCGAGTAGAAGATAGCCGCCAACCTCATGGAAAACTCACTCCTTGAGCCGTGCCAGGTTCTTCACCAATGATTGGGGTGCCTGCTCCCATCGCCCCGCCATCTGTTCGTTGATGTTCAACAGAATCGTCGCGCACTTTTGTGCGAGGCGTGTGCAGCCCTCCTTGTTCGTCTGGTGCGATCATCTAATCAGTCGTCGGTCCCATACAATCCGGGGAGACGGACACACTTGCAGGCTCTGCAATCCTAATCAGCTCCCGCGGAACGCGCCCTTCTTCGTGGGACCGCACCTGAGCAACTTGGAGTATCAACAGCACTATGGATGCCAACGCAGCCGCTGGTGGGAAACCAGAGAGTCCCGAAAGATCTCTCGTTAGGGATGTGATAGAGATTGCAAGCTGCACGGCCGTGTCCGAGTTTTGGCGCAAAACGCGTTTTGCGTTGAACTTGAGAGGCATCGCCAAATGATTGAAAGATTTCAAAGCTTAGATAACCAATGCTGCGTAGAGACGCGAGGGATGCAGCCAAGGGTAATCCGTGCTTGTCAGAGCTAGAGACATGCACGTTGTCGAGGATGAGTGCATGATAGCCATCACTAGTCTTGAAATCGTGTGAATCGTCTAGTCAAATCAATTGATGCAAACGTTGGTAGAGAGGCAGGGGGCCGGATGTACAGGGCTCACGAACTCACCGAAGCTACAAGCAAGCAATGTAGACAGGATATCAAGTCACTGAGCGCTCTAGGGATCTCTGAGTGTCTTCTTTAGATTACCCTTTCAAACCGGAGCGTTAGTGGATCTGTTTCTAATTACCACCTGCGACATTAGTGAATACTTCTACCAAAGAAACCCGGGATATAAAGGCTCTAGATTAGGATCCTGGTCCGCATTCCTCGCATCTCATCTCCGATTTCTAAAGCACGCTTGCCCTCCAACCAAAGCATCGCCTCTGATAAGATAAGATGAAAAAGGTCAGATATCAGATCAGATCAAGAAAGATTAGACAAGATCCCACCTTTATACGTTTTCGGCACCACTATTCGCGCAGCGCCAATGCTCGCACGCTCATCATCCCGACACCACGTGAACCGAAACTCGTTCGTCGTCCGCTCTTGGCCAGTCTCTACGTCCACGACATTTGCGGTAACAGCCACGTGCTAGTAGTCGTAAGCAGCTGAACGAATCTTCGTCATTCGCAATCAAACTCACGACTGTGGGGTGCAATCCTTCAGTCGATGTCGAGTGGAGAACATACGAGGAAAGGCGCAAGATGGATCCAATGGGAACAGGTTCTGAGAACGAGATGCCATCCAACGAAAGGAAACGGATATGCCCGCCGCGGAAGAACATGCTCGCGTTGGAGAACCCGAGCTTCAGCAAGTCAGAAATAGGTATGTGACTCCAGGGACACGAACCTCATATCCGAGACGCATGAGATATCCACCAAAGATCTTCTGGTGGACGCTAGAATGGACATGTGAAGCCCGCGCACAGGGAAGAAGCGGGATACCCACTTTCTCTCTTGCGGAAACATCAACATACACCGGTCGAGTTTAGTGTCTCCCATCCAGACCCGTTCGTGCGATCCCTGACTCAGATCTTGCCCGTACTTCAGCATGAAGGCGTGCAAGAGCTCAGCCTCGTCGGAGCTAGGAGGCACGCGAGCCAGAGACTTCAAGGCCTGCGATCGACGTCCGTTCTTGATTTCTAGGACGACGCTTAAATGAGCGCGATTTCGGTAGCCACACACGACTTGCCTTCTCCTCTGGTGTGGAGCGCTTCTTCATCCGGTGTCGAAATGATCAAGGGATTGATCGTACGGGCCTTGTGGGTGACCGCGTCGCGGCAGACCATCGAAAAACGTCCTGGACTCGATCATAAGTACGCTTCCGCCAAATCCACTCCAGGATCATACCTAGGAGAACCGTCTGCTCGGCGCCGCCGCTGATAGTCTCGACTTTCACCGCGATCTCCATGGACGACTTCCCTGTGTACATGACCTGGCCGCTGATTCGCACGTCGCGGCTGGGCTCCAAAGGACAGAGCATGTCAAGCCTGGCGATAAATTTTGAGCACGCGATGATATGCAGAGCACAGAGCGACGGCACTCACCGGTCAACGGACGCTGTCACCATGTAGAATCCCACATCCTGGATAGATCCCAGACTTTGTACGTCGGGCCCTAGGACATGTTTGTACGAGATTGACCCTGCAAGCGAGTCGAGGTGTTCCATGATTCTATTCCGGACGTTGAAGACGAGAAATGTCCTCCGATCTATCAGTCACTCACTTCCCCATCCGAATCCCTCCGTGGACATTGGTGTATCCTTCGAGAAAGGTGGGGTCGGAGAAGGGGAGCACCAGTTCACAATAGGAGTCGTGCATACGTCGAGGCACAAGTGAATCGTTGCGCTTGGGGCGGGTTGCTGACGCTGTGTGGTCTTCCGCGTGCAGAACGGACTCGGCCCAAAGTGCGGGGACGCGCATCGGCATGATGCTGGGGCCTTTAGGAACATCGCACGGGTATGTTTGAAGTGATGCACTCACGAATTGTACGCCGGGTTCGCCTTCATCCCTATTCACGAGTGTAAACGAATCTTCCAGTCCATCTCCTGAAGCTTCAAGCCTCGGAGTTAGAGCCCACAACGCACGTATGGACGCCAGAAGCTTGTCAATCTCATCAATGTCCCGGGTCTCTTTTGCGACTGTCGTCTGCTGGAGTGTTGCAGCATTTCGAGCGAGATTGGAAGTTGAGAAGAGCCGCTGAGTCCGTGCCGGCAGCGAGCAGAGTCTAGGCTGCACAAACGCCCTCAGCCTCGGTGAAGGTCGCATCAGAAGTGACTCGGCCCGGAATCCCGCGCATGCCGAGTCTGATCAGTGATCTCCAGATTCCCTTCCTTCTCCGGTCCAAAGGTTTTGGCTGCAAGTTGAGTAAATTTTCTCTCGCGGAGACAAAGCGCCGCTCCGATCATAGAAATTCCGTGAAGTGGGTTTCGCCCGGCTGCCACGCGTGCAGGATGTGGTTCCGAGTCCCATGTGGACGCCCGATTTCACTATTTAACCGCAAGAGTTACAACCGCGTCATCATCTGTACCGCCGGCCCATGCGTTCTGGGAGATCCGTCCGGGGTCGGACATAAGTTTGCCTGATTACCTAAAGCTCATTTCGGAAAAGAGAATGGGTCTTCGTAGTGTTGACGCTTCCTTGGCAATGGTTGCCTGTTCCTCAATCGCTTCACGTGACCGCGTTCGTGTCTTGCGCGTAAATAAGTACCTACGGTTCTACACGGCGGGTTTGTAAAGTATGCAAAGAAACCAGGACTGGAGGATACTCGAGAGTGATGAATATCGATCAGGTGACCGTGTCCTTCTGGTGATGATGTCAAGACGCGTCCTATGACCTCAAAGGGAAGGCCCCACTGAACCCACTCGCATCTCAGACAGAGACTCTCATGTACAGACCGTACAACGATGGTGGCGACGCCTTCACGCGTCCCAATCCCGGGTTGTCTCGTAACTCGACCAATGTCAGCTGGAGCACGAAGATTCGCGGCGCGGTTCAGATCGGACAAGGGCTTACAGACACGCTCCGTGGAACGCTCGGCGCAAGCGATTTTGGGCCCCACAGATTCTCGTCGAGCGATGAGATCGCAGGCCGCGGCAGACACCAAATTGCCCAGGGTTTGGCGAGAATCAGGGGTGTGCCCACGGATCTCCCGCGTGAGCTTCAGCGACATTCGGGTCTCTGATGAGAGCAAACGCGTTTCACAGCCGCACCTCTTAACTCTGGACAGCAAAACTCCCGACCGATCTCGCAGTATGACGAGCGTCCGCGCTCGGCATCTCTCTCGGGCTGGTACCGCCGCTCCTTCTCGGGGATCCCCGTCGGCCCGCAGCCACAAAATCCGCACCGCAATCCGTCCACGCGATCCACGCCGTTCGACAAATTCTACGAGGATCCCGTTGGACCGCAATCAGCGCATGGAACGCCGCCGGAAGATGCCCCGGACCCAGGTTTTGCGGGTCTCGGAGCCGGCGTAGATCCCAGCAGCAGACGCAAAGACGGGAGCGATCGCATCTCGCCCGCATTTATGACGAACAGGTCGGCGTCGGCGTCGACGTCGTCTACGAACACAGTGTACCCTCGTCCCACGTTCAGCGCGCAGACGTCGGCCACAGTCAGTGTATATCCCCGCAGCCCGGGTGCATATCTCACTGTTCCCGTACCCGAGTCGTATTTCCCGCCGTCGGCGGCGACTGCTCCGCGGACTCCCCCGCCTCTTCCCCCGCGTCGGAGGCCAACCGCGCCACTGCCGCCTGAGCTTGCGTCTGATTCAGCTTCTGTGACCGAGCAGGGCAGCTGCCTCCCGACGTTCGGACGAAGCAGAAGCACTCCGCCCTGTCCAATCGATGCGCTACCAAACCGGCCCCCCGCTCGCCGGGATGTGTCAGGCTTGGAGCAAGGCGGGTATTCCGTGATGACATACGACGCCAAGGACGCACTCCCGTCCTGGCCACCCAGTGGCAGTGCATCGCAAGCGAGCTCGTCGTCTTCTGCAAGATTGCACCCGCAACCGCACCAGCACGAAGCGCGGCTGGAGCATGCTGGGTACGACGTGCTGCCCTATGATGCCAAGGACAGTTACCCTACCTGGCCATCCGAGCGGGAGATGCGCGGAAGCAACACCCGCACCCCGGGACGCGCGGAGCCCAAACTCGAGCCGCTACGACGTGTCAGGTGAATGTACTTGTGGACGTTTGATCTAGAGCGACAGACAGCAGATCCAGCTACATCATGTATACACGATACACATCATACACGGTACTCATCTTCGCAACAATCGACCTCAGGGATCAATGGAAGCGCAGCCATGATGCCACCATATTTGCCATATGTGGCAGGCTATCTCACGCTTGGACCGTGGCAGTGCCGGAATGTGGCTGAAACTCGAGAAACAATCAGAGCAGCAAGATAACGACTAAGATACATGAGGCGGTATTAACACATGATTCGAGTACAAGACGTGGCGCAGATGCTGTGTATGTAAGATATATGTATGAATGTGGCCGTCAGGACAACAGGGGGCATTAGCTTGGGGGGATGTGTGCAAGTAGATTAGGTGGGAATGGTATACCAGACCAGAAATTCCAAAATTCCAAACGTGGATGACCGTGGGCAGCGCGCGCTCATTTTTTGGGGGGAGCAAGGGCGAAACCGCCACAGAAGCCACAGGCATGCTCGCACGGCCCGGTTGATCCACAAAACAAATTCCGGCCGTTCCACGACGCGCTGAAGGTCAAGATGCAGAATGATTCCAATGTCAATGTGATGCTGATAGTCCCTACGCAACAGTGAGCAGGCACAGGACAAGCGCAAGAACGGAAAAATCACGGACGATTAAGATGAATGCAAACGAAGCCGCTCAAGGCTGCTGTTCCGACTGCTCGACGCGCTGCCAAGGAATCCCGTCTTGAGACACCGGCTCTCCTCCCCGTCCAAACGCCAGATATTGGCAAGCGGCGAGGCGTTGACAGAATCCGCGCCCGACTGTGAGAAAGTCGACTTGGTAGACGACGGGAGGCTGTCTTCGTACTCTTCCAACGAGAGATCCGCAGACGATGTCGACGACGGCGAGAGCGTCGGGGACTGAACGATGTCTTGAAGGAAAGACGGCAGAAGCGGTGCCGGGGCATGCAGATCGAGTCCCTCCGTGCCGAATGTCAAGGCATGACGCTGCAACGGGCTGGGCAGACGAGGCTGGCGCTGCGGCGATGCGATCGCCGTCTGGTAGATCGGGTGGGTCTGCATATAGTGACTTCCGAGTTCGATGTGCGACTGCGAGCGATGCACCGGGGCTCTGATTGGCTGCGGCGGGGATACGTTCACAAATGGACGCTGGACCTGGGCCGGCGTCGCAGACTGCGACCGTCCAACATGGTGAGGAAGCGCCGCCGGAGATTGGGATCGGACGAGTGCCGAGGTCAACAGCGCGATACGTTCAGCCTGAACTGAGGCCGATACCGAATCTCCATTTCCTTCTGCATCTAGTGGTGACATGTCAACGGATGTAGCAGATCGAATCTTCGCAGACGTACATGGCAGACAAGTCTGGCAGACCTTCCGGCGGCGCCAGTTCAAGTAATTGCACTTCTGACAAATCCAATCTCCCGGTTGCTGCACACGAAGAAAAAAAAGGTCAGCAAAAAAACGATCGCGCCGGCCCGCAGAACTCACGTGGGATATCGGGCCTTTGTTGCCAGTGTTTAGGATCGGTGGTTGCTATGTGTCGGCGATCAGCACGAAAATCCGAGCGCGCTGCATAGACATGACGCACGGTGATACCTGTCAAAGACCCCGGGCGAATTTGCCCTTGCTCCGGAAGGGGCTCGTTGTCGGGCCAGTACATGATGCACGGCGAAAGCGGGTCCGTCGACACGTTCTGAACCTTACCCCCGACGGCGAACGCCCGCCCGGACGGTGTGAGGAGCGGGTGCGGAGAGGACGCTTGGCGCGCCGCGACAGTCGCAAGCGCAGCGGGAAGCGGGAGGTGGAGCACTGGCTGCATGTAGCCTGGGACTTGGCGGGGGGCGGGAGCGGGGGACGACTGCGGGTAGGGAGGCTGGAAACTCATGTTGGAGGCAGCAGCGAAACGCGGGGAAAGTGGCGAGCGAGGAGTCGACGAGGTGTACTGAGGCCCATGATATGGATGCTGATTGTGATCGTGGGCGGTGGCGCTATGTCCGGGAGCAGTCGAACGAGCGCATCCACAGCCGATGCATGCCACGTTACGTCTGTGCAAGGGAAAAGATTCGGTTAGCATCGAGATGGGCAATGGGGAATGGGAGAAAAGTCGAGCGAGGCAACAGTTCTTATATCCACGCGAATTGAAAATTGCGATCGGAGAAGTCTCACCCAAAATTATGCGCGGCACAGTTCGGTGAGCGACATCTGCAATGGATAAATACGTCAGCGTGTGAGATTGGCGAACACGAAAGGAGAAAAGTCAAATTCGAAGTTCTGCAGGAACAAAGACAGCGATGGCTGTGCATCTTATGGCAAGGGGGGCAGATCTGATGTAGAATGGACAAAGAAAAGAACTGAACACTCACATCCAATCCCCCATGCGGAAACTGGTGCGTGGGTTGGGTGGGTTGCTCGACATCGTGTATTCTTCCGCTGAGGTGGACGCGCCACTAGCTGCATGATGGTCCGCTGTGTTGCCACCTAGGACGTGCATCGAGGGCCGAATCACGCGTTGAGGACCACTCATATAGACTTGGGCAGGCTATAATTGACAGCTCGTGAACCCGAGAACAAGTTAGAAAAACGTAACACACGACGCACCATGGCATTAGACCCAAGCTCAAATCGCTTAAGCATGGAAAGCGGCTCCAAATCGGATTCAAGGGCGGGTGCGACCGACATGCGAGACGAGGAGAGGGAAAGAGCAGCGCATGCCTGTGGATCGCATCAGTTTTAAATGATATTCTGATTGTTTGACTCAAGATTTGACTGATAACGAGAAGAGAGACGGGTGAGATGTATGCAGGAGCGTGGGAGGGACCGGTCTCAGAGTCAACGTCGTGACTCGTTGCCAGGAACGGCCGATCGTCAAATCACGTGGTCGAGTCAGATCGGGGAATATATTATTATTTACTGACCTCGGCATGCGTTTGAAATACCATCCAGACATCGAGATCGGCTGTGGGGACTCGGAGGACCCACATTGTCGCCGGGTCCAGGCCCTAGGAACGTCTGTCTCAGTGGATACCGGGAAAACGAGATCGCGGGGGAAGAATTTTCCACGTGAACTCAAAAACTGTAAACGCACCGTCTGAAACAACACGGAGGAGAGCAGCGCGTGGGGCGCCGGAGGTAGGTTGAAGCACTGGGACGAACACGCGTCAAGTTTGACAGCTAACGAAGCGCGGACGCAGCCGGGGACGTACCCGGACCACCCTCGATTGCGTGCGCACGAATGCGTCGAAGAGCGTGCCGACGGACGAAGCCGAGCTGAGGCTGCTACGCGAGGAGACGGAGGACTGGGGGGAGAGGTCGAGTGCGTTACAATGCCCTAGGCGTTGGGTGTGGAAAGGCTTCATGTCGAGGTCGTCCAGAACGAATGGCGGCCCCAGTGGTGAGAGAGGGGTGCGCGGCTCGGTGGTGCAGGACAACCGCTGGAAACGGTCCAGGACGGCATCGAGCGTGGTGTCGTGTTTCGCGGGCATAGGCGAGGATGGACGTGCTGGTGTGTTCTGGTCGGTCAGTTCATTATTATAGGTGGGCGTCGTAATGGTCGTGGATCGTGATCTTGACGTGCGCATTGGAGTGAAAGAAGACAGAAGGGATAAGTAAGCCGGGTCCAGAAGAATAGTGAAAGGAAGGAAGACGCCGTATTAATCAACGGAAGGAAGCTTGGAAGGTGAGCCAAGTTGAGTGGCAGCAGTTGGTATGAGATATGTTTTCCGCTGCTCAAGGTCAAGCTCTTTATGACCGGGTTGTTGACGGATGGTCACGTCGGCAACAAATGAAATACCGACATATCTCTACGGCCACGCGAGCAACCTCAGGGTTGGAGTACAAGTTGTGGTATCACGTGCCTCCGAAACACGAACGCGAATGAATCCAGGGGAACTGGCTCCCTTCTCTACTTCGAGCTCAGCTCTTCGATGCTCGGCTCCCTGACAAGGAGTCTGACTCCTCGCAAATAGCCTGCAGCCTCGCGAGATAGGCTGGGCAGGCTCTCTTGTTTTCGGAGACAATAGTCAGTATATTTGTCCCTTCGACACCGATCTCGCCGCGTCATGGTTTCAGAGGACCTCCTAAATATGTGTCCTGCAATCGGCCATGGACGTCGGCGACCGCGGAGGTGGAGGCGGCGACGCAAGAGTTTCAAGTGTCGGGTTGATTCAATGGCTGGTCAGTCTGTTCCCAAACTTGCGGTTGTAAAGCCTTCTGAATTCGACACCAGCTCCCTGAATTAATCTACACGGACTACGTACTGGGGAAAGGTAAAGACGCGCTGTCGCTCTGTGGTTGCGGACCCATATGTAATACAGCTGTACGATTCGGTTTGATCGAATCCATTTGGGGGTGTGCCGTTTCAAATTTTCCGCCGGGAAAGTGTGGTAAGCACAACGCCGATATCCCTCCACTAGACACCTGGGAGACTAGCCGCAGAGAGGCGTAGAGCACACGATCGTAGACCGGTCCGACGGCGCCCGAAGAGCGTTCGAATGGAAATGGATGTCCCACCCACGAACACGCTGATCCTGGGTCTGACGTGGACCAGCAGCTTCGGATTCTCGGTGGCGGGACCGAGAGCGCGAGTGTCGGCGCTGCGCTTTGTAAGCAGTGGTTTGAATGCGGGCAAGTCTTAACGCTAAGCGCCGGATGATCTAAATGTTAAAAGGTTATGTATCTGCAGAACGAGAACAGCGCACCTCACGTGGGGCACCCTTTATTAGACAGCCCGTTTTGTGTCAGAGCTGCAGGTGCCTCCCTCGGCCGAATATCTCTTCTCCCAAAATCCGTGAAATTTTCAAGAAGCTCTGTGACACGACGGAGTGTTTGAGACACCCCATCCGGTAATTGTTTCGACTCTTCAACGCTATGTAAACACGCGCAAAGGGACACTTATGACATGGCGAACAGTCCGATGGACGTGTCTAGTGGCTCAGGTGTATGAAAAGGGGATGGAAAGACCGCACATTGAAGCACGGGATCGACCCTACATATGGTACATGGTGCTACCACTAGTACACACAAAATTATCATCACATGCCTCCTCGACTTATAAATTTCTGACAGGCGCCAAATGGACTTGCACCGGCTTGTGGACGGACTTCTGGACCAGCTGAACAATTTGGGGCTTCGGATTCGATGCAACTCTGGGCAAGCTTCGATGAGGATCTGAATTCTCCCCAGGAAGATCATTTAACCCACTGGGCATCGAAAGTGATTTCTGTGCTTGTCTGGGCCGGGGCAGCTCTGACAAGCCACGGATGGGTTCTAACAAGAGTCATCTTCCCGGAGACGGTAGAGTCCGCCTACAAGTGTACGTCAAGATGAGCATACGATCGGTCCGTGGGGCGAGTGCATTACCCCGGATTGGCCCGCCGTGTGAACCACCTTGAATTCCTCGGGATCTGAGCTCAGAGATATGTTCACCGTGCCTCCCCGATGGCTCTCCACGGAGCCTTTGAAGTCGTCGAGCGTCATCGATGCGCCGTCGACTTGGATGTCTGCGTCAGGCGAGAACGAGTCATCCAGCACGCTTTGCAGATCGGCCTGGGTGTGTGGATCTGGTGCGTATATCGCCTTCATTTGCGTTTGGACCCAGTTCGCGAGAGAAGGATTAGAGGTCATGGTTTGAATGAAAGGTCGAGGGAGGAAGAAGCAAAATCGTATCTGGGCGCGATCTTGCCCGAGGAGCGCTTAGTTGCTCGCACGCGTGACGTCATTCATGATCATAGCTCCCTGATCTCGGAACATTATAGCTGATCCGGTCAACGATGTTCACCTTTTCACTCAGAGTCGCAACCTCCCACTCGTCCACTCATCACCGAGTACCCATACGTACATATGATAAGCACAATGAATAGATGTTGATACAGGGTTCGCGGCGACTTTCGCATCAGGGATTGCCAATCCAGCGAGGTATTTGAGGAACCTATCTTGACTAAGTAAGTACCTGTCTTGCTTCGACTGACCCCCGATCCGTACAGAAACGGAAATTTGGTCTCCTAAAATTTTCCCCCACGTAAAGCACAAGATGCCGGGACTTGTCATTATCGTATCTACAGGACTGGTACTCGTAGGTAGTTATATTGGTATTACATTTACAAATTTACATCACGCTCTCGCGCTTTCAAACGGCCATCTTCGGGGTGAAAGGACCGGCAATAGATTCAGGGCGTTCTCCATCGGTGATCACACTGTGATGCAAGTATATTCGAGTGGCGCTCTTGGTCGAGGTGGTGGGAGACAGTTCCACGTGACTTCTGTAGATGTTTTCGCCCGTGCGGAAAGCGGCAGAGTGAATGGACAAGTCGATATCCGGGTTGACGTTTGAAATCTCTCGCAGATTGTCTCGATTGTTCAAACTAATTCATCGTTCATCAGATAGTTGACTCGGGCAGTGACCACTTACGAGCAGAGAAGCGATAGAGAGTATACTGAAAAGAATTGCCTTGAGAACCATCGCTCCCTTGAAACTGTCGACATTACCTCGAGGCATCACCAACACAAAAGGAATGAAGATCAACGTATCGGCTTCGTAGAACCACTGGAGAAGAAAAAATCAGATGTTGCAATGTCCAAAATTCTGTTTGATCATACCAGCGCAATGAGCGGAGCCAGGCACAAGCTGCAAAGAATGTCAAATCGACAGGGTGTAATGAAATCAGCGACCCTTACACTTCGAGTGCACCTGCGCACAGCCAACAAAGATAAGCGCACTGTGAGGATCAAGGAAAACATGCGACTGACAAGTATTCACGACATATTTGATGAGCACGTAAATGATGTGCTGTGTTCTAGACCATTCAGAACACTGAGACTCCAGAATAAGGGGCGGCTTACTCCCGGATTGCGCTGCGTTTCACATGTTGACGCAGGTAATATATCAAACCCGCTGCAATCAGCATGTCGGCGGAGAGTTCCAGACCAAAGAGCGGCATGACATATGGCTGTTCCATTTCGGTAGGGCTCACATCAAGTAAAATGAAACGCACGTAGTCGCTTGAACCTCCTGAAAGGCGCTTGAATGACAACCTAGCCGACGGACATCATTTGGCCGGTCGGACGGGAGACCAGCATACTCACGACACTTTCGTATAGACTTTCAACGGATGAGCATCATACGTCAACAGCATGGAAACGCAGCGGCGCTCACCAATTCCCATTGCTGTCGAACGGAACGATGATGAGCGCTCTTGAGATAACCTGACTTTCGAACATTCTGACCAAATTGGGCTAGCGTCAAAAATATCTGTGCGTGCCATCAGTGTTGAACAGCTCGCTGAGGTTGAATTCAACGAACTATGATTCCCGGGAGGATCTTCCTCCTGCCACCGACTGTCACGGCATGTCATCAGCGCGTGGAAAAGACGGTGACTTCCCGGACGCACGGATATACACTCGGTGAGCGAAGAACCTGGGCGCGTTCATTTTTGAGTCTCCGATCATTCAACGCGACTCACCCTTGGACCATTAGGGCTACGAATGTCTGCGCATAAGGTCAACCCAGTGAACGGTCAGCGGTCGAGATTAAACGAGACGAACACTGAGCCCAATTTCGACCTATTGAAGATATCAGAAGTGTAATAATGCACAGCTTTCGTACTCACCAAAATACTCCTGCGACCGGTTTACGATTCTGAGATGGAAGACTACTCGATGAGGGCACGCACCAGACGGTTGGCTCGTTGATGACACTCAGATCCCCCCAGTTGGAGACTGTATAGAAGAATATGCCGTGGTTGATAAGGACGGCAGTGATGAGTTCCAACAACCTGTCCCACGCGAAGTAATCAGATAGATAAGCCATGATCCTGTCCAAGCGGTTGGTCTGACCAGAGCAGTCCAACCTGACGGACACGTAACTATAAGCGGTTGGAGTATCCTTTAAACACGTACGAAAAGCTTGAGTGCAAGGCCATCTTTCTGGCTGTGTTCGGCGAAATAGAGAAAAGACTGCATGCAGTTGATCCCAAATAACCTGAGAAAGGATCTGAGTTACGGACCGGCTGGATGCGGCCCGCATGGGCGCATCGGATACGTACATGGTTGCAACCGTGACGCCAATGGAAAGAGCACCGACACTATTATCGAGAGGCACTAAAGCGGGCATCGGGACGGGGTGGAAGGCAGATAAGCAGAAGATCTTCGAGTGCTCCACAGTTGTTATATATGTGCGGACGGCGCTTGTTGAACGCCCCTGGAGCCGTCAGAAGACTTGAAGCTGTGTTGGGACTCGGGAACGTGTAAGATTGGACTCGCGCCCATTCATAAGTTGCTGTCGTGGTGGCGCCAGATAACTACCACATCAACGCTTAGTGTGGATGGCTGGCTGGGAGGTAGGAAGAACTGGCCGCAGTTCAGCGAGGCGGTGCCTGATAGGAATGGGCGAACGCAAGCTAAGACAGGTTGGACCGGAGAGCTGTCAAGGAGTGCATAGAAGCGTGTCCTCGAGGCAAGCCCAAATGGGGTCACTAGGTGGCCGCATAGGCGACTGAGGATCCATAGCAGCGAGCAGTCATTCAACAGCTGAGCGGGGCGTCTGAGAACTGTCCTCTCATCCTAGATGTCAACTTCGAGCGACCAGACACGATTCTCCTCTGCCATCCTTGGAAGCCATCTTGGCTATTACAGTAAGCGTGAAATATACCTGCAAAAAAAAGTTCATCACACATTGACAGTGATGGTCAGAGCGAAAATTAAATAATATCAAGCCTTGTCCAATGTCCATGACCATTGGAAAAGGACCGGATAATCTCTCTCAGCAAAATGACGTCGCGCTGGCACGCTGGGGCGGCGGCCCAAGCGCGTTTCAAGGGCGTCGCCATCAAAGCGTCGTGACTAATATATGTCATCCAGTGACTTGGAGGTGACCAGTGACCACCGCCTTCTGCTGTTGTCTCCAGCGGCAACATCGCCTAATCGATCTTAACCCGCCTCGCAGCCTGTCCCTACGTTGGAAGAGCATCCGCCTCTCACTTTCTCCTCAAGATGCACTCGGACGCTTTCGATGTGATCCCCTATGCCGTTCGTCTCATTTCTCTTTCGTTTTGCCCCTCCTCGTCGTATTCCTCGGCCCGGATGATGTGTACGAGCCATACCGGAGGGAGAGCCATCTGCATTCCAACGCGTTCACTCAGCGGGTTCCGATCGCGTTCGTTCCGATATTGATCGCTGTCTCACAGGACATCAAAGGCGACTGGAAGAAACTAGGTGCAGGATCTTTCGGTAACGTCTACAAAGGTGCGTGCCCAAGTGCTTCGCCGTGTAGCATACCTTGGTTCTTACTGCGCCCCAGGAAACTACCTTGGCATCGAGGTCGCCATCAAGGAAGTGCTACCGTCCACCGAATATGACGTCGCCAAGTATTTCGAACGTGAATGGCGTCTCATGAAAGAGACGAGACACCCGAACTGCTGCTTGTATATCGTGCGTAGCCTTTCTCCGCATCTAGGCCGCATTCATGTTACCACAGGGACTGTCTCGCGCTCCTGAGCCCGACAATCGTATCTTCATCATCTCCGAATTCGTCGAGAACGGGAATCTCCGTGTCTACATTCACGACAAGTCCAAACCATTCCCCTGGCGACTTCGCCTTTCCTTCGCAACGGACATTACCCGTGCGCTGGCGTACCTGCATGCGCGCAAGTGCATCCATCGAGATCTCAAGGGCGAGAACCTTCTTGTGACATCGAACGGCCGGCTCAAACTTACGGACTTTGGATTCGCTCGGATCGCCGCGCGGAATGACGATGAGTCGAAGCGTCTGACCTTTTGTGGCACGGATTCGTACATGTCCCCAGAGATTCTGATGGGCGACGAGTTCGACCTTCCGACCGATATATTCTCATTGGGTGTCATATTCTGTGAGATCGCCGCGCGAAGGCTAGCCGACGACCATCACTTCAAGCGGTATCCTCCTAGCTTTGGCATCGACCCCGAAGAAGTCCATAAACTCGCTAGTCCCGGGTGCCCTCCGGCATTTTTGCAGCTTGCCATCGACTGTTGTGCCACGGAGCCGTCTGCTCGACCAACCACCCGTGCAGTTCTAGAGCGTTTGCGAGCCATCGAGGCTGAGGTCCTCGCTCGCCCTAACGAAGGCGAAGACTTGCACGTGGGCAGCATCAAGTTGATGACGGCTGGTAAACGTGCTGGTCCAGCCCCTCGGATCCCGAGCTTCGGCATGGGGGTTGGTAAAGATATTCGCAGCAGCAGCCTGCATAACTCGGAAAGCAGCAACGATGACAGCGACGATGAGCTCATGGAAGCTGTTGCCGGTCTCTCGAGTGTGGGCGTTGGCAGTGATTGGTCGAATGGTATGTTGTACTTATTGTTTGCAATCGCAGACTCCTCATCTCAAAACAGGTCACGAACCTCTTCTCGAGCAGGGCGCCCCTTCGGCCTTTTCGGAGTACAGCACCACTGTCATCCGCGGTCCCAGCGGCGTTTCCAGCAGCCAGCTTCCCTCTTTGTCATCTGTTCTTACCGTCCGTGCCTCTCCGAATCCCAACGAGACTCCGGTACCTGTTCTGCCAGCATCCCATGATCGTTCCTTTTCGGATTCCGACGCAGATCCTCTCGCTGGGTCGGTGCTGTCCATCGCGTCTCTCGACTCTTATCACACGGCCCATACTGCGTCGGCAATCTCTTCGGCTTATGCGACTGAAGGCGGATCGACAATTCGGTCTCTTCATGGAAACTACACGGCCCCGTTGGTCCATCGATTCACTCTTCTCAAACCAGGCGCCAAGCCCAGGAAGACATCGAGTGGAACTGTGTCCCCCACAGCAAGTGCTCAAGCGGAGGTCGCCGCCTCTGGCTGGAATCCCCTCGATCTGTTCTTTTCCAGTGGCCTGTTGGTAGCCAAGTGCGACATCTGTCTGAAGCGCCTGGGATGGAAGCCTGTCTTGGAATGCGATGATTGTGGGCTGCGGTGTGTTCCTTCTATCATTTACTGTGGCCGCGCTGATCTTTTTTTGCAGAGCGCATATCAAATGCGGAGAAGTTGCGCCCAGGGACTGTGGTGTCCGGCCCAGTCGTCCAGGTACCCATCAATCCCCGCTCTCCCCATTGTCGAAAGTGAAGCAGAGCGCTGCCGTGGCTGCTTCCGCCGCTGGGAAAAGCAAAGTTCCGAGTCCGACTCGATAAACGATATCCAGCCAATTCCCGAAATCACGACTATCACGACACGACTTGTCCGGATCTTCCATTCATGATTTACGATAGAATGCGGTCTGCTCGAGCGCATATAATGAAGCCTTTCTCGGACCATGACGATCGCATTACACTTTTCCATATCCAACCATCCGTAGCATTAGCACACCTCACGATCTTGTATGTTTGTACACTACATAGCGTACATTATCATTTAATCCTCCTTATCTTCCCCGCAATTGGTCCCCAATCGTGGGACTGATCGATCAATGATCGGATTGATGTTGGGTCGACTCTTCGGTCCTGCTCTTATATCAGGTCGAGAGACCTTATGTCGACGGCTGGCCCTTAGTCAAGTCATCATTCTGGGCTCAAATTCATGGAGGATACCTTGCATGAGCTCCGGGAGCGTATCAAGGTTCAGGGTTTGACTAGCCCTGCAGCCAACGCTCGTATCTCAGGCAATGATCCTTTTTCGAATACCGTTTCCCAGTCGGTCTGACGCAGGACAGCATACATCTCATCCAACATCCTCAAGCATCCTAACTCTTTATTCAAGAATCGCGTTCCTCCGCTTGATATCATCGCTATTGCACTTCGGAGGCTACTGGACGCAGACGACGCTCCTCGACTAGGCGACATCCCCGATTTGCTGGACTTTGCGACGACTGTGGAGTTTTATCGTGGGAGAGCCCTCGAGGAGACGCGCAAGGCTCTAAAACGGAATGAAGAGCTCAAGAAGGAACAGAACAATCTTCGTCAATTGAGTGAAGCGGAAGAAACGTCGCTGCGGAAGCACCTCGAAGATGATCTGGAGCTGAGAGGAATATATATCGAAGTCGTGCTGCAGTTCTGCCAGTTTGTGCGCGATTATCCGTAACGCCATGTGGAGGAAACTAAAATCAACCTCAAGCATATCTACCATCTCTGGACCAGTAATCCACCTCGTTCCGCAGACGCCACGCTCCGTCTATGCGAGTACTTTCCCGACTTGAACAGGATCTACAACCGAACTACCAAGTCCCCGCGTCTATTCCATTATGACTTGAACGATGATGAACGAGAGTTGCTGCGAGATCGCGGATTGGACTGCTGTGCTTTTGTCAGCGACTCGTTCGAATGGGCCGAAAGCCAGTGTGAACCAGGGTGCGTCCCTCCACAGCTTTTGTGTATCCGGCATGATCTCTGACCACTCATCATCAGGCAAGTACACGCCATGTTCCAGACCGAGCTTTTTGCTGCTGAGTTCCCATGCAAAGTAGAGGCAGAAACCCTGTGTGAGACGTTGCTCTACTTTATCGATCAGGTGGAAGGCATCGTACAGGAACTGCAAGATATGTTTCCTCTCTGATGATCGCACAAAGTTCTTGTTCTTGTGGGACCGCGTCGTTCGTGAATGGCAATTTACATTTCATGTCTTGTATCTGATTTGCTGTGCTCGCGTCCAAATGTCTCCTAATTTCTGGCTATGTACCTCCCTCACTTGAGGCCTCGGCCGATTGACGGCTGGTTCTGTAGCTCATGGATGACGAGGAATGTGTATTTACTATCCGCTCAGTCAAAGTGATTCTCAGGCCCATCTGGCGCGTTCCTTGTCTCTCTTCCCACCTCCATATGGCTGGAACCGTTTGTCCCTATCCTTGTCATTCTCACGCCGAGATTTCGTGGTGGTGGAAGACGAAGTTCCGGCACTGGAAAAGGCGATCTGAGTGCGTTTTCCTGATGTTTGGCCTTGAGACTGCTGTTCCGATCGAGCCTTTTGAAGATCAGCTTGAGAGACGGGGACCGGAATGATCGAAGAAGGATTATAGAGAGTTTCTGCATGAATCACCGAAGAGCTGGCCGCATGGAAATGAGACACACCGATGGCATCAGCATACCAGGCAGCATCCATTGCTCCGGGATCCCACAATGCTGTCGGAAAGTTGGTTGTTCGTTCATCCACGTCCACAAATTCCACAAGTTTAGCATATAGATGCGGGTTGCGGAAGGCGCGACTGCCCATAAGCGAGTCATTGAAATGTCTCGGTGGTTGAGCATTTTTCAGGGCCTGGAACTGTGCCAGTTTTGCCTGAAATATCGTGCATGAACGGATGTAGAGCCGCGGTTTACTTTATTGACACACCGCGATGGCAGGGTCCGGAGCAGCACCTGAAGCAGGTGGGATGCCCCAGTTATCTAGTCCAGGTATCTGGGGTGGGCGCAATAACTCTCGGATCCGCACGAGCTCGTCCGCAGGTTCCGTGAGACCAGGCAAGGCTAATTTCGGCTGAGGAAGTGCGGAGGTGGACGCTTCAGGCTGTTCCAGTCCCTCCGGGGAGGAGTCGGCAACTCGGTCTGAGGCCACGGCACGCATGTGGGTCTTGTGTTGCGCTGGTGGCCGCTTGATGATTATTTGCGATTTATTGGATACTTTCCGAGCTGGGTGGCGTGAGACGCAGCCCGACCGAGATTCGAGATCAGGACACTGACGTTCAGAAGAAGTTGGCAAGCTCGTCTTCTGCTTGACATCCTATCCCACGGGAAACGAGCCAGCAAAGAGGGAAACATGTAGTAGGAGGGGCGATGGAGATCCTCACATGTGTAAACGCGCTTGAAGCAGACTTCAGAGGAGAAGTGGTCTGCTTTTGCTCATCTTCACTTGCAGAATCGTCTTCATAGGCCACCAAGCCTGAGTAGTCGCCGGTCAGCACCAGAACTGGGTGATTGAAATACTAGTAGAAGCTACTCACCAGCGAGCATGATGAGAGGTTTGAGGGCTCAAGATGGATTCCACAGAAGATACAATCCTCAGCTGGAAAGATTTTGGTTTGCTAGTAAACGTTGCACCGGAATGGTCTCGAGCGGAGAAGTTCTACAGAAGTGGACGTGGAATGAGAGAGTCGATTTCCCTTTTTGAAGTATGCGTGTCTTGGTAAGCAAGTATGCTTCTCTCTCTCCCCCACCTACTGCTTGGTCTCCTTAGCTGGACTTGGGGGATCCTTGCCACTACGCCTTCCCAAGAAGAATTCGTGGGCAATTTCTTCAGCAAACATGTCACAGACGGAAGCACGTCGAATCACACTAATAACTGGGCCGTTCTCGTCTGTTCCTCGCGTTATTGGTTCAATTACCGAGTACTTTCCGCTCAAATCCTTCTCCTTTCGGTTATTGATCATCAGTTCAGCACATGGCCAACGCGTTGGGAATGTGAGCTAGAGAACAGGAGTGTGTAGCCGCGGTTCCGCTCATAGCACCCCAGGTACCGGACTGTGAAACGTTTGGGCATCCCGGACTCAAACATCATCCTGATGTTAGCCGACGACGCGGCGTGTAACACGCGTAATCGATTTCCTGGCAGCGTCTACGCCAATCCAGGTCGCGGACTCGACTTGTATGGGGACAACATTGAAGTAGATTATCGTGGCTACGAGGTGACAGTGGAAAACTTCATTCGCGTTCTAACCGGTGAGAGACCTTCTGTTCATACCGCGCGTGGGCTCATGATCATTTAGGACGGATGGAACCCTCTGTTCCTCGTTCTAAACGGCTGTTGACTGATGCGCATTCCAACATCTTCGTTTATATGACTGGTCATGGCGGTAATGAATTCCTCAAGTTCCAGGACAACGAAGAGATCAGTGCCTTTGATATCGCAGACGCGTTCGAGCAGATGTATCAGAAGAAGAGGTCGGTTCTGCCCTCGCTTCATTTGTTAAAGACTGAAGGAAATGTTTAGGTACAATGAGATCTTCTTCATGATCGACACTTGCCAGGCCAATACGATGTATTCCAAGTTCTATTCACCCAATATACTTGCTACCGGATCCTCCAAGTTAGATCAGAGCTCATACTCTGTGCGTTCGAGACCAGTCGATTGCGGGGCAGCTACTGACGCGATATAGTATGAAAACGATGCAGACATCGGAGTCTCTGTCATTGATCGTTTCACTCACTACGTTCTGGAATTCATGGAGGGCATCAACAAGACTTCGCAGGATACCGTAGCTGACTTGGTATGTTCAAGTTCATGCTTAACATGAGAATCGGGTGACTGAAGGTATCAGTTTGCGTCTTACGATCCGGAAAAAATACAGTCAGATCCGGGTGTTCGATCGGACCTGTTCCGTCGTCCTCTCGACCAAGTTCGACTGACCGACTTCCTTGGCGGTGTCGCACAAGTCGAAGTTGGCGAACAGGCTGTCCTCGATCCGGCCTGGGGTCCAGGCGATGAAGAATTGCAACCCCCACCTATCTTCTCATCACAAGCTGTGAATCAAACACTGGTCCAGTCGTCCTCGTCAATCTTGGACAGCACACGCACATCGTTAGATGCCTCTTGGCGTGCTTGGGCTGGTGTTCTGCTAGTCGGCGGACTTGTAGGTTGGTCGTGCCAGAGGAGATAGATGTATCGATATTCATTATATATTATTGGACAACCGCAACATTCGCCACAAGTTTCGGACTGGAGTATACTACAGTCGAGGAACGCAAGGGAACGAACGATCAAGAGCAGATCAGCGGCTATCAGCTGTCAGATGTTTGTCGCGATGTCGTTTCGCTCTCTCCTCCGATAGTCCTATGCACAGTCCAAGCCTCGCAATCTACATGCCTTTCGCTGTAATTCAACATCACTTTCGCAATGCATACGCTGGGCATTCGACTTAGACTTTCCTACCTCGTCTCCCAACTCAAAACTTCATTCGGATCCGAACTGCTGTAATGTTCACTGACCATGAAGCCACGGATAGTTGGCATCATTGACAGAAAATATACGGTGTCGGCAACAGTGTTTCGGCAGGTCTTCGTCTATTGGGGTTTGGGAAGCACAAGTCAAGTGGAAAACGCGATCCGAACAGCGCCATTCTGGTGGAAGTGCGGCTTCAGTATCGAGGGGAAAGGGTGAACTATCCGCTTTACAGTTATGAGACATCATGATTCGGGACGGTTCGTGATCACATTACAGATGGCATGTAAGAACTGGCAGTGCTCATGGATCCGTCGTGTTGGACATCTTGTCAGGCTGCCTACGAACAGCTGAAAAGATGTCATCCGCATCCCTGCTGTCCCTGGTTCTTTCCTCGCCTCTTTCTCTTTCTCTTCTTGCTTCCTCGCTTGTCCGTTTCATTCATTCTTCGTCCTTTCTTTCTCTCCGTGGGAGTCTCCGCCAGCGTCGTGCATCTATTTGATTCGCCTCTGGTGCTGGGTTTGCTGTTGTAACGTTCCATCGGCCGTGCCATTTTGAATTCGGGCTTTATCCACCAACATCCAAATGCTATCCAACGTAGAAGCCAGACTTTGGTCCACTGTGCGTGCCCTTGATGTTTGGGTCGTGGTTGGCCGCTGAATAGTCATATTCACAGTATGCCCACATAACTCGCAGTATGTTTCTCGATCCGAGCATCCGCGATTCCTTTCAGCTCATATCTTCTCCAAGACCGAATAACAAACACGTTTTTCGTCCTTTCTCTACTGCTGTGTTTCGCTCAGGGTGTGATTCAATCACTCCTATACGCATTGGACGGACGGTTCGCAGGAGTGTTTAGCGAGATTGGGAAGGCTGCCGAGATACCACCGAGGAACTTTACGTATCTGGATCGAACGAACGAACACTACACCATACGCATGTGCAATGACATCCCGCACGGGCAAGCACTGAATCCATGTACGGTCATCTTCGACTCCGGGAATACCTCAAGCTCCTCAGAGGACGTGCAGACCGACTTGGTTGACCCGCAGACCGTGCGTGTCCTTCTACTCCATGTTGAATTTCGCCGATGACACGGTCCAGGTGTTGCAAGACCTGATCAAGGGATTCTCCGTCGAAACTAACTACGATTTTGGTGGCTCCAACGGTGTGCAGCTGCACTCAGCCTCATCCAGCCTTGTGCTCAACAAGCAGTGCACCCAGATACTTAGCTACCCGCAGCAAGTGTATGCAACTGAATCTCACCCTCTCCCCCAGCCTGCAACTGACCATTCTTCAGTCTCAAAAATGCGGCGCGGGAAGATTTGACGTTCATTTTCCTGCAATTCTGGTTACTCGGCGTCTCTGTCTATGCTCTGGGCAACCATTCAGTCCCGCATCTGTTGACTGTGCTGTCCACTCGTTTGCTCATAACAATCTGGAGCATCTACGTCGTGTCTTACCGGTCGCACAAACAAAGCACGATATTTTCGGCGACTGTCTCAGCTGCGGGCACCCCGTGCGGAGTGGATATGTTCCCTACTTTCTTTCAGACCCGCAGCGGATACTATATCGCCGATGCCGCTTTGAGTGTGCTGGGCTTGTTGTCGCTGGCTGCTCTATCTTGGAGGTTGTTGAGAATATTCAACGATGAGTCATTCAATCGTGTTGGAGCCCCGGAACACATCAATCGCATCCACAAGGCGAGTAGCAGCTTCTCATGCCCTGAATCGGCTCGTTAACGATCCGTTCCAGTTCTTCATGGCCGTGCAAGCTTGTCTTCAGATGGAAGTGTTTGTGCTTGTGGCAGCCACCAGCTTGTGGGTCGACGTACTCGCTACCTCGAGTATCCGCAAGCTCTCAGCACATACGAACCTGTATGATGCCCTGATTATCGCCACGACGGTCATCCTTATTCCTTGGATCTCATTGGGATGGTACGGTGTTCGACGAGAGCATCGGGCGATGATGGTGTCGTTCCTGGTTCTGGCGTTTGTCCTTTTGGCTGGGTGGTCATGCATGTTCTATTCAATTGTCTTCCGCTGGTCTTTGCTCCAGTGGCCTTATCTGGCCTGCCTCACTACTGCTTCGTTCATTTTGATCATGTCAGCGACTCTCTATCTCTTTCACTGTGACTTGCTTACTTTGAGCAGAGCAAGTGGCGTTCTGGGGACGATCTGCTGGCGCAACTTTGATCAAGGTCTTGCCGAATACCGTGAGTGTGACAAAAACCCGCCACCATTTCCCAGTCCTGATCTAGTTTCAGTCAACGCCGAAGAGGCTCTCGCCTCCTCGAACTTTGCCCCGGAAGTCTTCAAGCGAGGCAAGGACGACCATACTCTTTACAATGTCGACAAAGGCGCTTTTTACACTTACGACGAGCCCAAGTTACCCCAGGCGACATTCCAGGGCGCACCGCCCCAGTCTTCTCACCATGCGCGCTCTGCTTCGCTCTTCACTCCGGATATGTCACCCGTGCCAGGCCCTCTGCGAGGTCCTCCACCGACATATGATCGACCGTACATTCCACCTTTTTGAACTGTCGGACACCTTTTTCTTCTAGCTGCACGGACAAATGTATTGTAATGTACTTAGGTCTATCTACCAAGGATTACCAAACGCGATTTACAACTTGGGTGAAGAGGGGGCCATCTTAATGTGCACGCCCGACGCGACCAGCCTGTGCTTGGTTACATTCCAGATCTGTTTCGAAGGACCTCAACATCGATATTTGCAACTTCAAAGGGAACGAACCTCAGTACGCGCTGACATCGTTCTGGCCCCCATGGTCAACGTAGTGTTGATCACACGCAGCGTCTCCCCGCTGTGAAGGTGTCGGAAATTGGTCAATGTATAAGCTCGCCCGCAACGTACGTCGCAGCCGGAGAATGATACACGACGTTGAGTGACTGGGAAACTGTCTTCCACTGACCGAACACCATGAAAGCGAGTGAGGAACACCTGAGTGCTATGAGACGTGCGTCCAGTGAATGTGGCCGTACTACTCCTCACATGTCAATCAAGTACGCCGAACATCCGCCTGTCGTCAGGTAAGATGGCTGGAGCACACAGACACGCGAACAACTTGCCATGGACCGTGCCACCCCCGTTGAGCATTCCTGATAGATGTCCTTTAGAATCGCTGTAAAATGAGTCGGTTGTGAGTTACCTGAGGCGCTTTCTCAGTCCGGCATTCTTCTATCACCCATCGCACATACCGTCAGAAACTACAATTTCGCATACGACCCTCGCCTCCTCTTTATGCGGCTCATCGGCCTTCCTGTCCTTCGAAGCATGGGTGACCCTGAGACGAGCGAGGACATCCTGGGCGAACGAAGGCTTGTCGTTCCGAGGTCCAAAGACTTTGTAAAGATCAGAGAATATCTCCTTGAGATCAGGGTCCGCGTTTCCGGTAATTTCCATTGGTCGAGATACAAACGAAGAGAAAAGAGCAGGAGACGGGTACCAGAAGAGACTCAGCCATAACACGGACTCGGGGTACTTGCGACTCCGGCGATTGAGTACCCGCCGGCGGCGGCCGCCTGATACCCATGATGTGGCTCTGCATGATCCAGATGCTCAATCATGCATGTCAACTCTCACCACACACACTCGTCGAGAAACCCTTGACTTGAGTATCTTCACAAAGCTCGGTTCAACCCACGAAGAACCGTCACCTGACTCTCCAAACTCTCTTTTCGATGAAGACATCCCTTCAGCTGTCGGACCGCCCGTGAGCACGACCACAGTTCCCTTCATCCCCGGGCTCGTCCTGAGTCCGACACACCTCATTCCAGAAGCGCTGGCGAATGAGGTCGTTCATTTCTGTTTGGAGAGTTACTTCCAACGTGAAGATGTGAACCAGATCATGCTCTTTGGCACATCGGCATCGGCAACTGGGTTCCCTCCGTTGCTTACAACTCTGCTTGCGACAATGGCATCTCTTCTCGCCCCGACACTTTCAGAGGAGACTCACCAGCTCTTGTTTCCGCACTCGCCATCACTGACTCGTCAGGCGATACTCAACTTGTATCACCCTGGTGAAGGTATCATACCACATGTCGATCTGCTGAGGAGATTCGGAGATGGAATCGTTGGGGCTAGCTTTGGGAGTGGATCCGTCATGCGATTTGCGGCTGCTGCTGAGGGCACTGGCTACAACGACACTGTGGAGGATGATTCGGTGCAGCCTGTCCATCTGTACCTCCCCGAGAGAAGTATGCTTGTCCTCACAGGAGAGGCGAGATATCGCTGGACACATGGAATCGAACGACGGACGGCTGATCTCGTTGATGGAGTTCGCAGAGAACGGGGAACCAGATTGAGCATCACATTTCGGTGGATGTTGCCCAATGCAGACGTTGTAGGAGACGCGTAGATACGTCCTAACTCCGTACCCATGCTCCAGGAGGTTGCAAAGATAACCATTCGTTCGGTCTCAGTCCGGCGTAAGCCTCGTTGCGCGGCTTACTTATATGCCCAAGCGTGACATCACGCCAGATTCACACACGTTTCTCTCTCTCCTCTTGCATCCATGTCGATAATCTACCGGCAATACACTGGTGAAGCAGACCTCCCGCATATTATGGAACTCGTCCAGTCTGAGCTCAGCGAGCCCTACGTTATCTACACTTTCCGATATTTCCTACACCAATGGTGCGTGTCTGCAACGCGGTCGTGTGATCAACCCTGACGCTAGTTTCTGGCTCCCCTAGGCCACATCTCTCGTTCCTTGCAAGTCTGCTCTGTGAATACCAAGTCGCGCGCTTATGCCTCTGCTAGGCTTATCCAGGTGACGCGCCGACGTCGCGCCCCATTGGCGTGATCGTCTGCAAGCAGAGTCTACATCGAGACCGAGCAAATCGGGGATATATTGCGATGCTTAGTGTGAGCAAGAATTGGCGAAAGCGCGGCATAGGTTAGTCCCGGCGTGTCCCGGCCTACTTCGCCGCCTCACGCGTTGTCTTACAGATATGGAATTACCACCTTTTGGTGCGATTTCTTTTCTTTTTCTTTCCTCTAGCTAGCACCCTCGTTAAGAATTCGCTCGATGCCATGAAGGAGGATGGGGTTGAGGAGGTGCGTGTTACCTCAGCTGTTGAGGGATCCCCGGACTGACTGTCGTGCGCTAGATAGTCCTCGAGACCGAGTACGACAACAGTGCGGCCCTGTCGTTGTATGAAAGCCTGGGGTTCATCCGAGAGAAGCGTCTTTACCGTTTCTATCTCAACGGGAAAGACGCATTTCGCTTGATCCTGACAGTGCCAAGCTCGGACTCGGACCAAAGCTCCGATTCAAGTGGGTCCTCACCGGAGACTACGTCTTCTATGGCGAGCATCCGTCGTGGGCTCTACCGTGCTATCAGGGTGTCAGACCCAGATGAGAGCGATGACGAAGACTCGCGGTCCAGCCGTTGACGAGAGATCATCCTTGGCCAGAACACCTTCCTTTGATACTGTGATTGTATTCTCCGGTATACTGTATCGTATTAGTTTGTACTGCCTTGTGTTTTTTTTGGTACCATGTTATAAGTATCATCCCCACTCAATTTCAGCTGTTGCAGCTTTCGTGGCCGATGTTGATATTGTCATACTGGTTACATAAGGTAGTCCGTTGTTGACCTTACTATCATCTTCAGGCATGTTCGAGGCTCCATATCCACCTTACAATCCCAAGGACCGAGACGGATTCTCGTAAGCTTCTGTCTCACGCTGATTTCCAGGCCAGAGCTTCTAGTTCAGTCCCACAGTTACCAGACGGTCGTGCACCGGTGGCCAGTCATTATCACTGGGTTCGAGAGCTTCTGCTGTTTCGCCAGAGTTTCACCGAGTCTATCTCCAGCGTTATCGACCGCATGCATCGATTGAGCCACGACCTTTACATCGAGCTGAATGCAACCGAAGACGAGGCTGTGAAAGCAGAACTGACTGCCCGCATCGATGAGGCTAAATCTGTCATTGAGAAGGTCCGCAGCATCCCATGACCGGGGGCGACCCACCAACGTTTGTCGTGGGTCTGCAGATCAGCAAGCTGAAGTACGAGATGGGGAGGGACCATGCTCTCTCGTGGGTGACTTGTCCTCTCCTGATATCCGGGTCATCGATCGTGCCACGAGACCGATCCCCGCAGACGGGGAACCGGCGGACGAGTACAACGTGGAACTCAATCGATTGGCGCAACGCTCGCAGAATACCTGGTTCACGGCGCCGTGGCTCTTCGCAGAGTGAGTCGATCTAACCCAACGGCTGCATCCCGGTATCTTATCTTATCTAATCCGGCTACTTCAGATGCTATCTGTGCGTCGATCATTTTTTCTCGCGCTGTGAGAGCGGGACTGCTCTGAGCTGAGATACAGGTATCGACTCCTGAGATCTTTCCTTCTGCAGACCAGCCATTGGCGCTCGTTCGATCCGTTTTTCTCACAGAAGATCGACACATTCAAGCAGTCCGGCAAAGCCATTCATCGTGCGTAAGAGACTCGTCTCGCAATTCGAATCACAGCTTTCTGCAGAAATTGCCACTACAATGCATGAGCTGGAAGATGAAAAGGATCGGCTCCAGTCCGATCCGAGCAAGTTGGCTGTTCTCTTTAAGGAAATGATTCAGATGTGTTTGTGGTACTTCACCCTTCGCTCATCTTACCTCTTGGGAATTGATCATAGTTCAGGGGAAATGCAACTGTAAATCAAATTATCTATATGTTCTCATGGGTTTTCTGACGTTATGCCTTACAGGATCTATCGCTTCTGACACATCTTTCTGCGTCCGACATCGAGCATCTGCAAAGTGTCGGCAAGGATGCTCAAGCGGCGAGACAAGAGTTCATACTCCGAGACGACCAAGAATCCGTTTGGGAGCAAGTCAAATCCTTGCATCAGGCTCGCGTAGACTTTGTTCTCGACAACGGTTCGTGAACATTTCTAACCGGACAGCACACTGCGTCTCATTCGCCGGGAACGGGCAGCTGGGTTCGAGGTCAGTGAGTATTCTGCTCTCTGGCGAAGGCTCATAACAGGCCTTAGCTTTTCACTGACCTGGTTTTCGCCGACTTTCTGGTCACCTATACTCCCTACGTCTCTAAAGTGATCTTCCAGTGCGCGAGCTCAATCTTGTTCGAGCTCTGTCTCATAAAACCACAGTCCCAAACTCATCCCTTGGTTTGTTTCCGATGTACGTGCGTTCTGGCTTATGCGGAATGTGATTCTGACTTCCCGCAGGTGACACCCCCAGACTTCTCGGAAACGATCACGAGTCTGTTGGATCCTGGATTCCTTGCCAGCATAGAGTCTTCCAATCCAGAGCGGGTGCGGAATCTCGTGTTACGATGGCAGAAATATATTGCCGACGGCACATTCTCGTTGTCCGTCCCTGAGACGACTCCTTTGGGAGGCGGAGTTTCTGGTGATATGGCAGCATTTTGGACTTCGCCCTGGCCTTACTGGGATATGGAAACGCGCGCGCCGAATCTGTATGCCAAACTGAAAGACAGTGGTCTGGTGATATTCAAGGTGCGCCCGAAAGCACCTGAATTTCTTCTGGTAACACTTTTGAGATACTTTCTAGGGAGATTTGAAGTGAGCGCAGACTACGGTTCCTATAGTGTTCGGCGTCTGATCCGCTGTTTAGCTATCGCAAACTCACGGGCGACATCAAATGGCCGGCTTGGACAGCCTTTTCTGACGCCGTTGGCCCTCTTGCAGGATCTTTCCCCCTGCTCAGCTTACGGACTAACAAAGCGGATGTTGTCGTGGGTGTCGATCGAGAAATTGCTGAAAAGTTAGACGCGGAAGGCAATAAATGGCGTGTGGATGGGCGGTCAGTTGATCTGTTTCTGCGCCCATTTGGTATCTCAACCTTGTTCAGCTACGCCCTCATTTCGTTTATTCCGAATAAGTAGAGCAGATGGAATAAATACGTGAGCAACATTGTCCCGGTGAAATCAAATATTGTAGCTAGACAGCTTTGGATAGAAATCGTGACGCAAGTACATATACAAAAGATCCAGTAAATAGAGTTTGAGACACTGTTGTTTGTGTTGTTCCAGTGTGACTTCACTCTTCTTCAGCGGCCTCTTCGGCCTCCTGCTCAACAGCATCAGCTTCCGCGTCCTCAGCATCCTCCTTGTCAGCCCCTTTGCTGCCCAACACAGTGGCATTGATGCTAGGTCTCGTCAGTGATTGCTGAATACCCACACACAAACGACGCACGTCAGCATTACAGAGACCTTCTCCTTCTTGCCGCCCTCTCCCGAGTTTTCGAGCTCAATCGTGAGGCGCTTGTTGCCCTTCCAGCCATAGCTCCCCGTCTTGAACGAGCTTGGGATGAGAGTCAGACTGCCGAGGTGGCCGGGGTCGAGCGGCGCGACGGCTACAGTGGACTCCGCATCGGCGTCCGACGCCGGCATGCTGGGCGGCGTGTGCGTGAGGTTGACGTGCAGTGGGAGGGCCATGGTCTGGAAGTCCGAGGTGGGGATGGCCTTGGCTTTCGTCGCGGCGGCGCCCTTTTTGCCTTTGGCGGCGCCCGCCTTTTTCGCCGCAGGGCTGTCTGGCTTGGCTTTCTTCGCGGCCTTGGGAGACGTGGTGGTCGTTCCGTCGTCAGCGGCGGCACGTTTGGTTCCTGTGAGTGAATGTGAGGAGGGCGCTGAGTGGCAGGTGCAGCAGACACACCTGGCATGGTAAGTGGATAAAAGGGGTTTCGTGTGACCTGGCCGATGGACAAGCGCAATATATAAGCCAAGAACTAGCGCGCTTGGACTCTTAAGAAAGTTGGGGCCACGCTCGTGATCGCCTTGACGACTCGATGACGTCACGCGTTTAGTCGCGTATAATTGATCACATGCTCCGACAGGTCAAGGCCTTGAAAAAGCTGTTTGAAATACGTACAACGCCTACGCTAATACACTTATTTGCTGGGAGTAGCGTATGTTTTCCACATGTAGTTCAAGACGGTCATCCGCGGCAGCCACTTCAAGAGCGCGAAAAGCGTCGAGTGTGAACCCATTGTAAGGTAAAAGGGCGGGTTTGGAGACATTGCTTTGTTTGCCACAAGGGTTGCAAAATCAGCGGCCTTCATCGAGGAAGGGCCTTGACTGGCCCACATCCGCTTGACGATGCAGTCGAGATACCGGGTGTAGAGTGACTCAGGCTGCAGCTCGAAGCGGTTGGATGCATTCTGAGCGACATTCGTCTGGATTCCTCCAGGACAGACGAGCATCACTTTCACGTTGAACGGGCGCAACTCCATGTGGAGTACTTCGCTGATGGCGTGTGCGGCGGACTTCGAGGAAGCGTAGACACCGCACCATGGAGTGGGACTGCGACTCTGTGAGATCGACTAATAGCCCTCAGGTAGACAGCGACTACGCACATTTCACTAACGATCGAGCTGATGTTCACCACAAGCCCCGACTTGCGCTCAGCCATGTGCCGGGCAGTAGCGCGAGTGACGCGGATGATGGACATGATGTTGGCGTCGTAGACCTCGCTGATCTGCTTCAGCGGAACTTCGAGGATCGGACCTGGACGCATATAAGCTCCGGTCGGGTCAAATTGAGAAGCATGCTTGCGCACCAAAGCAGGCCATGCCAGCATTGTTGATGAGAATATCGATCCGACCTTCTTTGCGGGCGATCTCGGTGACGACCTCATCCACGTTCGCATCAACCGTGACGTCCAAGGCCATGAGTTCCACGTTGGCTATGGGCTCGAGGCCTTTCATCTTGCTTGTGTTGCGCGCCGTGGCGTAGACTTTGCCTGCCGCTTGCGTGAGTTAGATCCATTGAGAAACAGAGACAGACGGACATCCTCGGGAGGCGAACTCGAGGCACCTGAGAAGACAGACTATCAGAGTAACACACAGCATAAGAGATATCAGGACCGACATTGTGTACCCGATCCCGCCCTCCGAGCATCCAGTAATGAGTACCACCGGCGGCGACATGACGGACTGTTCAGAGGCTTGCAAGAAGAATCGCGATTACTTTGGTGCAGCAAGCTCGGCGACACGGCAACCTTGTTCCGAAGCATTCCATATTAATCACCGAGGCGCTTCGTTCAAGGGCTGAAGCTGTAAGTGTCGTTGGACGACTCGAGTTCCCTGGCAATCGTGGCTCGCATGTTACTGAGACAGGAGTTACTTCCGTGTATCATTCCTTCCGTTCAATTCACTGGCAGGTTCACTGACAAGCTTTCGTAGATACCTCACACACGGGAGTAGACACTGGTGGAAGCGCGTGTGATAGTTGTAGGTCCGTCACAGTGTGACTCTCGTCACCGGCAGGCTTGAGCTTGCTCCCAGCTTCCCGGCTTGTACATCGACGGTGAAGTTCAGACTCTCTCCGATCTATGTCTTGATTCAAGTTGCTTCTCGGATCGCTCCACTGGAATCTTATCGCCCTCCTCTGCGATGATTTGACTCTATCCGGCCAAGCAATCAGTCTGTTTCGAGGCCGATACAGGGCTCGAGGTCCTTCGTCCGCGACGCCAGGACCGGGTTTATTTGATACATCGCGGAGACTCAGTCTGGACTGAATTCGAGGCTCGTGCGTACTGTATCGTTTGAATTTTCTGTCCCACCATTGGCTTGAGCATGCTCCAACGCGTCTGTCAGAGATGCTGCTTTTTTGACTATAGTTTATCTGCTCCCGGCTTTCATGAAATTACTGGGAATGTTCGATCCGTCACGGAATAACCCGGAGGCCGACTCGTTTGCAGGCTCCTTCTCTAAGGCTGACTGAAGATGATACCACTGCTAAACCCTCCAAAGACCCCATCAAGGGACTGTATGCCATCTCCAAAATCAGCTGGAGTGTCTCGCTTGCTCTGACCGACAGTCTCCGTGCACACAGATATCGACGTCTCATGGAACAGTTCTCAAACACCATACTCAATGAGAAACCTGTTCAGAGAGCGACTTGCGATCTCGTCTGAATTAGATGTAGTGACCGTCTGGCAGAGACTTATCGCAACGAGGTGGACCACCTATCCGCCCGATTCCGAGGCATGTAGCATAGTAGTCTCAAGCTGAACAGAATTCATGGGGGTGTTAGGGCTAAGGATCCGAAACTCGAATGTTATCCCGCTGTTTGATTCTCTCATGATCCATCCTACATCGATGTGATATAACTGGGTAACTAAGAGGATACAAGATACTGATAACTACATTGTCCATTTCAAGTCGATCACGCGTCCTCCTCCCTCCTCACATCCAGAGTGACTCTCAGATTGTGGTACTTCTGTAGATCCACGGCCTCCGATCGCGCGACGCCCGCCTTGTCGTTCGGGAGCCAGATGATGGGCGGCGGCGCGATCAGCTCCGGCGCGTAGAGGATACTCGCCATTTCTTGCGCGTGGTCGGTGAACGACAGCGGGGGAGATGAGGCGGGGCATCTGGGTGGGTCCGGGCTGCTCGCTCCGTGGCAGTCAGGTCATCCAGTGTCTCAGTTTCTAAGGCGCGTCAACACATTATGTGACTGGACGATGGGCACGAGCGACTCACTGAGGGGCAGCGACACCTTCTCGGGCTGCCGGGGAGGCATCACAGCCAGCGTGACGCTCATCATCTCGAGCACAGAGGCCATCGAACCTCTCGTCCGATGGCCACCAAGACGCGCACTGCTGCCGACGACGCTGACAGTCTCGTCATCGACGGTCTTGAGCTTTGAAGCTCGAGCCGCAGCTTCAAATTTGCTGAGCGAGTCCCGGGTGATCCCCGACAGCGACCGCCGGCTGGGCAGTCGGGTCCGGACGATGGTGTATATCTCCACCAGCGCAACCACGAAAAACCCAACACCGACCAACACTCCGCCTTCGATCCAGAAGCGGCGACTGAGATAGATCAGGCCCAATAGAATGGGCTGGAGCCCAAGCAGAGTGCCGAACCGCCGGAGCAGCCAGATCTGCAATAGACCACCCGTTTGTGAGTGAGTGCGAGCATAGACGTAGCCGACGAGGAAACGATGAGCTGTGCGCAGTCAGCATTGATGTGTGCGCCAGTAACAAACATGAACACACTGACCAACGAGAGTGAGAAACAGCAACAGCACAACAGCAGGGGCAATTAAAGGGAAGATGAGCGAAAATGTTGAAGCAAAGATGATAGCAAGGATACAGGCCCCGATTGCGAATGCGGGGTTGTAAGTCCTAGGGTATATTGCTGTGTTTCTTCCAATCAGTCTCCAATTCTAGGGGTCAGCCGCAAACTTGCCTCGGAACTTTTGTCTGGGTGTGATGGCGCGCTTTTCCGCTTTCAACACGTGCCACAGTCGGAACGGCTGCAGCAACAGGAAGCCCGGAAATATGATGGCTGCGGTGAATATCACGCTCAGGGCGAGGATGGCCATGTAGATGGACCCGTCGGCGACGGATGTAGATCGGCCGGGTCCGGTGTTGAACTGCTGGAGCGCGTAGATCAGAGCACCGACGGTGATGAGCCAGATAGCACCAATCCCAAAAAGGATATAAAACGTGAGCTGGAAAACAAATAATTGGGTGCTCGAGCGAGAGACATTGCCTCGGATTTGGGACGCATCTACAAACATATCAATGACTGACTGACACACACACAGTAAGTGTCACATACAGTTGATGATGACCATGGCGAGGCATATGAAGAGTGTCCCTGCCACAGCCGGTGCAAGAACAGTGGCCAGGCCTGACGCAATGCTATTTGCAGTGAGCAACGGTGCCAGGAAAGGCAGATAGTGTGCGACGTTGGGGGCATTGACCAAGGACAATCCAACAGCGGCAGTCACTGGACGAGTTTAGGCTTACGATCCCCTTGAAGAGCAACCACTCACAGCCAGCCATCAGCAGGACACTCGCGACGATCAACAAAGACCACAGCACAACCGAGTCCAACGGTCCCCGTTCGTTTTGCAACACGTCCCAGCGGACGTCCTCTTTGGCCATGCCTTCGATGATCTGCATCCCAGGAATGAACCGCAGACCACGACCGATCATCAACCACCCCTTGATATGGACACCACCGGCGATATCTTCGTAGCCTGTCGTCTGCGCCTCGCTGATCTCGACATTGATCGCCTTCAGTCGAGTCCGCCACTGCGAAATATCGGCATACACCGAGCCGAGATGCTCGAAATCCAACCCATCATTCGGTCGCACAAACGGCTGGCTCGGCTGCAGTCGGAGATGCGGCGGTGCAACAGTATCCGGGTTGATGCTGGACTGCTGGCGGCGGAAGGGGAACGTCTCACGCTTGGATGCACCGGGGACAGGTCCGTTGTGCTCCGTTTCGTCAGCGCGAGGGTGATGTTCCGTCTCAACATCCACCCATTCCTTATCTTCTCCATTCAACAGATCCTCGACGGTCTGGTTGGGACCGTATCGCGTCGGGTCCGGAATGTTCAGGAAGCCATGCTCGTCAATGGGCCTCAGATCTCCGGAGCTGCCCACCTGAACATGACTGCCGAGGGGTACGTGTCCAAATCCGGAGTTGCGATTCATCTCCTGGAATCGGCTGCCCACCAGACGCGAGTTGATGCTCTGAGCGAGCGACTGTCGGCCGTTTGTGCTTCCATTCAAGGCGCCTTCACCTCCGAATTGCCCGCCACTAACACCGTGCACGCGATTCAATTTGTAGTAAACCGACGGTGCGACGAAGGATCTCGGCGCCAGCGATGACGCGGCAAACGCGGGATTCAATGATCGTTTTCGGCGTGGTCGGCGCGTCACAGTCTGGTTCCGCAGAGGCAACGGATGACTGATGTATGGCCGCGATGGATCCTCACCTTCTGGAGCGCTACGTGGTTCGAAGTCGAGGACGGAGGGATCAGGGGTCGTGAGCCTGAACGACGAAATGTAACGAGTCTCGGCAAGTTCCAAGTTCTCGAGAATCTCGTCGCGCTCGTCGATCAGGAGCGCCAGACGTTGGGTATCGCTGGAAATTGATCAATCCGGACGGCTCGTGTTGGAATACGATACACATACCAGATAGAGTACAGATTCGTGACATCAACCTCGTAGGATTCCGCATCAGGCTCATGAGCCGACCCATCCCGAGGCGGACTGCGTCGCTGCGCCTGTGAGCCACTCTGAAAGACAGAACTCATTCCATTCGTAGCAAGGAAGGTCTTGAACCTCTGCTCGCCCCATCCAGCAAAACCACGAGCATCTTTTGCGCTCAGCCAGCCCAACTGCTTTCCCTGGCAGCGATATTCGAGCCAGCGTTGCCGGAAAGAGATCAATCGCCGCAACTCTTTCACGATCTTGTACAGGGAAGGAAGAAGACCGATCACGATGACCAAGACGGTCAGCACAATCAGGCGCACACGCAGGTTTTGGGGGTCACCAGCACCAGCAACAACGGCGCGCGAAGCTAACAGATTTTGCGAAGAAATGTTGTGGGCTTCTACGGCCCGCAGTAGCCGCAAAAGACTAAGATCTTCGAGCGTCGAGTACTGCCCACCGAATACAGCTGGGGAGTTTCCGTCCGCGAGACATGGCGTCGAGACCATGTAGAGCGGAAGCGCTCCAACCAGGCCGAGGAACGCCCATCCAAGAACAATGAGCAGTGCTATCCAGACGGCGCGCTGGCTCAATTGTTCGTCTGACGGGAACAGAGCCGCGTCTTCCGCGGGCGAGCGACCCATGTCAGACACATCGGAGGGCACCGGAGGGATCAATGGCACCGGAGGGTGTAGGAAAGCGAAGAACGAAGACGAAAGTGGTTGGGGCCGAAGCCTGTGGGATGGTGATCATCAGCCATGCGAACTAATCAAACGACAGCCAGTGGGTCCGATGGGCGCTTTTTCTCCGCCTCAACATCACCCACGTGAAAAAGGAAACGAGCGCATTCGGAACTGTCCGTAGTAAGCGTCGCCTGGTGCTCAGAAACAGCGCCATGCCTGAGCGATAACAACACCCCACGCCCTATCGGAACAACACTGGCTTCCGCACTGGATATGCACACGCACCCTTGCTCCACAAACCACTCCCGCAACGCGTAAACCTGCCGAAACCTCGGTCTCAGAACCGCAAACAAAATCTGTTTTTTTTTTTTCACGCGTCAGCCGAAGAGAAAGATATGGGGTGACTAGAAAACGAACCCAAATCAGAAGCCCGATGACACTGGGGAGAATCAGAGATGCGAGTACTCCGTCGGTAGAAGAGTCTGTGCCAGCTCCGATACAGACAGGGTTGGAGCTGGCGAGCGCTTGGTTGGCGGGTATCGTCGTAGTGGCAGCGGTGGTTACGACCACCGATTCTGCAAGAGATGTGAAAGTGGTCGTCGGTTGAGTGATGGTGGTGGGAAAAGTCGTTGTGAAGGTCGTGAGACTGGATATCACGCCCGATGCGGGTACAGTGGGTATCGTGTTCGTGGTAGAGACAGAAGAGGCCGGAGAAGAAGTCGTGAAGGACGTGAGCGGAGATGAGGTGGAAGAAGCCGACGCGGGCGACGTGGATCTGACGGAAGACTGGGAATGTTCGTCGGACGCGCTTTCGGTGGTTGACGTTGATGAGCTTGTTTTTGATGGGATGAAAACAGAGCCATTGCTCGTCGTCCACCAAAGTTGGTGCCCAGAGACGGCCATAGAGGGCCTCAAAGCGAGAGCGCAAGTCTAGACAACAATTGTAGATCAAACGGGCGCCCTATTAGTTACAAAGTGCTCACCTAATGGGGAAGGTGTTCTTGTTGTCCTGGCCACAGAGACCTGGTCGAAGATTCCCTTGTTGCTCGCTGGATAGCACAATAAATGGTATATAAGTTAGGGTATGTTGTCGGCGGAATGAGAGATAGGTAGTCTCCTCAAATGACGCGTGTCAGTTGCAGTGGAGTCTCTCCTGTTCGCGCTGATGGCTGCAGTGATCGGCCCTTATGTATGAAGTCATTACTGATTCCGCGGAAAGCAGTAGACGGTGACTTTTTCACTGCCATGATCAAGGGCTCGGGTCTCATAACGGTATGCCTGGCCTGCATTGTATTCAACTTGGGATCCACATGCGCTGCAGCAAATTCTTAATCTGGTGCACGCAGGTGCAGAGCATGAATGAGGGCTGATTTCTTCCCCACAATCCTTGGCCTGCTCAATAGTTGCGCTCAGCGTTCCAATTTGGCGACAAAAGACTGGCTTGCAAATGTCAGCGTGAAAAAGACTCTCGGCGTGTGTGTAACATAGGTGTTGTGGGCGGAGTGCCATGCAAGTCTAGAGTATTCGGGAACAGTGTCGCGCAAGGTTGTTCACCTTGTCGCTGACTGCGCTGACCAACGGGAAGCTTCTAGAATATATCTACGAACTTCTCATGTACGAAACAAAAAAAATCAACTGCAAAGTGGAAGCTTCGGATGTGATGAGCAATGGGGTCCACGCGACGTCCCAATGGACGATTGTTCCGAGTGGTGCAGTAATGTGAACAGATGATGCAGCGCAAGAATTTCAGAGACCGAAGCAGCCACGTTGCACGCGTTGCGTAGAATACGTGTCAGTGTCCACGTGACCCCATTCATCGCCACATCACACGTCGCTATAAATTCGACCACGACAAAATCCTCGAAAGCACAACCTCTCATTCCCCGTCTCTCGCCATGTCTGCACGCAGACCGACGCGCGCTCATTCTTTGCGCATCCTCTCCTCCTTCTCCCTTCTCGTTCTTTCTCTCCTCGCCTTGGTGTCCTTTTCGCCTGTAGCGAGCGCAGAGGAGGCTCACGCTGAGTATGGAACTGTTATTGGTATCGGTACGTGTCCAGGTGATTTCTCCATGTCCTACCTGTCTTAACTTGCTTGCTTTGTAGATTTGGGCACCACGTACGCTATGCATAACCTTCGTTCAATGTTTCCAGCGACTGACGTGTCCGTGTTCGCTGCATAGCTACTCTTGCGTTGGGTGCGTTGTACTGTGCTTCGGACTCAGGATCATACTGACGTGTATCGCGTAGTGTTCAGCGAGGCGGCCGTGTAGAAATCATCGCAAACGACCAGGGTAACCGTATCACTCCTTCATGGGTCAGCTTTATGGACGATGAGCGACTGTGAGTCAGACCTTTGCTGTGACCGGTTGGTTCTAACTTCGGTGCAGTGTCGGTGACAGCGCGAAGAACGCCTTCCACTCCAACCCCAAGAACACGGTTTTCGACGCAAAACGTCTCATTGGTCGCAAGATGGACGACGCTGACATGAAGCGTGACCTGAAGCACTGGCCTTTCACTGTCGCCGAGAAGAACGGCAAGCCCGCGATCACTGTCGCCTACAAGGGCGAGAACCGCGACTTCGTGCGTCAACGAAAATTATCTACGCCAGTAGTCTAACATGTTTTCTTTCCAGTCTCCGGAGGAAATCAGCGCCATGGTTCTCACCAAAATGAAGGAGACCGCCGAGGCTTACCTCGGAGAGAAGGTTACCCACGCCGTTGTCACCGTTCCTGCCTGTGAGTAAAACCCTCACTATTGTTAGTGACGGCACTGAACGAGGACGCTAGACTTCAACGACGCTCAGCGTCAGGCTACCAAGGACGCCGGAACGATCGCTGGTCTGACCGTGCTCCGTATCATCAACGAGCCCACCGCTGCCGCTATCGCATATGGATTGAACAAGAAGGGCGGAGAGTCGCAAATCATTGTCTACGATCTCGGAGGAGGAACCTTCGATGTTTCGCTTCTCTCTATCGACGACGGTGTCTTTGAGGTCCTCGCTACTGCCGGTGACACCCATCTCGGTGGTGAAGATTTCGACAACCGTGTTATGGACTACCTCACCAAGCAGTACAAGAAGAAGACCGGCACTGACGTCACCTCGAACCTGCGCGCCATGGGTAAGCTCAAGCGCGAAGTCGAGAAGGCCAAGCGTACTCTCTCCAGCCAACAAAGCACTCGCATCGAAATCGAGAGCTTCGAAGATGGCAACGACTTCTCGGAGACCCTCACTCGCGCCAAATTCGAAGAGCTCAACATGGATCTTTTCCGCAAGACCATGAAGCCGGTGGAGCAGGTGCTCAAGGATGCCAACGTGAAGAAGGAAGACGTTGACGAGGCGTGTGGTGCTTGCCATTGTGCCTGACATATTTTGCTGACATCGCTCAGGTTGTGCTTGTCGGTGGTTCTACTCGTATCCCCAAGGTCCAGCAACTCCTCCAGGAGTACTTCGGTGGAAAGGAGCCATCCAAGGGCATCAACCCCGATGAGGCTGTTGCCTACGGCGCTGCCGTTCAGGGTGGAATTCTGTCTGGTGCTGAGGGTACCGCGGACGTCGTCCTCGTTGACGTTTGTCCGTTGACTCTCGGTATTGAGACCACCGGCGGTGTCATGACCAAGCTCATTGCTCGCAACACTGTCATTCCTACTCGCAAGAGCCAGATGTGTGTGGTCTTGTATCCAACCCCGCACTGTACTGATCATCCTGGGTAGCTTCTCTACTGCCGCCGACAACCAGCCCACTGTGTTGATCCAGGTTTACGAGGGTGAACGTTCGATGACCAAGGACAACAACCTGCTCGGGAAGTTCGAGCTCTCCAGCATTCCTCCTGCCCCTCGCGGTGTGCCCCAAATCGAAGTCACCTTCGAGATTGATGCCAACGGTATCATGAAAGTTGCCGCTGCCGACAAGGGCACTGGCAAGTCTGAGAGCATCACCATCACCAACGAAAAGGGACGTCTCAGCCAGGAAGAGATTGACCGGATGGTCGCCGAGGCTGAGCAGTTCGCGTATGTCCACTGCACTCTTCTGGCTTGAGCTATTGATACTAATTACTGCTGCAGGTCTGAGGATGAGGCTCAGCGCAAGCGTATCGAGGCTCTGAACTCGCTCTCTTCCTTCGTCTACGGTCTCAAGAGCCAGCTCGGTGACCAGGAGGGTCTGGGTGGCAAGATCGCCGATGATGACAAGAAGACCTTGCTCGCCACCATCAAGGACACCACCGACTGGATCGACGAGAATGGTTCTTCTGCCAGCGCTGAGGACCTCGAGGAGAAGTTGGCCGAGGTTCAATTGGTGGTCAACCCCATCACCTCCAAGCTGTACTCTGGATCCGGTTCTGGAGCACCATCGGGTGATGAGGAGTTCGGCTTTGACCACGATGAGCTGTAAGACAGCACAGATCTCTTGCATGGACGGCTACTCGACGGGGAGATGGCCCCACGTGTAGTGTATCGTACGTCACTCCTGGTAATTTGCACCTAGATCCGTACAATCTTCCAAGAAGATCAAAATACGCATGAGGTGGATGTATTTATTAGACCAAGCCAAAACACTTGTTGGATTGATTCAATCGTATTCTGGAATTAGTGACAGTTGCGCACCATGCACGTTCTCGGGGGGCAGGCAGTCTGGCCCCTGCTATTCACTCGACCAAGGCCCAGTTCATTGACCGTAGCTGCTGTCAATTGGTGGTAGACCGAGCTTTTGTAGTAGCACGCGTAAACGGCCCTCCAGTGCGCGAACGTCGTTGATCGTCGGCCGTGCAGATTGGTCACTGGCAATGGTAGCGCCAGGAGTGAGTCGAGCTAGCATATCCTCCAACCCCTCCATCTCCCTCCGCTCATTCAGTCCCTCGTTCTCATTCAGCCCGGTGTCCTCATACGCCAAGTGCTGTCGCGCGTGCTCTTCTGCTTCCAGATCTCGTGGCACGACATCGGAGAATCGAATAGCCGCAAGCCCAGTGGCGATTTCTCGTGCTTCAGCGAGCAAGGACGTTTTTACATCGTCGGGCACCAGCGACGATAGCGGCGACTGGAGATATGTTACGAAGGCTGAAGCCTTTCCGCGCAGGAAACCGAGGTCCTGGCCGAGAGGCGCGCCGACCTCTGCGAACCCTGCATCGAAGCCCTCCTGAAGAGCGGATTCTTTACCGGCTGTTATTCCTTCTCGATAGCCCGTCTACCGAAGTTTTTGAGCATCGGGTTATGGGATGCAAGGTGGAAAAAGCATGCACGTTGGTGAAGTCGTTTGAGATCTTCGTCCATTCATTTTCTCTGGCGCTCTCGTGCGTGGCGTCCTCGTTCCAGGGAGAGTCGCCGTCCAAGTCCAAGTCCATTTGAGCGATCGATCATTCGATCGTTATCTGATTATCGAATATCTAACTCAAGCCGTGCAGTGCACCAAGTTTGACCGATCTCCAATTAGGTTTTTTAGTCCGCTGCACATTACAAAGGTATGATCTCTATATGGTATTTTATATTACTTTTATCCTGGTATCCAATGACAAACAATCCATCCAGCGGATCCCACGCATTATAGGGCGAAATGTGCCAGCCATGTCGGGGCGAAGACGAAGAAACACGAGTAGGCTCGTGCCCAACAACCAGTGCGGGCGATACAGAAAAAGGGCGGAGATCGGTCGGACGAAAACACGAAAAACAGTCGAAACACGAGAGAAACACGAATCAACACGCCAACGACACGGGGGCCAAAGCAAGCGCACGGCTGGATCGGGACCGCGTCCAACCTGAGAACATCCTGAAGAGCGACGAAGAAGCTGGCATCCTCCGAAGACCACCTGCTGCTGCTGCTGCTGCTCTGCTGAGGATCTGTCTGCCGACCAAGAGTCATCCGAGACGATGCTGCTACGGAACGAATCGCTGTCTGATGAACTGTCGGTGTCGGTAGCCGGAGGGGACAACGCGACCGACTTGAGCGTTGCACCGAATCGATCTTGGAGGATGCGCTGGATGTTGGCGCCCGCCCTGGAGTCGAAGCTGTCTGCAGAAGCATCGCTAGCCGTAGAAGAGCTGCTCGCGGACTCAGGCAACGCTGGGATCGTCTCTGTCGGCCCGAAACGATCTTCGAGAATGCGCTGGATGTTGGCACCGGCAACCGAGTCGAAGCTGTCCTGGGACCAGTTGGTGGCGCAGGTCGAAGAACTCTCGGACGCCTGCAACGCTGCGATCTTCTCACTCGTCGCGGAGTACCAAAGTCGAGAGAAGGCCGCCGGCTTGGGGATGCCATGTCGAGCGAGGCCTCGATGAGCGCACAGACGGGCAAGACGGGCTTGGCGACTTTCGGGACGGGGGCGGCCAAAGGAACTCCGACGCAGGAACCAGCAACGGGAGCTGCGACGACCACAGCAGGAGCAGAAGGCCGGACTGGAGGGACATCGACCACCGAGGCAGCAACGACCACTGGGGCAACAGGCTGGGGCTGGGGCTTCTCAGACACGAATTTGCGCATGAGGCAACGCAAACCGCGCTGGGGTCTGGCGAACGACCGAGAGACGAAGTCGAAGGAGCTATCCGAGCGAGACATCGCAGCTGGGAACGGGCAGACGCGAATCGTGGACGGAACCTCGGCAGCGACGGGAACCCAGGGAGCAGGGACCTGGTGACGGGCCACCTTCTTCCAGTTGACGCCGGTGAAGTAGCGGTGCTCCTTGAGCTGTGCGAGCGTGAGCCGAGTCTCGCGGTTGTGGTCGAGGAGGCCCTGGATGACCGCTTTGAGGTCGACATCGACAGTCGCGAGGAGTTCCGGTGACTCAGACGAAGGCATCTGTGGTTTAAACGCGTCAGAGACAGCAGCAACACACATCAAGAAACTTACAGCTCCCGTTGCCAGTTGATGAGCGATTACCCCCAACGCGAAGAGATCAGCATCGAAACTGTACGGCGTGCCCTGGACCTGTGCGGGTGCCATATAACCTGGGGTTCCGCACCGCTCTCTGGTGACACCGACTACCTCGTCCATGGTCTGCTGGAAGAACGAACCACAGTCTGCATCCGCCGCAACATCGAAGACAATCTCAGCAGGCTCGTCGTTGCCGTGCATGAAGGACCCGGGCAGGTGCTTGGCGAGAGAAAGGCCACCGAGGACGATGTTGCCGTCTTCAGTGAAGAAGATGTGGGCGGGCTTGAGGTTGCGGTGAACGATGTGCTGAGCATGGAGAGACTCGAGCGCCGTGACCTGACATCATGTCAACACAGTCAAGACTGGAGTAAGATGAAGCCCACCAATTGAGCGACGATGAAGCGGATGTGAGCAGCGGGGAAGGCACCCCAGCGCTTGTGTCCGTTGACGAGACATGGGCTGAGGTCACGACCGGGGCACCACTCCTGCGTACACATGTCTCAGACATTATGAGACAGGAGAGACCCGAGCCGGCACTTACCGAGAGCATATACGAACGAGTGTCATCCTCCCAACTCGCATGCAACGAGAGCAGGGAGGGAGAAACCGACTTGCCGCTGGACACGGAAATGTGCTTCAGGATGGCCTGCTCGTTGACGGCGGACGCCGATCCGGAAGCGCGCTCGACAGCTTTCAACGCAAAACGGCGGCCAGTGACCTTGTGCTGGACCAGATGAACGGTGGCCGAGCGTCCGGTGCCGATGCGGTTGAGGAAGTCGAAGTCGGTGACGGAGGGGACAGAAACCTACAACCAATGCAGTCGGTCAACATCCGGGAGTATACTCGATGTGATGTGCACATACAGGAGACTGAATCTTGGAGGTGAACATGATTGAGCTTGAGAAATGCTTGAGGATCTGAGTGAAGATGGTTGTTTCGGTGAAAGCAGCGATATTGAGGAGATGGGGGCGGGCCCGCCTTATATGCAACCGCGGAAGCAGCTGTCTCAGACACTGAGCGCATCCACGGACCGCAAGTCACTCCGTGGAATGGAGATGTGGTCCGTATTGACCAGATTAGAAGGTCATCCTGAGGGTTTCTGACGAAGAGTGGGAGACCAGGAGCGTCGAATGTAAGATACTGCCTCATTGTTGCCAGATCCGAGCGTGTGTTCTGCAAGTTTTATGTCGTTCGCAAATTTCAGAGTTCCAATCTTCCAAGAGCCGAAAATATGTCTCAGATATTGAGAGAGGCCACGGATATAATAATTCGGTAGCTCCATTGCCCGAGATGAGACATGAGTTTGAGCGTAATAGTCGCAGCAAGAAACATGCTGATCGAGTCCCTTGAAAGAAAGCGACAGGAACTGTTGTTTTCTGCTGCATCCTTGAGATTTCGGCTTCTCGAACTCAGACTGCAGAAAAGAGAGGGAGAGTGTCAAATAGCTAGTTGTGATCGCAGTAGGCAACAGCAAAGCGACAAATACGTCACAACATGGTGAAACGCTTCGCGCCTTGAAAAGGCAAGTCGACTGAGAAACAGATCTCGAGTAAAGGGTTATCGTTCTTCAAAGCTCGGATAGACCAGTCATAATTGCAAAATATTCCGAGCTATTTATTTTTCAGCGCCGAGCCGTTCACATATTGCACCCCCTGCTCACTTTACTGAAGGTCCTTATCACCGGGATCGTCTGTTGAATGAGAGGCCATACAGAGCCAGCTCTAGTGGTCATCCATGGGCTCCTCTGACTCGAGAGTTGAAAACTCGACTGTAGTCATGTGTCTTCATCACCAATCACCTGTCATTGATTTGCCCATCCTTGCGTTCCGTTCGCCAATACGGTAGCATCGGCCTCCAACTCCTCCCCTCTACTCATATCGCGAAAGAGCGCTTGCAACTTGTTTGCCCGTGTGTATCCCGGTCACCAATCATCGATCTCCTTCGGCTTCTCGAAATTCCGTATGCATCCCGAAACAAGATCTAAAACGGCTGCAGTCCAACGGCCTCGATAGATCAACTGAATCACTCTCGACATGCCCGTTCCCATTGCCGATAGATCCATCCGCATCTGCGCTGACCGAGGTGCGCTTGATTCTTTCGCTCGACGCGTTGGGACTGCAGCATTCATGCAGGTGGGACATTCTGCGATGTTCACGCGTGAGTCCTGTTCGGCCTTATTCTTTGTGGCAAATTACAAGGCGCTGTTTAGATCCTACCCCGACCCGGAGAATCCGAGCCAGAGGAAGGAGCTCGTCGTGAAGTTGTGTGAGTACCAGCGCGATGATTACCACAGGCACTCAAGCCTGACTCCGCTCGCAGTGTCCCAAGACCCAGCAAATTACCAAGATGCACCAACTGAGGGGATTCGACGTGTCCTGGAGATCGTGACCGAGACTGAGATCCCGCGGGGCGCGGTTTTGGATACAGACAAGATCGGTGTGTGTCATCGCTCCGTTGAGTTCACGCGAGAATTCTGATTACATCCACGTGAATACAGACTACATCCGGCTCTCAACTACCGTCGCAACCAACGCTCTGCTTGAACGCAAAGGGCACAAACATGCACTGCTCATCACCCGCGGGTTCAAGGATCTGCTGCTCATTGGCAATCAATCGCGACCGAAGATCTTCGACCTTAACATCCGGCGCCCGAATCCGCTGTACGAAAAAGTCGTTGAAGTGGACGAGCGCGTCACAATCGTGGGCTACACATCAGATCCGAAGGCAGAAGAGCACGCCGTTCAATTTGACGGGGAGGGCAACATCACTCGAGGATACCGCGGAAAGGGATGGGACGGTGAAGGCGAGGCGGAAGGCCCGGGAGACGTTGTTCAGGGTCTGTCGGGGGAGGCAGTGAGGATCTTGCGTGTTCCCGATCGAAGCAGGGTGAAGGGCGATCTGGAAGCGCTCTATGCAGAGGGATACCGCTCGATCGCCATCGTTCTCGCCCACTCATACACCTACCCCAGCATGAGCGGATGCTAGGTGAACTTGCGAGAGAGGTCGGCTTCACTCATGTCTCTGAAAGCGCTCGTCTGTTGCCGATGATCAAGATTGTGCCTCGGGGGTGTCCTCGACTGCAGACGCATATCTAACACCCATTTTGCGAGAATATCTTGACGGGTTCTTCGCTGGGTTTGACGAGAAGCTGAAAGATGGCAAGCTGCGCAGTCCGCGGGTCGAGTTTATGGGCAGTGATGGTGGTTTACTGGACCTGGACAACTTCTCCGGGCTGAAGAGTATCCTCAGTGGTCCAGCTGGTGGCGTCGTCGGGTGTGTGACCTTTTCTCGGGCTTCGCGAGTTGGCTCATCCTTTCCTAGGTACGCTCTCACCAGCTGGGATGAAACAGAACGGAAACCTATCATTGGGTGAGTTTGACCCCAGAAACACTTGCATGCCCTGAACTCCACGAAGTATAGACGTTGGTGGTACTTCAACGTGAGTTGCACCTTCGCACAGCTGCAGCGTTTCTGATGAGTGCGCTTGAAGTGACGTTTCTCGCTTTGATGGACGGTACGAAGTTGTGTATGAGACCACGACTGCTGGCGTAACCATCCAATCACCTCAACTGGACATCAACACTGTCGCGGCGGTGGAGGATCTTGTCTGACATTCCGAAATGGACTGTTCCTTGCTGGCCCTCATAGTGCTGGAGCCGAGCCAGGGCCAGCTTGTTATCGGTGTGTCACACAAAGAGTGCTGGTCTAAATGCTCACCAGGGCTTGCAGAAAGGGAGGCCCACTGGCTGTTACCGACGCCAACTTGCTTCTCGGGAGACTCGTGCCGGACTTTTTCCCGAAAATCTTTGGCAAATCTGAGAAAGAGTCTCTGGACGTCGAGGCGTCTCGGACGGCATTCGACAAGTTGGTTTCCGAAATCAACGAGTCCAGCCAGACCCAGCTGTCGTTTGACGAGATTGTCTATGGGTATGTGGTTTTCCCGGCCGATAACTTCAGGATGTTGATGGAATCTGCAGCTTCATCAAGGTCGCAAATGAGACGATGTGTCGACCGATTCGTGCATTGACTGAAGCTCGAGGATACGCAACATCCAAGCATGCTCTGGCGAGTTTTGGCGGTGCCGGTGGCCAGCATGCCTGTGAAATCGCAGAACTGCTCGGAATCAAGACGATTCTTATCCACCGATACAGCTCGATTCTCTCAGCATATGGGCTCGCCCTGGCCGACCGAGCGTACGAGCTGCAAGAGCCGTCCTCGACATTTTATGGGGAGAACACGCATAAGACCCTCGTTGGCCGACTCGACAAGCTGACAGCGGATGTGCGGGCCGAACTGGGGCGACAGGGTTTCGAGGGCGAGCGCGTGCAGGTGGAGAGGATGCTGAACATGCGTTTCGAGGGCACCGACACCGCGCTGATGGTGCTGCCTTCCGCCCAAGATGGGAGCGGGGAGGAGGACTTCGAGGCTGCGTTCAAGCGGGTGTACAAATCTGAATTCGGCTTCCTGCTGGAGACGAAGAGCATTATCGTCGACGACATCAAGGTCCGCGGCATCGGCAAGACCTTTGACACTCTCGGCGAATCTGTCTACTCCGAAGTAGCCCGTCTCACGCAGCAGCCTGTTGGGGAAACGGAGCTCAAGTACAGCGTGTACTTTGACCAGATCGGACGCGTGGATGAGACTCCCGTCTTTCTGCTCGACCAGCTGCATACGGGCGATGTGGTGGCGGGCCCGGCGATGATCATCGACAACACCCAGACGATCGTGCTGGTGCCCGGAGCGACAGCTGTATTGACCAGCAAGCACTTGTATATCACGCTCAAATAGATGTACGTTATGTATGCGGAAAAAATGGGCACCTTATCTTTCATTCTGGGTTAGCGAATTCGGGCACGTGCTGCCCTAGTCCCCTCTGGTCGCTCGACCGATGGCCCAATCACACTTCTACTCGGCCACTGAGATTGTCGCCTTGAACAAGACGCCCGAAGCGGGACTTTATCTTGCATCAGGAGGCGAGTTTGTTATCCGGGCGCTGTATACACCAGGAGGTCCAGGTCGAGAGACTACTAGGCGATGACGGGTGATTGATCCATCTGAGCTAGCTATCTATCCCTCGCCCGTCATCATGCTTCTTCCGATCTCGAAGCTGTCTGGCGTGTCTAATTTTGCCCATAGGACATACCCACGCCGCCCTCGCTCCATGATAAGCAGCAGCCGTTCGTCGTATCGGTCGCTCCCCCTCCTTCTCCCTCTCCCCTCTACCTCCCAAGATGAGCGCAAACAAAGAAGCGGTCCGCGCGGCTGACGAGCAGCTGCTCGCCGAGCTGGGGTACAAGCAGGAGTTCAAGCGCGCGTTCACGCCGCTCGAGGTCTTCGGCATTGCGTTCTCGATCATCGGGCTCCTGCCCTCGATCGCGTCCGTCATATTCTACGCGCTGCCGAACGGCGGCGGCCCGGCCATGGTGTGGGGCTGGGCGGTCGGGAGCTTCTTCATTTTGCTCGTGGGCATGAGCATGGCGGAGCTGGGTTCGTCCGCGCCGACCTCTGGGGGTGTGCGTCTGTCTGCTTCGACTTTGTGTGTGCCTGCTTGACATTCCACCGCGCAGCTGTACTTCTGGACCTACTCCCTGTCGTCACCGCGGTGGCGGAACTTCCTGTGCTGGCTCGTTGGCTGTAAGCGCAGTCTCCCCTTGGGCATGTCCCGGTCGTCTCAGCCAGTCTGGAATCATAGACGCGAACACCATTGGATCGATCGCGGGTGTTGCAAGCATCGACTGGGGTGCTGCTGTTCAAGTGCGTACTGTTCTTGGTCGCCCTCATACGCGCGCGCTCACAGCCGATGTTAGGTCATGGCTGCTGCCACCATCGGAAGCGACGGTGCCTTTGTGGCTACATCAGCCCAGCTCTTGTGCGCACACTTCCCGTTCTTCTCCCACGCCTCCCACTGAATACCAGGACAGCGGCGTCTACATCGCCATCCTCTCCACCCACATCGTAAATGCCCACTGTTCAGTCTCGTGACCCTAGCTCAAATGATGGACAACAGGTCGTCTGCTCGCTGGGAACGACCATCCTCGCACGCCTCCAGACCGTCTATGTTATTCTGAATGTCGTTCTATGCATCGTCGTTATTATCGCGCTACCGGCTGCAACGCCATCCGAATTCAAAAACACGGCGGCATTTGCGTTGGGCGAATTCCAAAACAGTGCGCAGACATCTTGTGTATCCTCTTTTGCACGTGCGCCTGACTTGATATTGACAGTGAATGGATGGTCCAACGGATTTGCCTTCTTCCTGAGCCTTCTCGCCCCGCTTTGGACTATCTGTGCGTTATGACGACTCAGGGCCTTAGCACGTCACTGAACTTGCATCCAGGCTCGTTTGATTCGAGCGTCCACATCAGCGAAGAATCGTCCAACGCAGCGACTGCTGTACCGTGGGCCATCGTCAGCGCTATCGGAATTGCTGGTGTCCTTGGATGGGGTGCGAAGCTCTTGGTGCACTTGGGAGCTGCGTGCTGTGCTGACTCGATTTAGCGATCAACATGGCTCTTGCATTCTGCATGGGCACCGATCTCGAGTCGCTCGCGTCGAGCGCTCAGCCCATGGCGACCATCTTCCTGAACAGCTTCGGCAAGAAGGCGACGTTGGCGCTGTGGGCGATTGTGATCATTGTGCAGTGCGTAGTACTGCGTGATATGCGATTGCTCATCTTATCTCATCACGTGCAACAGATATATGATGGGGTGAGTATACTGGCTCCATGAGAAGCCATCCTGATAACGTGCATCTAGATCGTCTATGCTGCTCGCTGCCAGCCGCCAGGTGCGTTCCCTGCACTGTTGCGTGTGACATTGCCATGACGTCACGCCCGTAGACCTATGCGTTCAGTCGAGACGGCGCGCTTCCCTTCTCAGGCTGGTTGTATAGAATGAACGGTTTCACGGAAACGCCGGTGAACACTGTGATTTTTGTCGCCTTCTGGTCCGGCCTGTGCGGGCTTCTCGTGTTCGCCGGCGCTCAGGCGACGAATGCGATCTTCGAGATCTCCGTGACAGCGCTGTACGTCGCGTACTCGATTCCCATCGCGGCCAGGTATATGGGCAACAACGAATTCAAGCCGGGCCCGTTCTCGCTCGGGTGGTTTGTGCGTGCCCTTTCTTTGCGCGTCCTGCCATAGCCTTGCTACTGACTGACTGACGCTGCAGTCGCTTCCCTGCGCGGTCATTTCGGTGGCCTTCATGTCCTTCATGGGGATCGTCTTCCTGTTCCCCACTGCAGCAGGCACGGTGGACGCGCAGAGCATGAACTACTCGGTGGTGGTCATGTACGCCATCCTCTTGCTCTCCGTGCTGTACTACTTCCTGCCCGTCTACGGCGGGCGCCACTGGTTCACTGGGCCAATCAAGAATATTGATATCCCTGTCGCTGGGATGGAAAAGTCCTCATTGAGCGAACAGGACGACGTGTAGTACCTTATATACCTAGCTAGAATCGAGCTGAAAACCCATTCACGTGAACATGCGCAGTTGGAATAACGGTCTCTGTTGTCCCTCCATCTGACAAAATCCGGAAAACAGGCGCGAGGGCCATATGATCTCGCATAGGAGGAGGCACCCCACACTGCGGACTGTAAATAGATCATTTTTTCCATCGATTCTCAATGGGAATAGACGTCGATTTTCGCTGAAAATAGAAACAAAAAAAGATGATCTTTTTTCACTGAAAACAGATTAAAACCACTCGAGGAATCTGCTGATTCCGGCCCCAATTTGCATTCCTGGCCTTGCAAAATGCTACTGAATGCTACTCACAACATGTTGGAATCATGCTGCAAGACTTGTGATGTGAATTGGGGCCGGAATCAACCGATTCTTCTAGTGGTTTCAATCTGTTTTCAGTGAAAAAAGATCATCTTTTTTGTTTCTATTCTCAGCGAAAATCGACGTCTATTCCCAGTGAGAATCGATTAAAAAAAGATGTTCTCTTTTCAGTTCTGTTTTCGGGAGGAAAAGATGTCTATTCATGGTAAAAATCGAACTGTAAATCGACGTCTATTTTCAATATCTATTTTTTGTCTGAAAATAGAACAGTGAAAATCGGACTTCTAGATTGTCACGCGTTTTCCACGGAGAAAAAACAAGTCCCCCTGCAGTGTCAAAACGAGCAAGAGTACATTGTCTACATAAATTGCAAATGCAATAGAGTATCCTACAAGACCATCGATACAATACAACACGTAAATCGGCATAAATTCAGCTCATATTCACATCCTCTCTCGGCCTGGCATCGCCGCAGGTCAACCATCGCTGTCGCTCTCAGAATCTTGCTTGTACTCGTCAAGGAGGCGCATTGTATACGCCCTCTCATCCGCCGAGTATTCCTGTGTACTGCCAGGTCTCCCGTCAGCACCAGTCAAGATCGCGCGCGCGCAAAGATGAGTAAGCGACATACTACGTTCGCGCAAACGCGGCCAGCTCGCTCGGCCCACTGATCATCCCCGTGCCGATGAGCGCAGTAATCCGGTCTTCGAGCCGGAACTGGTGGCCAGCGCGCGGCTTGCTGCTCCCCGCCTTCTTCGCCTCGCTCGCGGCCGCAGCGACCGGCGGCTTCGTGCCCGGGTTCTTGTACTTGTGGAAGCGTTTCGGGGGCCAGTTCGAAACAGCTGGCGCCTTGGCCGCCGCAGGCTGACGCGCTTTGCGAGTGCTGACACGGCTTTTCTTGACCAGTTCCTTCGTCCGCTGCTGCTCGACCTTGCTGTCCACCAGTAAGTCCGGGTTCTGGTGGATGTACATGCCCTGGATGGCACCGGACTCGGATTTCGGCGCCGGAGGCGCAGCTGCAGAGCCGTCAGTGAGGTCCGCCATCGCTGTGCGGCAGTGTCACGCACCGTCATCGAAAAGCAATGCCCCGAGTCCTTTGAATTCTCCCTGAGAACAAAGCTGCTCAGTTGGCCGGGGAAAAATCGAAAAGCCGCAACGCACATATTCGCTGTCCCTCGTCCTTTTCTCGATATCGACGACGCTGATCTCAGCCGGTCTCCTGCCCGCGGGCATCTCCATGCTCCCCAGCGCCCAGTCCAGCTCGGTCAGATGCGCCTTCTCGATGGTCGTCTTCGTCGCCAGCGTCCCTTCATGCAGCTTGAAGATATTCTCCAGCCCAAAGAGCTCGCCCTGCTTCGACTTGTCCCCCTGCACGCCCGCAAAGTACCGCGTCTGGATGCTGGCCTCGTAGCCGATCTTCATCTGCTGTTGCTTGTAGACTTGGCGCGCGTAGATCAGCTCTTCGATCGACCCCGCGCCTAACAGCCGGAAGACAGACACATTCCGGCGCTGCCCGAAACGGAAGGCTCTGCATGGACAGGTCAGGCATCGCCAGCGGGGCAAAGAGCTGATGCGCACCTGTCCATCGCTTGCAAATCGTTGGCAGGATCTATTCCATGGTTAGAATACGCAGAGTGCTTTATATGGGAACCATACTCCAGTTCGGATCTAATCGCCAAATTAGTAAGATGAACCACGATTGGCCCCCAACAAACGCACCGAATATGACGACCTTGTTAGCCCCAGTTAGATTCAGGCCTGTTCCGCCAGCCATAGTAGAGATGAGGAAGATGAAGATGTCCGGGTCGTCATTGAATCGATCGATCATAGGAATTCCTGTACCCCGTTGAGTTGAGAGAAAACCTGCGCTCTCGAGTGATCTACTGACGTTCATTCCGTTTCGTGCTGCCATCGAGCTGCAGGAAATTGTATGTCGATATCTTCAGATGATGGGACATCATTTCGAGTAACTTGACGGATTTCGTGAAGATCAGAACTTTGTTCGTCTTGTCCTTCCTCCATTCGGCCAGCAGCTCAGTCAAAACCTAAATGAGACAGGATGAAGCCCTCGCCCGAACCGGCAGTCCAAACACACTCACGACCCATTTGCCGCAAAACTGCTTTTTCAAGATAGCCATGCCGCTCACAGGCTCATCGCCATCGGGGAAAGCCAATCTCGCCAGCTCTCGGTGCCGTGCAGCCTACAATACATGTATAAGTAACAGCACAGGTTCTTGAAGCGCAAACGGGACTCGCTTGTTCAGGCGTGTCCGAAGAGGCTGCGGCGGGTTCGATGAGCAGTGTTTCGAGAGGAACAGCCACTTACTAGGCAAAATGAGCCCAAGATGATTCGATAGTTTGATCAGGATAGACATGGTCTTCAGCACCGTCGAGGCATTGAACGGGTAGCAACACTTTTTGCGTCTGGGAGGTATTCAGCACTCAGTAACGATCGTGAGGATTTCATTCACGTCTTCCTCGACCCGCAGTCACAGCGCTCGTCTCTCATCAGCAGGTTTTGCACCTCATCCATCCCGAGGATTTTCTTGTACACGCTGATCTGTTTTGACGTCAAAGGGCAGAAAACAATCGAATCAGTCTTGTTTGGAAGCTGATGCGCGATGATGTCCTTCGTTCTGACCACCTGTGAGACATGGAGCATCCAGCGAAGCAAAACTACGCACCTCCTGAGGAAGAATCGCGGGAGCAACTTGTCGTGAAGGATGCGGGCTACGTCCTGGTTTCGTCACCTCAGCAAACAAGGAAACCAGGAGACTAGCTGGGACGATCTCACATGAGCTTTGACCAGCTCAGCGTCGGTCGCGTTCGCCGACTGGCCGATCTTGAGCGGATTCGAGACTAGCTGTTTCCACTGCTTCCTGGTGCCGGCTTCCCCCGGATTCGTCCAGTCGAACTGGGTCCACAACTCGTCATACGAATTCTGGATGGCCGTCCCAGTCAGCCCGAATCGGCAGATACACGCAAAGCTCTGATACGCCTTAGCTGTTTGAGAGGCAGAATTCTTGACTTTATGAGCCTCGTCGACAAAGATGCATGACCACGGCAGAGTGTCCAGATGGTCCATGTCCAGCCGAGCAACATCCTGGCTGGTCAGCACTGCTTCTCGTCAGCAAAATAACATCCAGGTCCGCATCCAAACACACAAACCGACATCGAGCCGCCCTTTCTTGAAGTCATCGAGCACCTCTTTGCGTTCCTTCCGCGGCCCAAGATACACACCCACTATCCCCCTGAATAAGCACACGATCTTGCGCCAAAGATCGCCAACAGTCACCTTCAAAGTATCCCCACGTCCGAAACTCCTTCTCCCAGTTCATCACGACGCTATTCGGCGCAATGATGAGGCACGTGGGCCACGTCGCATTGGCCGGCGGAAGCTTGCGATGCTTCGTCCAGCTCTCGCCATCCTGCAGTTTCAGCACGTGCTCGCGCCGCCGCTCACGATCCGTTTCGACCCCTTTCTTGTGCATGATAGCAGACAGAAAGGATATCACTTGTATGGTTTTGCCTACGGATCATCAGAACCACAGCCGCGACGTAAGGAAGAGTCCTCCTCACCCTGCGAAAGCTTAGAGACACGAACAAGCGGAAGGCGTAGCACATACCAAACCTGGAGAAGGGATGAACGTAAATTTGGGATGCACAGATCGAACGCACCCATGTCGTCCCCCAGAAGTCCGCCCCGACCCATCTTGTATCGTTCCCAGAAGAATCTGATCCCGTCCCTCTGATACTCTCGAAGATACGTGTTGATTGCAGCAGGGACCTTGATGTCCAATTTCTGGTCAAGCATCATTGGTCCGAGAAGTCTCTGGCCGTCTTGCAGCGGAAACCCAGGCTTCGGCTCCTCGTGCTAAGAGAGAATGTCGACAGAGGTCACAGGTCTTCATGACGCTGACGCTTACTGAGCTCACTGGCGCTTCATCCTCAGTGTCGGGTTCTGTTTCCGACCCTGACTGCGGTTGAGCTGCTCGCCCGTTCAGCACTGAGCCGCGTTGAACAGAAGCCGCGCCACAGACAGTGCTTCTCACATACCTCGCCTAGCATTGGCTATTTCGGGTTCCGTGTCCGATTCAGTCACGGAGTCATCGGTGGGCGAAGCTGTGTGTTATTCAGGACGAATCGGACGAGGCAGCCAGGAGCGCCGGCTCACCCTTGCGCTGCTGCTTCGAGATGGGAATCTCGTCTTCCGTATCCGGCTCCGTGGCGTCGGGGTCGTCGGGTGCTGCATGACGTTGCTGAGTCGCTACAGTTGGCTGAAGGGAAGACTGTACGTGGTATGAATTTACGAGCTGCGGAAGTTGCGCTTAGTGAACAGGCACCCTGGGTTGAAGGCCACAACGCACGTTGCATCGGAGGTCTGCCTTCCGCCGCATTGCTTCGATAGGCCGCGAATGGATTGACTCGTGGAACGCTGTCGCTGTCATTATGTCCATCGTCATCGTCCTCCTCATCCTCGTCTTCCTGATCCGCTTCGTCTTGAGCAAAATAGTCGCCTTCATCTGAGGAGCCCCCGGAGAATGGCTCGATGTCCTCTGTGCAAGTTTGGCTGATATATTCAGAAGACTGGATCCGCCTCACCAAAGAATTCGAGTAGCACATTATGTGCACTGTCCGCGACGGGCCCTCCTGCTCATAAATTAGACACCACTCTGCGTCATCGCACGGGAGAGCGAACGTCGTTGAGTGGGTGGTGCCCCCATCCTCTTCCTCTTCTTCGCCGGCTGCTCCGCCGTGTCAGACTGCATCGAATCCCGCCGCTTCAGACTCCGGCGTTGAGGTTTCTTCTTCCCTTTCTTAGACTGCAGTTCCTCTATAGGCACAGGTCCAGGGATGAATCCAGGGTCATATTCCGAGTCGCTCTCGAAGTCTGAACAGCATGAGCAAGGTCCGGTGCGGCGAGATCCCTACAGACCGGAAAGGACACGAGAGTTGGCATTGCCTGGCAAACGTCAACGGCTTTCTAGGAACATGAGAATCAACACACGTCTGGCAGTCGTGGAGCTGCCAGCCTGGCCAGCCATAGGGCGTTGGTCGACGCAGCAATGACGGGGAGCAGAGAGAATGATTAGTGATCACGTGGACGCGATTGACGCGAAGTCTAAACCAACGAACAATGGCCCCTGGCGTTGACTGGCGACATGCACTCAAGAGGGCCACTCTTACTCACCAATCGGCTGATTATATGGAACAGAGATGTATATTAAATAGACAATGTGCAGGACAGTGAGCGGTAGGGACAAACGGTGTAGCAGGAATCCGAATCAACAGCCTAATCAATCAAAGGCCTCCTCAGCGCTGCGACGCGCCAAACGTCGAACCTTCTTCCTGTAGCCTGTCAAATGAAGTCAGACCAGATTCAAAGCTATTTCCGTGTGGCAGGGAGGACACAACAAGAAGGGGGCCCAACTAGGGCGGGAGACGAGTTTTTGTAGTAAAGGGTACGTGAACGAAGCCGCACCTTCAATGTTGTTGCGGACTTCAAGCGCAGCATCGAGGTTGGCTGGAGAGTCGGTGTTCGGTGTGTCGGACGACAGGAGCGAAATGACACTGATGAGCTGAACGCGGGTCAAGAGCAAGTTCGGATCCAAACCAGCAGGGAAACTCACGATAGATTCCACTGTGTGCACCGGCATCCATCGCTCGCCAGCATCTTCATATCCATATTGATCTTCGCCTGGCGCGTGCTACGAGGAGACGTTCAAATGCTTGCGCAGACGGGGAGTGCGATCTTACGAGGATGGAAATGCAGACCCCACCATCGGCGTAGACTAAAATGGAATTCGGCAGCGGCTCAAGATCATTCAGGACTACACCCACTGTTGGGGTGCCACATGGGGGTGATGAAGCGCATCTTCGGAGGGAGAAGGGGGAACTCTGGTGGGAACGAAAGTCGCGCTTTGAAGAAGCCACCCTCGCTGAAAAATGGACCGATGAGAATATGTAAGCTCCGAACAACCGGAATTACACACTAAAGGGTATCTCGCGGGCTGGTAGGGATTAGAGACCACGATGGCGCTGATACAAGAGACACACACCCAATAATCAGAATATCCCACTCGTAAAGATTATCGTCGTCGACAAGACCTGACGAGGAAGTCAGTAGCCAGGCCATAATGAAAGGAGAAAGCGACGGTACCTGCAGAAAAACCCTCCACTGGTCGCTTTGTCAACTCGGTGAGCTGACGTCGAAGGAGGAGTGTGTTTGAAGCGCCAGGACTAGAGGGCTTGGACATGATTTCTCGCGATGCTCAGCGATGTGTAGGGCCGGTGGTGGTCGTTGCTGGTTAAGCTGCCTAGATTCCTGATTGGGCGACTTTCCGCCAGGGCGTCCGGTCACGTGAATCTCCGAAATCCGATCTCCGACCTTTCCAGCAAGTTCCAAACAGATAACTCACTCCTGATGGCCCCCTTGTTCCTCCGAAATACGTCAGCGTCGTCAAGAAATGCATGATGGACGATGAGTGCTTAAGTATGAAATTGAGTGAACGGCCCTTTGCGACTAATCCTCTTTGAGCGTAACAAAGGGGACATCCTTTACTAACTGCGATCCTCAGGGATCTTCACTTTAGTTGCCGAATCCGTCATAGAGAGTATTCTAACATTCTTTGCGCGCGCGATGAGGTTTCGAGGTGTCATACTGAATATTCGACTGAACTTTTGTCGTCTGCGCCCAGCGCAAATCTTCTGACGGCCGAACTTGGGCACTCTGCAGGTTCGGAAGATTTGCTCAGTGTTCAAGACTTGGTGCGAACTTGGCTTAATCAGTGCGAGAGAGAGGTGCGAGGGACAATGAGGTGAGATACGCTCAAGGTTGTGAGACAGGAAAAAAACGTTGCGTCATGCATTTTATACACGAGAGCTAGTGAAGCTACGTTTGCGCCCCGAAGCGCGGCAGCGAATTACGACAATTAGTGCGACGAAACTCATCACGTGACCGTGTCGGGATCATTTTCGTCTCAAACGGGAATCATAATTTTTGAATTGCCGTTTGCGCTCAGCTGTCCTCCCCATCCCCGTTGCAATCATGGGCAAGAAAGCTGCCAAGTCTATGAAAAAGTTCGCTGCAAAGGGGCAGCTGAAGAAGACCATCGATGCCCGCCGTAAGCATCAGCAAACGAAAAAGAAAATATCGAACAGAAAGGGCAAGGGCAAGCAGTCGCGGAACGAATCAGTTGACTCTGGGGGCGAGGAGGGAGAAGAGGAAGAGGAACAGCCTACAGCAGGTCCTTCCTCTGGGAAAGCGTGCGCTGCATCTTACCACGCGATGCGTCTCTTACGCCCAGCAGAACGAAGAAGCGCATGTCCGTCGACAACTTTTTGAATGGCGGCTTTATGGATGGAGAAGACGACTCGGAAGCCGAGGGAGAGGTAATGCACTTGGAACGACTGCTTCATGTGACTTAGCGATCGAGCAAGGTTCTAAGTGAGGATGAAGAAGATGAAATGGATGAAGACGAAGAACAGGACGAAGTGGATGATGACGCCTCGTTTGCTTCAATAGACGCCATGGATGGTGCGTGTATTGGGATCAATGCGTGGGACTTTACTTATTCCGTAGACGATGGCGAAGCTCATCTCATGGAGCTGTCGAAGCTCGCGGAAAAGGATCCAGAGTTCTACCAGTATCTCAAGGACAACGACGAGGAGTTGCTCAAATTCGATCTTAAAGATGCAATCGAGGAAGACGACGAGGCCGGAGGCGATGATGATCTCATGGGTGAAGAGAGGATTCCTGTTCTGACTAAAGGAATCCTCCAAAAGTGGCAGAAGTCTCTGCTCGAGGTACGCAGTTTTCTGCTTCTAGTGCTGATTCCTCGGGATGTTCAGCCTCTCCCCAGCAACGTTCGCTGCGAGCTCTGCGGAAGCTTTTGATTGCATTCAGATCCGCTGCGCACATGAACGAAGATGGCCAGGTCCTCGCGTGGACCATCGACAGCTCTTCTGGTACATTGCTTTGCATCATAGAGGGGATTCAACTGAATGTTCCCGTCAGTTTACGCCAAGGTCGTGACTACAGCCCTAAAATACACTCCCGTCATCCTCGATCACCACGTACCCTACAAAATCTTGGCCAGTGGAAGAATGTTCGCCCGTGCTCTGTCATCGCTGATAGTGTACTGATTATCCGACTAGCAAAGCGCCAACACAGACGCCCAAGATGAAAGCCCTGCAAAAGCTCATTCTGTCCTATTTCCAGAATGTAGTGCACATCTTATCGCAGCTGACCGATCCGGAGATGCTCCAAATTGCAGTCACAGAAAGTGCGAAGATCATTCCCTACGTCCTCAGCAGTCGGAAGGCTGTCAAGCTCTATCTGAAGGTACCGGTGGACGATCTATCCCATGACTCGTTCGATGTTCTCATGATGTCCAGAAATGCTTGGAGCTTTGGTCCAGTGCCCAGGACAACATTCGCATCGCAGCCTTCCTGGCCATTCGGAAACTGGCGTCGACAGCGGATGAAAGCGTCCTTGATAGCGTGCTGAAGGTGCGCAACCGAACCATGACATGCTTAGAATGGAACTCTCACATCTCGCCCAGGGTACTTACCTAACCCTGATTCGGTCCTGCAAAGCGACTAGTGTACACACTCTTCCGTCCATCAATCTCATGAAGAATTCCGCGTCGGAAGTCTTCGTGCTTGATGCTGCGGTTTCTTACCAGCATGCGTTCGGGTACATCCGGCAGCTCGCAATTCACTTGCGGAACAGCATGAAGGTCAAAACTAAGGTGTGTGCTTCGACAGATTGCTTGGACCCTTAGATGAGCTCTTTTCCAGGAAGCCTACAAGCAGGTCTATAACTGGCAATACATCCATTGCATCGACTTCTGGTCGCTCGTCTTAGCCAGAGCATGCGATATAACCGCTGAAAATGAATCCGGCAAGGAGAATGAACTCAAGCCTCTTATCTACCCTTTCGTGCAAGTCAGTCTAGGGGCAATCAAGTAAGTGCTCCGGCTGTATTTACGTTCGGTGGTTCACATGCCCCGGACAGACTGATCTCTAACGGGCGCTCTTATCCCTTCCATCTACATGTCATCAGGTCTTTGCTTCACCTGACTCGACACACTCACACCTACGTCCCGATCTCCCCATACCTTCTGCCCATCATCACGTCCACGCTGACTCCCTCTGCTCGGCCCAAGCAATCTACTCTCCGACCCCTCGATCTCGAGGTCCAGATCCGGGCACCGCAACAGTATCTCAAAACCAGGGTTTATCTTGAGGGCCTGGTCGAGGAGTCGGTGTACTTGCTCGCTGAGTGGCTGGCATCGACCCCAATTCATGGCAGCGCGGCATTCCCAGAGATTGTCGTCTCTGTCGTGGTCATGCTCCGCAAAGCTGTCAAGTCGGCCAAGACGGGGTCCGGGAAAGACACAGCGCTTGTCAAGGGGTTGCTCGAGCGCATCGAGGAGAGCAGTCGGTGGGTCGAGCAGAGGAGGAAAAGCGCGGTTCTGGCACCAGGGAAGCTCGACGAACTCCGGGAGTGGGAAAACACGCTCGCAGCGTCCGTTGTAGATTCGCCGTTGGGCAAGTACGTCAAAGTGCAGCGCAAGACCAGAGATCGACAACGCAAATTGGCCGAAAAGGTAATGTCCGATACATGACTCGGCGGCCTCTTCTCACCAGTTCTTAGGCTCGGCAAGGAGAAGACGAAATCCTAGAGGATTGATGAGTCTCGTGTAGCGTACGCCATAGATAGATTCTGATAGATCACATTCATGTGACGTACTTACTGAGAGCAACGAACATAGGACGATCTGTCTCTCTCTACCAGATACCAAAGAACACTTTCCACTTCGGCCTCTCAATGCCCTGGACACCCTTTTCGATACCCTCGGCAAGTTTTTCGTAGTGAATAGGAGCAGATGCAGGTTTAAGTGTCTTGTCCGTAAGAGGGTACTGCGGAGATTCAATTTTCCGAATGACGATTGCTGGACAGGTGAGAAGTCGTTACCTCGTTTTGAGCAGCGTTGCGCTCCAAGGCTTCTGCCGCGGAGACGGCTTGCGGAGTGAGATTCGGGTGCGTGGCCAATGACTTGAGGAAGTTTTGAAGCTGGATGTGCGGCCGCATAGGATCCACGGGGCACGCGGCGGCAACCCGCGCCATTTCTTCTGCTAGTTTTCTCGTAGCCATTGCTTGATACGTAGAATTGCAGAGATTGTGAGGGAAGAAGGAGTGCACAGCAATTCTGCTACTCGAAAGCGTTGCGTTGACATGCCTCACGTGAGATCAGTATTTTACGTAACCTCGGCCATGAGGGGGATTGAGCCACAACGCCGACTCCATCTTGCCAAATGCTGCATATAGCCTAGTATAGGCCATGTACTTTCCCGGCTGCTTTGACGGAATCCCACGCGTGAATCAACCGAGCTGCTTCTCAATGCTGCTGGCGCATATGCAGCTTATCGAATCGGATCTTCCGAGGTACGCTGTCGACGCCACTCAGAGCCTTAACTCTCACCGCGGAAAATCATGGGTTGAAGCGGTGATCTTGTCAAAAACCACTGCAATCGAATTGGATTCCTTCTACGCCTGACTTCACTGCTCTGATGGACGCGCATGTGGTTCGACAATCGTATTAATTAAATGCCTCGTGCTCGCTGGCGGGAGCTTTTCGATTCGATGCGCGGAAGACGCCAAGATTCCATCACGCAGTCTTTGCCCTCCTCGTTGTGATAATGCGAGACGAGGCTGCGAATTCTATCAAGTTGCTCATTTTCGTGCCGCATGCTCGTGCCTTTGTAATTCTTTTCAGGAATTCTTTCGAATAGCCATGGAGTGTAACGACAGTCTTCCGATTGTGTCAGATACGATTCTCCTGGAATAGACCCTGAAAGCGTGTGCGGGGGGGATCTGAACCATTGCAGACTGGCGGTGGCACTGATCGGAACCGGGAACCGGTTGCAAAAGTGTCGAGTGCATACGGTCCGGAATCATCACACCGAACGTGTCTGATCCCATCCACCCTTTGCATTCTTTTGGTATTTTCGGCGTTTCGGCCTGCGGAGATATCACGGCTTCCGCCCAAACGAGTTGGTCGTTCGTTGAACCATCATGTTCGAATCTGATCATTGATGCAATGCCAGTGCAGAATACTCACACACTTCCGTCATGAGCTGTTGTATTCGAGAGTCCCAGAGAGGTGGTGCAGCGGTGGAATTGGAGTCCCGAGTCTCCAGTCCTCCTCAGATCGTGACCCGACAACCGACAGGCCAACCGGGTCCCGACATACATGGGTTGAACGGTATCCTCCAATCGCACCATCCTTCGCTGTCCTGGAGCACTGACACACCTCCGGTGACCACCTCGAGGCATGTGTCTGTGCTTGATGACGAGCGATTACCATGCTGAGCAACAAATTCACCGGTCACGTTCAGAAACCACATGCGTCAGACATCGACCAACTTGCCAGATGAAGGAAAGTTGGTCATCGCTATTGACTTCGGTGCTATTTTGATTTGCATGAACTTGAGAACTGCTTTGCTCACTCTTCACCCTTTTCGAAGGAACGACCTTCTCCGGCATCGTGCGTCACGTCTCCCGACTTCACCAACAGCCACGTGGTCTCAGATACCGCTGTCTAGGCTTATGGATCATCCAGAATCGCTTCGGGGAAGGTGCAGCAGATTTTGAAATGGCCCGGATCGTCGGAAACGTTCAGAAAAGTTGGCGAGGGATTCTATTGATTAGCCGTGGCTCGTTCCCGAACCCGTTGCAGATCCCGACATGCCTGCTTTATGACGAAGACAGCCGAGTTCTTGCCTGGGGACTGGAAGCAAAGAACGCCAACATTCTAGGCACGACGCGATATGAATGGTTCAAGTTGTTCCTCGACCCTCGCGCTCTGCGAAATGAAACTTCCTTGGACCCACGACTGCCAGCTTTACCAGTGGGTCGAATCTTCCTAATCTCGCAGGCCGATCTATCATCCTGATTCAGCTGGGAAAAACACCCTCTGACCTCATAACCGATTTTCTGAGCTGTCTGTGGGAGTATACGCGAGAGCAGATCACACGGGACATCGGTGCAGTGGCCGATCTCGGTGTGTCAGCTGTTTAATGTGCCAGCGCTTCCTGATCTGCTTTGCGCAGACTATGCGGATATCTGGGTGACCGTTCCCGCCGCCTGGGATGCTCGCGGCTGCGCGATGATGCGCCAGGCGGCGATTGATGCCGGCATGGTCCAGAGCGCGTACGCCGGTGACGTCGAATGGCGAGAACGTCTGAAAATCATATCAGAGCCGGAGGCTGCGGCAGTTCACTGTGCTCTCCTCACCGATCTCTACAAACTACAGATATCGCAGAATTTCATCGTCTGCGATGCCGGAGGTGGGACGGTTGATCTCGCTGTATACAAGGTGCGCCCCGAAGGTGTGCTATTGCGCGATCGATCCCAACTTCTTCTACAGATCATTGGGGACCCATCTCGTTTGGAAATTGCTGAAGTTGCGGCCCGCTCTGGAGCCAGTTGTGGCAGCTTGTTGCTCGATTTGCGCTTCCGTTCTCTCGTTGAAGCTGTGAGTGGATATGTCAATCAAGCTTGTATGCCTTGACAGTGTTTCCGTTGCCTTCAATCTTTCTGCGCTTGGTTCTGTTACCGGACACAGCTCCTCATCAATCACCCCGTCCATCTGGACCCTCCGTCGCTGGCCTATTTCAGTTCGCTCATCCCGTTGCTTATCCTGTGTCAAATTCTGAACTCGATCGAGTGCATTCTTTCAGCGAGGCGGACAAGTTGACCTACGCAGGAAGACCAGATGACGGTTGGAATGTTCGACTCGATGATGGCAAACGATTTGATCCTCCATGACTCAGGCTCGGTTTTCTATTTCAACTGCTTCAATGTCGAGGACACCAACGATCCTGACGCAGGGCTACTTAATGGCCAACTGGCCATCTCCGGTCGCCTGCTGCGCGAAGCCGTGTGCGCGCACTTCCTTTCATTCGTTCTCCAATGTCCGCAAGCTGATTGGTCAGGGCAGATTTGACCCCGTAGTCAACGAAGTTATTGAGCTCATATCAAACCAACTCTCTACTTCTCCGCGAATCGACGCTCTACTGCTCGTCGGTGGCTTCGCTGGCAGCGCCTATCTCAAGACACGGATTGAAGTCACGTGATAGCTGTTCAACCTTGAAAATCCTGCTCAATGCTCACACAGGAAACATTTGGACATGATATTTCAGTGATCTCCCGTCCACCGGACAGCGATACAGCAACCTTGCGAGGGGCTGCACGCTATGGGCTTGCTCGCCGCCCGCTGGTCTCGCAACTCATTGTGCCAAGATCATATGTCATGATTGCAAGCGCTCTTCTGCGTTTTGGATACCACGGCGCTCACCTTATCGCAGGTAAGACTACCAGCAGAACCCGAGGACCGGGAGCGGCGGCCAGGTTATGTCAGCCGCAACGACGCGGGGGTGGAGATTTGCGAGAACCGGTATGTTTCTGGACTGATCATCTTTTCTGATTTTCCGCATCAATCCCGGGCTCCACGTCGAGTGATGAGCCGGTGGTCCCGGTCCCGACATGTCTCTCATAATTCGCCATGCCGTCTTGCATGCAGTACCATTTGATTCAAGTCAGGCCGGTAACCTCAGAATCCACCTCCAGTGAGAGGTCGGTGATTGCCATCAAGGCTATTTATTACGTGCAACTGCGGATTTGTGTTCGAAAGCGTGACATGCCTGACCCCTCCGGTGGCCTGCTGACAACGGTTCTCAGACTACAATATCTCGTCCAAAGAGGGGTCATCATCCGCAAAGGGTCAGTGCCAGCAGCCCAGCTGCACGCTGTCCGCGCTCACCATTTGTCGTCCGACATTTTCGTCCGAATTGTGTTCGACGCCGACCTTTTTGATCGTATGAATTGCTGACCGCGTGCCACCCATCAATCCCATGAACATGACCCCATCAAATGCGCACGCTGAATCTGGACGTCATTCCCCGTCGGTTGGCGCTTTGACATCTGATGTACATGGCTTTCGACCGTCTCAAAAGCGCAGACAACGTGTAACAACCCGCTTCTGGTGAGTCTGAGTGTCTACATTGGGCCCGGGGAGCTTCCAGCACATGCACCGGTTCTGATCTCGACGGCAGCAAATTCTCCCGCGATACCATGGGTACGTTCATTTTCGCATCGGTAATCTCTGGCAGCTCGATCCTCTCTTCTTTGCTTTTCGTCCGTCGTGGCTCCTTGTGGGTGCATCAGAGAGACACTTGCGTCTGTCATTCGGCTATCAGCTCGATGTCGGCTGCGGTTACAGTGTCCGCGGAGACTTGCGAAGTGCCCACAACCGTGACAGGGGCCACGGACTTTGTGACGTGTATGTCCGGATTTGATGCGCGATGCGTTGATGCGGACTGGCAGATTCGGATGTCATCGCGCGCGCGCGCCACTTTGCGCCTTCCGAGAATCCCAGTGCCGCATGGCTCATGATCGATTTCTGTCTCGAACTTCCCCCCGGCCTTTGTCTGGCCCAGAGCCCGACAGGTCCCATGTCCGAGGATGAAGCGTGCACGCCCGCTCTCTGAGCCATGACTGGCGCGTCGAAAGGCGTCAACAACTCGCCAGCTGGGTCCGAGGACCTCGCTCATTTCAGAGTCTCTTCTGCGATTCGCTCCGAGAGTGTTTTTCATTAAGCCTTCTGCCCTGGATTGTCGGTGCCTTTCATTTTCACGGGCTCGCACGCAGCCCTCCGTTCCTCGGGAAATTGAAAACATTCCGCTTCTCTGTTACCTGAATGCTTCCAGTTGCTGAGTGTGACCAACAGACTCCACGTTCACTGCAACTCTTTATACAACTGAAGCCACAGCGGCCGAAGCACGTTATGCCGATGAGGTCAGCCTGGTTCCACTGAATCTTATCTCCACTCTCTGATCGTTCTTTAGGGCGCACTGCGCGAACTTTGCGTATGGCGCGTAGATCTGAAGGGCGTAGGGGCATTCCGGGTGCGTCCGGACCTGATCCTCGCCTTAGCTGCCATTTCCAATGCTCGCAGGCCAACGCATCGGCAAGTGCCGAGGAAGGTTTTTACACAGGTTCGCCATGAACGATCTTCCCGCGAAGATTGAGCATGAGAATAACCACCTGTCCTTGGCAGATTTCGATATAGGGCTCGAGGTGGACAGGTATCTGGAAGCTTCACTCCGAGAAAACATACATCGTCAGCTGATTTTGCAGTGCTGAGGTTCGAGGCGTGCTTCTAGACACTGCGGGTTTGGAATGGGGCAGGGTTGTCTTCGGGTTTACGACCTGAGATTCCGTTACACTTGCAGGCTTAGGTACTTTAAGCACACGCCGAAGCCTGGGAAATCGACGGAATGTGAAAAAAACGGAGGGAGGCACCGAGACGGGTGATGTGTGTTGCGTGGTCGACCGAATCTGAGATAAACGCGAGATTCTAGGAGATGCGCGGAAGATGCGATCTGTTCGCTTGTAAATGGGGATAGCACCCTCGAACCCAGTTCTTTGCCACGCTGTACGAATTTGGCGCGGGCCGTGGATCAAGGTCTCACCTTTTCAAAGCCACAAAATCCATATCCACATTTTCGCGCCCTATAAAACCATCTCTGCCGCCATGTCGTTAGGGCCGCACCAGCATGTTTCCTCCCTCGCCCCCCGCCAGCGCCCCATCGGCCGAAAACGTCAAAATGGAATCCGAGACCTCCGACGTCAGCTCTCTCTCCCGCGCTCAACTGGTCGCCGCTCTCGAACCTATATCATCGACCCGCCCGTCGTGGTCCAACTGGGCGCAAACTTTCCACTGCACTCCCTCCGCACGCTTCGCTCCCCGCACTGTGCACGAATGCCGTCTCGCCCTTGAGCTCGCACGCCGTGACGGTCGCGTCTTGCGACCAGTGGGCATCGGGCACTCTCCGTCCGACTTGGCCTGCACAAGAGACTATATGCTCGACATGACGCGCATGAACCGAGTGCTCGAGGTGTGTCCGCACAATCGCGCCTTGTCTTCAATCAATCATCTCCCTCGCATAGATCAATGCTGCCTCCAGCTACGTCCGGGCGGAGGCGGGTATCACACTCGACGCCATACACTCAGCTCTAGGCCCGCATGGCCTGGCCATGCGCAACTTGGGCTCAATCTCAGACCAGACATTGGCCGGGATCGTCACCACTTGCACCCACGGATCCGGAGTCGACTTTGGCGTCATGTCAACCCATGTGATAGCCCTGTCTCTGCTGACACCGTCTCTTTCCCTCGTTCATCTCTCGCCTCGCGATCCGGATCCCAAGATACGCGACCTATTCACTGCGACCATTTGCGGGTTGGGCTCGACCGGTGTCATCATTGACATCACGCTCGAGGTCGAACCTGCTTTCAATCTCAGGGACGAGCATACATTGCGGCCTTTCGGCGAAGTCATAGACGAGCTGGACGAGCTGAAAGGGAAGGGGGAACATGTCCGGTTGTGGTGGTTTCCAGCAGTGGGCCAGGTCAAATGCAGTGTTGCCGACCGGACCAAAGAAGTGCGTCGTCACCGTTTCGGATTTGCTCCTGTTCTCACACGCCCTGGTGCCTAGCCTCGGCGGCTGCCATTCTCTGGATGGACCGCATGGTTCTGGGATGCGGTCATTGGCTTCCATGCGATTCAGACTATGCTGGTCTTCAGTCGCTTCCGAGTGTTCTCCGATGCCGCTCCCATCGCTCCAAGCCAGTCTCCGAAGACCAGTCGGCTATTTTCGGCGCTATTGTGGGGTCCCCGTCACGTTCTGGCCCCCCTGCACCACTTCACAAAAAACGCGCACATCTACGCATGCCGGTTGGCGCTCTGGATGGGCGGGAAGCACAGCGTGACGGTCAACCGTAGCGATCTGGTGTTCAATATCGAATGTCGGGTAGGTCTCCGCAAATCTTACTCCCTCGGGCTTCTTTGTTACCTATTTTGGGCTGCTTCGGATGACATCGTTTCGGGATTACTGATTCTTACCCGCAGTACCCTCAACACACCACGGAATGGGCGGTTCCCTCTGCAAATGCGAAAGCTTGCCTCCTAGAACTCAATCAGTGGCTTGAGGAACAGAGGGTGACTGATGGTGTGAGTTCCGCTCATCTCCCCTCCTCCGCAACCTGAACTGACTGTTCTGCAGCCTTCGTCTCGACCGCATTTTCCCATTGAGATCCGATTTAGTAAGGCGGACGACCTGTGGTTGAGCCCTAGTAACGGCGTCGAGACGTGCTGGATCGGAGTTGTGGTGTTCAAGTGAGCATTCTACTTCGTTCAATGCCCGTGCCTGACAGCATCATCAGACCGTACAACCTTCCAGTGCGGTACCAAAACCTGTTCTCCGCGTTCGAGAGAATCATGGAAGCGCATTCGGGCCGACCGCATTGGGCTAAGGCGCATCATTTGACGCCGCAGACTACACAAGCGATGTACCCCCAACTCGGAAAATTCCTGGCAGTCTTGCGTGGCGCTGATCCGGAGGGAATTCTACGAAACGAGTACGTCGAACGGCACCTACTCTCTCGGGACCATCCGGAGGCGTTTTGGGGGAGGGAGTACAAGCTGCGGAATGGACCTCCGCGTCTCTCACGGCCTTGGCTCGCTCGATCGGACTGGCGCCACGATTGGCGCATTCCACCACCACCTTCCCACGTCGCCCAACTCAAAGCGGACAGGGCGGCCCGGGTCGACTGGACAATCGCAGACCAGTCTCTCCCCTCCTCAGACTCGGAGTCGGATGCCGAGACCTTGGCAGAACTCGATGTTCCCCAGTGCGCTAAATACTAGCCACTGACCCATACGAAAAGTATCTTAGACAAGCAGCACTGCCGCAACGGATTGATTGTCTGCTAACTATGTCGTATTTCGCAGTTCTGATAAGTAGATTGTTGTAAACTCATCATATGCCCAGCTGTTGCTGGATGGACTCGCGAACTCTTCTCTCATATTCGGGCCGGTTGTCACGATACAGCTTGCTGCAGTCAACGCTCGCAGGGGACTCGAGATTGGGCTCTGAGTCCATTGTCAGAGAGAGCGGGAGTCGGCACGACATACGATTCATACGCACCGGCCAACATGGAGATCACACTCAGAATAACCTTCTCGACACTCTGCACCGGGCTCCAGCGCTCCGATGCCTGCTCGTACTGCATCGGGTCGTCTCCCGGTGTATGCAAGATCGAGATGCAGACCGTCCCGTCCGGGTAAACTAGAGTGCCAGACATCAGTCTCAATTCGCCGATTGATCCAAGGGGGCCCTGGTCTTGTCTTGTGAAGATGGGGATGATCGGCGCTGGATACACAGATGGATCCCGCTTTGACAGGCTGTTCCATCTGCGAAGCACGACGGCTATGCATCGGCTGGCCGGGCTGATCGTGGAATTGCGGGGGGGAAACAGCATCGTACGAGAACAAGTGATGGCGACCAGGGACCGGGCACAAGCACAAGACACGTACTATTGGGATGGAACAGCGGCGGGTCAAACTTCATTTTGAAAGGGGATAGCGGGTAGTCGGAGGGCTGGGACCGCGAGCCGGTGAGCAATTCATAACCAAGCCGCGCACGGAAGAGCAGACTCACGAAAGTCAGTTTCGCCGCGAACACCCCGCCTTCCTACACACTTTCAACAGCCGGTCTAGCGGCAGCCGAGGAACATACAAATGGAGTGTCCTGGGGCCCGGAGATGAGCGCCTCCCAGGTGAAGAAGTCGCTCTCAGTTATAGGCCCTTGATTTCAGATCGGGACGAGCACACGGTTGCAGGGATCCGGGCCTGGGCGCACCAGCAGTGAACATCCCATCGGGTGATCCTGTGTGATTGGTGGCCGTGTGAGACCGGTCTCTGGAAGCACACGTAGCGTATGACCTGACCTCCAGATGTGAGCTGTCGGTACTCCGTCATGAGCCGCCGAAGGGCGGTGGAGGAGTTGTTGCTGCGCGAGTTCATCGTGGTGATGGATCGAGGAGTGCGCTGATGGCCGCGGCATCAGATGAGAAGCAGCCGGGATCAGAAACCACTCTAAACGCTTAAGATTATGGGTCACGTAGGGCTACAGTTCCAGAAGTGGATATCTATGGTACATTTGATATCATGGCCGCCGACACAACATATAAAATCATTAGGCATCATCGAGAATCAGACGGGGAACAACGTTCATCGCCATGAGCTTGGCACAAAAATTAGCGAGAAATGCGGCCGGGAGACCTGTGGATGAGCGCCCACCTCTTGAAAAAGCAACTTGGCTGCGTATGGGATGGTGAGCTGCGCCATTTTCTTGGAACTCTTGCAGAATGGACACCAGCCATTGTAACCCATGAGACCACACTTTGAGCATGCGTTCACTTCAAACTTGTCTGACGAGATCATCAGCCGTTCAAGAAGAAGTTGAGTTGCGCCATAACCGATAAGACAATCGCGTTCCATCTCTCCTAGCCGCAATCCCCCTTCCCTGGATCGACCTTCCGTCGGCTGACGCGTCAGTGTAGCTCGCGGCCCCCTGCAGTGACTGAGCCGTAGAAACCGGAAGGGAGAACACCGGCACCTACCTTGCCCTGGCATGCATTTTATCCATAACCATGTGCTCTGAAAGAGGCAAACTGAGATAGAGTTGGACAAAAAAGGAACCAGCTGACTGAGTTTCTGGTATCACAGAGTTGGCGTTTAGTCCAAGTCTGGGTTGAGCGTTCGCACCTGATAGTAGATGGGTCCGAAATAAACGTAGGCCTCGAGCGGCTCGCCAGTGATGCCACTGGTCAGCATGTCTTTGCCCGCATAGCTAAACCCGTTTTCCACCAGAATGCGGCTCATATCTTCAACCTAAACGAAGACGGTTACAACCGAATCAGACACCGGGGACGAAAGCCACCTTGGAGCCACCAAATGCGGTCCCGTATTGCAGGGTCCCGCTCAAGACACCTGCCTTACCGGCAAGAAGTTCGATCATTTTACCGACGGTCATGCGCGAGGGGAAACCATGCGGATTCATGATAGTGTCTGCGAGGATCAGCTCGGTAGGTTGCCGACACACAGCGACGAGAGACGGCCAACCGGGATTGATTCCATCGTCATTAAACGGCATGTCTTCTTGGTTGACAATCAGCCCGCACACTCCCTTTTGTCCGTGACGGGAAGAGAACTTGTCGCCGAGCTCCGGCCTCCGAGTTTGTCGAATGAGCACCTTGATTAGCGTCTGGTCATTTTCCGTGTCACTGATCATGACCTTGTCGATGTTGCCTGCAACGGGCGACTTGTAAGTCATCGGCGTGTTCCGGTAGGGAACCGTCGCCGCCTGGCCGACGAAAGCGTCGTCGGAGGCGTTGTTTGGGGATTGTTTGTTGACGTATACATCCCCTGGATCGACGCGTTCCCCGACGCCGGCGAGCCCGTCCAACTGGATAATGTCGTACTTTTTAGCGACGGTGCCCGGGTTGTTCTCGTCGGGTGGGGCATCGGCCAGCCGGTCAAAGCTTGGTAACGGTTGATCGCAGTACCGGACCGAAGACACGGCGACTCACGTGCCATTGGGATACTTGCGAATCAGAGTCGCATTCTTGCGCAGAACTTGGCATCTGCCGTAGCCGCGATCGAGACTAGACTGAGTGAATGGCAATCAGTGGCGTCCCCGAGAACAAACAAGACCGACCCTGTTTAAGATCAACGCGTCCTCGATGTCGTAGCCTGAATAACTCATCACCGCGACGGTCGCGTTCTGCCCGGCCGGAAGTCGATCATAACCGACGAGCTCGATCGTCTTGGTCTTGACCATGGGCTGTTGCGGGTAAACCGACAGATATAGCAAGGTGTCGATCCGATTGAGCTGGTTGTAGGCAATCGCGCCGATCGCTTGCTTGCCCATGGCGCACTGATATGTGTTTCGCGGAGATTGATTGTGATGGGGATACGGAATCAGCCCGGCCACTGCCCCCAGCAGCGTGAACGGCTCGATCTCGAGATGTGTCGTCGCCGGAACAATGTCTGTCTCATACAGTGCAATGTAAGTGTCGTTCTCCTCGTTGACATCCAGATATTCGACCAGGCCTTTGCGCAGAAAGTCGTCGAATGTCACAGCGCCCTTTTTTAGAAGCTGGTGTGTATGTCAGCACTGCCGAGAACAGCTGGCAGGACGGAAGATACCGAGACATGTTCCGACGTGACTCGAGGCCGCTGGTTTTCCACGATGATCATCGGTCGACAGATCCGTCCTCCGTCACTGGCGATGTGCACGGCTCGGTGATGGTGGTTGATATACACACTGACGAACTCGCTCATCCGCCGCGCACGGCGGAGCCGTCTGAGCTGGGCAACGAATCGGGCGGGGTACCGGGTCAAGCCGATGATGGTGCCGTTGACGTTGACGACAAAGGTGTGCGGGCCGTAGATCTCAGTGCCAGTAGCCAGGTTGATGTCTGGCACATCTGAGCGGCACTCGATATAGACTGAGCTCCCACTGACCTTCGACGCCGAGCATAAAGGCAAGCTGGATGATTGGCTCCTCCTCGACATCTGTGGTGATGTGTGTCATGAGCGCCAAATTCTTGACGAGCCCGCATGCCTCTCCTTCTGGTGTGTCACTCGGACAGAGCATCCCCCACTGACTTGGCTGCAGGGCACGGGGCCCGCTGACCTTCCGAGTCTTCTCGAACTGGGAAGATATCCGAGTCATCATACCTAGCGCAGCGATGAAACTCAGTCGGCTGAGCACGTGGGTCACCCCGGCACGCTCCATCTTGAACCGCTTCAGGGACCAGTTCCCAGTGGAGATCGCGCGGGTGAAGCCGGCCGTGAGATGATCCGCCTGGAACTGCATCGTGTTGAACGCATCGAATTCGTTTGTCCTCGACTGTTTCTTCAACACCTTGTCGATGGCAGATTTGAGATTCGCGTTGTACGTCTTGAATAAGTCCTCGAAAAGAAGCGCAAGAAGCTGCCCTGCCCTGCACACGAGTCTCAGCATAATGCAAACGGCGCCAGATGACGGACAAACAATTCAAGGCGCTTGTTTCCGACATAATCTCTGTCATCGACCATCTTCTCATCTTCCATCGCCATCAAAACCCGGCGGGTCATCGTAGCCACGAAGATCGCTTTGGCACGAAGATCCATTGCGCGAACTGGCACATGCGCTAGCACGATCGTGGCAAGCGCCTCGAGCGCATCTTCCCACGCCGGGCGACGAGGGCCCATTACTTTCCGGTTAACCTTGACTCGTGTGCCAATGTATTCCAACGCTTGCTGGCGCGTGAAGATGCCAAGTTTTGCCGCTTCTTCCATGCTGGCCGAGAAGGCCACTTTGTACGCCTCGGTGTTACCAGCAGTCAGGAGCAAAATTTCCTTGTCTGATTGGAAACCCAATGCTTTCAGTGCGATGACGATAGGGATGTCCTCATGCGTGCAATTGTGTCGGAGGTAGATCTTGCCCTTCTTCGTCAGAACGTAGGTTTTCGATTTAAGACCGCCGTGCGTAGATCTGCGTGTGAAGGGTGAGAACATCAACTCGCATGGTCACTCAGCACGCACGATGTACAGGACGCCTGCACAATGCCCTTGACAGTGTCCCATTCGACGATGATCCGATTCTTGCTCAACTGCTCCTGCACGAGAATGACCTTCTCCGTGCCCTTGACAACAAAATACCCTCCGGGGTCCAGCGGACACTCGGACATCCCTGCTAGATCCTGGTCGGTTTTGCCAGTCAACACGCATTTGTTACTGCGCAGCATAATGGGCAGTCGCCCGATCTTGAGAGAACGCTGGACGATGCTCTTCCCCCGAGTGTAGTGAATGGTCACCACAATGGGCGCGCTGTATGTGGTATCGCGAAGCCGGCATTCATGCGGAGTGACCGGTCGTTGGGTATGCGCCAGGCCTGCATCGTCGCGATCCGGCAGCCCCACCCGGATATCCGTATACTTGAGCCAGAACCGCGGGTCGACATCTGACGTGACCTTGTTATTAGCTTTAACGATGTTTTTGATGTCGGTGTCAACGAAGTAGTTGAACGAGTCAATGTGCTGCTTCACTAGTCCTTTGACCTTGAGGAACGCAGGGAGCAGAAGCCATTTATCCTTGACGTGGATTTAAAACACAGTTGATCCAACAAGAGCTCGCTCCCCCGCACCTCGACTTTCTTAATTGGATCGGTCAGACCCAGTCCGTGCCAGTTTTCTCCGGTAATCTGATCCCATTCGCTTTCCTCCTCCATGACGTCCATGATGTTCGGATTATAAGGCCACGATAGCAACTCCTGTTCGAGACCTCGGAGGCAGGCGGTATATGTCCACGGTCACTGTGTGCAACGACCCAGAACTGAGGTTTGGGTGTCCCAAAATGGGAGGAGAGAAGAAAAGCACGTGCAGACGCGGTCACGAGATTGTGTATGTAGTCCGTGACATTTACAACAGATTTGAACTGAGATTACTTATGTATGTGAGCCACGAGAAGCGATGCCAGATACACTACGTTGGAGATGAATGCTAATAGCCGCCCTGCCCCTGACCATTGGTCCCCCATGATCCATCACCCCAAGCACCTTCCATGCCATATTGCTGGTCCGCCCAGCCAGCGCCGTTGAACGCAGGATTATATGCCATCCCCATGCCCATTTGACCCAACATCCCGTTGGAGCCCATTCCGGCCCCGTTCAGTGCCATCACACCGTTATTGATGCCCATCCCGCCGGCATTCAAACCCATTCCTGCACCGGGCATAGCCATCATTCCCGGCCACTGACCGTGCATCATCCCTTCCGCGCCACCCAGCATGCCCATCCCATTCATCGGTATCCCCATCATCATCTGGGGCATTTGGCCCATCGGATTCGGCACGAATCCAGCCCGGTTCACCGCAGCAAAGCGCGGCCCCACATTCGCACCCGGGACGTGATTTGCCTGCGCCTGGAGGGAGCCGGGTCTCACAGGTGACTTGGGCCGCAGGGCGTCTATCTCAGATGTGGTAGGAACAACCATGCGCCCCCCAGCTGCAAGGACCTTGATGTCCGCATCCCATGACTCGAGATTCCATGGCCGGGCGACCGCTCCTTCCTCGGAATAGACAGTGCCCGTCCCATCCGGGTCCAGCCCCAAACGTGACTCCTGCCCGGAAGCCAAGGCAGTTACCCATCCTCGGCGCAAGGATGTTGGTGCTCGCCCGAAGAGCTCCAGTCTCCGCGTTCCAAGGCAAAAGTTTTCGATCAGGCTGTACATCTCTGGAGGTTTCCGAGTAGGATCGGCGTCGTCCCCTTCCCAGAAGATCACGTCGGTGTCTGAGAACCATGAACACTAGATCAACATAGTCGCAGGGAGTCCACATACCCACATTACAGTGAACGAACCAACTATCCGTCGAGCGCCGCACTGTGCCACGAATGCCAATCAGACAATGCTGCTTCGTTCGTGTGAGAAGAGAGGTGGTCGGAGGATCGGTCTATGCTTCATATAAATAGTGCGACACCAAGACAGACTCGAGGAAACTGACACCTGGGCCGTTATTTGTCGTTTTATTGGTCTTGACCCAAACTACATCCTCACAGCGTCGATAACCCCACTTGGCCAGGACCTCCCGCCCCATTTCCAAAGCCTCTCCAGCACCACTTCCGACCCACAAAAAGACGAAACTAGGATCCGCCGCCAGTGATGAGATAGGTAGATTCTGAAGATCGTCCCACGAGAACGATGAAGAGAACGGAGGGTCGATAAGAATCACGTCGAATTTGGCCGGATGCACAGTGTGTAGGCAGAGAAAGGTAGATAAGTCGGTGCCACGGAATGATTGTTGACCGACGCCTTCTTCAATGACAAAAGGCGTTGCTGCTTTGGATACCTGAGCGGAAAGTCAAGAAGGAAGTCAGAAAGCCACGCCGACACACGCACTCCTCGAACCGGTGCTCAGGTTCAGATCCCAACACCCAGTTCTGCGGCCACTCCCCACCATCGACGTATCTCTGCGAATAGTCGTTGCGAATAGTCTCCTCCTCAGGGACATAGTTCTTGTACCGAGCAACGCGTGCACGCTTGGCAGGCGGCAGATCCATTCGCATTGGAGGCGTCACTACAGCCGGAGCAAAGGCAGGAATAACATCGTGATCGTCCAATGCGGAACTCGGCGGAGAGTCGAGTAGTGGTAGTTGTAGGAGATCATCAGCAGGAATGTGCAGAGATTGGAGTTGGCGCCGGTGCGCTTGCTGTGACGAGCGAACTCTTTGGATGAGCGCAGAGTGAGCGGCCAGCAGTCATTTGCGGAGCTGATTATCTCGACCGTAGCTGCCATAGTCCAGCATACCAGTTGTAGGGAGTATGGTGGCTAGTCACCGCCTTGTACTGTGACCTCCTTCGAGTCCGAATCTCTCTTAGGTAGTAGAACAAAACCCTAAGACGGATTGTTCATAGAGCTGATGGAGTGCACGAAGGCCAATTCCGGCCACCTTCCAGCTATCTACGCGTCGAAGAGCATCTCTGAAACGCGTCTATGAGACTTACACGAGAGCTTGATTGAGCATCCTCAGACCGATTCATGAGCTCCAGCCATCGGCATGTGGCTGTGTATTCTAGGGTTAGGGCTATGTCTCACTCGATCCATCCCCGATTCCGGCCTGTAGGCGGGACTAGCACCATAGAAGGACAGCAATGCTTATGTCACCATCGCGGTCAGCTGGTCATAATCGCCGCGTTGTCAGTCACCCAGTCATAGCGCTCCAAAGACGGAGCTTGTAAAGGAGCCACGATAGACTAGAGAGCAATACGGAATACAAGAGACTGCGCGTATACAATGCGATATAGTCAGTTATCGCATGATTAGCAAGAATTTATGGGTATCGAGTTCGAGCTTGAGTCTAGATTCCCCGACTCCTCTTGTAGTCCGCGAGAAGATTGGGAACATCCTCTTGAAGAGATGACTCGGGCTCCCACGTTCTTTCTGAGTACCCCCACCAAGAGACAAGATACTCGAAGGCGGTCCCGTGCCCGCGTTTGTTCTTTGATGGCCGCACTTGGAGGATCTCGTCGACAATGTATCGCTTCTCCACGCTCACGGCTGCTTCCCTGGGTCGCCACTGCTGCCTTCGCTTCGATCCCCAGGCTTCCGGAAGAGCAGGCACGGGCGGAAGACCCGCTGACGATGGACTGAATAGCGCCCTGAGCCCGGTGCGGCTGCCGATACCCTTGATCATGGGATGTGCCTTTCGGGCATACTTGTCCACCTCACACACAGCATGCTCGAAATCCGCAACGTCAAGCTCGTGCTCGTCGCCGAAAGGATCTCGTAGGAACGAGAACTGGAGTCCGCGCGATCGAAACTGTTCTCGTTGATTCTCCACCATCCATCGCAGAATGTCCGATTCAATGTCCGGCACCTGGCCTCTAGCTCTCTTCAGACTGGATCCAAACATTTTCGTCAGACCAGACAAAGCGCCAGGGCCAGCAACCACGAAATCGTTTGCCGAGAAGTCGAGGAGCTCGGAATAGGAAAGGGCGAGGAAGAGCTGGTATGCGCTGAATGCCGCCATCCCAGGGTACGCGGCGATGGTCTCATAGACGTCGGCAGCATAGCAAGCATTGGCCAGCGACTTGGGGAGTTCGTCCATGAGGATCTGGAGCAACTGGAGATGTCGCATATGGTTTGCCTTGTATTCAATCTGCACCCCGATTTTCATGTACGCGCCCGTGAAAAGCGTCGTCCCAGCAGCGCTCAAGACTGCGTCATACTTGTGCAGATCGAATTCCGTCCAGACAAGCCTTCCACCAAAAGCGGCGAGGAGTAGCTGCCACGTCTCGATCTTGTTGAAGCAGTTGAAGAGCAGGATACGGAAGAGCGTTTCCGTTCGGTCAGGGGAGCCCTTCTCGATGACATCCGTGACGACGAATTGAGAGGTTCGGTCGAGCACGCGATAGGCGTTGCAAACTTGTACTTTTGCAGTATCTGGTCTTCTGTCCACCTGCAGGCGCAGGCGACAGTTTCAGACACGCGTTTTTTTTAGCAGAAGACTTTTGATTGTACTCACGGTGCAGATCCGCCCGCTCGACGTCTGTCATCGACAGATTTCCTCTCGGACAGCCATACCCACAAGGTGTCGAACACCGCTGTCGTCTTCAACCGCTGCCCCGCAACTTCAATGGAAGTCCCATGCCCCAGCAACGACGTGCTTTTTGACTTCCTCTTCAGACGACGAGGTTGCGGGGTCGAGTCGGGATCCATTGGTGGTGTTGGTGACTCATGGCGGCAGGCGGAACGTGTGGATGTTGAGAGGTCGGTCGTTGAATCATGAAGTGGCCGGGTGTCGATCACATCCAGATGTGTACAGTGATCATGATGGTTGGTGAGTGTTGTGAGCTGTGGTGCAGAGGATTTCAGCTCTGCACGAGTTGGGAAATGACGGATTGCAGGCATGGCAAAAATGGCCTGGCTATGGTTATGCACTCCTTATGCTTGAGGGTAACAGCAAAGCAGGCAGTAGCAAGTGCTTTCAAGTGCTAATTTGTGCTGCAGCACTATGCTCTTGGATTTGACAATTGTAAGGGCAACCTCAAGGGGTTCACCTGACAACACTCTGAATAGATGTGTATGAATATGTTGTGAAACACACAGACCACAGTAGTAGTGATTCAAAAAACCCGAGCGCGTAATGAAAGTGAAAGCAAGAAAGAAAAGAAACTAGACCAAGACAAAGAAATTTGCCGTCAGATGGCTTTCTCACGCCGCTAGCGATGATTTACGTTCCACGAGGCATATACATACATACTCAAAGACAAAATGAGAATATTGATATTTCTGCTTGAAAGCCGTGCTGTCAGAATGGGAAATTGAGTGTAGGGGTGTGAAACTGGTTTGATGGGGGCTTTTATCCGCTCCGTCGTGAGTCGACCCAGATGCAAGTCGTCGACTGCCAGAGTATAGGGTCCCGACCAAGACAAGCGCTAAGCGTGATATACAAAAGTCCTCGAGAAGAGATCGAGTCAAACGAAACAGATAAAATTTGGGAGAGCAACGGCGTTTCAAGCGCATGGAAAAGACCGACAGGACACGACGGGTCGGAGCAGACGTTTGCGTGAGAAGTGTTCTTGCGAGTCTCTGCGAGGGATGAGGCCATGACGGGTGAGGGCCGGCGTGCCGGTGATGAGGGAAGAAAAGATATATCGAACAGGTGGTAGAATGACTTTATTGCTGGGTCGATATTCGCAGCGCAAACATCAGGCCGCCTGCCTGCTTGATCCAGAGACGTCGATTTGGGGCGTTTGTGAGTTGGCGGTCTTGAGCAAGAGGTGTGAGACGGATGCGTCGAGCAGCGCCGCTGATAGACCAGTTCCGTGACGATGACCCACGGTGAATTCCCAATGCTCAACAGCCAGCTTGATGCCGAAGCCGTCTCAGTCTTCTCAGTCTTTTCATTTCTTCCACAAAAAAGACAGAGGGATGTCATCAGATACCGACGGACTGCACTGTGCCCTGCCAGCGTGAGCGAGTAATGGAACGTCATCGTCGGGATTTTGATGATGGGAGAAGCGATAGAAAATCTGGGGAGGCACCGTACATAACATGGAAGAGTATGAATCTCTCACTTTTCGTCCTATGGCCTGAGTGTCCAGGTGAAGATGTATCCAGTCAATTCTCAATAGCAATCACGAGAGTTTCACCGCCACACGGCACCTGCACTGCACGTGATCTAACGCGCCTTGTCCTTGTCGACGTCCCGTTCTGCATTCTCTATTCTTGTGTCGAATCCACCTTCCCCTCAGGCTTCCTTTTCTCTTTCAACAACGTGGAATAGTGACCCGTCGGGCCAGATGGAGACTATCAGCCGCCTCCGGGTCCTGCTCATGCGTGCCTTCGCCGGCGAAGGGGGCGAGGAAGTGATGGACGAGTTGATGGCACACAAGACGTGTCTCCTGAACCTGTTTGAAGTAGGTGGGAGGAGCGCTGCGGAGCAGAAAGAGCTAGAGGGCGGTGAGTTGGTCTGCGATCGTGTTGTGTGTTCTTGTTCCCGTTCTGCCCAAGTTTTGGGTCTGAAGTTGAACTGCGCATGGGCCGCCTCGTTTCGCGCGGCTCTGTTTTGATCGGAGGACAAATCTTTGGCTCCACCTGGAAAGACGCGGACGAAACGTTGTCTGGTATCTACGCGGGCAAATTGGTTGTGTGCGCTACATTGTGAAATCTCTCACCGCGCTGGACCCCGTTCTGGCTTTCTTCGACTCGAATATTCATTTATTCGATGTCTCTGGCTCTTCATTTCTGATTACCCCGCGTTTCGATCTACAGCTTATCTCGTACAGGCAAAACAACATTACCTTCCGGCCATACTCTGAGCGTCAATGCCGACTTCACGCGCCAGGCCCTCTTCGTCTCCCAGCAGCTGGAAGTTTCGGAACGCTACATCGCAGGTATTCTACACGCGCTGACTGTCTCCTCACCGCACCTGCATACCCAGCCTGTCCAGTGCGTGGAGGGCGCAATCGACGAGTACCATCTGCGCCGACGGCACCTTGCTGATTCGCTTGTGTACCTATTGCAGGCGACCGAGGCCGTTTCCCGAGGGGAGGCAGAGGGAAATATCATCTTTCAGCGCGCGGCGGAGTTTGTATACTTCGATCTATTTTCAACGGAGGGTGGATTGGCACCCAAGATCATAAAAGAGCTGCAGAATCTTGGGGTCCTGGTGGCTAAAGCAGAAGCCGCAAAGAAAAACGCGAGAACTGGAACCATCCCCCCAACCGGGCAGAGTGTGTGCTTTCTCTTTTCAGTGCGATCACGCGCTTACAGGATCGACGCAGCTGGAGTTGTCCCCGCGCTCGGGGCCACCGTCTTCCAGGGACATTCCGAATCTCTGCAATACGAACGACGGCAGCTCGGGGCTACCCTTCCACTTCTGGCCCGTCTCGGATTGCTCAGCTCTGCAGACGTCGAAGCAATCGTGCAATGGCTCGTGGGCAACCCTAACCAACCTTTGACATTCTATCTGCTGACAGCTGTCTTCAACGCACTGGACCCAGTGGACCCAGAATACGAACCCGATACGAAACGGGCTGGACTGGCGACCCAAATGGTGGCATGGATGACAAGGAAATTGTCGCCGACAAACCAGGAATGGAAAGATGCAGGCCTCAAATCCGCAGTGCTGCTAAAGTGGACATTGTTTGTAACCGACGCTCGACATCGCAGTCCGGATCTGGAAACCAAGGCCGGATTCAAGACCGAGGAACTGGAAACACAGATTTGGAATGCAATCCAGGGAGATGCGCTAACGTATTTGCTGATGGCGCTGGCACAGCTGTATCGATCCTCCCCTCTTCTGCCCTCCATTGTGCGCTCCCTTCCGCCACTGCACACAGAGCAGACTGAGTGGCGGGAACTTCCGGCATCCGAATTTCTCCAGAGCGTATACGATGCGTTCGAGGTGCTCGTCCGGAGTCTGATCCTGCATGCGTCATCTGAGCTGCGCAAAATCAAACAGCGGCAGGAGGACATCGTATTGGCGTCGAGGGGGCAACAACCACAGCAGGCGCCGGCAAGAAGCGACATCGCAGTTCTCTATTCGTTCATTGGGCTCTTGTATACTGCGCTGCCAGCAGAAAGGGCACTGCAATTCTGGGGCTCCACGCCACACACTTCCACTCCAACATACATGGAACTGGTCGAATCGAGCACTGGTCGGCTACCCGCATTTCTTCAGTGGGCAGTGTGGTCGGCCCAGCCACATTACATGGCATTGTACGATATGTTGGCTGGGCTGGCCAACGGCACCCAATGTGCAGAGCTCGCGCACAACTTCATGGCTCGCGGAAGCGGCGAAGTCATTCCGGGCTCGTCGGTGGGCGGCGGACAAAGCGTGTCGTGGGGCATGGTGTTTGGGATCCTGGAGTCTTGGGCACAGCCAGGGACACGTCCGCCGCCATCCCATCAGCAAGCGCACCAATTCCAGCAATCGGCGCCGTCGGTACCCGCCCAGATCGCGCCCCACGATGTGTTGCTCGCCCAGTCATTCTTGCGGCTTCTGGCCGCGGTGGCATCGCATTCTGTTGCTGTGCGGAAAGCAATAGCCGGACACGCCGGGTTCCGGGCCATTCCAACGCTGCTGAGCCTGATCCCCCAAGGCGTGCCTCTCGAACTCAAAGGCGCCATCTTTGACACGGTGGCGGCATTTTGCCGCCCGGCGCCAGGCGCCGGTGCTGTTGGTGCCGAGATATGCCGCAGTGTGTGGATATTGATGGAGCGACTGGAGGTTATCAATGTTCGCGGCGGTGGCCCGGGTAAGGGCGTCGAGGTCGAGTTGGACGAGGTCGAGGCTGTGCACCGTGTCTACCCTGCTACTATTCCGTTTTTGCGGCTATTGGCGACGCTAATCCACACGCCCAAACGCATTCCGTTGCGCGAGAGGACGCTGGATGTCGCTTATGCTTCCGTCTCTGGAAGCAAAGCGCCCTTCGTCGCGTTCGTTGTCGACAACGTCTTTGCGAATATCCCACGCAGGGAATACGCCGTGCCCGCCGACCGCTGGGAGATCAACGACCTGTGTCTGACTTTTGTCGAGCGATGTTTGGCCAGTTTCGATGTGGAGAGTCTGACTCTGAACAGCACTGCGGAGAATGTCCTGGCGCTGCTGATGCATCCGGGCTACGATCTCCTCGCGCGGCTGCTCACTCCGAATACAGCGTTCCACAAATCCATCATGTCGTATGTGCTTGAGGGTCTGCCTGGTTTCGACCGAGCGTTTGACGAGGAGGAGCCCTTTTTCGCCAGCACCATCGTTCGGGTGATGCGCATTGTGTTGAGGGTGCTCGAAGCTCAGGATGTATTCCTGGACGTCCTGGTCCCCCTTATCCAGCAACTCGATCCATCTACTCTCAGTGGCCACGCTGTGCATCCCAGATCGCACTACACCCGACTCGACACGGCCATCGGATACACGGACAATGTCGCCCCTGCGCTCGCTGCATACGTCACCACGTTCCACAGCCACGTCGAACTGGCCCTGTTGTCCGTCAAAACACTGGCTATTCTCGCCAAACCGCTGGGAGGCGGGGTCATCGAGAGGAGCGACGAGTCGGATCGGATCATGGCTGGTATGTTGTTGCGCGACGACTCTGCGTTCTGCTGTTTCATTGACACCCTATGTACAGGCTACACTGCGATTCTCGACAACACGGAATCCGTCGAAGACCCTCTGGAAGCCGAATCCACCGCAGACAAGTACACCGGTGCAGGAGCCGAGGATCCATCGCTCGCTCATGAAGCGGCGCTCCAGCAAGCAACGCGGCTGGCGGTTCTGCAGCTGTTCGTGCGCAACACGGACAGTCGCGCATCGTACCCAAATCTCGCCCACTTCTTGCTGTTCGGAAGTCCCAACAATAAAGAGGGCATCCAGGACCCCCATGCGCTGGGCTCGTCACGGACATGCATCCACTCTCTGTTGGATCTCGTCAACGAGGGTGTCCCTCGACTGAATGCCGCCAACGACGATGAACGAGACGACGACGGTATATCGGGGCCTCCGCTGTTCCAATCCCTTCCCTCGCTGGCGGAACCAATGTACCACGTGCTCTACCAGCTGTGTGTGCATCCGCGCAAGTCCGAGTTTGTCATGCGGTACCTGCGGACCAGAGAAGGTTTCTTTGCGCGCCAAGTGGCAGGTGTTCCTTGTCTCGTCCCTTCCATTGGCGACGAAGACGAAGACAACGAAGACGGCGACGAATCTGGGACAATTCAGGTCATGTACACAGACGGATCGCGCGTGCTGACCACGGTGCCGCAGTTGACGTCGTTTTTGCGGCTACGAAGCTGGATATTCGATCTTGTGTCCACCGAGATGCACGTTTTGTCCGGCAAAACGCGATGGAAAGGCGTCGACGATGTGCTGGGCGTGCTGTTCGGTGTCCAGAGCTCATCCGCCGTCTTCGCCGATCTCGCGCAAACGTCACTGCGACTGATCGAGTTCGGCCTGAGCCTGTCGTTCGACTGGGCCGACTCCCTGAGCGTGCAGCCGCTCGAGCTGCGTTACCTCGTGTCGTTGCCCTTGAATACGTGTGTGCGGCTCGACGCCGACGGGTGCGAGATCGTGGACCGGAGCGCGCTACTTCTACTGCTGGCCGCTGCGCGCAGACAGCTGACGCAAAACCAGATTCAGACAGAAAAGCAGCTGGCGGAGCTGCACGCGGAGATCACGTACATCCTCGAGTCCTGCGCGGTCGAGAACCACCGGCGGCAGGTGGCCCATGCGCGAGCCGCTTCGTACGATGCTTGGAAGCGGCTGCTGGATGTCGTGCTCCTCAAGTGTTTCGACCGGGTCCCCGCGGACCGCCGGGAGCCGATTCTGCTCGAGGTCCTCGGGACGCTGTTGAAACAAATCGCCACAGTCGATGATGATCAGAGCAGTATCTTGCTCAGCGAGGCAGTCGTGACGTGTGTGACGCGCCTGCGCGACGAACGGCGCGTGCAGGTTCTCCACGGCCGGCGGGGGATGCCGGTGGACCGGCTGGCTGCGATTCTGAAGACGATCCTGGAGTGCGTGGCGGACAATGTGGAGCTGGTGCGCGGCAACCTCTATGCCGCAGCCGGGCTGGTTGTCGGTGACGGCGAGCTGGTGTCTCTTGGGGACTCCCTGTCGCATGTAGATCGCCTGGTCAGCACCATCGCTCGCGACGCGATCGACGGGTCGGAGATTTGGCAGACTGTCGCGTTCATGCTCCTGGACTCTCTCCTGCGGCTGACATCGCATACGCCGATCCTGACGCCTCTGTCCAAGTACGGTATCCTCAGCAACTTTGTGCGCGGGCTGCGAGATTCCGATGGCCGGCTGGGCGACATACTGAAGCCAGACCCGGATGATCTGAACGCACTGTACGTCTATGAAGCGAAGATGAGCTTGTTCATCCGGGTGGCGATGACCAGGGCTGGGGCTGAGCGCTTGGTCGAGGCCGGGGTTGTATCTGTTCTGGCTGGGTGTGACTATGTCGACAAGCGGCCGGACGGCGACGTCAGTTTCGTCGGTGAGGCCGTTCTCCTTGAGCACTTCTATTTCATTTTCTCACGGACGCAGATGCGAGCACCTTCCTCCCGTCGGCAACCCACCGATATCATCAGCTGCTGCTCCCCGCACTCCAATTAGTCTGCGCGATCGTGGCTACGCTAGGAACAAAACACAGCACGGCCTCGAGCCAGGCGCGCGAGTTCCTTGCTGGCCACAGCGCGAGTGTAGTCATTCTCCTCAAGTCCGACGAATCCGAGCTCGACGGGCTTGCGGTCGTCGAGGAAATGCGACTTCTTGTGTGGCTGTGCGCAGGGTCACTGCCTGGTGTCCCAAAATCTGAGCTCGTGCGTGGTCTGATTTGTTTTCCCTGTCATGTCGCGCTGACACCACTGGTGCACAGCTCTCGCCGCATTCTGGGTTCGGGGCAATCCACGGAGCAATCCTCAGTCTGGCTGCAAAGAGCCTCGGCGGGCGATCGCTGCTGGCGGGTGTGACACCGCAGACGGACGCGGAACTGCTGGTCGTCTCCCAGTCGCCTTCGAAGTTCGACGCGCTGAAGCGCCAGAAAGAACGCGTTCTGCGGAGGAGCATAGTGGAGTACCTGGGCTCAGCGAGCGAGTTCACCGAGGCTGAGATTGTGCCGGTCCTGTCGCCTGTTGTGGTTGTGCCCAGGGGAGATAATCAAACCCGGTTCATTGGTACGTGTCTGCCTGCGTCTCTGAGACAAATCTAGTCTAATATTTGCATCGACAGCAACGCTCCCCACCATCGGTGATGCCATTTCGGCGCTCTCCTCTCTAGCAACGGACCTCGCTGCAGCCCTGCGCCAGATCGCAGCGCTGTCCGCTGAGCTCAGCGCCCCCGATCACGTGCGCATCGACCACGACATCCCCGGGTCCTCGGGGCTCGACATTCCACAAAAACGGGCGCTCGTCTGTCGCGCGCTCGAGACCGAGCGCAAGAGCCGGGAGACGGACGCGGCTGTGCTCAGCGGGACGGCGGAGATGATGCTGCTGATGCTGTGGCGGCACATCGCGCTGTTCGTGTCCCCATCGCCCTCCCCGTCTCAGCTTGCACCCCCGCCCGACCCCGAGTCGTTCAAGGCTGATGTCGGGGCACGCCTCGGGCCGGTGTTAGCCGGTCTGCAGGCGCTGGAGCTGGGTAAAGACGGGAAGCTGTATGTTGACATCATGGCGAGGCGGCTCAGAGATTGCACGGGCCTCGGCGGAGAAGACCACGAGAGTATGCAGATGTGATGTGATGCTGTGTATTGATACTCGTTCTGTTCTTGCGGTGCTATATTTACTATTTTCGACATGTGGGGAAGGAAGATGTGTGTCCCCCACTCCCGCGCGCGAGTGATGGCCTCGGCGCTCGCAGCAGGAGCAGGACGCCGAAAGAGTCACAGGCGCCGGCGGGGTCCCTTGTGTCCCGATATCAGCAGACCACGTCCCTATCTCTCTCCCTTCAAGGATTCGGTCCCCGAGATTGCAAGCGGTCTAGAAATTCTGCGACCAGCAGGCGATGGATTGGGCACACCAGATCCGAGTAGATCCGACCCACGCCACGAGGCTGGCTGGCTGGCTGGCAGCTTACGCAGTTGTCTTTCGGGGCTGATGTTCCTTATTGCAACAGTTGCACCATGCTGCAAGACACGCAGCATCGCAACTGGGTTTATCACATTTACGTGTGCGTTGAGGAATCAAATCGAGTGAATGCAGTTGCAGGTTGACGACGTGTTGTTACATTCTTTGTTGTATGGTAATGGTATAATAAAATGAATGAATGAGAATGCGGAAGTAGGGCGTTTCCGGAACGAGAAACGGTGCGTAGGTTAAGGATAAGTAAGGGGATAGGAATAAGAAGGAGAAGGAGAAGAATGGAACTGTGCAAGTGGGCTGGTCCGGTCAGAACCCGCCCAGACACCCCCCTTCCTCGTCTCTGAAGCTCGCACCAGTCAGCGACCGGCAGAGCGATGACACCGAGGCCCGGTCCCTGGCCTTCCTCTCTCTCCTTTCCTTCTTCTCTTTGATCTTGGAAGAGTCGAAAGAAAGGTCCCTTGGCGCGTCACCTAGCACGGCACACTCGGTTGAACGAGAGGCGGACGGAGACTCGGGCTTCTCGCGAAAGTAGCCCGCGTGCGAGTATGTCCCAGGGAGGTCCTCCTCTTCGTACCCGTCATCCTCCAGCTGCGCGCGCGACCGCGGATGGGGAGTCCGTGAGCGACGCGGCGACCGCCTGCGTCTCCGTTCAGAGGGCGGAGACGACGACACCGGATCAGCGGTGATTGGCGGCTGTGAGTGATTATAGCCGGGGAAGGGCGCCGAAGGGGGTGGCATCCCGAATAACGGGTATGAGTACTTTTGAGCGCCTGCGTAACCATCAGTACACATCGCAACGTAAAAACTAGAAAGCCCGCACCCATACCAGCGCATCCGACCAGATCTGGCGAAGGACTCGTGAACCCGTCGCTTTCGTCACTCTCCGAGCTCAGGTCAGGGATCAATGGAGGAGGCTGGGACGAAGGATACGGCGCATATGGGAAAGATGGGAGGCACTTGTAAGAAGCCGGAGATGCGGGTGCGGTGTACATAGGAAACGAGGTCGGGGGCTGCGGTATTGGCGGTTGGACGGGTAGTGCTATGTAAGGACTTGTTCGGGTGGGCGTCCGCTCGGGGTCGCTCTCCTCCTCCTCCTGGCCCTCAGTCCGGCAGGTCAAGGCACGCGGGTGAAATGACCGACCCTGGCAGTGCGCGTTTGGTCCAGGAGCAGTGGGCTTCTTGGTTGGCTTGCCGTCGTAATATGTTCGCCCGGGACAACCACGGGCGGGAAGAGCACAGGCATTTGGAGTCACGACGATGGGTGAGCGATCATACGCGGCAGAGGAATGCACGCTGAAGATACGCGTCAACGATGGGGATGGGGGAAAGTGGACTGTCGGGGGATGTTGTGGATGGGGCCCGAAGACGGGTGAAGTGGGTGAGCGTTTGAGGATCGGATGGGCGGGGGATGTTATCATCGCGCGGGACGATGGCTGAGAAGGGAGAAGAGATGTGTCGATAGGCCTGGGTGTATGGATAGCGACTTCGCCGGTGATGTTCCCGACGGGTAGGGTCTTGGAGGCCTTTGTAGCCTTAAGATTCGTAGGTGGGGACGGTGGAATCTGAGGCAAAGATGGAAAGGCCAAGAGGACCGGAGCAGCGCCCAGGGCTATAGCGAACGAGGTATACGGGTCATGGTGGTAGCAAGAAAACCAGTTTTGTATTTGTTTCCTTCTGTGACCGATGCCCGTTCGGATCACGCTGTCAACTGCCGTTTGCATCGCAATCCGGTTCCCATTCGGGATCGAGCCTGTGGGCTTGGTCCCGTTTCATACCCCATCCAATCCCTTACCAAGAACGGACCCCTGCTGGTCACCGTCGACCGCACGATCCGACACCCCTCTGTCGCTGCCCGACGCGTCGCCAACGCTCTGCCGCAGGCTCGTCTTTATCTGTTTGCCGGCGTAAATCGCGCACCTGTGCTCCGGCCAGCGCTCGGTGGCGTCTGCATGTGCTCAGATGTGCAGATTCCCCTCGTCCCATCACACACACAGACCTACACACCTCCATTCAGTGGCTCTTCTATCCCCGTGCCTTTTTTATCATCACAGTCTTCTCCATGACGCTTCTTATTCCAAAAAGGAAAGCGCCTCACAAAGGCTTCGTCTCGTCCCCGAGTTTACGCACGCTGCCTGCAGGGCTTGGCAGCCTTGGCTGCGCTATCTTCGCTTTGTGAAGCACCCCCGCTATAACTGCTTCGCGGGTCGGCGTTTCAGAGCGCGAGGACAGCATTTGCGGATAGCTCTCATCGCACCATACATGCCATCTCGGACCGAATCTTTCACCGGAGGTAACTGATGGATATGACAGAATGTCTAGACTGGCAGACAGAATGCATGGGGGTATCGAATGCGTGGGGTATAAACAAGATACTCTGACGTCGGCCTTCCTATGCGTTACACGAAAGACTCGAGGCTGATCCTGGGCCTAAGCTTGCCCTGCTCGAAATCCCATCGATCTCGTCGAGATGGCGAGAGATTCTGCAGGATCCGGATCATAGTCGCTTCTTTCTGACCTAGTCCATCGCAGAACAGCCTGATCTGGAGGATCACGCTGGCCGCACTCAATCTCTTCTCCGAGTCCTGAGCCCAGCACTCGTTGACCAACTCCCACATGGGGTCCGTCATTTCTTCGGATCCATTCGAGGGTCGCTGCGGCCGCTCGCCGTTGATGACCCGCAGCAGAGCTTCCGGCTCCTTGAGAGACGAGAAGGGCGGTTTGCCCGTGTAGAGCTGGATGCGATCAGCCACCTGACAAGATTAGCTCGAATCTTCGCACCTCGAGACAGACACATGCGAACGCAAACATGTCCGTCGAGCACGTGCGCTGGAATTTCACACCGAATAGATCCGGATACAACAGCTCTGGAGCCATCCATCGAGCACTCCCAGGTCGATTCGTCGTGTCGTTCGTGGCTGAAGTCGCATCGGAAAAACAGGTCAGGCCGAAATCGGCCAAACATGCGGTCCAGCTCGCATCAATCAAGACGTTGGCCTGTCCAAGTCATCAGCCATCCGGAACCGGACGAAGGGTGGACAGGCACACTCCACGAAGATCGCCGTGAATAATGTTTTTTTCGTGAAGATATTCGAGTCCCCGTGCGATGTCGAGCAGCTGCATACAATGAGCTCTTTTTCGAGTCATCTGGTTCTGACTCACAAGCTTATTCACATTACCTCGACCGTATTCTTCCAGATGCTTCAGAACTGTTCCGTTCTGCATCCAAGGCGAAATGAGACAGAGGGAATACGGAAACGTCTCCTGGTCGATCCCCATGAGAGGGAGAATGTTGGGATGCTGGAGATGCTGCCAGACCAATGCCTCGCGGCAGAATTGCTGGACTTGGGTCAGCCACCGGTCCGGCCTGCCTAGATAACGAACCCACCAAGCGCAACCGGCGCTGCTCTGCATCTCGGAGGAAGGTCCGCAAATGTTTGACAGCGACTTTGGTCTCCTGGAATTGAGCCTGATATATGTCCCCAAAACCGCCGCCGAAAGACGGATACGAGTCCCGGTCCGAAATGCCTGTGATAAACAAAGACGACGGAAGACGATCGCATGATTCCGAGAGTTTGATGATGAATCTTCGCGCCTTGCTGTTTTGGCTGCTGGCTAAAAGTCCTCTATCAAGCACCTGATAAGTAGTCGGTGCTGCATGCTGACAGTCGTGTCTAGGTGACGTACATTCTGAACCGCATCTAGAAAGCACTGGGCTTGGTCGCCTTCGAGCGCCAAAACGGCCAAGCGACGAGAGTCTGAATGCAAAATGCCGGAGACATGTCTAGCCAACTTGTATTCGTGTTCTTCTAGAGCTGTGCGTAGTGACTGGCGTTTCCCGTCATCAGTGTTCCCATCCTTGAAGCTCTTTCGGATCATGAAGCGACTGGATCAAGCGGACTGGATCAAACCTGCCTTCAAAATGAGGTCACGAGTGATGCGACTCTCCAAGACAGCGACCACCGCCTCATCATAGCCCGAAAGATTCCAAGTCGATCGGCGTTTTGCATCTGGCATCTCGTTCTGACGAAGAAATCTGTTCACATGGTTCGAGGGGCAGCTTGGAGGAAATAGGTGTACAACGCACTTTGAGCTGGAGAGGATGCCGACCGCATGCGACCAGTACGCTGTTGAGCTTGGAATGGGATTTCTTTGCTTGCGTCGCTAGCAGGAGGTGTTTTGACTATCGCTCCTCCCAGTTCAGAGACAGACAAAGCAGAAATAGGCGTCTCTGGAATGTCTTCAACGATAGGAGCAATCTCATCCAGCCGTTCGACGATCTGGAAAGATGACTGCGGCTTCCAAGCTTCAGGTAAACCCTGCCACGATGAGTGATGCCTGCTGCCAAAAACGAAAGTCGCGTACCTCGAAGACGCCCCGCGTTGAATCGAAACGAACGTGGATGTTGTGTACAAAGCTGCTGGGACGGCCGACATTGATGAAGGGAAGGCGAATGTAGATGTCGTCTTGCCAGGCTAAGCTTTCCGTCGGTATAGGAACTGTGATACTACGAAGGAAGATTCGCACCATCAAGTTCCTCTCCAGTCTGAAAGGACAGCCAGATCGAATTTTGATGTTTCAGCTCGAGCAATAAGCAGAATGCCTTCAATTTGCTTCGTCTCATATCCTTGACGTCGAGTAGGGGTATTACTTTGCTGAGCTTTCGATCGGAAGTCTGGTCGAGGCCTTGGGTAAGGATAGGCGGGAAATGAGCAGGTACTTACATTCGATTTTCGAAACTCCAGAGAGGTTTTCTCGAGGACCAACCACCGCGACCGCCAAAACCATCCGCGGGCTGTCAGTATTCCATCTTTCTTGACAATCACAGGTCCCTCTCTGACCACCAAGTGGTCCTCAGAGGTGTCGTTGTGTTCAGAATAAGCAGACTCGGTGTCAGATGTGTCGGAAAGAGGTGACAGGGTTGTGCTCATGTAGGGAGAGCGTGAAAGCTGTTGGGCGTTGATGGATGACAGAAATCGTGTTGCTGTGTTGGACACGCGGGAGACGACTCAACGGCCGCCTCGAGATCCGCATTCTTCCGGGCCCGTGGGTTTGACATGCCTAACCATCGTTAAGATGGATCCATTGACGTAAGTAGGCATTGAAAATCAGGCAGAGTGACGAATGCAATAGATTTGAGAACGAGTGTGTATGCGTTCAGGCTGAAGTGAAGTGTCGGATCACACAGCCACCATCATGGTGCGCATTGCGCAGCATTCTTGAACAAGGCTGTTACCTGGCTCCGACTTCACAGTATTCTCCAGTCTATCTGCTATGGCTCCTGCTCCCACAACCACCGAACAGTCTTTCCGGGCCAACCTCTCGCAATTTCGTTGGGCGCGTGGAGTCACGGATGACTCCCAGCAAACACAGGCATCACAGGCTAATAGCGGTGGCAACCCATTCTCACGTTTCTACAACGCCATTGGCGCCGGAGACTACATTCCTCTTAGATCGAGTGAGAGGTCGAATGAAGAGGAGGCGTGGTTTGCCCTGTCGCGGTGGGAGCGGTGCGTGTAGTCGGGCGCGTTGGCGGCGCAACTCATGTGCCTGCTAGGTTACTTGGATTCGGAGGCTGTTTAGTTGGGGCTGCCGTATGCTTCTTCGTCGCTTTCTTGACTCTGCCTTTCCTCGTACTTCCTGGCCGGTATGCCCACTTACTTTTGATTCGGACGTCCGAGACTAACCTCCTGCCAGTCCGAGGAAGTTCGCACTGTCGTTCAGCCTAGGCAGCTTGCTTGTCATATTTGGGTCTGTTCAGATGGCTCATATGCATCTCTCTTGCTCATGTGATTGTAGATTCTCGGTTCTTATTGGACCCTTGAACCACCTGAAACACCTTGTCACCGCTGAGCGCTTGCCCTTCACCCTCGTCTATTTCTCCAGTCTTGGGTTAACCCTTTACTTTGCCCTTGGTGTGAGCAACCTATCCGTTTCCGTACCAGGCGTGAACTGATTGTTCCATCAGCCACAGTCATATGTCGGTTCGCTCGTGGCATCTGTCGTACAAGTCTTCGCACTTGTATCATATGTGTTAGCGTATTTCCCTGGAGGCTCGGCGACATTGAGACTGGCAGGCTCGACTGCTATCCGTGGCGCATCTAGCCTGTTGCCCCGGTGAAGAGCTCACGAGAGCCTGATTAACCATCGTCTTCCACTCAGTCATACCATGTATACTTATTTCAAAGTCTTCCAATCATCTCCACATTCCCCGAAGGGTGAATCCAGAACGACTTAGGAACGTGAATGTCCATGTCAGAGCTGAAACCAAGATCATGGACTGACCCTAGATAAGATCTCAGATTAGATTGACCATGCTTCACGTGCTTCTTTGATTGAGCTCATCACGTGGAAATAGGCAGTCAGTAAATTCGTGTAATCAAGAGCGTCCAGATCTCTGCAGACTCCGACAACTCTCACAATGGTGAGTCCTCGATTCTGCATCTGAAGCGCTGCGCGCTGCTTCAACGGACTTTTCGCTCTACTGATACACTCCGTAGACCAAGAAAAGAAGAAATGGCGGCCGCAACAAGAAGGGTCGTGGCCACACCACCTTCATGCGTTGCTCGAACTGCTCGCGTTGTGTCGCGAAGGACAAGGCCATCAAGCGTTTCACTGTGAGGAACATGGTCGAGAGCGCAGCCGTGCGGGATATCAGCGACGCCAGCGTCTACCCTGGTCCGTGTGCTCGATTAGTCCTGCTGCCTCTCTCTGATGTACTAAACTTACCATTTCAGAATACGTTCTCCCTAAATTGTACAACAAAATTGCGTATTGTGTCTCGTGTGCCATTCACGCACACAGTGAGTGTCTATTCTGTTGTCAAGTTCCATCGCTCATGCATCGTCTCAGTCGTCCGTGTCCGTTCGCGTGAGGGCCGCAGGAACCGTGCTCCGCCCCCTCGTGTCCGATGGAAGGATGGCAAGAAAGTGAACCCCGCTGTAGCTGCTGCTGAGGACGCCAAGTTTGCTGCGAACAAAGCATAGGTGTAGGAAATCAAATATGCCTTCCTTTCGCTCGTTCCATGCAATCCATCCGTAACTTTCATCGCATTGTATGCCTCGGAGCCGGATTGCTTGACCAGGGTGGTCGTCCTTACAATTATTACTTGGCGTCATCGTGGTCTTGGCGCTGTGTGTGTAATCGTGAGCCAAAAACTTTCTGGCTCGATTCATAGACCAGGACCGAAACTACCCTGTGGGGCTCATTTAATGCGCACAATGCCCTAGCTTGCAACGCTAGCCTCAAAATTCAGTTCAACTAGTTTCATTTCTCTATCTCTACTTATGGAAGTGATGTCTTATGATGGAAAGATTTCTTGACGGCAGTGCGCCGCCTTCCGCCGCCTTTCGCTTTCCGTTGTCTTCGTCGGCGACGTGAGACCCGCACGTCAAGGAGTCGAATGTAAACTCTTACGGGGATGTGAGCGAATTTCGCTATGGCTTGACGCCCGATAGTTGTCTCTGTTTACTCGCGTGTATTGTGTGTGGTGCAAGAACATCTGCTTACCTCTCGCCTCAACCTGCTATGGCCAAACCCCTCCTCTAGACTGTTCCATCTTGGAGCGATACGCCGGCTTCCAAGCTTCAATTTCAGACCGGAATCCGCATCGTGAATTCATCTCCCTTGATCGCCGCACATCACCCACGATTATATCCACGACCATGTCGCGCACCCCCAGTGTGCCTTTACCGCCCCCAGAATCCGCCTCGTTCGAAAAGCAGCCGGGCCACACGCGTCAGGATCTACTTAATCACGCGAAGGGGACCGAGGAGTTCCTGGAAAGAAGTACAAAACCGCCATCTGACAAATCGAAATCGGCCGCTCCCTCCATGAACGCCAGCCCCAACCCATCCGCCCACCTTACAGTTCCGGGCTCTACGCCAAATACGCCAGCCTCTCCCCCTGCTCCGGTAAAGCGCGCTGCCAGTGCGTCGGCCCCTTCAACCCCCGCTACGCCATCTCGGCCACCGTCTCGGGCGGCGTCCGTAGTGTCCGAAACATCCCACAAGTTCAATTTGAAGGATCTGTTGGGCTCGGGCCCCAAGCTTTCCCGTCGTAATAGTGCCCGCAGCGCGAGCTCCCGCCAGAGTGCAGACAGCGAAAGCGAGGTCAGCCATAAGAGTGGAGCGGGGGTCTCTCGAGCCAAGAGCACTCGCAGTGCGGGTGGAGACTCCGTGGGGTCATTATCGAGCAAATACGGTGTGGTCAAGAAGGTGCGTTCTCCTTCCCCATGCCTCAGTACGCCGTGGCCAACGCAGACCTCGCGTAGATTGCCATCGGGAAGGGCGCCACGTCCGTCGTTCGATTAGCTCACAAGTGGGATCGATCTGAGGGTGACAAGATGTATGCGGTGAAAGTGTGTGTGCTCATGTTCCGGTTAGTCGCATATCTGACTTTCGTAGGAATTCCGCAAGCGACGACGCAACGAGACGGAAAAAGAATATGTTAAGAAGCTTACCGCCGAGTTTTGCATTAGTTCCACTCTCCACCATTCGAATATCGTTGAGACGGTGGACCTTATCCAAGACGAGCAAGGGCGATGGTGCGAAGTCATGGAGGTGCGTCAAGGCATTTTAAAGACTGCACGATACTGAGAGACTTGCTTCAGTTCTGTCCTGGTGGTGACTTATATGCTGCCATCAAGAAAGGTGGTATGTCACCGAGTGAGGTGAGTTGAGCTTTGTCTCTGCACGCTGATCTCACCCGTTTTTCAGGTTGAATGCTGTTTCAAACAGATCCTTTTGGGGGTCGGTTATCTTCACTCGCAAGGCGTCGCACACCGTGATTTGAAACCGGAAAATCTGTTTTTCGATGCAGCGGGACACCTGAAAGTGGGTGTTACTACTCTGATTTGAGACCCGTCTCACAGGGATGTGCCAGATCGGAGACTATGGTGCTTCGACGGTGTATCGACTGCCTTGGGAAGCGACGATCCACATGTCAACAGGATTATGCGGCAGTGAGCCCTATATCGCACCAGAACAGTTCTTGGGGAAGCGTGAGTGACGCGTCCAGTTGTTGGACATGGACTAATCTGGTGCTGTCTGGATGATAGCTTACGACGCGCGCATGGTTGATATCTGGGCCTGTGGAATCGTGTATTATTGCTTGCACTTTCAAGAGCTGCCTTGGCGCGCTGCGCAGCAGACCGATGAATTGTATGCATCTTACGCATCTGCAGCTGCAGCTACACCCCCTCCTCCTCTCGCTACCGCGAGCTCTGCCACAGGTCCCAATGCTCCTGTGGACCGAGATCGAAATCACACAAACTCTGCATTGGTCTTCCCTCCTACCATCAGCAATCTGTCGCCGAGGGCTTGCAGGCCACTCATTCGGAAGATGTTAGAGCCAGATCCCAAGCAACGATGCTCAATCGAGGACGTTCTGGGCTGCGCGTGGATGCATTCCGTTGAGATCTGTTGGCAGGTGGGAGACCAGGCTAAACACGTTCATGTCAACGCACGGGCCATGACGGCTGCTGTGCTTGGCCAGGCTACGGCAGATAGGTAGTATAGTACATTACTGTAATACACATTGAACTTGTAAACACATGAATGATCCACTACGCCCTTGATCCCAATGGAGCAAGTGATCATTGCGGAAGAGTAATTGACCAAATCTGAGGTGGCGAGTCAACGGGGGCAAAGCAAGCGAATGGAGCCCACGCACCTGGTTGGTGTTCCCGGACGTGCAGGCCCAGAGCTGGATCTTAAAGGCAGTTCAAGCTTGGCGTATCGCAACGCGGAGAAACACTAACGCCGTTGCCATCCTCCAAGCTCCCGTCTACAAGATCCAGACACTTGGACGAATCCCTGTTCCAATGGATTATGTCGGTGGGCTGGATAAGCACTTTGCCACCGGAGTTGTGCGTAAATTGCTGATTAGAGTTGCTGTTGGCAGCAGCACACGCCCAGACTTGCAGGCGGACTCCGTTGATGTCAGACCCACCGGTTACGTCAAGACACATATTGCCGATGTGGATATTCGCGTCCGTGAAGGTCCAGATTTGGTTCTTGGTGAGCGTTCCGCCGGTGAAGTCACAGGTCTAGGTAATCGAAGGTCATTTGTGCAACCGCCACTAGAGGTAAATGGGAGCGACCTGGATGACGACTGGTGCTCCATTGGAAGCGGCACTCATTGTGATGCACTTGAGCTGGTTGTCCGCGGTCAGTTGCGGATACACCAGACGGTAGCTGCCTGCTGAAGGGAGCGTTGTCGGACATGCTGCGTTGCTGTCCGGAGGGATGATTGTCTCGTTGACTGGAGGTACGTTCGGAGCATGTGTGAGCCCGAACGTTGTCGCATTCTGCGTGACTCGGTCATCGTGTGCACGAACGCAAAGGTGCCGCGTCTCACATAGAAACAAAACTGCGGCGAAGCGAACGCGTGCGAGTACCTGTTGAGCACAATCGATTTAGAGTTCCGCACTTGCACCTGCACTAGAACCGAAACAACGCACGCGCATTCGATGTATGCGCCATTCCGGAATCCTGCAGACAGCGGGAAGCCAAGCCCATTGATGGGCAGGGGATCCAAGCACGCGCGCAGAGCAGAAGCACCGCAGATGAAAGCCGAAAGAGCGGAAAAGCAGACCGACGACTTGGAAAGTTGCATGGCAGGTGAGGTAGAGTATGCGCTCCTTGCCGCCTCACCTCTTACTTATACACACGTCCTTGTGGCACGCTTCTCGAATGCGTTAGTGTGAGGGAACAGCTCAGACTCACCCCGGTTTATGAATTCTGATGCCTATCAGTACGCATTTCATTTGGAGGCGCACAATACAGCATAGAAAGTCAGTGAACGTCCAGGACGTCCGAGTCCCATTCATTCCTGAGACCGAATTGGCCCCTTTTGACTTGTGCGTATGTGACAAAGAGCCAAAATTCGATAGTAACACAGAAGCAGGAGATTCTTCGGCCGTGAACACAGCCCAGCAAGCGCACGGTCAAACACGATCGCAGCCTAGGGCTCGCTGCCTGAGATGTTCAGGCGCACGAATTCATGCGTCACGTGATCATCAGACTGATGCTCCAACCGAGTCCCCGCCATCACGGGGCTGCAATGGGTTTCAGCCGTAACCTGACCTGCGCTGGCTTGGTTAACACAAACAGAGCGCTGAGACACGAAGGATCTCGATCCTACGTTCTGCTAGTCCTGTCCCCATGATGATGATCAAAGATGCTCCCGATCTTGTGCCTGTGCTTGTCGCTCAATGTCAAAAATCCCCTTCCGCAACAGTTCTGTAACCTACTGGAACATGTGCGTGGGATGACTAGCAGATGAGGGGTCTCCGAAACTGTATGTGCCTCGGAAATAACCTTGGTGGCTGCCCGACCCGTATGTCGCGGCCTGAACAATCACCGAAACACGTCGTGAACCGTGTTCGTATGATGTCCCCGCATTAACATCTCGACGCGCTGATCATTCCCAGCCTGACGCTCGTCGGAAGCCGGTCCAGATGTGACGACGTCTCTTTCCTTCCTTCCTCTGGTCATTCCTACTTTGCTTTGGCTCCGCGCACCTTGCACCGTGCGCATGTATGCCGCTCGTCATTGTGGACGACCAGTCCTCTGTGATAAAATACCCGAGCGGAGTCTGGACGGGCGGAGGATCAAAGTACGATTATGAGCACACGACGTCGTCGTCCCACGCTGCTGGAGCTACGATGGTCTTTCCCTTCACTGGTGTGTCCCCCACCTGACACGCTCTGTGTCCCGCCGCGAACGTGTAATCAATCCCTGAAGGCTCCTCTATCTCTGTTGTGGGTGATTACGACGCGAATGTATCATGCTCGGGCACCTTCTCCCTCGACGGGAATCAGACAAACTTCGTTTCGCCAGTGCTTCCGCAGCCGCTCTACCACCAGACCATCTGGTCCGCTGCCTCCCTGGACGACACCGCACACACACTCACGTACACTCTCGGCTCTTGCGCGAATTCTCCCGGGACTGGATATGTTTGGTTCGACCACATCCTGTACACGCCATCTGCCAACGCCTCGACGGACGGAGTTATCTACTTTGTCGACGATGGGGACTCCAGTATCGTTTATTCGGGCAATTGGACTCTCGAGACGAACAGTGATGTGGACTTTGGACGGGCAAGCCATGTTGGACAGAAGGGGTGTTCATTTCAGATGGATTTTGAAGGTGTGCCGCGGGCGTCTCTGCCTGACTCCTGCCTGATTTTCGGGGATAGGCACCTATGTTGCTGTGTACGGTCGAGTAGGTAACGATTCCATCGGAGTCGCTACTCAGGCCTCGTTTTCGATTGATGGAGCGACCCCGATCGCATTCTCTGCGCCGTACCAGACCACAGTCGCATTCAATCAGCCCCTATTGAAGTCGCCTTCTCTTAGTCCTGGGAAGCACACACTCGTTAGCAACATCCAGTAAGTGCCTGAGCATCTCATGGGTTAAGTCAAGCTGACAGAGAAAGGTCTGGGACAGTATGGGTCGATTACCTCCTGTTGCAGCCCGATCCGTCTGTCGACTCCGTGACGGTCCCGTCTCACCACGGCTCTTCAAATGTAGGAAAGATCGCCGGCATCGCTGGCGGAGCCTTTGCCCTGATTCTCTGTCTGAGCCTCCTCGCACTGTTCCGGCAACGTCTTTTTGGAGCAAAATCCAGGAGGCACACGACGCCACCAGCCAATCCGACCGACGCAATCCCCATGCTCTACTCCTCTCCGCCCATTTCCGCATACTCGGGTTCTTCAGTACGATACCCCCCAACGATCAGCTCAGCATCCTCCTCCGACATCACGAATCCATTCAAAACACCTACTCCCACAGTGATATTTTCCGACTCTCGTTCTCCTTCTGCTCTTAGTGGGAGCCGGTCTACCACGCGCAGTCCTTCCTTTGGTTTTGCATCGTCATCGGGCCATTCCCGAAGAGCGCCAAGCTTGGGAGGGGACTCTGCCTCTGTCGCTGATCTGAAACACAGACAGCATCAGCAAACAGCCACTGCCTTGATGGCACCACCTTATCCAGCAGCTGCAGAATCACCTTCCGGGTCATCATACAGACCACTGCCTCAACCACCGAGCGCGAGTTCTAGCACCCGCGCCAGTAGCTCGGTCTACCACGACGAAATGGACCTTCCCCCAGTTTACACCGCACAATAATACTGTTTGTAATTCACATCTTATCTATCAGTTAGATCATGGGTATCCCGATCCCTCGTCAGTTGCTCGAGAGCAGAACATCGTAATGGCCCGGTCTGCCGTGTTTGAATCAGTGGACTGACGGTGGAGCTACCACTTCCACGTGCCTGAATAGCAACAGAATAGGCGGCAAGTCCTTGTCCATGGCGTCCTCCGGTGCAATCACCGTGAACACATCAGACTCTTGCACCGGACCCTGCAAGTGGCTGTTCAGTGTCGCAAGCTTCAGGGTAATCTTGAGAGCGTTGCAAAGACCCATGATCGCCAGGTGGTCTACATGAAATGAGACCCTGACCATGTAACCAAAAATACCGCACCTGCTTCAGAGTCTACGGCCTCGACCTGAGATTGACAGAAGGCGATGATGTCTTGGTCGAAGATGAAGTCCCGATACGGCTCAGGCCGAGTCCGGATCTCAGCCGACTGAAAAAGGGCCTTCAGCACGGCGTATTAAATCCCGCAGCCAAGCGCGCACAGCAACAAGACGGAAGAAGTACGACACATAGTCGGAAACTGGCCAACGAGTATCAGCGCAGCTCCAACGTGGTGGCGCCGGAAATACCTTCCAGAAGGCGCGTCAGCAGGTCCTCCGTGGTCAACGCGGCCCCGAAATCTTCGATAGTCTTCATCAGCTCATCAAGCTGCCCAGAAAACTCCTTGTAGATCTCGTCTTCAAAAGCCAGCGTCAGCGAGATCTCGTTGGAGTGCAGTACGTCGCGGAAACGCGCGACAGTGCCGGGGATGTCTGCAGCATGGAGCAAGCGGTCGAGGTAGCAGAATGCCAAGGCTGTCTAGACACATTGAGCGGGAGTTCCGGGGTGGAGCGCGCTACTTCACATCGATAGAAGCAGTTGCCGTCACCTGCGGGCATGAGACGTGCAACACGAAGCGTGCTTGTTTGCAAACCACGTACGAGCGGCGCGGCGGAACTTGGTGTACCCGTGCTCTTGAAGCCAGTCGATCTGGCGCACGACGCTCTGTGATCCTTCCAGATATTCCATTCTCAGTTCGGTCAAGGGAGTAATCTCTGCGATGAGCTTGGTCCGCGACGATGTGTCGTTGAGCATTTTCTGTGCGGAGTCTATCACACCCGCACACTGAGTCGTCTTTGGGTGGCAAATACCTCAGTCAGCTGTGCAATCTCCGCCGCGCTGAGAGAGGACAAGGCTTATGTGGGCTGGGTGTAGGTCATGTCCAACTGCCCCACGACAGATGCACGCACGGGTATTTTCATCGATTTCACGTGGAGCAGCGGGGGTAGATGCAGATTCGTCCATTTCTGGAAGTTCAGAGCTGCGCAATCTCGCTGTATGTAGAGTGCCTGTCAGGCGGATTCGGATGCGACGATGTAGGTGGCTGACGAGTGGCAGGGGCTTGTGAGTTTCCAGTCAAGGTGGACTCTGTCGGATTCATATCGGATGATAGCTTTCGCGTTATATGTTATCGACTCTCTCTCAAGGATGATCGTGGCAAGAAGGCAAAGTAGATGATTGTGGGCTTTCAAAACACAGCCACAGACACCTGGGTGATCTTTCGGACTTGTCCCAGTACTTGGCGCTTGCGTAAAGCTTGTTTTGATCCAATACGCGTCATATAGTTCAGATGCCCTGATTTTTTGGAAATTGAGCGTCTCCATTTGGCTCTGGATGGATTGCGAACAGCTATGAGATTCCCACCCTGGTCACACGCCTGAACATTCACATTGCTTGAGACAAATGGGTTGAAAGTCCAGCTCCACGTTTCATTTGATACTTGGCCTGGGCATGGGTCGGAATCGGTGCATAGCAGACCCATCGGGTCATGTAACTGAACGTTACTGCTCTGTATCTTCCAGTGCAGGGACGATCGATCCGATCATTCTTTAATCGCTTTCACGTGACTTAGATCCATGGCAGTCACCAGTGACGCGTGCGCATGTCACGTTAGGTCACGTTCCGTCCCTTCCCCTCATTCCATTGATCGCTAATTTACCCGGCTTCCGTCACCCCACCGCTTCCACACGCCTCCGTCAGTTGGGCGCTTCAGCGTACCAGTCAAATCCAGCTCTCCAATATGGCGGGTAAATCAAGCGCTCGGGATGGAAGTGGCGAACATGTGCTCCGTCAGCGGATGCACATCTTGGACCGCGCGAGCCGCTCTCTCATCGCCGGCGAGCCGAGCAGGAGTGGCAAGGCGCATGAAGTGCCTGAAAATCATGCGGAGGAGCTGCGTTCTCTGCCGTCCCCGCCTACCTCTTTTGCGTACGACTACATGGAGGAAGAGGACGAGGACGACTACGAGGACGAAGGGAGCGAACACCATCACCAGCATGGTTCCGGAGAAGAAGGGGGATACACACATCGTCCTACCTCCAATGAAGCGGCGGAAACTCGCGCAGATGCAGAAAGGGAACACGATGATGATGACAGTTCCAGACCCTGGTATCGACCCTCTCTTCCGGTTGTACTCGCGTTGGTACCTGCTGTGGGAAACTGGTTCACTGGCGGTGACCATATCAAGGACGTTCTGGTTTTCCTTCTTCTAATCTTCTATCTTCACCAAGTCATAGAGGGTTTGTTCCTTCTCTTGCACGATCGATTGGTCAAGGCTGACATCCGTCTGGCACAGTTCCATGGAGACTTTATCGGAGTGCCCGTCCTCGGCGGTCTCCCTCTCCTCACACCTCAACTGCTCCGTCACTCATTGCCGCCCAGGCCAATACCGAGCTCAGAATGCTTGAGTTTTTGCTGCTCATCGTCTGTGTTGCTGTCCCTGTTGCGGGCGTCTACATCCTTCGCTCTTTCTCGATCCGCATCAAAACTGAGGACGAGAGCGGTCCTACTCAACCGATTTCTTGGTTCTCTACCACTCTCTTTGCACTGGCTACCGCTCTACGACCACTGAGCGAACTCGTGTCTCGTATCACCAAACGGACGAGTACATTGCATGCGCGCGTTCATGCCCACACTGCACCCGCTGGCCCAGATCCTGCGTTAGCTCTGGAGCTGTCGGATCTCAAGGCGCAGGTAGCCAGACTGGAGACTGTGATCATGCGCATGAGCCAACGGGATGCCGAGCTGTATGCCTTCGTCGAAGACGCGCTGCAGCCTCTCGAGAAAAATGTGAGACGGATGGAACGCAGGGTTGGAAAATTGCGCGCAGCACAACAGCAGCGAAAGGATACGAACGGGGCTGCAGGTGCTACGCCTAAAACTATCTTTGTCTCCGCTCCCACGCACAACGCTCGCCCGTTTTCCTTGGCCTGGTTGTTCTCGTCTCCCCTCCCCTCGAATCAGCCATCCCTGTGCCGTCCTCGTCGCTGAAGTCCCCATCGCTCCCGCATCGTCGCCTTCTTGAAGTTATCCCGGAAGAGGGCGAGGATCACATTCCCTCTATGTCCCCGCCCATGTTTACTCCACAGTCGTTTGGGTCATTGATTCTGATGCTGGCCACTCGATGGGCTTCCGCTCTGTTTGGTCTGCTGGTGCTCCCTGTGACATTGACGCTGTGGCCGATCAGAGCTGCATTGCGCACTGTCGCCCCTTCGTGAACTGTTATACACGCACCCACACTCTCGTTTTCACTCTTGTACATTCAAAAAGTGGCCCTTTCTTTTGTCTCGAAACTCTGTATTCCTACTGTACCAGGTTGATACTGAACTACTTTGTGCCCGATGTCGGCAATTCCCGAAAGCTTGATACAATTTTGATGGCGACCACTTTGAGCTTTCGAAACCGCAGGTGCCAGAAGCAAGCGAAATAGCAACTTGCAACAGTACTCCTAGGCTCTATGATTGCCTGCGCAGCCTCATCGGTTACTTTCGAGTGCGTGGCTCATATGCTATCTGATTATACTGTAGGTTGTATGTAGTTTGAAAGACATCCTTGATCAGAGAGCATAGCAGTGGGATTTCGTTGCAAAAGACTCGAATGGCTTCAGAATACAAAGCTTAACATACATTGTCCATGGTCTTCTCATGATATTAGTGCCAATTTATGACCTTACAGTACAGGGTATTTCCTGATCAAGGTGGAACCTACGGCCACATTCACCAGAGCGATGCCGCGAACGCTCAGGGGTTCCCACGACCGCTCGAGCCCAGCGGTCGACTGCCGATAACGTCGTAGGTCTTGCCATGTCTGTTCATGGGTGGCGGGGCTGCGCGGTCTCTACACACGAACGGACGATAAATCTATTGCGAGAGCCACATCGTCAGGACCTAACTTACCCGTCCACGTCGAAATGGGTGCCCCGCTTAGGATCTGCCCGCCGTTTCTCGACGGACTTCTTCGTCTTGCGCTCGGGTCGCACGACGATGATGGGGACAGGTGAGTGTGTTAGACAGTATCTGGGCATGGGTTCAGCAAGCAGTGGGAGGATGCCAGCCAGGGGAAGACACGCACTTGCTGACGCTGCCCATCCCGCCTTTCCCTCGTAGCACCATGCCTTGCCACGCCTTCTTGCTGTGCGTACCGACGACGACACTATCCGGGCGGTACAAGGCTATCAGCCGATCGATAGTCTCGGTCACCCTGCCCGGAATGAATTCCACGATGATGGAAAGCTAAAACGTATAAGCCGGGCAAGGCATGGCTCGCGATAGGATGATACCGACTTTGCGATCGGGGTCGTATTCAACGCTCTTAGCCTGAACTTGCATGAGAAGTTGCCGCGCCTCCTCGCGGATGGGGTCGTGGTCCTTCTCTGGAATTTGAATACGTTAGAGATCGCTTCCCGGGCATCGTGACTGATATTGTACCGAACACGTCCTCCTGGATCCCGCGGCACACAACCAGCTCGTCACCATCCTGCACGAGCGCCTCCAGCGACCAGTCCAGCGCCTCTTTTCCGCTCTCGTCGGGTCCCGCAGCGCACAGAAACACGCGCGTGTGGCGGTTCCTCACATACCCCGCCGTCTTGACTTGCAGTGTAAACGAGAACATGGACGCGACGGGGTTCTCGAATGTGTCGAAAGAGACTTTCGGGGTGTAGCCCGGCGCTACGGCGGGCGGCACGACATTTGGGGGATGCGGAGAGAGCGATGGAAGGGGCGGGGACATGAACACAGGAGAACTGGGATCTCCGGAGGAGGGTGAAGGAGAGCGGCTGGTGACATGCTTCAGAACTGAGCGGAGCCCCGCTGAAGAGTCGCGATGGGAGGCATAGAGCGGCGGGGCGTGTAGCGGTTGTTCGGACATTAGTGAGTAGCTTCGAGTGGTGGTGGTATCTGCAGAGATGTAACACAGCCGTTGGCGGAGATTTAATTTTGTCCGTGCACTGGGCCGGCTGAGACCCACGCTGAATCTGGATTGCTCTCATCACTCGGTTCCGAATCCTCCATCACCCTTGTCTGTGCTATCCTCCCATACCCACTTTTTCTTCATCTTCCCCTCCTTAGATTCACGATTTTCGGACTCGGTCATGGCAAAGAACAAAAAAGTGAAGGAGAAAGAGAAAGAAAAGGAGAAGGAGAAGGAGAAACCAAGGCTCGAAGAGGTACCGGAGGAAGTGGAAGAACCCGAGGAAGAGTTCCATGACTACAGCGCCGAGGAGGAGGGGGCATTAGGTGCATACTGATGCTGTAATAACTCGCGATCGCCATCTCATTCGATCTCAGGATACGGCGAATACGATGGCTGGAACGCGACAGGTGCTAGCATCAAACCACCCGCGCAGGACATGGGCGTTCCGGGCGGGTGGGGCGCGGCCGAACCGGGCTGGGAGCAGGCATCACCCGAGTGGGGCACAGGCGCTGTCTCCGGAGGCGCAGCGCCCATCCCGCCGCCTGCTGCCACACACGCGCCGATCCCACCACCCGCTCAAATGAATCCACCAATTCCGCCCCCAGCCCAACTGCATCCGCCCTATCCCGTCGCCGCACACGCGGCAGCGATTCCCGCGACTAACAGGGCACCCCCAATACCGTCTGCTAAGAACCCAGCCCCGCCATCCAAGGGCCATCAGAAGGTCGCGGCCAAGGGCTGGGAGGGTTGGGGTGCGGAAGCGGGCGGCCAAAATTGGGGTTCCGGAGCTGCAGAATGGAGCACCGGCGGTGGCGCCCCTCCTCCCAGTCCACAGCCAGCTGTGGCCAGTGGATGGGCCCGAGCGGCTGAAGCTCAGTGGAAGACCGCCCCTCCACTCGCCGCGTCGGCTCCAAAGCAGTGGTCCGTGCCGACGGTTCCCGCTGCTGCCGCCGCACCGAAGACAGGCCACTGGACAACGTGGGGTGAAGAGTTGAAGCGATTACCAAAATCGACTTCCATGGGAGCTTCCGCTTCCGCTTTTATGCCCGTTCCCGCTGCTTATCCGGGTGCTGCCCCCGTGAACAAGCAGCAACAAAACCAGATGCTCTACGCGCAGGCGCAGTCTGAGATGATGAAGGGAATGTTCAGCCACCCTGGACGCGACGGCCGCGCGGTGGCGTTTGAGGAGCCCAGGTCGAGCCCCCACCAACAGCCGTATCCTGGATTGTACGCGCAGCCTCAGCCGCAGTCCAAGAAGAACAAGCAGAAGAACGATGGCTGGGGAGCACCCACTGAAGCGGCTGGGGGATGGGGTGCAGAGGGTGCTTGGGGAGACGGCGGCGGCGGCGGCGGCGGCGGGGGTTGGGGAACTGGTGGTGGTGGTGGTGGTTGGGGCGATGCTGGTGGCGGCGGTGATTGGGGCGGCAACGATTCAGGAGGCTGGGGCGCCAAAGACACTCCCCATGGCCTAGGGTCCAAAGCTGCCGCGTGGGGTAACGAAGTTGGTGGCGGGTGGGGGAAGCAGACGGGTGGAGAATGGGGAAACGAAACCAATGCGGGATGGGGAAACGAAGCTGGTGCAGGATGGGGAAAGGAAACTGGTGGAGGATATGGCGCTACGGGAGCGAACGACTGGGGCGGCGGAGGCGGAGGCGGTGGAGGCTGGGGCAACGGCGGCGGCGATGACGACTGGGGCGACGAGGAATACGAAAGTGAATACACCGAGTCTTCCGAAGAGGACGACGACCGAAACGGAATGCATTTCAGCAAGCCGTCATCGAATCTCTGGGGCGGGCACCAACGCGACTCGACGTATCAAATGCCCTCGAAAACGCTGGCACACGCCTACAAAGGCACGGCGACGCCCCTGTTCACAGGCTTGCCTCGAAACAAGATCAGCGAAGGGACGGACATTCGTTTCATCGATTCAAAAGGGGCGGCACTAAAACCCGTGGAACAAGCCATCTTCGGGCGAACGCGATACGCGCGAGATCGGATCCACTGGATGTTCTCGCCTCAGAAGGATGAGCGCGTTGCCTCGCTGCTGTCCTGGATCGAAGTCGTGTCGTACCGCCTCGCAGCGTATGGGGTAAAGCGTCTCGTTACACGAATATTGTGTGCATTGGTGACGTTTTGCCAGCTGCACCGCTTCCTGCAGAGTCGCGAGCGGGGTGCACTGCTCGTCAGCGCCGAATACAGGCCAATCAACCACCCTCAAGAGCCGGCGTTCGACTGGTTGACGTTCGACCAACTGCAGGCGTCGAAGGACAAGATTCTGCAAGAGTCGGTGGCCTTTTACGATCCTGCCGTAAGTGCCTTCACGTCCTGGGATGCCGCCCACGAGCGCTCCGCTGACGGTCATGGCAGGTGATCTGCGTCGTTTTCGTCTATCTACCCTCGAAGAGCGGCAACAGCGTCGCGATGTGGCGCCGCAAGATCAGAATCGGCAACGAGACGCGCGCGACGCGGATAAACGAGATCAAGCTGGCAATGGCTGGGCTGCGGAAACAAAAGGACTATGTCGTGCACGTGGACGAGTCGGTGACCCGCTCTCCCGAGACTTCAGCGTCTGACGCGGCCAGCAGACTACCTCCTGGTCATAAGAAAGCTGCGAATTCTGGTAAAGCAGCTGCGACGAAAGCTACGAAAGCTACGAAAAAGCAGGCAGGCTACTCCAGCTCTGCCCGTCCTTATGCCCCTTACGAACCTGCCTCCGCGAAGAAACCCAAGAAGCGGAAATGGTGGCAGTTTTTCTGATACCTCTTGTTTTGATGGTTGCTTTTTTGTATTGTGGTTATCTCCTGCTATCTGTGTAAAATCTAGATGTATCCTTGTAGTCGCTTTGTGTAAATCTGTACATGACTGATGCAGACGAATGAACAAATTGATGATTTGAACGTTTTTTGTGACGAACAACTCAGACGGAATAAAAGGTGGATTCCACTATGTGTGTATTCGATAACCGGCACCATTATACATGAGGCAACCTAATTATGATATTCGTACATTCATTGATACATTCATTGATGGCCCCTTCCCTTTACTGATTCCAGACCGTCACGGTCGCCGCGAAGCCGTTCGGGTTCGACGCCTGGTCGACGACGCCGACCTGGTTGACGCTCAGCTGATACGTCGTGCCCACCGTCGACAGGCTGTAGATGTGCACCGCCGTCGAGGCCGAGTCGACGTTCACGATCTGCGCCTGGCAGTTCTGCGGCGTCAGACACTGCTGCTGGTAGTTGTTGAAGAAGTTGTACAGCCCCGCGCCGTACACGAGGATGTCCGACGAGGACGTGATGCGCAGCGCCCACGCCGAGCCTGACCACGACGAGGGGTCCTTGAAGGCGGCGTTCACCGAGAATGGAGCGGGTGGCGCAGGCGACGGCTGGAAGTATGGCTGTGCGTCTCTGTCAGCATTGTGTGACACTACCTCAGGCATCATTGCGCACCGATTCTGTTTGGATCAAGCCAAGGTAATGGTTCTTGGCCTTGACGAGATTGTACTGGTAGAGGACGTGGTGTTCAGACGCTGAAAGCACTGTCAGATAACCACCCGGTCCGGAATGCGTCAGAAGCTCACATGTTCCAATCATCCAAACAGGACCAGCGGATTCGGACAGGATTCCGCGACCGGAGAATATCGAGATCTGAGACTGCGCGGCCGTATCGAGGTCATGATCCGCTAGCCAGACCCAAGTACCCTAAGGATAATTCAGTTGGAGTTAAGTCGCCGACGTGAAAGCGAGGACATACCTCGAGATAAGCAGACGAGGACGATGTGAGATGGAGTCCAGCAAACGCAGCCATGCAATTAGCCGTGCCGCCGGTGCCGCTACTCGGACAGTTGCCGGCCTGGAGGTTGGTGCCGATAGCTGCGAACGTTTCAAAGTCAGCATGAGACAAACGAGGGACGAAGGGACGACCACGGACCTCCTCCCAAGCGGATATGCGAGTCCCACATGCCCGCCGAACCCTGGCTCGACTGCGCGATATTCCACTCTACGACGATGGCTCCGCCAGCCGGCCCGATGGTGACGAATACGATGTCGGAGATCTCCATGACACCAGTGGATCCCGGTGCGCCGACTTGCACGACCGCGCGGGGGTTGTTTACGTCCTGGAACGCAGACCCACGTCCGGCGATAACCGACCACGCTTCACCCACGACCTGCGATCCGGCGGGAATGACGAGCGTCGAAGTCACGACGTAGGTCCCAGCGTCGAAGAAGATGATCTTGCAGCCAGCGTACTGTTCGGAATCCAGTCAGCATTCCCCTCACTGTCATATCTTATCCGATCGATGGCGTACCGTAGCAAAGATCGCGTTCAGCGCAGCCGTGTCGTCCGTGTTCCCATCGCCTTTCGCGCCGTGGTCGCGCACGCTCACGATCTGCGACACCGCGTAGTTCGCGTACTGCGGGTGCATGCGCCCGAAGATCTTGCCGCTGCCATCGAGCAGCGAGCCCGGCTTGCGCGGCGCGGCAATCGGGCCCTGCGTGAAGTTCCCCGCGCCGTTGGTGCCGGTGTAGACGTTGCCCTGTGCCCAGGACGCGACGGTGGTCGACCCGGAGGATCCCGCGAGCACGACGGCCCCGCCGGCGACGCCGACGGCGGTCGGTACGTTGTTGAGCTTGATGTTGTTCAGGACCAGCGAGCCGCCGAGACGCCCGTTGCTGGCGGTCGAGGTGCGGACGAAGATCGGGGTGTTGGAGATCGTGCCGTCAATGATCGCCTCGGCGCCGACCGTCTGGGCAGAACTGCCACCCCCGGTGGCAACGTCGAAGCCGACCTGGCAGTTGTTGAAGGTCACGCCTTGGAATGTCCAGCCCTGGGTCGATGAGTGACGAGCTCAGTCGTTAGATAGGCACATACCCAGTTCCAGAGGGCATAGACGGCGGTCTGAGCATTGTTGACAGTTATGTTTCGGACGGTGAATCTTGGAGATGCTCAGTCCTGCAATCGCAGAGGGGAGTGATAGATAGCACATACTGCTGGTTTCCGACCCACAACCCAAACTTTCCTCCGTTGAACACCAAGTCGCCCATGAATCCGCCACTGCCATTCTCCATCCAGATTCCTGACAGGACTCTTCAGAACCTAATGGGAAAGCGATCGAGTGAGACATACCCTGGTGAGCGGTATTCGGCGCCGATGACATGTTGATGACGATGTTCATCAGCGACGTGGCTTGGGCCACTTGCCAGTGGATCCCGGTTCCCTGGGACAGGGTCGCCGGCACACGCGTCACATCGATCACAAAGTTGCGAACACTCCTGAAGCTGGGCCCGGGCATCGGTACCTGAAAGTTCCAAGAAGGGACTAGATCGACTCACAAGTTGTTCTGGTTGGTGTACCATTGCGAGCCAAAGCCGTTGGGGATGTAGGGGTCGGCATCTGCAGCATCAGGTTAGATCCAAGGCGGTACTGCAATGCCAGCTAGAACCCACCGATGACCGCAATGTCAGAGAAATTACCAGCTGCGAGCAAGGTCGGAGGGTGCCTCGCGTCGCCGATCAGCTGTGTGTAGTAGTACGCAATTATCGCCTTGGATACGAGATAGGTTCTGCGTGTAAGTGTCAATCGATCAGGCAGCACAATCGCCACTTGCGCGCGACGCACCCAGATGGGAAGAAGACGAGAGCCGGAGAGACTCTGCAATCACAAGACGAATGAGACGGATCATAGGTCTGCGACTAGAAGTACGCACGTAGAAGAGCCGCAGGATCCTCCACCACATCGATTGCCAGACGCGATGGCGTTGCTGTGACGGCATTGAGCGAGCATTCGCTGGGGGATCAGACAAAAAACTAACTTGATGGCAATAGTGTCGTCGGTGACGCCGTCGCCGCGAGCGCCAAAGTCCTTCACGTTACGATAGACTTGATATGTGGAAGGGCTGGGTCAAGAGGCTCAGTGAGAGCTGGCGATCGGCCGTCCAAAAACTCACTTGGGATTGTAGGCAGAGATTCCTTGATGTTTGATATTTTGCAGCCAGTATGGGTCACCGGCAGCAGCGCTGAGCAAAAGGACGATCAGCCCTCCGTGGGACCAACGAGCAGAGATCGACTCACGTCCCTGGACCGAGCGGGGCAGAGCAAGACGATCCGAGAGCATGCGCGACAGAAGCAATCGACAGAAGGTAGGCAAGAAAGAGCATCTCTGCAGTGTTGGCCAAACGACTCTGTGTTGCTGCTTTCTCTTGACCAAAATACCTTTGGGCTTATATACCCTCCAGCATGCGTCATTGCCAAGTTTCCTTTTCTGCGCGCGATGGTTCAACATCATCGCACGAGACACGGACATGCTCCGTTCTGGACATCGTCTTCCAAAGCCTGGCGTGCAAAATGAGCGTGCACGGCCTCGAGATCCGACGGGCAGTCAGGTGAAACCTCGCCGGGCACTAGACAACGCATAGGACCGGGCCTCGGGATCAGGTGCTAGTTGATACGGACAGAAGGCCCATCGATGGACGCAGGCACTGTAGCAGAAGCAGCAGAACCAGTTCGTTTCAGGGCTGGATAGGGTAAAACGAGACCTCTTCTCAAAATGTCGTAGGCTGCGTGACGCCGCCGTGATGGACTATAATGAAAGATGAGATGGATGTCGGCATCGACAAAAATGAAATCGGCACTTGGCAAGACACAGGTCGAAGGGGAGCAAATCACGAGCGTGCCTCGTTGCACGCTCGACGCGCTTCTAGCGTAGGGCTCCACCGGAAGGCGTGTGGGCCAAGCAGCCGGATTCTCTATCCGCCGATGCCAGGCCGTGACTCGACCACACCCGTGACCGAGAGCACGTCACGGTGTTTACGCGGTGTTTACGCGTTCTGTAAACCGGCACACCACGGCCACTTGTTCGTCGCGAAAACCCGATGCCGGGCCCGTCCAACTCCAGGCGAAAGGGGAAAAGAAACCCGAGGGTGCATGCGAAACCGCGCCTGTCGCTAGAAAGCACCTCCTCCGCCACGACCAGCGACTCTCAACTCGAGGTCCGAACGCCATCCCCCGTCGAACCGCTCGTGCACGACCGGGAGCCTGTCTTCCACATGGATGGCAACGAGGAGCATGTCTTCGCGCCCTCGCTTCTTCCCCAAAAGCCCTTCATACATGACCCCGGCAACGGCCATCGCGTCCGCGACACCCGCGCGTTCTTGACGTCCTTCTTCGCGCAACCGCCTGCCTGGGACGACCCATTATGTGCCGAGTTCGCGCAGGACGAGATTCTCGAGATGTTGTGCACCGTGCTACCGGAAGAGACCGCGTTGGTATGTAGATTCCCGGCGTGAGTATACCGCAGAACTGACTATCGGCGGCAAGTAGATCTTGTGGTATAACAAGAGCAGGTACGCACGGAAGTCGACTACAGCAGGTCGTGTGCTTACGAGGAATGAAGGTCCACCAGTCGGATATGCCCCGCTTGCCAACGACTATACCGTCTGGGAGACATCTTACCCGGCCACACGGACTCGGATGTCGAGGAAGACCCATCGGAACAACCTCCGTTACCCCAGCTCGAACGCGAGCAGGAGATTAGTGGGCTTTGTCAGTGGTCTATCTCCATTTTCTGCCAAAAGTACTGATAATAGCCTGAGGCTCCACTGTTTGTTTCGTTCTCGCCTCGTATAATTATCCCGGGGCCATAAAGTCAGCATGGGGCCACCTCGCAGAAGACATGGACGAGGGAGCGTGGACGCTCTTGAACAGCGCAGGAAAGGGAGCCGTCGACTCGCAGGTCAGCTTGGGGCTCGGCATGCTCGTGCGCATGACCCGGTTGCAAGACCTCGGACTGGCGCAGTTGTGTGTCCCCGAGATGGAATTTGATGACGACGACGATATGACAGCGATGAACCACGTATAACGGACGCGTAATATTGCATTGCATTACTTGTATATCTTGCCCACCGCATCTTCAACCAAGAACTTGGTATACAACCTGTGCAGGAAAGCGATCGGCTCCGGCATCTTCGCGTCACTCTTGCCCTCGCCCTGGAAGAACACACACGTGAACTCGAATTCAGCCACGCCCTCGTCCGGCTTCACGGTCGCGGTGAGCTCGATGATCCCATCCGTGGTGCGGACGCCGTGAATGCGTGGAGAGTCACCACAGCGTAAGCCTATGGAGTTTGGTTCGCGCCAGAGTATCTCGAAGTGGTCTGTGATATGTTGGCCGACTGGATAGGTCGACTCGGAGAGTTGTGAGTTATCCCATAGCTGATAGGCCGTGTCTGAGCCGCGATATTTGCGCTCCAAGTACCGGCGTTGGAACTCATAGGCTGTCGGTAGTGAATCAGACCCTCCAAAACCCCGCGAAGTAAGAAATTTTGGGCCATACCGACTCCGCTCCATACTCCAGCACAAAACCTCTCAACCAGCTTTCCCTCTTCTTGCAGCAGCCCAGGCTCGATATCTTTGAGAGGCACGCGCCGAACGCAACGATCGTACAGCGCAGGGAAGTTGCGGTTCGGGTTCAGTTTGTTGTAAATCGGAGAAGAATAAATCGGGTCGGTGGTGACATCGTAGGGAACGAACTGAGCTCGGCGGGTGTAGTATAGAAACCCGCCGAAACCTGCTGCGCCTACGGTGGTAGTCACAGCGAATCGGGACGCCAATCGTATGGCTGAGTGCATGGAAGTACAAAGACGGTCAAAGTCACCGTGCGGACACTTTAAGTAAGGCAAAACATGTTTGTCTGCCACTGGTGCAAGCGCCGATCTGGTCCGGTGCGAATAAGCGCAGAGGCGGCATTGTATGTTTCTACTCGGAAAAATGAAATGCTGACACTCCAATTACCACCGCTACGTCAGCAGACACTCGTTAAACAGCAACGTTCAGCACCGCAGGGGATGTCAAGATCAAGGGAAACTTGAAGGCGTCGTTGAAGCATACAAACGACCGCGCACTTCCCCATTCAGCTTGCATTCCACTTGTTCAAAGAAAAGTCCACGATGACGCGATGCCCGAGATATTTTGAGCGTGGATAATCGATCACACAGTGGAAAGAATTTATCGTGCCCCACTTTCGATTCATGCTCGGAACTAAGGGACCGCAGCGTCCTCGGCATTGAACATGTGCTCCATGGGCGACACAGGGCTTCGTGGGGTGTATACGGAATGGAAGGAGGGGAACAATCGGGCAGGCATTCGCGGTCCGAGAGCACATTGGGGAGGGTCGGAGCAGCCACGTTTCAAATCGAAAGGAGACATATAGGATGAAAGCCATCTGGATTACTTGTCCGAGGCGTGCGGTGTCAGATGATAGTTTCCCCGAGCAGTCTTGGAATATCAATACCACCTTGGTACCACCTGCTGCGCTGCGATCTTGAGGAACACCATGGTTTGCACGTCACATTCCGAAGCGCCGATTGTCCACGGAAAAGAGTAACCTGAAGGAGTACCGGTAGATTGCTGTGGAGAAATCGGGACAGGTTGATAATCCGAGCCCAGAGGTTGAGCCGATGATGACTCGACCACTCAAGGAACCAGATTCCAATCTCGAGGGGTATCTACCTTCTGTACGCCTGTGTCGTATCACTTCGAGTAGTAACCAAGTTTGGTGCGTGAGACATTGAACAGGGGCGCCAAGAAGATTGGCGCGCTGGGTGAAAAACTCGAAGACGATCAATCTTGATATTTGAGCTGACGAAAGCTTGAATCTGCGGCCGAAGTTCGATAGGTTCTGGTCCTCCTGACTACAGAGGTGGCCAACATCCGAGCCATTAGCCTGGGTTAAGAACCTCGTAAGCCAATATCTCGGTTGACATCAGTAGTATCCGTAAGTTCCGTATGGTCATGCTGGACGGAAAATCGTTGGTTTAGATGAAGCAGTTGAACGATCCCTGTCATATAAGCACACAGCACATTCTCCACACAGATAGTGCATGTGTATGTGAGTTTGAGCTTTCGACTACGAGGTGCCACCATCCCAAGAGAATATAAGATGGGGAGAGACAACACTACGAAAGCATGAATGCTATGTTTCAAGCTCCGAACTGCTCGCCGCCGATGGCCGAAGGTGATGACACATGATGACCATCAAAGAGCTTGAGTGCGTCCGTGCACAGAATCGGATGATCCCGGCCGCAGTTTCAAACTCCGCCCTGGGGTAAAATTTGGCTGACCCTGCTTTACCTGCACCACAGAGCGCATACGAGTTATAGGCGTACGCCCACCGCCAAAACCTCGATAATCACCAGCTCTCGTTCCACCCGACTTTTCCTATAAGGTACGCTCCTTGCTCCATGCTATGTCTTTTGGGCTCGAAAACTCTCGATATATGCTATCTCGTCGTCGTAGACAACGACGTTGAGCGTGAAGGGCGCGTTATTTGTTTGGCCCCAGACGCGTCCTACCCATCATCACCATTATTCTCCCCACATATTCCCCACAGTCTTTCCACTTTCTTCGACTCTGTCATTCCTATGGATCGTCCTTACCGGTGCTGATCGTCGCGTTTCGTCTCTAGATATGCCGAAGGAAGCAAAACCGAAGGTAAGCCTCCCGCATGCCATCAATCCTCTTTCTGCTGGTTGTTCCTGCTCTTCCCACGGTGTCTCACGTTGTTTCTTCGTCGTTGTGGATCTCTGACACGAGCCATGGGACGTCGTGGTGTCACGCCTAGTCAAAGAGACGCATCACTCTTTTCTAAATACCTTGCATCCTGCTCTTGCACTATTCACTCCCTCCTATCCGCGTGTCCACACCGGCCCGCCGTTGTCCCATCTTGCCGTTGCAAAGATCACACTGTCTCGAACGTCCCTTTCCGAAGTCTTCCATAAGCGCATATATCGCCCTGTGACGCCTTGCTAACTATTTATACAGCGCAAGGCTGCCGAGAAGGCTGAGAAGCCGGCAAGAGGAAAAGGCGGCAAGAAGGACCCAAATGCGCCCAAGCGCGCGATGTCTGCGTACATGTTCTTCAGCCAAGACTGGCGTGACCGCGTGAAGACTGAGAACCCAGACGCGAGTTTCGGTGGGTCTCGTTCCGTCTTTCGCAATACTGTGAGCTAAGACCATCTTCAGGCGAACTGGGAAAACTGCTTGGTGCCAAGTGGAAAGAACTCGATGAGAAAGAGAAGAAACCCTACGTGGACCAAGCTGCGAAGGACAAGATTCGTGCAGAGGATGAAAAGATCGCCTATGAGGTCCGTGATTCTCCCCCAAGCGTTTGTTTCTACTCTAATGCGATCTGAAGGGCGGAGGTAAGAAGAGCGCCCAGGCGAGCGGCGAAGAAGACGAGGAGGATGACGATTAGGCGAGCTGTCTTGCAGATGGACCTGACTGTACTACTGATTGAGCTTGTCATTGACGAACGACGTTGCGCGATGATAAATGCATCGTTGTACCATAGATATCTGTCTCCCGCTCTGCGTCGTGCCGACATATACCTCCCTACATTACTGTTGCTGTGTTACAAATAAAATTAGTTTCTGCTTTTGGCAATTCTGGCATCGAATGCGAGGTATGTTGTCGTACTAGGTCTCGTACGCACAATTAAGTGGGCGCGGCCACCGAAGTTGGTAGTTGAAAAAGTGACTGAAAGTGTAATTCAGTTGATGTTGGAGGCACATCAGAGGCGGTGATTGCCGGACTAGTGATCATATTTGGGAGTTTTCACTTATCTACCACAATGTGACTTTGCACGTCCGCATATAGTTGACGATCGTTGACTGAATCCGACTCCAGTGCCGGATCGGTAGGGAGTCCAACGCAGACATGCCTGCCGCCACATCGCCATACGAAGACTGGACCAAGGCGGATCTCATCGCAAAGCTCATGGAACTAGAATCAAAACGCGAAACGACGCAATCGGCGGCGCGAGAGAAAATCGACTTCGCCTGCCACGCGCGGCGCAAGATCGCGCTCAGGTTCTGCTACGCCGGGTGGGCGTACAACGGGCTGGCCGTGCAGGCGCAGCCGACGCCGCTGCCGACCGTCGAGGGCGTGCTGTTCGCGGCGCTCGCGAAGGCACGGCTGGTCGATCCGGATGCGGGGATGGACGGGTGTGGGTGGGAGCGGTGTGGGCGGACGGATCGGGGGGTCAGCGCTGCGGGGCAGGTCGTGTCGCTCTGGGTGCGCAGCGCTTTGCGGCCAGAGGAGGATGCATCGCGCACTGGGGAGACGCTTGGCTCTACCCGTGCTGAGGATGCGGAGGCCGGAGAAGAGGCATGGGGTGAGGGAGATGATGACTTTTCTGGCGCGTTCGACGAGACGGATTTCGCGGGGCCCTCTCGCTCGAGCAGCGCACAAGAGCAAGAATTCCACTACGCGGTAGTTCTCAACCGGATCCTCCCTCCCACCATCCGGATCATTGCTTGGTCTCCGGTCTCGCCTGACTTCTCTTCGCGCTTCTCCTGCCAGTCCCGGCATTACAAGTACTTCTTTAGCGCGGACGAGCTGGATGTCGGGCGCATGGCGGACGCGGCTTCGCTGCTCGTGGGGGAGCACGACTTCCGCAACTTTTGCAAGTTCGATCCGGCTAAACAGCTGACCGTGTACACACGACGCGTGCAGAGCGCGACGATCAGCGCCGTGCGCGACTCCGATTCAGATGGGATGTACGTGTTTGATCTAGTGGGGAACGCGTTTCTGTACCACCAAGTGCGCCATATCATGGCGATCCTGTTCCTCGTCGGATCCGGGCTCGAGCCACCGTCGGTCGTGTCGGCGCTGCTTAATGTGGCGCCGGGTGCCGAGGGCGACGCCGACGCATCTCTGCCCGTCGTGGACACGAAACCCGAGTACCAGATGGCCGACGGCCTGCCCCTCGTGCTATACGCGTGCCACTACCCCGCCGGCGCGTTGGAGTGGCGGTCCGATGCGGAGACCACGACGTCCTCGGAGGGGCTGTATCGGCAGATGCACACGGCGCTCGGGCGGTCTGAGATGTTCGCCACGCTCAACCGAGTCTTCCTCGCCGCGGCCGCCGTGTATCATCCGAAGCCGCCGTCGACGCTCCCGATCCACGAGACGGGTTTCGCTGTGGATGGGAAGACGGCGATGAACGTGCCCCTCGGCGGCTCGGAGGTCCGGTGGGTGGCAAAGTACGTGCCGGTACTAGAGCGCAAGCGCGGGGACCATTTCGAGGTGGTCAACGAGCGGTGGAGGCTGGGCAAGGGTGCGAGAAGAGATGAAAGGAAGAAGGCTGGGACCGAGGAAGCGCCAGTCTGTCCGGCTTAGCGCGCATCTGGGCTGTCCCATGATGTTTAGACTCAAAATCCTCGCTAGTGAACATACTTGGGCAGAAATCAAGACATACGCCGCAGAGGAGCGATGTGCGCAGTCGAAATCGAGCTTGAACCGGCTCGCGAGCATGTTCTTGGGTGCAGTCCAAGCGCAATCATGGTGCTAGAAGGCTGGGTATGACATACAGACTCTCGCAACCGCGGGGCGATGCAGGGGGCCACTCTCACCATTTCGTCCCCCAGATATTGGGAGCAGTGAGTTACGTCGAGAATGCTTGAATCAGGCACGAAATTGGGACAGAAATAGATAACTCGGTGAGCTCGGGGTGCATTGCAACGCCTCACATGGCCTCTCGGTGGCCAGCGTCCTCAAGGACGTCTGTGTGAAGGATCGAATATGCAAATATGCAAATTGTGACGTCGTATGCTGCTTGAGGGCGCTGAATCGAGTAGGCGGCACCGATCCAGCGACCAAGCAGAACTCAATTTGTGAAAAATCTGACATGCCGATGCAGGGCACAGACAGACATCTATCTGCACGACCGCAAGAACCGTAAGCCAAGCAACCACCCGGATAATCTCAACGAGGCCCCGAGACTGATGGTACATCATGCGCAGATCGAGAACCGAGAAGCCTGAGAACGATTCTGGCGTAGGCCGACAGGCGACGAGATGTTTCATTCGTCCAGATGGCGCAAACATTTCAATTCCCACATCCGGTTTAGCGCAGAAGTAGAGACTCTGCAGGGACGATGTCGACATACTTGCATACGGTTGCAGAAACGTGGACCGTCGATCGCACTAGCGCGTACCATCCCCCTGGAATTCTGGGGCAAAGAGTGTGGGGCAAGGCAAGATCTTTGCGAAGCATTAGCTGTGAGCATGGGAGGCTAAACTACATTGGTTTGCGCAACCACTCGAACGTTCAACTCCGTAGTCTACGTTCCACTGGGACTGTAAGCACAATTGTTCCATTCCACATAAGGGCTAGATACACTTTTTACGACGGGAGGCAGGTGATGATGGAGCTGAGTTTGCTGATGACAGTAGCCTGGTCGGCAACGCTCGCCTCGGACTTGATCAAGTCCTTGCTGGCGATGAAGGGGCTGACGCTGGCGTAGCATCCCGAGGCAGTCACGACGTCGTTCTCGCTGGGCAGGTGCTTGGAGCCACACGTGTTGACGTCGTCCACGAAGATGTTGTTGTAGATCCGGCTCAGCACGAACTGGAAGTCGTCGCCGGACGCGCACGCAGAGGAGATCGGCGGGTAGTTCACGTTCAGCGACACGCCGCTCGGCAGGTACGGCTTGCTCCCGGCCAGGAGCGCGTTGACCAGCCGCAGCGTCGCCTGCGAGTAGATCTGCGCCGCCTGCGAGTTGGCCGACGACGGGTCCGACGTCAGCGTCGTGTACGAGACCTGGCTCCCAGTCGAGCCAGAGACGGCAATCGACGGGATCCCAGCAATCACGGCAGCCGAGGCGGCACCGCTAGAACAACAGAATCAGTGAGCAGTTTGAATCGCGAGTGCGGATGGCACGTACACAGTGCCAGACAGCGTCGTCGCAATGCCGATGTTCGCACCGACATTCGGTCCGCTGACGACAAAGTCGGGCGCGGAGCCAAACAGGTCAGGCGCGAGCGTCTTGATCCCAAAGTTCGCCGAGTCGGCGGGGTAGGCATTGACGTAGTTCAGCTTGTCGTTGCTCGGGTCGGATCCCTCCGCCGGCGAGCCCTTCGGGCACGAGTTGTACTCGCATGCCGAGGTCAGCGTCGTCGCGGTCTTGCTCGACGAGCCCGTGCCAGACTCGTTTTGCGCCGGAGCGGACAGGATGACCTGTGGAGCCGCATGATGAGGACACGGTATGGTAAGAGAGGAGATGACGGAGTGCATACATCATAGCCCGCAGCCTCCAATGCGGAGTACTGGGCGCGGATATGAGCAACCGCCCAACCTGGTCGTCCACATTAATAAAAGCTGGACTCGAGCTGGAGCAAGCAGCATTACCGTCATCGTTCGTCAGCACGATCTTGGGTGCCGCGACCGCCAACTGGACGAGAGCACAGAGGATGAGGGTGCGGAAAACCATGGTCCAGGGAGGGGTGTCAGAGGGAATCGAACACTGGCGAATCGCTGTTGCGCGGATGGGGAGTGACTTTATAGCATTGAGATTCGAAGTGCGGCGGTTGCACAAGGCACGTTCATACGGTGCACATGGGTCGGCGAAGGAATGCGAGAGTAATCAAGAAGCAGCCCTGCACAAGGCTCGTCATGCATACGAATCATGATTGTTTCCCCGTGATGCAAACCTGGAGAATCTCGACGTCGGTTGCCCCACATTGCCATTGACGCAGCGGGCGGGGTCCCGAGACGAGACGGTCGAGGACCCACACGGACATCCACGTAGCCAGAGGACCCTGTAGAGACGCGCTTTGTGTGTCTGGGTGTGCCTCTGTGTCTGTGAAGCGGACGCACACATGACTGGACAGAGAAAAGAACTCGACGACCGAATCAAAAATCGGTTCCAATCCACCCTTGATCGGCGTTGATGCATACATGCTTATATACTTAGTTCGTTATGGATCGGCGTGTGGCCTGCTCCACTTCTTCACGTGACCGTGAGTAGCGCGGTCGAGGTAACCCGACGCCCCGCCACCGATTCCCATGCAAGAGCCCCAAATCTTCTTCGAGAAAGAGCAATGTTGGATGTTGAAAAATCAGCCTTGTCTCCAGGAGACTCATAGGCGAGACCGTTCAGTACGCTTGCTAGCTTCTGTGTGTGAATAGGTCATTGCGGTCTGGCCTATGACGCGGTTGTAACTGTAGAAGCAAGCAGAAGGGTCGGATGTATTCCGGCAGCCGCGTGAAGGAAGCGTCGCCAGAGGTCGCCACGTTGCAGTAGGGTGCACGCGCACGCGAAGCAGCCACACAGGCAAACACAACAATCCCACGTCCGCCTACATACTGTACGACTTGGAGTGAAAGGTGCATCATCGAATTCAAGTTCAACTATCTACGCTAGTCTTTCCGCCTCAAAGCCAATGTGAATGGGATCGATGTCATCATAAAATACTACGCCTGGGGACTAGCCCTGGGCGTCACCATCGTGGCTACAAAACTTGCTCTCTAGTAAGTACACTCTCGCGCTTTAGAAGTTCGACAGGCGGCGACCCATCAACCGGCGGCGCTTGCCACCCGTCTTGCCCTTCACAGCGGCGCTGGCAGACGCCTCGGGGGCGGCCACGCTCGACGCAGCAGCCGAGGGAACCGCGCTCGCGGCAACGGCGCTGGACGCGGCGACGCTGGGTGCGACGGCAGAGCTGGCAGCGACGGCGCTCGAGACAGCTGCGCTGGGCGCGGCGGCGGCGGAAGAGACAACAGCAGACGCGGCAGCCGAGGCCGACGCGACGACAGCAGATGCGGATGCGGACACGGCCGAGGCGGCGACAGACACGGCGGACGCAGAGGCAGAAACGGCCGATGCCGAGGCAGATGCAGACGCAGACACGGACACAGCCGCCACGGTGGCGTTCTTGCCTGCAACAGCGCTGAACTGCAGACTAGTCAGTACGACTTCGTGTGGACGAGAGCCTATCCACTAACATAGCTGCAGTCGTCAAGAGAACCGTGCTGGGCAATCGGGACAATTGCCGGCTGGTGGTTCATCGCAGTGTTGATCGAGCAAACACGGTACGAGCCCACGGGCAGACCAGCGGTCACAGAGGTGGAGAGCAGGCCGTTGGCGTCCGCGGCGTTGTTGATACCCTGAGGAAAAGATAAATTTAGCATCGCGCGGGCCGCGGATGCATTACTCAGAAACTCACCTTGAAGAAGACGAACTTGCGTGCGTCGTTCGGGGTAGTCTGGTCGATCGTGGTCAGGCTCTCGACGACAAAGTGAGTGTGACCGATGATCTGGCCGGCCGAGTTCAGCTGTTGCGGGGCAGCGTAGTACGTCGACGCCGCGTTCGTGAATGCACCGGTCTGCAGGCCCCGGATCTTCATCGTCAGGTTGAACGGAACCAACGCATCAACCGTGCCGAAGTTCTTCGGGAACTGGAACTTGGACGAGGGCATGTTGCTAGTGGAGGGGATCGAACCGATCGGCACGGGGTTGCAGGACCCAGTGGTGACCTGGGCGCCGTTCGTCAACGGCGTGCCCGGCAGCGTCAGGGCACAGAAGTTGATGTAGTTGTTCGTCGAGGTCTGCGATGCGCTTTGACCTGCGGACGAGGGAAGACCGCTTAGCTTATCCCGGCATCCGCATTCGGTACAAACGCACCTGTCACCGGAGGATTCTGTCCGTCGTCGGTGAAGTTGGTGCAAATGACATTCGGGTCCAGGGCTGATATGCAATTAGCCGGGGTTTCGCCTGAAATACGATCACGCACTGAGCGAGGTCTGGGCGGCGGTCGCATCTGTGACACCACCGGTGGACGTGGCCAAAACGGCAGTAGTGGTGCTCGAACCCGCGGTAGAGAGAGCCAGGACCGCGGAGGATGTCGAAGCGGCCACGCTGTCGGAGGTGGTGACCGCGCTTCCGGAGTTGTTGCTGCCGGAGTTGTTGCTGGATCCAGAGCTGCTGCTACTGCTGCTGCTGCTACTTCCGCTGTTGTTGTTGCTGCTGCTGCTGCTGCTTCCACTGTTGTTGTTGCTGCTGCTGCTGCTTCCGCTGTTGTTGCTGCTCGAGCTGGAGCCAGAAGAAGATGAGGCGGACGTGCTGGTGGATGAGACGGCGGTGCTCGTCACTGTGTGGGTGCTGACCACGGTCTGGGTGTGCGTGTGGACGACGGTGCTGATAGCGATCGTAGCGGTCTGTACGGGACACGATCGTCAGATTGGGCCCTAGGGCGGAGAAAATGCGGGCCACGCACAGCACAGAAGGTCTCAGTCTCGAAGCTCTGCTTGGCCTGCACAGAGACAGAGGACGCCGCGAGGGTGCAAAGAGCGAGGAAGGTGCGTTTGGAGAACATGATGGGGCAAAGAACGATGGCAAAGGAAGGGGATGCTTTGAGGGCTTGAGGGAACTACTGAGAGCGGACCTGATTGAAAGACACCTGTGTCGGCGTGATAGAAGGTGGTGCACTAGGCAAAACCACAGAAACGGGATGACACCAAAGAAAGAGGGAGGGTGAAAAAGATCAAGCACCGGCGATAGAGCCTTATATGCACATTGCATGCCTGATTGATCCTGACTTTGATCTCCAAATCGGCTTACTTTCGGCCCCTTCGTTGACGACAACCGTCAGGCACCGAGATCACATTGTCAGTTGCAACCCGGGCCTTCAATTAACGGCACGTGGGTAAGCCGACGTCATTTCCGAGAAATTACCCTGCCTTGACTGAGCTGGAGAGAGCTGCAAGGACGAGGGGCTGAAAACCTGGCTGAAACTGCGTCGGGATTTCTCTCCAGTGAGGCCAGCGACCATCTGTCCGTCAAAAGTCCTGTCAGGACGCACAGCGTGGTCCGTTACCACCGTGGACAGCCTCGTCTGCATTCGGCGTCGAATTGACGCGAGAGATATATTTATCTCATCATACAATCATGCGGTGAAACGCGCTAGCCAACACCTTCCCCGGACTCCAAGCCTGCCTTCCACAGTGCGTGAACATGTGGGACACGATCACAGTCCCTAAGCGAACTCCCTTCTCCCAACGACACTGCGGACATCGGCGCTCCCTGTTCTGGCCGCTGTGACAGGCAATGAGGAGCGATGACGGGTCGTGCTGATCAGTGGTCGCATCCCGTCACTGAATGATACACCTGATCGCTTCTGATCCACGGAGCACACATCTACAGAGTGCACCGCCCGAGTGTTGAGTGCTCAGTGCCGTTTGAAACACCGTTCAAGTCAACGCGCCCGGAAGTCAACGTTTCAACGTCAACGCCCGCTGGACATGTCAGATTCAAGCACCAACAAGTCAACTAGTTGCAGTGCGGCAACTGTAGCTTCCGCCGACGCTTGCCTCGATACCAACCGAACGCTGGCACATCACAATAAGCCTTAAAAATAGGCGTCCATGTTTAAGATCATCGTTATTTATGCTCGATGCCAAATTAAGCAGATGAGATTGTTAACAGCGTCATTCCTGAACGATTTCGGCGGCGAGTAGACACCGGTGGATTCGTAGGACAACCTCAAAAGGCTCTGTTCGTTGTGAGCGCCACGGGAGGATGCTATCCAGCCTTTATATCGAACACAGCAGTCCATAGTGCTCTTGACGAAAGTCGCCAGTGGCACATTCAAGTCGTGACAGGGGCGGCCTGTTATGCAAGGACTACGAAAGCAGTTTGACCGGGGCTTCTAAGAAAGCAATTTCAAGTGGTCCTGAATGTTGAATGAGTGTCCAACCGCCGCCGCTGACCGTCAAGACCCCAACGTCGAGGAGGATATTGGCCTGAATCTTCTGGGCACGTTCACTCCTACTGCAGTATCATCGTTCGACAGTTAGGCTACAGTTGAAACCGGATCGATTCCATCCTCTGATTCGTGCCTCCCACGGGCTTTGGAGGCCAAGGCTGGAGGTCGGGTACTTATGGAAGCGGCCTGAGGCTGGAGGGGACACGACAAACAGTCGCATACAAGGTGGCTCATCATTCACAAATTAGGACATTATTCGGCCTGCGCTACTCTCAGCGTCTCCGTCCTCCCGTGCAACCGGCTTCTCCTTGTTCTCTTGCGCCTTTATCGCTTCAGCAACCTGAGTATCTGCCCACTTTCCGCCAATGAGCGCAAGAGCTCCTCGCAAGGGAGAAAACTACGAGCTTAGTGTCGACCTCAATAGTGGATATGCGGACAAACGCAAGGATGCGATTAAACGCGTCATTGCCGCTATGACCGTCGGCAAAGGTGGGGGTCCATTCCGATGCTCCCTGCCTATCTTGAGCTGACGATGACCAGACGTGTCGGGGCTATTCCCCGATGTCTTGAAGAACATGCAGACGACCGACCTGGAACAGAAGAAACTGGTGTACCTGTATCTCATGAATTACGCGAAGACACAGCCGGAGCTAGTAAGAGGCTTTCTTCCGGCCTAGTCATCCAAGGCTCATACGACGATAGGTCATCCTCGCTGTCAACACTTTCGTCAAAGATTCCGATGACCCCAATCCGCTAGTCCGGGCTCTTGCCATCCGAACGATGGGCGTATTACGAGCCGAAAAGATTATCGACTACCTATGCGATCCCTTGCAGAGGTGTCTACGGGACGAGAATCCATACGTCCGCAAAACCGCAGCCCTGTGCGTGGCCAAACTGTACGATCTCAAGCCGGAGTTAGTGATAGAGAATGGGTTTCTGGAGCAGCTACATGATATGCTGACGGACAGCAATCCCATGGTGAGCAGGCTGTCTCGTGCATGTCGCACGGCCGCTAATGGGCCAAGGTCGTCGCAAACACTGTTGCCGCGTTAACGGACATCCACGAAGCTGCCTCTTCTCGCCCATCGAGCTCCACCACCGACCCAGAAATCTTCAACGTCTCCCCACAGACCCTGAACCGGCTTTTGATCGCGCTGCCGGAATGCTCTGAATGGGGTCGCATCGCGCTCCTGAACGCGCTCGTCCGATATGTCGCGCAAGATGAGAAAGAGAGCGAGCACATCTGCGAACGCGTGGTTCCGCAATTCCAACATGCGAACAGCAGCGTCGTGCTTGCTGCGATCAAGGTGTGCCATCCTCGTTATTTCGATCCCTGCTGATCATTTTCGAGGTCGTCATGGTCCACATGCGGGGAGTCGGACGCGAAGATCTCAACAAACAACTGATACGCAAAATGGCCCCGCCGTTGGTTACGATGCTCTCGTCGCCGCCCGAAGTGCAATGGGTTGCCCTCCGCAATATCAATCTCCTGCTGCAGAAACGACCGGAGATTCTCTCATCGGAAATTCGCGTCTTCTTTTGCAAATATAACGATCCGCTATACGTCAAGATTGAAAAGGTGGACATTATGGTCCGATTAGCTCACGACAACAACGTAGATGCACTGTTGAGCGAACTGAAAGAGTACGTTGGATTGGGTCTTTGATTATTGTGCCTGCTGAAAATATGCAGGTATGCCTCTGAAGTCGATGTTGATTTCGTGCGCAAGAGTATCAAAGCCATCGGCCAGACTGCGGTCAAGATCGACTCTGCCGCTGAGCGTTGTGTCAATGTCCTGCTAGAGCTGATTGCAACGCGCGTCAGTTATGTGGTGCAGGAGGCTGTGGTCGTGATGAAGGTGAATCTGACCAAAATCAGAGTGGACTTTACTGAACGCGTTTCGAGGATATATTCCGAAAGTACCCGTCCACCTATGAGGGTGTCATCCCCACTCTGTGCGCTAACCTCGACGAATTGGATGAACCCGAAGCCAAGGCTTCCCTGATCTGGATCATTGGAGAATACGCGAACAAGATCGACAATGCGGATGAGCTTTTGAACATCTTCGTGGACTCATTTGTCGAGGAAGCGTATGCAGTGCGTGTTACCCTCTGTTCCAGGACGATCAGTGCTCATGACTACAAGGTTCAACTCCAAACGCTGACAGCAGTCGTGAAGCTTTACTTGAAGAAGCCGGAGTCCTCTCAGGCCATCGTGCAACATGTGTTAAATACCGCGACGAGAGAGTGTGATTCGCCCGATGTTCGTGACCGGGCATATGTCTATTGGCGACTCTTATCGACAGATCCTGGCGCTGCGAAAGTGTGTTATGTCCTTGTATGGTGTTATGCTTCTGACTTGCTGGCCAAGGCCGTTGTTCTCGCCGTCCGGCCACCCATCTCGATACCTCATACGACCGTAGCACCAAAGTTACTTGAAGAACTCTTGGGAGAAATCTCCAATCTTTCTAGCGTGTACCACAAGCCGGCGGAAACTTTCACCAACTTGGGTCCTGTGGGGATCGACTCCATCCAGCAAAAACGTGTCAAGTAAGGGTAGCTCACGCCAAGCTATCATCGTATAAGCTGACATGCTTCGACCCCCAGTCTCGCCGAAGATGACCGCTTCTCGCAGAAAAAGGCTCTGCAGACCGTCGCTGCTGGTCAGCACGTTGAGAACCTGCTGTGAGTTCTTGCAATATATTCAGACAGTCGGCGGCGCAGTGGGACTGATTTGACCTACGCAGGGACTTCGACGATGATCCCGCTGTCGAGGGCCAGCCAACGGGATTGGCGGCGACCGAGATACTGGCACAGCCTGCCGCTGCCAATCTCATGTCCGGGATGTCGAGCAACCCACTCGACGACCTCGTCTCGATCTTCGCCGCCATTCCGAGCGCACCTGTCAGCCCGCCCATGACGAATGGGTTCGCAAACTCGTTCAATGCACTTTCCTCACCCGCTGCCTCGGCACCTATGCAGTCCCCAACACACCAGCAGCAGCAGCAGCAGCCACAGGAGGATCTCCTCGGGCTGTTCTAGGTATCATGGTCGGGAGTGTCGACTGCCACATTGCTACATAGATTCAGGTGCTGTCGACGTCATTTATGGATTTCGATTCTGGGATTGGATGAAGCGAGACTGTATGAATACAATGGTACCATGCACTACACAGGATCAAGGCAAGACCATGCAAGTCTCTTTTACTGCTTGCCGGCCTTGGCCAACTCAGCGGCATGTTCCTTTTCCAGTTGTTCCTACAAGGAGGGATTAGCCCGGGCAATAAAGCATTGATAATTATGGAGCTCACCAGCTCGGTCTTCTTCTGCTCGATCTACGTCCACCGTGCATTAGTATTGGAAAATAAGGATGAAGGACTGGGATGACGTACGTTGGCGCGCATTTTCGCAAGCTGTTCTGCCTCATGACGGCGAGCGTACTCGTCTGCGAACTATTAGACGGGAATACGCGTGAAAGGCACCGACGCACTCTCGTGAGCTTGTTCCTTCTTACTGTAAGCCATCAGCGATATATTCTAGGGTAACGGGCCAAGAGTGTACTCACTTGAAACCCTTGGATTTAGCCACCGATCCAGCGTCTTCGCTGTAGAAGCGTTTGGGGTCATGAGAGCCCGGGGCAGACGACGGGCAGCAATTCTCGCGGTGAACATGGTGGTTTGAGTGAAGGAGTGGGGTTCTGGAATTGCCTGGATGTTGTTTCGAGTTGCCGTCACTCTGTTACGGAACGTTACGGGCTGATTGTGACCCCCGTTACGCATCACTCCCACCAACTCCCGACATGTCCACCATTCTCCGGAGGGCGGCTGGCGCTGTACGTTCCCGCCCTCCGCGACGTGCGCGTGGTGTTAGCTGACCCGGCTCCTGTGAAATTTTACAGGCCCGCACAAGCTCTCGTGCTTTTTCTACCTCCACTGTTGCCCGGAAAGGTTTGTCTGGCTGGTCCCTACAATGTTCTATGCGGTGTTGTTTTCTGACCTATTCACTAGATATCGTCCAGGACCTGTACCTCCGAGAGATAAAAGCGTACAAGGCTCCGCCTGCCGTGCGTGCCGTACCACCCTTTCCATGCCACAAGCCTCCCTGACACCTTCTGCACGCAGGCTAAAGACGCCCACGTCGGAATCGTCAAGGCGTACACCATGCCGCCTACGCCCAAGGCTCCGGCCCTCCCGACGGACCTCGCGTCCGAACTGTCCTCGTACGACGCCAGCGAGCCTGTCGCCTCGGTCGCGGACAAGGCACCGGCTGCTTCCGGACAACACACCGAGTTGGCGGGAGGCGCTGAGGAGTTCCTGGAGCTCCTTGAGGCGGATCTCCATGAGGAGCACCACTAGAGGGATGTTGCTCGTCGTCGGCTGTACTGTTGCCAAAATAGAATTCTGCACGCTCGAATGCATTTTGTCAGCACGTGTGCGCTTGAATTTGGCCCTCTTTCTTGGTGCACTCACTATGCAGAAGGCCGTCTCTGCAATGCCGGATGGTGCTTAACACGTGCTTTCGCAGTGTGGTGGCTCTGCATCCGCTCCAGGTGGTTCTGTTGCAGCTGTTTTCATGAGTGAGACCGTTAGCAGGCTCTAATAGTTCAGTTTACGAATTTTCCGAGATCGACTGTCCGTACTCTTTGAGACGCTAGTAGATACCGTAGATTCCGATGGAAGGCCGATATGCAATGACAATCTGCGAAGCCGAACAGTCCGAGCGCTAGGGCTTGCTCTACACCACCACGACGCATTTACATGAACGCTACTCTCTCTTACGATCTGCTTTGCCTGGTTGTCGATACACTCGATGGTGATCCAGCTACACTCTCACGTTGCTCTTTGGTCAGTCGCGACTTCAACCGCGCAGCTTCGAGCCACTTGTATCGCTCAGTTATGATCTCTCCGCGTTATGTCAGTCCCGGTCTGCGCCATATTACTTTGTGTTCCTGCTGTAATACGCGGTGTAACAGCGTCAGCCGTTAGAGGCTCCGCTTGAAGTCCTCTCTGCGATGCTTCCGGGCAATAGACTGCATGTCCAAGCGTTCACAATCGAAGGTTCGTTAGAATTATCGCCGGATCCGCTTGTTCTAACGCATGATCACTATAGGCTTGATATCGCCTCAAGAACCTCTTCCCACTGAATATGAAAGCAAGTTGATCGATGCAGTCCAGGCCTTCGAGCATGTGCAAACATTAAAACTTGCCCCAACGATCTATCCCGAGGACGTATTCGCGAAGCTCATTCCGCAACTGGAGCAGAAGCCACCTCTCACCGATCTACATGTCAATGCATCATGCATGACCGAGGCCACGGCGCCTATGCTTGTGAAAATCAAGGGACTTCGACGACTCGTGTTGGAGAGTCCAACGCGGGCGCTCTTGCATTTGCTGCCAGACTGGCTGCGATGCCTTGAGCCGACTCTCACGCAGTTGCACCTTCTCGTGCGTCTGGGCTAGGTTCCAGTTTGATCAAATCTCACTTGCCTATCCAGTCCAACTGCGGCTCCATTACTCCAGGTCTCCTGCGCTCCTTCATACCCTTCCTGGCTAACGTTCGGGCATTCTCGTTCGGTCTCTCGTATTCTGTCACCAATGAGGACCTTTTTGGCTTCCTGGGACAATTGCCGAGCCTCGAAGATGCTGCGGTGCAGCACTATCCAGTCTGTCTTTTCAAGGTCTCCGTTCTCTCCTGCTTGATCTCGTTCTTTGTAGCAACGCAAGAATGCCGAGAACGCTGCACCCATGGAACTGCTCAAGTCTTTCACGGCCCTTCACGGCCCCGCTGAAACCCAAGATTTCGACGAAGCGGATAGATTCTGCGCGTGGGTTTGCGCTGCGATTTCTGGAGCAAAAATGGAGCGGATCAGTGTCCAAGGCGACTATTTCGCGGAATCACTTTTCATACCTCGAGTATTCGACACTCTCGTCGAGGTCCTATCCGAGACACAGTACACAACGCTGACAGCTCTCGATCTGTCCGGCTGGCTTGTCAACGCCACCTCTATTGCTCGTCTCATCGACACTTGTAAGTTGCTGGAGGAGTTGACTCTAGCTCTCGACACTCCTGGCGTCGTATGCAATAATTCTTCTGGTTACGTGAATGCGCAGTGGCTGATTGTCGTTCAGGAAGAATTTGAACGCAAGCTTCCCGACGCCCTCCGACTGCACACAGCACATATTCGTGTCTATTCAATGACTGAAGAATTGTTTACCATGGAGCGTGCGACCTCTCTTATGCGATCTTCCGCTCTGAGAAGATTGACCGTAAACGGCCACTACTTTGAGGTCAATCCCCTCCCTCCTTCATTCATGCCGGCTCACAATTTTCTCGAAGGCTGCTTGGGGATTGAATCAGGAGGGTGCCGTGCACTTTGGGGTCCAAGAGCTAGTTAAAACAGAGGACACGGTCGATGATGCACTACTCGAGGAGGAAGATGATTCCTCCGATAATGGCTCGACGTGCTATAACGCCGGAGATTTGGGCCCGATACCTGAAGAGGAGGAGGAGGAATCTGAGGACTTCGATCTCTACGAGCAGGGGCTTGACGCCTTTCGCTCTGAAGCGCGGTCATTGGACGGGACTCCATCGCTTGCAGCGCCGGACTCGCTAAAGGCGGATTAACAAGAAATGGAGTCACGATATTCTTTTTCTTTGTACATTACTCGACAGGAACACATTTTTTGCCCACTTTCTCAGGAAATGCCGCATTCCACTCGTCGACCGCAGCATTCCAAATTTCTGCAGCGCCCTTCGGCCACACATCAATCTCTTTCCATCTCTTCGGACAGTGAAGCACAGCGAGTCTCGCATCTCCCAGCGCGGCATCCGACATGAGGAATCCCAGTCCCTCATCTCGCCAGTACAGGTAAGGTATCGTCGCAACAACCCGCTGAAGACGAGGGAAGTGTGTCGTGTCTGTAAGATATGTCACAGCCCGACTTGTGTTGTTAGCCGGCAAACTGAGGTCAGTTAGGTTGGGAAAGAACATGGAAGCAGGAGGGGGCAACGGGGAAGTCCCGCCGACCAAACGAAGTTTCTCCAACTGGCTGAAGAGTCGGGCTCCGTGCGAGGTGGCCAGTAAGCGGCTCCAAGGCATGATGGGCTCAGTGATGGTCAGATCCACAAGCGATTTGTGTAGAAAGTCCCGGCTCGAGCAGATGGACAACAAGGTGGCGGGGACGCACGTCAATCTGCGCAGATTGAAGCAGGCGTAGATGATATCCGGTCCGATTGAAGTGTACCGCTTAGAGGGGAGAGCCGGGAGGAACCACAGCTCTCTGACTGCTAATCCGATTTCGGGATGGGCCAGGATGGAAGCATGGAACGATATCGCTTCCCACGGGAAGGACAAGATCACAACGGTCGGAGCAGAGTACGCGCGGGCCAATTCGGCGACACGCAGCGAGGTGCGTTGAAGCGCTGCGTACGTGGCGCCAGATTGGAATGTTGCCAGGCGAAGGATTTCAGCGGCAATTTCGACCGGCAGCTCGAGAATCGGGAATGGTCCGATGACGGAGAGAATGCTGAGCCATTCCTTGTGAAAGGAAGGAATGTAATGACGGGAAAGAGCATAGGACAATTCGTGGAAGCTGGAGATGAGTTGGACGGACATCGTCTGCGGCAGGAAGGTCAAGAACGTCTAACATTTATAGATGAGGCGGACGGGGAAGCGAAACTGTCACTACATTAATTGCAGATGGAATCCTTGCGAGTGGATGGTTAGAGGAACGGATTCATAGCGTCTAGAGCTCAGAGCAACTTGGGCGCGCCATGGCTGAATGCTAAGCGGAGATTACTGGAGTGACGTCACATTCCACCGCCACATAAGTCTGTGTTGCTTCCATCCTAACTTGCACGTTGTAACACGCAGGACTTCGGGAGCGATCGTGTCATCTCACAACGCAAAAAGCTTGCTTGAAGATGACTTCGCACGCTGATTCGCAATCATCGGTGTCTAGCGGCCATGGGCTCGGTTACTCTCAACCACTCCTGCTCAGCGACACCCCCTCCGAAGACCGCGCTCCTTTGGAAGTCGATGGAGAAGCCGTGAAACTAGAAGACCTGGGACCCATGGTTGTGAATTCGGACGGGGTACGCTGAGAATGGTTTCATGGTGTCAGAATGAGATTTCGATCTTGAGTCGTTCAGACCCTATCCCGCATCGCAAACTGGGCCCAAATGACGCAGGCAGAAAGAGAGACCACGATGAGGGTTCTCTCTGCCAGGAACAAGTGACTATCGTTTCTCGGACTCCGTTCTCAGCATGCCAATATTGACGCCCGTCAGACTTCGTTTGGCTGAGGTAGCGAAAGCGCAAGCTGAGGATTAGCTCAACCCAGGCCAGCTAGGCTCAGATCCCATCCTCTCTGTGTCATTTCGATCGATCTCAGTACCGCAATGCTTTGACAGAACGAGTTCCTAAGCCCAACCTGGAAAATCTCATACAGGATCCATATTATTTGGCCGGAATATCTTTTTCATTCTACTTCAGCTCGGCGAGAATGACACACGTGCACATGGGACTCATGAAGTTTCATGGAGACCGACCATTTCAAATCCACTTAGTCAATGAAACTTGTGAGAGCACAGTACACGTGATAATCAATCAATCAGATGCCATCACCTACTGAAAATTGCCCTCGTTCTCTGCCGTAGAGTGGTCGGTTCACGAAACGTGTGGGCCATCCATCTGAAACATTCAGAGACGCCTGCAGACGTCCATCGGTGTTATAACATGACTCGAGATGAACGTGAGCAATTGGCATCAGTGAGTAACGACACATCACGTGGCTGTTGCCATCTGGATTAGGCAATTGCATCTTTCTCTGCGCGTTGTCGAGCCGCCAGCCTCCGCCAGCGACGCAGGTAGCCAGAGCCACCGCGGGTGAGGCACAACCACGATGAGCCTACAGATTCCTCCCCCGACGTCCCGGCCCGTATCGGCCGCCGTCGCGCCTTCATCGCAGAGTCGACGTCAGCCTCCCGCACAACACCGTGCCTCACACCAAGTTGTCACATCCTCCTCCTCTTCACCAGCCCACGAACCCTCGTCCAACTCGAATGGCTACACGGACGTGTACTCTCACCCCGCGGCGACCGCATATGCGGCCGCGCACCCGCGACGGACCATCCCCAAATTCGGGCCATACCTCCTGCTGCAGACGCTTGGGGAGGGCGAGTTCGGAAAAGTAAAGCTGGGACTCCATTCACAGTGGGGAGAAGAAGTTGCGGTCAAGCTCATTAGGCGCGGAAATGTCGATAGCGCGGTCCGGATGTCCAAGGTCGAGCGGGAAATTGAAGTTCTACGAGTAAGCATCTTTCTGACTGTCTTTCTGCGTCTTTGCGTCTGTTTTTGAGCGTGCGTTGGCGCCGCCGACGCGTATTCTCCTGGGCCTGTATCACATCATCCCCCCTGGGTGGCTTGTTTGATACGTGGGGTTTCACCATGCCGGCCGTGGCTTTTCGTTGGCAGCTCTCCGTCCGCCGTTATAGACGGTTCCTGATCACGCATTCTCTAGACTCTAAAGCACCCGAATATTGTCCGACTCTACGACGTTATTGAGACTGACAAATACATCGGTATTGTCATCGAGTACGCTTCGGGTGGCGAGCTTTTCGACCACATTCTGGCCCACCGATACCTCCGAGAACGGGACGCCTCGAAGCTATTTTCGCAACTGATCTCCGGTGTCTGGTATATTCACCAGAAGAAGATCGTCCATCGTGATCTCAAGCTGGAGAATCTCCTTCTCGACAGACACCGGAATGTCATCATCACCGATTTTGGCTTTGCCAACCGTTTCGAGCATCGCGCGGACGATCTTATGCAGACCTCTTGTGGCTCGCCGTGCTATGCCGCCCCTGAGCTGGTCATCTCCGAGGGCTTGTATGTGGGTAGCGCGGTGGATATATGGAGTTGTGGAGTTATCCTCTACGCCATGCTCGCAGGTTATCTTCCATTCGACGACGACCCCGCCAATCCCGATGGCGACAACATCAACCTTTTGTACAAATACATCGTCAATACGCCACTTTCTTTTCCAGACTACATCTCCGACGAGGCGCGCGATCTGCTGAAGCTTATGCTCGTCCCCGATCCTCGCAAACGTGCCAGTCTTGATGCGGTCATGCAGCATTCATGGCTGGCCGCGTACCATGTCGAGCCCAAGTTCCCGGGAGTGCCAAATGCTTTCGGGAAGACTGTCGACGAGCTAGAGAGCGCGGCGATGGATCAGCACCAGATGAAGAGGCTTGCCTACCAGCGTCAAATGCGCGCAGCGGCTGCACCGGCAGCGGCGCCGGCGCCCCAGATCTCTCGCTCGCAGACTCTGACCCAGTCCCAGACTCATACCCAAAACCAGACCCAGAGCCACAGTCAGCGGAACCGTCGCCAACCGGAGACGTTGTACGATTCTGCGTCTGGCGGCATGTTTGCTGATGACGACGATCCGTTCGGACCTCCTCCTGGTACATCCAGACGACCGGCAGAAACGGCGCAAGACGAGGGAGAAGCTGGCGGTGAATCCAAAGTCAGAGCGGCGGAGGTCGAATCATCTCGCAAGGAGGTGGAAAGTCCTAGAAAAGGAAAGGAGAAGGAACGGGACGAGCGTTTCCGGCACACGGTCCAGATCGAGTACGGCGAGCGGCGCGGCCAGCGTACTCGCGCAGAGAGCTCTGGCGGAAGGGAGATACCGATCGAGTTCGCTCCTGCAAGTCCTTCGAAGTCGCCGCAGGGCCCTTCGCGGTCTGTCACTGCGCCGGTCATGCTGCCAATCTCCCCGCCTGCCCTTCCAGTTGCTCCTCCGGTGCCAGCTTCATCCCCCCAGACGAACGGCGTGGACAGCTCGAGCATTTCAGAACGGAAGGAGAAGCGTCGACGCGGAAGCACCTCGTCAGGCGGCGCTCCCAAGCCTCTTCCTCCCGATCCGAACCTGCCGCCCACGACCTGGAAGAACTCATCTCCCAAAGGCTCGGAAGCAGTCGTGGAGCGGCCTGCCGTCACCGAAATCTTCAACAACGGCGATTTCGCCGCGGAGAAAGAGGCCGAGGCGGAGACCCCCAGCAAATCCGATGCAAAGAAGAGTCGCCGCAACACGCTGACGGGGCTTACCGTGATAGTGAACCCCATCAATTCCATCCGCAGCACCATGTCGAAGAAGAAGGAGCCGGAAACCGCAACGAGTGTTGCTCCGCCGGCGTCCCTCGCGGCTGCGCCCGCCCCGGCGCCGCCGCTATCAGCCACTGGAGACAAGTCGTTCGAGGCGGAAGGCAGCGGCATGAGAGCGAGCACCAGCAAAGCCCGCAAGGTCATGGACTGGATCAGGAAAGGACGCGACAGCCTTTCTGTGGGTGCCCCCGGTCCCGTGACCGCTTCCCCGGCAGACTCGATTTCGGACATGGGCGATTCCGCTGGCCCTGTGCACATCACGGTCACGACTCCGAGCTCGGCCCTTTCGCCGATCGTCTCAGCCACCGTCGGCGCGAAGAAGACAGCCGCACCCGAAGCTGTGTCGGCGTCTGCCGTTTCCCCCACGACAACAGTGGCCAGCTCGACGAGTTTCAGGGACCGGTTCCGGCGATCTATCAATGTCGGAGGCTCTGGCCACGAGACCTCGAGCAAGGCTTCCCGCGAGGCCGTTTTGCCTGCTGGCGCTGTCATGCGCGTGCACCACGGTGCTGTCGACCAAGGGACCATCACCACTGGCAAGCCTCCGCAGGTCATGGAGCATGTCAAACAGGTTCTGCAGGGTATGGGCATCGAGCTCGCTGTCGAGACCGAATTCAAGCTTCGTTGTGTGCGACCGAAGCTGCGTCGCTCGGGCAAAGCCACCATCAGCCCCCAGGGTGTGGCTGCGTTCACGATGGTTGGCAGTGCCGGATCGAACGGGGTACGTGTTCTGGACCGATGTTTTCTGAGCATCCTCTGACATTTCTGCGCCCAGGTCGACAAGCGTGGACTGCCGATGCCTTCGCAGTCGTCGTTCAGCAGCGGAGGGATGTTGCGCGGGCTTCTCATGCGTCGGCAGTCGTCGCAGGTCTCCACTGGACCCACTGCCTCGCCGACTGCTTTCGATCCAGACGAGAGTGGCATCATCACGTCCGAGCCCACGTCCGAGACGGTGTACGGCGTGACTGGAGAAGACGCAGGGGACGAAGTCCGCTTCTCCGTCGAGCTGACTCGTATCGACCGTTTGAATGACACTTACAGTCTCGATATTCGACGGATGAAGGGTAATCTCCGGAGCTACAAGTTCCTGTATGATATGCTGAGAAAGTGCGTCGATTTCGCTGAAATCTTTCCTCCCAGTTGCTGACCGTGACTTCAGGCGGGCTGATCTGCAGCGGGCCCTGTCATAAACCGTCTTTTCCCATTTCCCAAAGTGACCCATTTTCTTCCCGCTCACCGTGTTTTCCGCTTCCAGTAGTTTTCTCTAGTTACGTACCGCCTAATCTCTCGTTCCCTTTCAAAATTAGTTCAGTTACCTAGGCTGGCAATTCTCCCATCATCCATCGGCACACAAGTTACCACCATCCTCATCCTGCTCCGTTTGTTGTTAGACGACGTCCATTTACTTGATCGCCTAGGGCTTACGGATTGTATCATGTATATAATTATGCTCCAGCCAGCGCTTGTGAATGGCAAGCAGCCCGCAAGCCCTCTTCTGTCTGCACCATCATCGGGAATCGCCTTGATGATGATGCCATCACTGCATCATAAGTTTGACGACACGACCTGCTTTCAACCGTCATGGAGTCGGACCCAAGCAACCCGCCCGATCCCGGACCCGGACGCAGGATATTCTCCAGGATATCTGGTTTCGTGTGGAAGCACGGGACATTTTACAGACTCCACCTGACTGCTTTTACCCTGATACCCCTTGTGTTTGCCGGGATCTTCTACGCCAGTAATGGACAGTACCGGATATCGTTTTTGGACTCGCTTTTTATGTGGTGAGTGTCGTCGTGTTCTACGCGTTTGCTGAGTTCGCGTGTCTGAATACGAGTTGTGCGGTTAGCTATTCTGCTATGACTGTTACAGGTAGCGTGGAATTCGTGTGCGGCCTGTGATGTGCGATTGAAGCGGTTCTTGTAGGACTCGCTACTATCAATTTATCTATGAGTGCGTAAATTTGGTTTGCATTCATTTTGTTGTTTCATTTTCTGGTAGTCACTGCTTGGCAGCAGGTAATACTGTATCTCTTAATGCTCATTGGGGACATCACCGTCGTCTCTTGGGTTGTGCGTCTCGTTCCCTGTTATTTTCTTTTGCGGAATATTTGTTGACTTAATCGCGCATCTTCTGCAGATGGTTCTCGTCCGAAAGCAAGAAAGTTCCAATCTTAAATTCACGTTGAACTGACCATAGTATCTGCACACAGATGGTACTTCCAGAACGTCTGCGAATACGTCGACTACCAGCGGCGCACCTCGCGTCTTCGCAAGACCATGGTGCGCTCCAGGTCCGCGGTGAAGCAAAACATCTCGGCGCCGGTCGCGGTGTTCAAGCAAGCTGATGAGGTGCCCGCGCGCATGGAGGCGCGCGATGCCGAGAAGGCCGAATCGGACCGCGGACACGATGACGATGCCGGGGACCGGGCAGTGTCGGACGCACGGACCTTTACGTCCTCGCCGCGGCCCGCCACTATTTTGTTGCCTCCTGTTGATTCACCGGGGACGTATCACTCGTCTAGCCCGCCCACCGGTGTGGGATTTGGCTATTCGACCAGCGTCCAGCCGCACATGGTCCGGCTGGAGACTATCCGCGGTATGTGTCGCATAACAATCATGTGCGAATTCGACGCTTGTGTTGACCCCGCCGGCCAGAGGGCGTCGTGTTCCCCCGGCGCACGGCGACGATCTACAGCGCGCACCACGCCGTCGCGCCGGAGAACCGGAAATTCCAGGGCAGCGGGGGGTTCCCGGGGCCCGTCACGGTGATGCGCCGGCTGTTCAAGCGCGGCGCGCCGACGGCGTTCCGGAAGTTCGAGCGCACCGTCACGCTGCCGTATACATCGACGCTCGAGGCGAAGAAGGTGCCGTGGCTGAGTTTCGACGGGCTGGTCGTCGGGCGCAACTCGGCGTTCCGGACCGAGACGCTGAATGACGACCAGCTGGAGTCGATTGGGGGTGTTGAGTACAGGGCGCTGAGGCTGTTGAGCTACCTAATTCCTTGCGTGGGTGATCTTCGAGGGTCTTTTTTGTGTCTGTTACTCAACTGTGTCAGTATTTCGTCGGGACGCAACTGTTCTCGTTCCTCCTCTTCGCGCCGTGGCTGTCAGTGACCCACGGCTACGACTCGGTATTTACGAATCAGTACCGCCCGGTCAAAAAGCCCTGGTGCGCAGAAAATTATTCCACGCATTTGTTAATCCAATTCTGACAGGTTCTCTTTGTTTTTGGTCCTTGCGGCATATTCCGGGGGCGGGCTGTCTTTGGTCGATTTGGGAATGCTGCCGTTTCAGTCTGCGTATTTGATGATCTTTGCGCTAAGTTTCGTGATCTTGGCTGGAAATCATGCTTTGGTGTGTATGTTTATGTGCCGTCGAAAAAATACCGGGCTGATTTCCTGTTACGTTAGCCCATATTGTGAGGTTCAATATGCATGTAAACCTGATTCTCTTTCTGACCGTGATCATGCGCAGCCTCAGACTCGTGATGTGCGTTTATTCGAATATGTTTCGATTGCAACTTACGTCCTGTCAGATGGATATGGTACAAAATCGAACCCCGTGGATCAGAAGCGAGCGGAACTCTCTCCTTCCTTCTGCAACACCCTCGTAGATGCTTCCTATATCTGCAAGTCCCGTCTCGCATACGCCCGATCTGGCATTGACTCGATACAGATTTCCGAGCCACCAAACCTACTTCCTACTCATCTGTCTGATACTCTTCAGTGTGATCGAGTGGATCTCGTTTGAGGCGTTGGGTAAGCAAGCGATCTTATCGCATCTTATCTCGTATTTCAACATTCACGTGATGCTGCTAAGATCATGGCCTCGACTTTTACAAGCAGATGGGGACAGGCGCGAAGGTCGTTGACGGACTCTTCCAGGGGCTTGCCGCGCGTGCTTCTGGATTCTCGATTGTTCCTCTGGCTTCTGCAGCTCCTGCGCTTCAGTACGTGCTTCATTTGGGATTGACAGCGTGTTTTGAATCTGCGCATCGACCAGATTTTTGTATGTCGTGATGATGTACATTGCGGCAAGTCTTGATTATCTGATTGAATTTTGACCTGCTCACGGATTCCAGGTGTATCCTGTTGCGATGACGATTCGGTCTACGAATGTTTATGAAACGGAGTCGCTGGGTATATTCGAGGAGCCACCCGACGATGCAGACGAAGAGCCCATGGACCTGGATAAGCTGCAACCTCGAGAACGGATCGGGAGGTATCTGGTAAGTTCCTCAATATGCGCTGATACTGGTCATCGCTAACGAGACCAGTGGTGGCACATCGATCGACAGTTGTCCATAGGTGAGTTCAACCCCGTTTATACCGTGTCTCGCGCTGAAACGTGGCCGAGATATCTGGTGGATGGTCTGGGGAGTGTTCCTCGTGGCTATCATCGAGCGAGACAATCTTCTAGACGAGAACAAAAAGTGGTTCGATCTGTTCCGGATTCTGTTCGAACTCGTGAGCGCGTTTGGTGGGATTGGCTTGAGCCTTGGATTTCCTTCGGTCTGCTCTCGTTATCAAAATGATTTTCTGAAGGCTGACCTTTTCGACCGCATAGGACAACTATTCGGTGCAGATGATCTCGTTTTTTCTGCTGGTTGTCCGCTAATGATGTATGTCGTTTGCAGTTTTCCGGAGCGTGCCGCCCTCTCTCCAAGCTCGTCATCATGGTCATCATGTGCGTCCTCCTGCCCAATCCTGTTCGCCGTGCTCACGTCTGCAGGGTCCGCGGCCGGCACCGAGGTCTCCCAGTCGGCATCGAGCGCGCCGTCACTCTGCCGCGCGAGCTGAACACCGACCGCACCAACGCGCCCGACCAGGATGCGAATACCAACGGTGCTACTGCTGCGGAACCGGTCGCGGCGTGATCGCTGTGTTATGAAAACTTTGCTTTCGCTTCGCAAGTGTAATATATAGCATTCATTGAACATCCAAGCATTGTTTGTCGTCGTCTCTGGAATCTTGGTCTGTGGGTGAGTAGAGCGCCGTCTGAAGGGCAGTGGAACTCCGACGCAGGCCGGTACAGATCCTGTATGCTCGGATTCACATGCTGATGCGAGATGCAGCGGGGATCACTCGGGCCAGAGATCGGCTGTCTTGTCTACGAGAGAGACCTGTGATGATAGAGATCTACCTGTGACGTCGGTGTTCATTCAAAGTCTTCCAATTACAGCCCTTTCGGAAAAGGTTGACCGGAACAGTTTTTCGCCAACGACTTGTAAAATTTGATGAAATGATATGATGGACCATATATAGACTTAGCTCCGGAACCAGAATCCTCGCATACCCATTTTTAAGCTGTTCATGTCAGAAAACCCTAGTTAATTCAACAGATCTCCTCTTTCAGCATATGAGATACCATACACCTACCTTCAAGAGCCACCACATCCGGCTTTTCCGATGACAATACCCTCACAACACATTTGCCTCTAAATTTGCCCGCATCGACACAAACTCCGCTCTGATTTCCGCACGCTTCCTCCAAAGGTAGCGCAGTTCCAGCAGTCAGATCTCTCTTGATTCTAGGTCCTCACTGATACACCAACATGCAATAGAATGTTGTTACCAGTGCAAAAACTGGAAGGTGCAGAATTCCCCCTAAGCTTAAGCGGATGGATATCCGGAGCTAAGTCTATATATGGTCCATCATATCATTTCATCAAATTTTGCAAGTCGTTAGCGAAAAACTGTTCCGGCCAACCTTTTCCGAAAGGGCTGTAAAATAACATTCAGGGGCTGCCCGCGACCGCAGTGATGAACGGACGAGAATCTGAGTGGGATAAAAATCTATATTGTGCTTGGGATTTCTCCCGATTTATATAGTACATAGTCCTGTATCGGAAAAGTAATTCTACTGCCTTATATATTTGTATCTGACTGAGTCGTGCATCAGTAAGATGCTTTGAGAACATTCGGGAATGATCTTGATGCAAAGGCACAGCATTCCTGTTAATACTCAATACTCCCCCTCAAGCTCGAATCATCCCGAGTAGCGATACGAGGTATTCGTGCTTGGGTCGGGGTACTCCCTTCGTGAATATATCGGCAGTGTTCTCGTCCGTGGGTATGTGGGAAACTGAAATCTCGTTTGAGATTAATCTCTCGCGGATGAAATGGTAACGTATATCAATATGCTTTGAGCGAGCGTGGAAACCCGAGTTCTCGGCAAATAGGATGGTGCCGAGGTTGTCGACGGAGATGTGTGTGGGAAAGGTGGTGTCGACGTCGAGTTCTGTAAGGAGTGATCGAAGCCAAAGAGCTTCCCGAGTTGCGCTTGACAGTGCCATATACTCGGCTTCCATGCTCGAGAGAGCAACGGTAACCTGCTTCTTGGAGCTCCAAGTAACGGCTCCCCCTGCAAAGCATGAGATGTAGCCCGTGATCGAACGTCGGGTATTTGGGTCAGAACCCCAGTCCGCGTCTGAGAACAGCTCGAGTGCTGTCACGTTTAAGTCAGCTCGGTATTCGATCCCGAGGTCCATAGTGCCACGGAGGTAACGGAATACTCGCTTGACGGCGGTGAGATGCTCCGGTCCTGGATTGGTGTTGAACTGGGAAAGAGACTGGACAGCGTACGAGATATCGGGTCGAGTCGTGATTGCGGCGTAAAGGAGGGAGCCAATCATTGGCTGATAGAGTCGTTTGACTTCGGGGTATGACACGTCGTCCGGGAGCTGTGCGAGTTTGACGTTCGGGTCTATCGGGGTGTGAGACGGGTTCGACGAGGCCATCTGGTACTTCTCGAGGATCTTCGAGATGTACTGAGTCTGGGTGAGACGAATAGACTCATTTGTGCGTGTGATTTCCATCCCAAGAAGCTGTCGGATTGCGCCAAGCTTCTTGATTGTGAATTCGGAGTCCAATTCGGCCTCGATGCGGGCCATGAGAGCATCGGATGATGCGAGAACGGACATATCATCAACGTGGACGGCAATGATAGCAACGTCCAAGCCGTTGCGGCGGAAGTAAACACATTGATCGGAAATGAGTCGGGTGTAGCCGAGTTTGAGGAACGACGCATTGAGCTTCTGGTTCCACACGCGTCCGGACTGCTTAAGCCCGTAGATCGTGCGGTGGAGGCGGCAGACGCGGGTGGTTCCGTCTTCAAAAAGGGTCGGCTGTTGCATGTAAATCTCTTCGGAGAGTTTTCCGTTGAGATACGCTCCAACAACGTCCACGACGTTGACTTTGAGGTTGTAGTGAGCGGCTAGAGCAAGTAGCAGGCGGACAGTGTCGATGCGGACAACAGGCGCATATGTTTCGTCGAAATCAATGCCCGGAATCTGTGAGAATCCTTTTGCAACAAGTCGGGCCTTGTAACGGGAAATGGCGCCGGTATCATCACGTTTGATTCGAAATACCCATTTACATGCAATAGGGGAGCGATTAGTTGGTAGGGTTTGTAGCGAGAATGTTCCAAGGGTGCGTAGCTGCTCCATTTCCTCCTCCATGGCTTTCTTCCACATTGGCCAGTCCGGCCTCGCCATTGCCTCCTCCAGGTTCGTCGGATCATCCGCGGGGATATCAAAAGTCGAAGTTGCCGCTAAGGCGAAGTCTTCGTTGGCAACGCGATGCTTCCAAGCATCGGGCTTCTTCGGAGATCGAGAGTCTGGGTTGTTGAGAAGGCGGTAGTTGTCACTGTACACAGTGCGGCGAGTACGCGGAGCGTCGATGATGTTCGACTCATCAACAGCACTGGTGATGTTGCGTGGAGCAACACGAGGTGCAGGTGGTGTAGACGGCGGCGAGGAAGGCGGCGTAGTTAGCGGCGATGGAGGTGGAGACGGAGAACGGTCCGGAGGTGCGTGATTGGCAGCTTTTGGCGGTGTAGGCTGATTGACAGCAGAAGGCGGTGCTCGATCGACCTCTTTTTCTTTCTCCCCCTCGAGCGACGACGCCGGAGCCTCAGGGATGGCTGAAGACTCGGGTTTTGTCGATGGATCAAAAATGATATTACGGCTGGTCTGGATGGTGCGTGTTTCAGCGTTATAGTACCGCAGGGAATGTGACTCATCGCCAATTCCAGTAAAAGTGAAGGGGCGTGTCTTCGAGTCGATTTTCGCTCGCTTCCCGTCCTGCTGCAACACCCAACATGGCGATCCAAACTCTTGGAGCGTGGAGACGTCGGGTTTGCGACCCCAGAAGGCTTCGTCCGGGGTAATGAGGGAGGGAAGGGCACGGGTCGGGGATCGGTTCTTCAGGTACGTTGCATATGCGACCGCTTCAGACCACAGAGATAATGGGGAGTTGTAGGCTCCCAACATAGCACGTGCGCGCTCAATTAGTGTCCGGTTTAGGCGTTCTGCCACGCCATTTTGCTGCGGAGAGTATGGCGCGGTCAACTCGAGCCGGATTCCTCGCTCCCGGAGGAAGGTCCGAACATCGTCGTTGACATATTCACCCCCGTTGTCACAGCGGAAGGCTTTAACGCGCTTCCCTGCCTGTGTCTGTATGTATTCCACGTAGTCGCGCATCCGATCCTTGACGTCTGACTTCCGTTTTAGGAAGTAGAGCACTGTTCGTCGTGTTGCAGCGTCCGTAAATGAGACGTAGTATCGGGAACCATCAATGGCAATCACGCGCGAGGGTCCCCACACATCGGTGAAGGTCAGGTCACCGATTTCGGTGTATTGACTGTCAGATGCTGGTGGGAACGGAGTGACGTGGGACTTGGCTTTGACGCAAGTCTCGCAGAAGGTTGATGCAGGTACGGATTCGTCTACATTCAGCCCAGTAACCATCTGCTTATCCCGCAGAGTCTTCACAGATGCATGCTGAATGTGCCCGAGGATCCGATGCCACTTGTCCCAAGTGTGAGTGGGTGCCGACGAAGGTTTCGAGGGTAGGGCAACAGTGGGAGTGGGTCGGCTGGGCGGAGAACGAGCAGAGCGAGTGATGCGGACCTTGTAGAGTCCGCCAATCAAGGTACCGCGCATGATTTCGTACGATTTGGGTCCAGGAGAATGGATTTTCATTGTGTCACCCTTCATTTGGACTGAGCAGCCCGCGGAAGTGAGTCGGCCAAGAGAGATGAGGTTGTAAGGAGCATTTGGAACGTGCATAGAGTCCCGAAGTGAGATGTCGTAGGCTTTGGTGCCGACATGAGAAGAGATTTCTACGGTGCCACTGCCGGGGCTCGAAGATTGTCCAAATCCGGTAACGTTGGTGCCAGGCGTCTCGAGGTACGAGGAAAAAAGCGTTTTATTGATTACTATGTGTCGTGTAGCTGCGCTATCAGCTAACCAAACGTCCGAGCCCGTTGTGGGCGGTAACGACGCAGCGGCAAAAGCGAAAGCGGGTGCATCAAATTGCGCTTCTTCAGTCACGTGTGCCCGGCCCGAATTCCATCCTCTTCCTCCTCCCCCTCCTTGTCCATTTCGGCGTTTCTGCTCCTCCGTAAACGTCTTTCCCGCCTTCGTGTCCCGACAGTCAGCAATAACGTGCCCCCGGCGACCACAACCGTAGCATGACACGTTCGTTGAGAACTTGCCAGTCTTGGCGGATCGAGCTGGTAGGGCGACATCATCGGAAGTCGGCTTGGCTTTGCGCTGGCGGTCCCGTTCGAGGATCCGCGCAATGAGTGGGGCGGAGTCGGTGAAGGAGCTGGTGTCGACACTCTGGATGAAAGTGTCCCAGGAGTCAGGGAGTGAGGTGAGAAGAGTCGTGCAGAACTCATCCTCGTCGAAGCGTGCTCCGAGCGTTGTGAGCTGAGTACGTAGCGAGGTAAGCTTCCGAATGTGTTCCTCGATGTCTCCCCCTTCGGCGCACACGAGATGGAGGAGTTTCCGACGGAGGAGGACAATTGCATAGGCACCCCGTGGGCGGTACATTTTTTCAAGTACGTCCCATGCCTCTTTTGCCGAGCTTGCGTTGGTGATGTAGACCAGCGGACCATCAGTTACGCGGAGACGGATTGCGGAGAGGGCCTGGCGGTCCTTGCGCTCCCATTCGCTGGCAGTTGCGGTGGAGACAGTGATGGAGGATGTGATAGTGGTCGTGGTGCCGTCAGGGTTGGTGATGGTGATGGGTGGAGGGACGCGACTGCCGGGCTTCAGGAGCCGGCCTTTCGGGTAGTCGTCAAGCTGGAGGTCGGTCAAGATGTCCGTGATCTTGACGGCCCAGGTCTGGTAGTTTTCCTCGCCGAGGAGATGCTGGATCCGGTAGGCAGATGTAGATGCGTCAGTCGACATTGTAGTAAATGTGATTTAACACGCAGTGAAAATTAAATCGTTTTGAGCTGATTAGGCTAGTGCTTGATACGCAATGGGTAAAGCAGATGCGAGAGATGTTCAGTTACGGCCGGGGCCCATAACCTGATGAACGGACGAGAATCTGAGTGGGATAAAAATCTATATTGTGCTTGGGATTTCTCCCGATTTATATAGTACATAGTCCTGTATCGGAAAAGTAATTCTACTGCCTTATATATTTGTATCTGACTGAGTCGTGCATCAGTAAGATGCTTTGAGAACATTCGGGAATGATCTTGATGCAAAGGCACAGCATTCCTGTTAATACTCAATACGCAGGTAGACATCTTGCAACGGAGTGGCGCCAGACATCGCGATCACATGATCGATGTCCTGGAACGCGTTTAGGGCAATTGGAAGGTTCATCCGGAGGTTCGAATGGCATGAGCGAGAAGCAGAGAGAGGCGTCGGTGCGCTTGGGTCACAAAGTTGAACACTGCACGTGAGCCTGGGTTGCAGCTAATCTATTCTGGGGCTAAGGTCACGGTCCCCGTCGGCATTTGATACATTCCTTGCATCGCCCAAGTCGGTACGTCAGAATCAGATCCTAGCCGTATTTCGCACGCAGCTCATCCATGCCGCAAAGTACATCGTGACTAAACGTCTTGTCAATTCGTTTGCACCGACATTCGTTTGCACCGATGGCACTCAGCCGCTGACGGCAACCTATGGGGAGAACAAATGGCAATCAAACAACTACTGTGTACATGAGCGCTACAGACAGTGAAACAAGAAATTCGTTGGCTCAGAGGCCGTGTGGTTTGTCATTATCAGGAGCGTCACGCAAGGCCCTCAGTTCTGGCGGGCATTGACGAGGATCTGGTTTACGACAGACACCCGTCTGCCATCTAGTTTTTTGAAATTGCGTCAGTTCACGCTCAAGCATACATGCAGAGACGGGGGACTTGCCAAAGAACCCGTGGATCCCGGCAGGGAAGTGGGGCGGGGTGAGGGATTTGTCCTCTTCGATTCTGCAGACCCGATGAGTCGAGCCCGGAGGATGTGAGAGATTTTGTGCCTACACCAAGTTAAGCGACGACGTGATTACGTTCTCGATGGGGGCGTCTCGAATGCGCAGGTTCTCGGCGATAGTCGCGGTGTAGAAGAGGCCGACGACGCCAGACTGGCCCAGCATCAGCCTCACTCGAGCTCTAGACACACTGCTTGGACCGACCTCGATGGTACTAGAGGGGACGTCCACAGCCCCGCCGAACTGGACGTCAGCGCCGGCCTCGTCGAATTGCTCGGCCTGGAGCTGGGCCTTGTACGCCTCGCGGGAGACGCTCTTCCCGTTGAGGCTGATCGACGCGTTCTTGGAGATAAACGCGTCAAAGGCCTCGTTGAACGAGACGTCCGTCGTCGCTTTCAGGATGGAGGAGAGGTGCTGCTGCGCCCATTGCTTCAAGGGAGGGAGAACGATTGCGGTAGACATTGTGTTTGGGCTGACCCGTACTCAGAGCCCGGTCTTTTATACGTGTCGCTCCATCTATCCCGTGCCTGTCTGGATTTAGAGGCGTTCAAATTAACGTACCCGCCGGTCGGCACCGCGATTGTCCCGTCTCCCGTCTTGTATTGATATGGATCCCACATACCCTGCGATCCATTTTCATCGGGAGATGGGTACTGGTATATTCCCATTTCAGCCCGGCGCTGCATGGGGCCGACCGATTTCGAACGAGCGGAGACGTGTTCGAAGGCAGGGTCGCTCGAAGATGTATGTTCGATTACGCGACGGACTGCTGTTGCTGGGACATTGGGGCGAAGTAGCGATGCCAGAGTGGAAAGCCGCCGAGGATGTTTGAATAGCGGCAACGGCGTGTCACTCATCTGTCATGCTGATCCGGCGAGTGCTGTGGGGTGCGGATCGCTTCGTCAGCCGCAGCCCGCAGCTTTGTGAGAACCAATGGCAGTTCTGTATATGTAGTAGAAGGCTCCATGTTCAACGCGCACTTGCGGATGATGTCAGTGAGACATATCTGGAAGTCCCATAGCGGTGCCGATGTTATGGCACCTTTGTCCATGATCAATTGATCGCTGATCATTTTACTGCTGAGCATCCCACCTTCCAAGTTCACAATCGGTTCAATCTTTCCTGTCTATTGACTTCGCCGCTCCAGAAACTGGCACTCAAACAATAAGGACTGATGAAAAGAGTGCTAGATGTCTAGGGCTTGGGCTGAACGCGCGCTCTAGGCTATAGCCCACCGACTGCTCCAGGCGTCGCGTCCGTGGTGCATTCTGAGACTGTACTCTGCATTCTACGGGATCCTGCACATCCGGGTCTCGCCATGATCAGAGACTTGATTTCTTTTAACAATTTGCGCTCTGGGGACCACCCTCAACTGGGAACTTGAAGATCTAACGTCGCCAACTTAAGCCAACCCATATGCATTGAAAGAGTGTCTGACTGGGATGCACACGGAGACCCCGAATCACGTCGTTCGCACTCGAAGTCCTCTCCGGATGCTGGAAAATGCGGATAGTATCTACATTCCACGGAAGAGTCCTCGGTCCATGGATGCGCTCCGTGTCTGAGACATGTGCTTCCGCGGTTGCATATAAGGCGGGCCCGCCCCCGTCTTCTCGATATCGCTGCTTTCACCGAAACGACCATCTGCACTCAGATCCTCAAGCATTTCTCAAGCTCAATCATGTTCACCTCCAAGATTCAGTCCCCTGTAAGTGCATGCACATCAATCACATCGAGTATACCGTCGGATGTTTACCGACAGCCCTCCAGGTTTCTGTCCCCTCCGTCACCGACTTTGACTTCCTCAACCGCATCGGCACCGGTCGTTCGGCCACCGTTCATCTGGTCCAGCACAAGGTCACTGGTCGCCGTTTCGCGTTGAAGGCTGTCGAGCGCGCTTCCGGATCGGCGTCCGCCGCCAACGAGCAGGCCATCCTGAAGCGCATCGCCATGTCCAGCGGCAAGTCGGTTTCTCCCTCCCTGCTCTCGTTGCATGCGAGTTGGGAGGATGACACTCGTTCGTATATGCTCTCGGTGAGTGCCGGCTCGGGTCTCCCCTGTCTCACATTGTCTGAGACATGCGCATGCAGGAGTGGTGCCCCGGTCGTGACCTCAGCCCATGTCTCGTCAACGGACACAAGCGCTGGGGTGCCTTCCCTGCTGCTCACACTCGCTTCATCGTTGCTCAATTGGTGGGCTTCATCTTACTCCAGTCTTGACTGTGTTGACATGATGTCAGGTCACGGCGCTCGAGTCTCTTCACGCTCAGCACATCGTCCACCGCAACCTCAAGCCCGCCCACATCTTCTTCACTGAAGACGGCAACATCGTCCTCGGTGGCCTTTCTCTCGCCAAGCACCTGCCCGGGTCCTTCATGCACGGCAACGACGAGCCTGTTGAGATTGTCTTTGATGCTGCGGCGGATGCAGACTGTGGTTCGTTCTTCCAGCAGACCATGGACGAGGTAGTCGGTGTCACCAGAGAGCGGTGCGGAACCCCAGGTTACATGGCACCCGCACAGGTCCAGGGCACGCCGTACAGTTTCGATGCTGATCTCTTCGCGTTGGGGGTAATCGCTCATCAACTGGCAACGGGAGCTGTAAGTTTCTTGATGTGTGTTGCTGCTGTCTCTGACGCGTTTAAACCAACAGATGCCTTCGTCTGAGTCACCGGAACTCGCGACTGTCGATGTCGACCTCAAAGCGGTCATCCAGGGCCTCCTCGACCACAACCGCGAGACTCGGCTCACGCTCGCACAGCTCAAGGAGCACCGCTACTTCACCGGCGTCAACTGGAAGAAGCTGGCCCGTCACCAGGTCCCTGCTCCCTGGGTTCCCGTCGCTGCCGAGGTTCCGTCCACGATTCGCGTCTGCCCGTTCCCAGCTGCGATGTCTCGCTCGGATAGCTCCTTCGGCTTCGTCTCTCGGTCGTTCGCCAGCCCCCAGCGCGGATTACGCTGCCTCATGCGTAAATTTGTGCCTGAGAAGCCCCAGTCTCGGCCTGTCGCCCCAGTGGTCGTTGCTGCCTCGGTGGTCGATGTCCCTCCAGTCCGGCCTTCTGCTCCTGCTGTGGTCGTCGCCGCCCCTGTTGCTGGTTCTTGCGTCGGAGTTCCTGTGGTCGCCCCCGTCCCGAAAGTCGCCAAGCCCGTCTTGCCCGTCTGTGCGCTCATCGAGGCCTCGCTCGACACGGCATCCCTCAAGCCGGCGGCTTTCTCCCGACTTTGGTACTCAGCGACGAGTGAGAAGATCGCAGCGCTGCAGGTGTCCGAGAGTACTTCGACCTGCGCCACCGACTGGTCCCAGGACAGCTTCGATTCGGTTGCCGGCGCCAACATCCAGCGCATTCTTGAAGATCGTTCCGGGCGGACAGAGACGGTTTCGGTGTTGCCTGCGTCCGCGAGCAGCTCTTCTACGGCTAGCGACGCGTCTGCGGACAGCTTCGACTCCAGGGCGGGCGTCAACATCCAGCGCATCCTCCAAGATCGCTTCGGTGCAACGCTCAAGTCGGCCGCGTTGTCTCCTCCGGCTACCGAAACCGAGACCGACACCGAGACCGACACCGACAGTTCATCAGACAGCGATTCGTTCCGTGGCAGTACCGCCTCGGATGACTCTTGGTCGGCGGACAGATCCCCAGCAGAGCAGCAGCAGCAGGGTGGTCTTCGGAGGATGCCAGCTTCTTCGTCGCTCTTCAGGATGTTCTCCGGTTGGACGCGGCCCCGATCTGGCCGCGCGCTCGCTTTGGCCCCCGTGTCGTTGGCGTGTTGATTCGTGTTTTCCTCGTTGTGTTTCGACTGTTTTCGTGTTTCCGTCCGACCGATCTCCGCCCCTTTTCTGTATCGCCCGCACCGGTTGTTGGGCACGAGCCTACTCGTGTTTCTTCGTCTTCGCCCCGACATGGCTGGCCTATATCGCCCTATAATGCGTAGGATCCGCTGGATGGATTGTTTTGTTCTTGGATACCAGGATAAAAGTAATATAAAATACCATATAGAGATCATACCTTTGTAATGTGCAGCGGACCAAAAAACCTAATTGGAGATCGGTCAAACTTCCGTGCGTGGATTGATGACGAGGATCGATTCCAGGGCTCGGGCACGAATCGATGCATGTGTACGGCTGATGACACGGCCACGTGATCGCTGGAAAGAGCCACTTGTATCATGATTCCTCGCGTCCACTTCTCCTGCCATGGCTCGCCGATGGCTTGGAGTACGTGAAAGAAGCGCGCCATGAGTTGCGTCTTGGCTCCTGCCGCTGTTCGAGAAGCATTTGTGTGAACCCGTGACGACAGGCCACAGCCCCTCTGCGGCCGATATACACCACATAAAAGCTCCAGCCTCTGCACCTCGCTTTCTCAGCGCCGTCATTAGAAATGTTGCGCCCATTTCTACTGCTCCTCTGGGGCATCTTCTACCAGCTCATCATCTTGCCATCTGCGCTCACCGCCGAACCGGAGTCCGACCTCGTGTACTCGCATAACACGACAGCGTGTCCGGGCTACACCCTCCACTCCTCCTCGCTCGTCGAGACGTCCGCCGGGTTCCATGCTGCGCTCGTTCTCGCGGGAGACGCGTGCAACGCCTTCGGGCGGGATATAAAAGAGCTTCAGGTCGCCGTCACGCACGAAACTGAGACAAGGTACAGTGCATTACGTAACGCCACCGCTTGGTCGTTGCTTCCCACGACTGCAGATTGCGCGTTCAGATCGTCGACGCCGCCCGAAAACAATACGTGATCCCGGACTCGGTGCTGCCGCCGCCCTCCGCCAACGAACATGTCAAGCCGGGCAAGTCCGACCTGGTGTTCAACTACACCCCCGCGCCGTTCGCGTTCTGGATCACGCGCCGCTCGGCGCCGCACCTGGGGCCGCTGTTCGACACGCGGCACACATCGCTGCCGCCGCCACCGGTGGCTGGGGGGCCGCGCAATGTGAGCGTCGGGGGCGTGGGGCTGGTCTTCGAGGACCAGTATCTGCAGCTCACGACTGCGCTGCCGCGCGGCGCGAACGTGTATGGGCTGGGCGAGGTCGTTGCGCGCGGCGGCTTGCGGCGCGATGTCGAGGGCGGCGTCGTGCAGACTATGTGGGGTGCGTGATTCTGCGGCGCATGCGGTTGAGCGGCGTGTCTGATCGGGCGCAGCGAGGGACGCCGCGACTCCGGTGGACGAGAACCTGTGCGTAGTGTGGTTTGTGAGACTCGAGGTCCCGCAGTGCTCACATATCGTATCAGATACGGCACGCACCCCATGTACATGGAACACCGATTCGACAAAAAGAGTGGCAAGTCGCACACGCACGCGGTGTTTCTTCGCAGGTGAGGGTCGTTAATTGTTGAAGGACAAAGTGAACCCATCCGATCCCAGCTCGAACGGCGCAGACATCGTTCTCGCCACCCCCGAACCGTCCTTCCCCGGGTCTCTGCTGCAATATCGCATCCTCGGCGGCACCCTTGACCTGACGTTCATCTCCGACCCGCCGCAAGCCGAAGCCAGTCCGATTTCCGTGATCGAGCAGTACACCGCGCTGGTCGGGCTCCCCACGTGGCAGCCCTACTGGGCCTTCGGGTTCCACCTGTGCCGGTGGGGGTACGAGAACCTGGACGAGACGCGGGACGCGGTCCGGCGGATGAGAGCGGCGGGGGTGCCCCTGGAGACGATGTGGAATGATATCGACTTGTATGCTGCGTTCAGGGATTTCACGACGGACCCGGTGAGGTTCCCTGAGGACGAGGTCAGGGAGTTTGTTCGGGAATTGGTGAGCTTCTTGGGAGTCTCAAGTATGCATGACCGCTCAATGCCTGGTTCTGATAGAAAGCCAATCATCAACACTGTAGGTGTCATGCTACGCAACAAAGGCGCTTGTTGCTGACTATTGGCATGCATGCCAGACATTCCCATTGTCGACGTTGGCATCGCAATAGCGACCAACTCGTCGGATTCATACGCTCCCTATGCAAAAGGAAAAGAACTGTGAGTTCGCCGGATTTACAAAGAATGATGTTAATTCATGAGGCTCAAAACAGCGACGTGTTTGTGAAAAACCCTGACATCAACGGCACTGAATACATCGGCCAGGTTTGGCCTGGATACACTGTGTTTCCGGACTGGTTTGCGCCCAAAACATCGGGTTGGTGGGCCGAGGCGCTCGGAAACTGGAGCAATCAAGGCGTTGAATACAGCGGTGCGTCATTTTACTAGTATTGATCAAGATGTGACGGAGGAGGCAGGAATCTGGCTGGACATGAACGAAGTGAGCTCTTTCTGTGAAGGATCGTGGTGCGTATTGTCGAATCGCCTCAAAGCGTTGTAACTGACTTGACTTGACAGTGGTACCGGGGCGGATCTCAGCAACACGACATGTGAATAAGTTCTCTCCTCTTTTGAGCATGCTCGCTGACGACCCAGGTCCTGTAATCTTGCCTGGATCGCCGGACAATCTGGTGACGGACTATCCCGAGGGATACAACTCGAGCCTGTTCGGGCCGAGTGGGAATCTCACCGTCAATGGGACCTGGACTTTCAGCTCTCCCACCAAAATCCAGACAAAGCGTGACGTCGAGTTGGATTCGAAGGCACAAGATATCGATGTGAATGATCCTCCCTATGCCATTCACAATGCATTTGGACGACTGGCTGTCCACACATTGGCCACCAACGCTACACATTCAGGGGGCTACATCGAGCTTGATGTGCACAATCTCCACGGACTGATGGAGACCGCTGCGACCCATAAAGCGCTCGCATCGCTCTTTCCATCGAAACGCCCGGTCATCATCGCGCGCTCAACCTTTCCCTCATCCGGGCATTACGGCGGGCACTGGCTCGGTGATAACCAGGCGACGTGGGCCTCGATGGCGTTCTCTATCCAGGGGCTGCTCCAGTTCCAGATGTTCGGGATTCCGTTTATCGGTGCTGACACGTGTGGCTTCCAGGGCAACACGGATGAGGAGCTGTGCAATCGGTGGATGCAGCTCAGCGCCTTCAGTCCATTCTATCGGAATCATAACCAGCGGGGCGCGATCTCGCAGGAGCCATATGTGTGGGACAGCGTGGCTGCCGCGGCCAAGATCGCGATAAACGTGAGGTACTCTCTGCTGCCGTATTGGGTGTGTGGTTTCTCTTGTTCTTGTGTCTTGCTCGAGATCTGAGGAGTCGGCAGTACACCCTGTTCGCCAATTCGTCGAGGCACGGAACACCGACCGTCCGAGCGTTGTTCTGGGAATTCCCCGACGATCCGAGTTTGTTTTCAGTCGATCGGCAGTTCTTGGTCGGTCCAGACATTCTCGTCACGCCCGTCCTGGAGCCGAACGTCAGCACCGTCCATGGTGAGTAGATATATCAAGAGCGCCGATGGAGAGACAGCTGAGAAATCTGCGACAGGCGTGTTCCCCGGGCACAGCACCGGCACGATCTGGCGGGACTGGTACACATACAAGCCCATCACCGGGCCGAGCGCGACGCTCTCTGCGCCGCTGGGCCACATCCCCGTGCACGTGAGGTCGGGGGCGGTGCTGCTGCTGCATTCGACGCCGGCGTACACGACGCACGAGACGCGCGCGCACCCCTACGCGCTGCTGGTCTCGCTCGACCGGCACGGCGGCGCACGCGGGAGTGCGTACGTCGACGACGGGGACGGGCAGCCGGACGGCGTGGATCTGGCGTTCCGCGTGGCGGGCGGGAGGCTCGAGATGACGCGTGCGGCGGGTGGGTATGTCGTTGCGCAGCCGGTGGATGGGATCACGGTCCTTGGGGTGGGGCACAAGCCGAGTCGGGTCTGGGTGGGTGGCAAGGAGCTGCCGGGGACGCGGTGGCTGTATGAGAATCGGGAGGGGGCGGAGACGTTGGGTGTCAACCTCAGTGGTGGCCGGGAGATCAGTTTGAATAGGGATGTGGTTATCGAGTGGAAGTAGATGTGTCGATCAAGCTAATCGATCTTGTCTTTACCCACGCATCAGATGATGTAATCAAGTTACATCCATCCATCTCTCTCTGGACCCCATACGTAACGCATACAACAGCAGCGCCTCAACGGAGGTTCGGGCATTGGTGAGAAGAAACACGTGGGTATGCAAGCGATGACAACGCACAACGCATTTCTCGAGCGCATCAAGAAAAGATGTCGAGTCTCCAGAGGCACTGCGGAGAAAGCGGGTTTTGTGGACTCCCGCTCTTGTTCTGATTCCCAGCTTGATTGAGGACGCTTTGGCTCGACCAGACTTGCGTACTTGTCTCAAACTTGTTCTCCTTCAACAAATGCGACCCACGGTGTTGCGCCCTGTCAAGTTTCATCCTTGTGCCCGGGCCAGCGCTGCTTATGTGCCTCGGCTAGCGCTACAGTGTGCCTGTGCGATCGAAGATGCAGACGTGCGATGCAGAGTCACCTCGGAGTCATAATTACGGGGCCTTCCTCCGCACCACACCCGCTCGAACCGCTGCGGTATATCACACCGGGCCGGCACTCTCATCAGGACTAGGCCGCCGATTGGCCTTTCTCTCGGACGGCGGCAACGGTCTTGAATTCAGCTGCAGCAGCACATGTGGATCTGGGATGTTAACCGGGTTTTTGGCGTTGGCAGTCGACGAGTCTCTGGAGCTCCGGTCCCGAAGCACGGTGTCTCATTCAAACCGTGGCCTCACTTCTTCGCCGATTTTGCTGCGTTGTTGACAGGACGCTGCTGTGTGCTCAGGACTTCCCAGCCGCTCCGACGATCTGATGCTCGCCCTCAGGCTTGGGCAGGCACCGATCTTCGACCCACATGTTCGAGGGGATGCTTGACGGCATTGGTGTCAGAATGCTGGTGTTCCAGTCCCGGCCCGCCAGTGATTCCGTGTCAGAATATACAGTCTCCCGCGCGCCTCGGCCGTCCTGCACACGGTCCGTTGTACGTAAGGGAGCGGGCGGAGGCTGTATAGTGACAGCAGGAACGCGGATCGTGATGAATGAAGCGCGCGCTGTGATTCTCGCAGCGGCTACAGGGCAAGGACATTTGCCTGGCTGAGTCTGCTGGACTGAACCCAACCGGGAGAGGGTATTTGCTGTAAGTGGTGTGTGTGAGGAGGCCTCACCCTGCTGTGACTGACGGGCTTGAAAGGCAGGAGGATCGATGATGTCCGGCATCTTATGATGCTTTTGCGCGACTTTGCGGTGTGAGGGTGCGCACGGTATTGATACCTGTGACGGAATGATACAGTATCACCGTGCGAGCCTCATCAGGCGCTCTATGCGCGTCTTGTATAAAAGGGCGACGCTTCAGCAGTCTACAACTCCCCAAGATGAAGTCCGCATTCACTCAAGCCTGCGCTATCGCACTCGTCGCTGCCCTGGTCCCTGGTGCAGCGGCCGCCCCAGCACAAGAGTCGCGCGCCATCGTCGAGCGCGCCGTCACCGGGCCCGTCATCTTCCTGAGCAACTGCTTCGACAGCGCCGGCAAAGCGCACGGGGAGTTCGACTAGTACGTCGCGCATCTCCTCAACTATCCTCTCCTCCCGGTCGCTGACACCCCACCCACCAGCTACTCGGACGCCAAGAACACCGTCCTGAGCGGGAAGACGTCCACGCCGACGCTGACGAACGTGGTGAACCCGAGCAGCGCGGTGGACTACGTCGACGGCGGCACGTTCGTGACGGCGGGCACGACGCAGCAGTTCAGCGCCATCATCTCGATCGACGAGAACGACTTTGGCAGCGCGGGGTCGCACGTCGGGAACGGGAAGAGCACGACGTGGTTCTGGGCCCTTGAGTGCTTCGAGATGAACTCGGCGACGGTGTACACGCCCAAGGCCGGCACCACGTGCTCCAGCAGGATCTACTGCGCGCAGGGCCCCGCCGATCCCGCCGACCAGTGAGCGAGGCGCGCGTATCTAGTATTTTGTGCGGTTTGGAATGAAGTTGTGATGTTTGGAGTGTCTGCAAATGCAAGTGGTGAATACTCCGACAATGATAAGATAAGATTAGATGTCGTGACACTAGTTGTGACCTCCATCCAACGTCACATTTAGGACTCGCTATCTCTTGCGGGTGGTACTTATGTTCGGTCCTGCTAGCCAGTACTAAATATACCATATCTGCTGAACGCGACCATGTGACATAATCGCCGGGCTGTCGTTATCGACTGACAAAGATTGGAGACCCGTAACGTGAGTGATACATACATACATCCTTCGGCCTCCCCTCACCGTCGATGCTCCATCGTTCAAACTCCGGATCGCACGGCGAAGCAACGCGTATATCAACCCTGCGATAATTGGGCTCTACGAAAAAAGCATCCTCCCTCCTCCCTTGCCCTGCTGGCACTCTCAGTCAGTCCTGACTCCTACCTACTACGCTCCGATGTCTGCGGTACCGTGCGCCTGGGTTTGGATTTGGGCGGGGTCGTCGACGCTCGTCGTCTCGCTCGCGTGTCTCGCGCGCCTTCCGCTCCCTCCCTCCATCACCGCGCGCACCGAGATCTTCCGGCCCTTCCTGAAGCTCGAGGAGGCCGAGGCCATCGTTTCATGCGAGGAGCACAGGGACACGGACGGCGCACGCGACGACAATGATGACGACGACGAAACCAAGTCGCACGCGGCGACCGCTCGCCGCGCTTGGATGCTGGCCGCGGGGGGGCTCGCACAGGCCCTCGCGTGGACCCTCGCAGGCGTCCTGTCGCTGCTCCCGGCGTATACCCCGGACGCGCCGCCTTCCGCCGCGGTGCTCCTCGTCGCGGCGTCGTGGGTGTACGCCACCGCGCGCCCGATGCTGCGCCCTCCGTCCGTCACGGCGCCGTACGACTTGTTTGCGCTGTACGTGGTGTACGTCTGCGGCGGGCTGGGTGCACTGGGCGCGCTGTTCTTCCAGGGGCAGATCCAGAGCCGGGTCGTCGACATGCCGCCACACCAGATCCCGATGCCCCACCCGATGCTCGCTGTCGAGCGGTCCTTTCCTCCTCTCGCGTGGGCTTTGTCAGGGTCGACGCTCGTCGCGGCGCTGCTTCTCGTCGCGGTCCTGCGCATGCCCGTGGGTGTTCCGTCGACGCGGGTCCGCAAGGCCGATATCGGGGTCTCGGTGTCGCCGGAGGACTACACGTCGCTGTGGGGCTGGATCGTGTTCAGCTGGGTGTACCCCATGATCAGACGCGTGAGGATCAATCTTTCGGGCACACCGGTGTATTGGCTGAACCAGGGAATCAGGGCTCGCACTCGACGTTGGACTTTAACGATGTGTGGAAACTCAGCGCGACCAATGCGTCGCGCGCGATATTCTGGAAGTTTCAGCAGACGCCGTGCGTGTTTCTTTCTGTTCATGCGCGTTGCATTTACCCTGACTCGCGTTTGGCACAGTGCCACGTCCCTGCTGATGAAGATCGCGCGTGCCAACGCGCTTGACCTGACCATCGAGTTTCTCGGGACGCTAGTTTGCATCGCGTTAGATTTTTCGAACCCGTACTTTCTCAAGTCAGTCTACGTCCATTGCATCACGTCTTTCTACGAATCACTGATAACCCACAGACGTCTGCTCGACCTGCTGGATCAGCCGCACCTGACTCGAGCGGACCGGGCGTTCGCGTATCTCTACGCTGGGGCCATCTTCGGCGTGTGGCTGCTGAATGCAGAGCTGTCTGTCCAGCATCTCTGTCAGTCGCGCCTAGCTGCTCTTCCCGTTGATGAACCTTGCTGCAGGGTACCAACGCCGGGCGTCGCTCCGCGTGCGCTCCGAGCTGATGGCGGCGATCTACGACAAGACGCTGCGGCGGAAGGACCGCAGTTCTGTTACCAAGTCGGCGGACGGGGCCAAGTCGGCGGCAGGTGTGTTGATTTCGAGCTAGGGGATTGCTGAGTGTAGGAAACTGGGTAGATACGGGCAAGATCATGAACATGATGTCGACCGACGCGGAGCAGATGTCCGCCATGACTTCGGTGCGCGCTCAGTCTTCTCTCGGTGGCCTCGCTCAACTGCGCGCAGCTACTGTTCCTCCTCTATGGCTCTCCGACGCGGATCGTGGTCGGGGGGATCTTCCTGTACCAGATCCTCGGCTGGAGCGCCTTTGCCGGCTTCGTGGTGTTCCTCGCCAGCTGGCCGCTGAACAAGTTCTTCTCGCAACGAGGCACGAAGATCAGCCGCGCGCGGTCGCAGGCCGCGGACGAGCGCATGGGGCTCGTCAGCGAGCTCGTCGCGGCGATCAAGTTCGTCAAGTTCTTCGCGTGGGAGACGAAATGGACCGCGAAGGTGATGGCCGCGAGAGAGGCGGAGCTCAAGTGGCTGGCGAAACGTGCGTGGTGGATGAGGTCTTTACTTTGCGTGTAGTGGAGTGCTGAGCTGGCGTCGCAGTGCGCCTGAACTCCATCATGTTCACCGCGCTGTTCATCTCCGTCCCCATCTCGCTGTCCGTCGCGTCGTTCTGCTGCTACATCCTGCTCGGAAACGAGCTGACGGTCAGCAAAGCCTTTACGGTCTATGTCTTTCGTGCTCCCCTTGTCCCATTCGCTGACTCTGGACACAGGCTATCGCGTTGTTCGGCATGATCAGACAGCCGATCAGCAGTGCGTCTCAGTCTTTGGCAAGGCACGCGCATGTCTGACCACGGGCCTCGGCAGCGTTCCCCGGGTTCATCGTAGACCTGATCCAAGCTCGCGTGGGCTTGAACCGGATTGCGGACTACCTGGAAGAGGAGGAGGTCTCTGACCAAGGTTCGCCCGTTCCGTTCAGGCCCGGATACGAGTCGCTGATTGTCTTCGTGCAGTCTCCTCTCTCAAGCGGGATGTTGTCGTCCCCTCGACCGGTGCGGACGGGGGACTGGGTCTTGACCGCGCCACTCTGCACTGGAACGGCGGATCGAGCGACGCACAGCAGCGGTTCGCGCTCCACGATGTTTCCGTCGTGTTCCCAGAGGGCAAGTTATCCGTGGTGACCGGCCCCACCGCGAGCGGCAAGTCCGCTCTGCTTGTGAGTCGTGCGCCGCGTCGTCTCGACCGAGTGATGGCAGCTGATGGCGAACAGATGGCGTTGATGGGCGAGATGACCATGGTGCAGGGCAGCCTGCTGCTCGACAAGAGCGGCGGGGCGGACGACGACGGGCTGGTTCGGGGAGTCGCATACGCGGCCCAGACGCCCTGGCTGCAGCACCGCGTGCGTCGCCCTCCTTGCACGCACCCGTTCCGTTTGACTGACGCTGAACGGGCCGGGCCAGTCGATCCGAGACAACATCCTCTTCGGGTCCGCGATGGACCGGGCGCGGTACGACGCGGCCGTGCGCTGCTGTGCGCTGGACCCGGATTTCGCGATGCTGGAGGACGGGGATAGGACTGAGATCGGGGTCAACGGCGTGTCGTTGTCCGGCGGCCAGAAAGCACGGTGCGTGGTCGTGATGCTCGGTGCGGTGCGCAGCATACACTGAGCGGCTGCCAATAGAGTCGCACTTGCGAGGGCGGTATACTCGCGGAAAAAATATGTGTTGCTGGATGATCCGCTGAGTGCCGTGGTGCGTGCTTACTTCCCACTTTCACGAACGGCGATGTTGACTTTGGGTTCAGGACAGCCACACCGCTCGCTTCCTCTACGAACAATGTCTGCGGGGCTCCTTGCTAGCCAAACGGACCGTCGTCCTGGTCACCCACCACGTGCATCTCGTCGCGCCCGGCGCGGACTACCTCGTCCGGATGCGCGATGGGAAAGTCGACTCGCAGGGCCCTGTGGCCGACCTCCGAGCGCGGGGTCTGCTGGACGACATCGTCGAGCTGGAGCAGGCGGTCGTCGCGCAAGAGAAGGTAGCTCAAGCCGCGCAGGAAGTGAAGCAGGGAGGCCGGACGGAGGAGAGGAAGGAGCCGCGAAAGCTGGTCGAGGATGAGAAGCGAGGTACGGATGGGTTTGTCCGGTGACGTGGTGTGTGGCTGACTGGGACCACCACAGAATCCGGGCGTGTCAAGGTCTCTGTGTACCGCGAGTACCTCTCCGCGTCCGGGTACCACATCTGGGCGGCGGTGGTGCTGCTGATCGCGTTCAAGCAGATGCGCATTGTGGGGGAGAAGCTCTGGATCAAGTTCTGGACCGAGGCTTATGAAGATGAGCCTGGTGTCACTGCACTGCCGAGCGCCAACGAGCACCCGCTGTTCTACATCGGCGTCTACACGCTCATCCAGGTGCTGTGGATCGTGCTGCAGGTGTCGACCGTCGCGTTGCAGAGGACCGCAGCGTTGCGGGCGTCGAAAGTGATGTTCCGGTGCGTGGCGTGTGTGTGTGTCTTTTTGAGACCGCGACTGATTCGGACGGAACAGCCGCCTTCTCGACAAAGTGGTGGGCGCGACGTTCCGGTTCCACGATACGACGCCGGCGGGCCGGATACTGAACCGGTTCAGCAAGGACTTTACGACCATCGACACGAGTCTGGCGCTGATGCTTGGGTCCGTGATGGAGACGATCGCGGGGTTGGTGTTCCCCGTACTGACTGCCGCGTGCGTGATCCCATCTCATCTCATCCACCACGATCTTACCTGCTGGCAGCGTCATTTTCCCCGCATACATCCTGCCCGCCTCCCTCTTCGCGCTGGTGTACTACTTCCTCGTGATCGGCTACGTGCGGACGGGGCGCGATCTCCGGCGCATGGAGTCGACGACGCGGTCGCCGATCTTCTCCAACTTTGGTGAGCTGCTGCAGATGGGCGGGCTGGTGACGGTGCGGGCGTTTGGCGCGGAGGGCCGGTACATGGACCGGCTGCATGCGCAGGTGGATCTGATGACGAGTGTTTGGTATGCGTTCTGGATGGCGAACCGGTGGCTGCTGTTTAACTCGGATCTGTTGAGTGGATGCGTGAGTGCTCGGTGGTGTTTTGGGTTATGCGAACTCGAGCTGAGTGTTCGTAGTCTGTGTTTGCGATCACGTTGTTCTCGATTGCGACGCTGGAGAACAACGCTGGGTTGGCGGGTCTGGCGATCACGGTGAGTCCGCAGCTTGCCGCAATGGGGTGACACGCACTGAACTATCGCCAGTCTGCGCTCAATTTCACCGAAAACGTCTACTGGGCGTGCAGAAACTGGACCGGGCTCGAGCTGGATCTCAACTCAGTCGAGCGTGTCCTGGAATACCTCGACCTGCCGCAGGAGCCGAGCGAAGGTGTCCGGCCCCCGGCGTACTGGCCGTCCAGCACGTCCACAAACGCCCTGGTGCGCGTCGAGGACCTGGAGGTGCGCTACAGCCGCGAGCTGCCCGCGGTGCTCACGGGCGTGTCGTTCGAGCTGCGCGCGGGCGAGCGCATCGGGCTGGTCGGGCGCACGGGCAGCGGGAAGAGCACGCTCGCGATGAGTCTGCTGCGGTTCGTCGACCCGGCGGCGGGCCGGATCGTGGTGGACGGGCGCGACATTGCGTCGGTCGGCGTGCAGGACCTGCGCTCGCGCATCGTGTTCATCCCGCAGGACGCGACGCTGTTCTCGGGCACGCTGCGCGACAACCTCGATCCGTTCGGCGACTTTGACGACGCCGCGTGTCGGGGCGCCCTGCGCAGCGTGCAGCTGGGCGCGCAGCTCGCGCTGGACAGCGAGGTCTCTGCGGGCGGGGCGAATTTGTCGCAGGGCCAGCGCCAGCTCGTCGCCATCGCGCGCGCGCTGCTGCGCCGCGCGGCGATCGTCGTCATGGACGAGGCGACGAGCAGCGTCGACTTCGAGACCGACGCGCGGATCCAGGAGAGCGTGCGCACCGGATTCGGCGGCGCGCTGGTGATCACCGTCGCGCACCGCCTCAAGACGGTCGTCGACTACGACCGCGTGGTCGTGCTCGACAGGGGGCGCGTCGTCGAGATTGGCGCGCCTTTGGAGCTGATGATGAGCGACGGCGGGCTGTTCAGGAGCATGTGTGTGCAGAGTGGGAAATTTGAGGAGCTGGAGAGTCTCGCGAGAGGCAAGGCTTAGTAGGGACTGTTGACTGGACTTTGGCTCATCGGACATGAACAGATATTACCAAGTAGATGCTATCGTTTTACACACTGCGTGGGTTTGGAGGGCTGGATCATTATGACAAAACATGCTCAGGAACTCGAGTCTGACAGAAAAGCGCGTTAAATGCTACCTGAATGCACTCTCGATGATCAGTCCGCGGACGGCCTCAAAAGATTCAAGACCGTGAGCGGGTGATCGCGATCGATCCCACTTCTTGATCGCCGGATTGCCGCTTTAGAAACCCGCAACGCGGTCACGTTCAGATTGTGCCACCTCATTCAAAGCGCCTGTCCCAGCTCTTATTTAGAGTGTGAGTCGCGTGACGTCGGGTATCAGTGAGCGGTTAATTATATGATACTTATAATTACGCCCAGTACATATGTATACGAGCAGGTTAGTATCATATCACGGGGATGTTGCCCTGCCTGTGTGGCCTTGAAGGCCGTCTTATGGATTGTTCGACATGCCGAACAACTGTAATCACGCCATCATCAGCTACGGTACGGCCCCGAGCCAAGCCAATCTGGACTCACGAGTTTGATCTCTTTCACGCTGAGCTTCTGCAGCCTGCCGCCGGTGCCTTCGCCCAGCGCCGCTTCAGCGAGCCCCTGCTTGACGTCTTGCAGCCGCAGCATTCTGTGCCTCAGATGTGAGGAGACTGCCAAGTAGCTGGCCTAAGACCGCCGCGAAACCCGACGCACCGCTCCTCGATCGTGTTCTCGACCACAAGGCGCTTGACCCACACATTCTTCGACTGCCCGATCCGATGCGCGCGGTCGTACGCCTGTGACTCCGCCGCGATGTTCCAGCTCAGATCCATGCTGCCGTCGGCGTCGTCTCCGTCAGCCAGCGCTCACGCCAAAGACATGCAGCGGGAACGCACTTGATGATGCGGTTGGCCGAAACGAGATTCAGCCCGACACTCCCGCATTTGATGCTGATGAGGATGACTTTGGGCCCGCCGGGCCGCTTGAACGTCGACAGGACGGCGTCGCGCTCCTGCTGGCTCATCTTCCCGTCGAAGCGCAGACTGCGGATCCCGTGTCTCGAGAACAGGATCTCGATCAGATCAAGCATCGACGTCCCTGTATGCGGCATCAGAGCAGCACAGGACACAGCCGCAGAGGAACAACGTGCACTGGGAATACACGATGGTCTTGTCCCCCGTGGACTCCCACTCCTGCAGCATGTCTATCATCGCCAGCATCTTCGTGCTCGGCTCCAAGTCGTCGTCGCCGCGCTCCCAGTTCGAGATGATCGCAGCCGACGGGAGATCGACGTCGTCGTCGTCCGCGTCGGCGTTGCCCCCCTTCTTGATGGGCGGCGCCTTGCTCTTGCCTTTGGCGTCGCGCTTTGCCCCAGTTGGGATCGACTTCTGTCTTTGGCGTCAGGCGGAACTTCTCGCAGCGGGAAAAAGTGCGACGCACCGTTGCCGTGTCATCGCGCTCTTTCTTCGGGCGGAGGACAGGGACAGGCGGCAGATCGTCATCGTCATCTGAATCAATGCGACTCTCCTCGAACGTCCTCGCTGGGGAGACCCGGTAGTGGTGCCTCGCCCGTTTAGCATCCCGTCTCACTTCGCGCTTCTCCTGGTTGTGCATGCTCAGCTCGTCCTCCGTAGGCTCGAACGCAGCAGCCTTGAAGACTTTGTCCCCCCGCATGTTGGTCATTCGCTTGCAAGTCGGGCCTGGGCACATGAATCAGCATACATCCTCGGTGGTGCACGAGGGACAGAAACGGACAGGGTCGGAGCCCCTTGGCTGTGGCCTCTTCGTAAGCTTTGTCCTGCGCCTCGTTCTGGCTCTCGTCCCCTTCGCCGCTGGACACACAAGTCCTCAGTCCTCAGTTTCCTACCACAGTGAATGATTACGACGCACAATACTCCGTCGTGCGCAACGGCCGAGTTGCTCAGATCCATGGTGCAGTCGAAGCAGATCTCGTGTCCGCAAGGCAGAACGCGGCCATTCTCTTCCAAGAACACTGTCATACAATCAACCCCCTCGCGTCCACTCATCAGGACATCACGCACAGTCTTTGCAAACGGGACAGACATCGGAGTCGGCTTTGGCTTCGTCCTCGTCTTCCCTGACAGCGTTGGCTCGAATGAGGAATCTGGCCCATTTACATCAATGAAACTCTTAGCCTCGTAATGAGATGGGAACGAACCGCCTCTTGACCTATGCACATCCCGTCGAGGTTCATGCTTGGATATGCAGCGCCCAATGACGACTCACCGAGTCAACCCAATGTCTCCCCATCAACTTGAGAGCCCGGCCGCGCTCCTTGTCCTGATCGCTGCCTACAAGCAGCGTCGGATCGGTGAACCCTTGCCCATTGGCGATAGACTGCATCGCTCAGTCAAAGCAACCTGAGGAGGGAGCATACACACCAGGATAAGATGCGGGTGACAACAGAGTTGCCGAAGTCGCAAGATCATGACCTGGGAGACCAAATTGGATGCTGGAGGAATGGACCAGTCATTTCATACGCACCAAGACCACAGCCTGGCTGACGAGAAACAGATGGGCGGGTTGCGAAGAACCAATCGACAAGCGCACTCACTTCTTGACCAGCGTGCCATACCGAATGAACTTGTTCACTCTGACCTTTGTGCGTGCCTCAAAGCAGTTGTAGATTTCCCGCTCTGCATCGGTGAACTTGAGCCTGACGATCTCGATATCTTTGGCCTTCAGGTCAAGTATCGGCTGGCCTTCGAGCGTCGAGTTTTTCGTCCGCCGCAAAAGAATAGGCTTGAGAATCACTTGGGCTCGTTGGCCTGCCAGTGCAGCATCCTCAAGCTGGACTCTCGCCTACAAATCTTGAGCAGATTGAACGAATCGAACCATAACGCGTACAACGTGAGTCTGAGCAGAGCGTCAAAACCGGACAGAAAACGATCACGAAACGCTCACATTGAAGTCATTCCATTCGTTCCATGGCCGGAACTGACCAAACCGAAGCAGCCCGTACAAATCGGCGCTGGAGGTCGTCGTCACGGTGCGGTATACGGAACCAGCTTCCATGGACTCACAGGGTGTTTGTCACGGGTGTACCTGTGAGCATCCAGCGATACTTGGCTCGGACGTACGCAAGACTGATGCTCGCCTTGGTCGACCTGTTCCTGATGTACTGGGCCTCGTCGGCGATCACTCTGTGGAAACGAGTCCGGGCAAGGACACCCCTGATTGCAGCAAACATGAGCCTGATGAGGTATTGCGAGGATCACAACCTACCCATGCTTGATAAGCCAGTCGGATTCCATGCCCAGGTCCACATCTTCGTAAAAACGAAAGTCCATAGACAGCGTCTGGTAGGTGGTGATAACGACCTAAGCGGAGGCATAAGGTGTGTGCTCCGTGTAGTCGAAGCACCACTCACATCGTATTTCTTGACTTCAGATGGTTTCTGGACGAGGAAATGAGCGACGACAGAGAGGCAGACGGAAAACACACCCTCAGTTTTTCGGTGCCGTGATGCACCCATACTGAAAACATATTGTTAGTCTTGGTTTCAATCTCTTCCTTCCACTAGGCTCCTGATATGAGTGACAAAGCCACAGCAGAGGTATGGGGTCCCACCTGCTGAAGCAGAGCTGCGGGCACAACAATCAAAGTTGTCCGCGTCTGCTCGTCTTCGGCGGGAACGTTCATGACCATAGTGGCGATCATCTGGACTGTCTTGCCAAGCTGTGAAGGTGCGTCAACATTGGAGAGCCTCATTATGAAGGACGTACACCCATGTCGTCGGCGAGAATACCACCTTTGTCCGGACCCTTCTCTTTCTGGAGCATCCTTGCGAGCCGAATGATCATCAGGAAAAGAAAAGAGACCCAAAGCAGTCTCACCATGCCACTCCGATGGCCTGATGGGGCAGCAATCGCGCCTCCATGCCAGGAACTACATCATCCTTACTGTCATCTCTGATGAGCCCGGTATGCACTGTTTGAAAGCGAGTACTCACTTGTTGAGTCCAAGTTCTTTCATGGCCTCGCTAACCGTGACCCCATGACTCAAGTTGTCGATCGCCCGACTGACGAAGGCAGACATCCTATGCAAGAAGAATCATCAACAAAGCGCGTCTAATCCTCATAAAAAGTGACACACTGCTCTGCCTGATCGTCCCCGCCCAGATCTATGGCCCTAAGCGGCGTTTCCACGTCGTAATTGAGATTGAACTCCCCCGCACCACCCGCTCCAAGTCCCATCGCAGGCGCCGAAGAGAGCGATTGCGAGAGGAATCTCACGTCGGAGAGCGCAACGGAGCCCATGAGTGACCCCACGTGCGTCCGGCGCGCGTTTTCAAGCAGCTGCGCCGTCCGCGTTTTCGGCGCGGCAGAGCCCTCAGGAACGGGGCTGTTGAAGAGCTGGAGCGGCTGCCGGGCGGGCGTCGCGGCCTGCGACGCGTCGGAGGTTCCCAGGAGAGCGCCCAGCAGGCGCGACGTCTGGCTGCCGGTCGGATTCATCCTGGGTGAGCGAAAGTGGTGGTTGGGCCCACAGTAGCAGCAAGGCTGTGCAGGGACATTTCCCACAGTCATCCAATCACTTTCGGTGGCCCGTCACGCGTCACGCATCATCGCTCAGATTCGGGTTTCTCATCAGCCCCCACTTTCTTGAATTTCTGCAAGAATTTTCAACGCTATGGTCGGCTAAGCTCCAAGAAAAGTAGAAACCAAGCACATCCACACCCTCCCAGATCGTCCATTCGGATACATCTTGTTTGCCGGGCCTCCAACCCGTCAGGAATCGCGGGTCATAATCATGATATCTTCACCGGCGCTCTATTTCAATGTGAAGATCTCTCACGCGAGGTGATAGCTGATTCACACATGGGTATCTCAGGAGCTCTAGTTGGAACACTATTTCATCAGATCTGACATTATTCGAATCTGAGGGCAGTACTTGCTCTATCCAGTCGACGGCGTATGAACGCCTTGAGCTGTCCCGTCTTCGCCTACATCAATCTTTGCTACTTCCAACTCAGCCCCACACTGTCCGTTATCTGTACGTCAGTCTGCCGGATGTCCAGCTTCACCACCGACGACCAAAATCCCCACATACACCCCCACATACAATGCACCGCACCCCAGCGCTTAGTCCGAGCGAACACCGGGGCTGGCGAACACGATTCACAGGCTCGGGAGTCTGGCCGGCCCTCGTCAAAGAATAATGGGTCGATCTTTCTGCCGCTAATGATCATCTCCCGAGGAATACTGCGTGCCTGCGTTGCAAAACAGACTCATGCCCCACTATGCTTTGATTTATTGCTGCTCTGTCTTGGGCTGTCACACTCTGATTCTGGAGCTGCCCGTCGCCGATAAATGATTATAATCCATGAATGCGCCCATTCGCACTGACCAGTGGACTCTATTTTGGTATTTACAGCAGATCCACAACTTAAGATACAACATATACACAGTTAGATATACACCCTAATCCGGGAGGAGAATGTCAAATTGAGTCACTTGGGGGAGATAGGCGGCAGCAGCGAGATCGAGGATATACACCTCGTCAAAGGGTGCCGACCCACTGAATCCTCCGAACAAGAACAGGCGGCTGTCAGATACTAGACTGACATGGTATCCTCGTGGCCCGGGGGCCCTGCCGAGTGCTGTGCCAGGTTCGTAGGCAAGCGTGACTGTAAACAGCGTCGATATCATCTCGGGAAACGTGCAGATTGCAACTCACCTAGATTGAAAAGCAGCAGATCACGTCGATATTGCGAGCCATCGTGGCCCCCAATGATGAACAGATAAGATCCGATCTGCGTGGAAGTATGGGAAAGACGGCGATGGGCCGTGTCCAGAGGTAGATTGGACCATTGTAACGTATCTGGCCACCCGTCAGCCCAAGTCCAGCTCCAACAGATGGAGAGGGCACGAACCAAGGTTCAGACACCAGATGTCATTGAAACAGTCCCTGCCATCGCTCCCCCCGACGACGATCATGATGTTGCCCACGAGATTCGCCGTGTGATAGCCTCGGTGACCGGGCTTTCGCCCACCCGTCTGCACCTCCTGCCATTCCATCCTCCCGGTGTTCGTCACGTCCAGCGTCCAGACATCGTTGAGCGCAGTCATGCCGTTCCCTCCGCCAAATACGTAGATCTTCCCCCGGTAGTACACGCTCGTGTGAGCGCGCCGTGGAGGTGGCCGCGGGCCCGTGATCATCGGACGCGACCATCGTCGCGTCACGGTGTCGAAGACGTAGACGGCATCGGAGTACGTGGATCCCTGTCCACCTCCAAACACGACGAGTTTTCTGTCCACGGCGGTAGTAGTATGCGCCCGCGATGGCGGAGGCCGGTCTCCGATCGTGTCTACGCGAGACCAATGCAGGGTATCTGTTCGTGACAAGAGCTAGAGCTCGGGGAACATGAGAGGGATGGAGGGAGGGTCTCACCCACGTCGAACAGAAACACGTCCGTTGAGCACTCCTTGTCATCGCATCCCCCGAATAACCACGCTTGTGTCGTCTCTACCAGTGTCACGGTGTGTGCCCGCATGATCCTCGTGGGCATCGCCCCAAACGACGGCGCCTTCGACCAGTACAGGGAGGTGCTAGGTGCAGAGGGCGCGTCCGGCTCTGGCTCTTGCTGCTGTTGAAGTTTCGCGCTGCTCCTCGGTTTTCGAAGCGTGCCTGAACTGCCCTTCGACTTCAGGCTCACGCTGCTTTCTTTCAGGTTCGTGGTCGAGGAGGATGCGGAGCCCGGGGTGGACGAGGAGAGCTTGGAGTTCGAGCGCAACACGGGACTGCTTTCGCCCCCTGAATTCGTGCGACCCAGAGTTCGGACGCTGGGTGCTTTACGCGAACCACGGGAGTTGGGTGAGAGCGGCGAGTCCTCCTCAGGCACGTCCTCCAGGTTGCGTGAGCCCATCACTTCTCCGTGGTCGTCAAAGTTGGGGTGTGAGAGGGGAGAGAGAAGGTTGCTGCCGTTCATTATTTGTGCCGCCGGGGTTGAGGGTAAACGGATATGGCACGTGTATTCCCGTTTAGTGCAGAATTACATCATGGAGGATGATCGGAGGGCCTACTTCCGCGGAAATCGCGGAAATTCATTATGAGCAGGGTGCTGTGCTGTATTCAATTTCGACAGGTGGGCGTGTATATTACGAGCGTCAGTTGTTTGCCACCTGCACATGAACGCGGCCTGCCAAGTCAAACCCGCTCAGCTGCATATCTTGCCCCGTTCTGCCAGATCTCGACGGTCCTCTTGTCCTTCACATTCTTCATGGCAACGGAGACATTCATGTCCCTGACAACCCAAACAATCTCGTCACTCTCATCCGCATGGTAGACAGCGGCAGGAAGCAGCACAAACTGTGCTCGCGGGTCCGGAACCACGGAAAGGCTCATGACGGGACTACCGCCGAGCGATTCTTCGATGTCCACAGTTGCCTTGGATCCAAAGACCGACTCGTCCCCGCCGTCGGTCATCTTCCACGTTCCCAGCCAGTCACGCCACCCTTCGATCTGCCGCGCCACTTTAGCCTGGTGAGCAGCCGTGACAGAGAGCGCCGGGAAGAACAGGTCGGAAGGTCCGCTGCTGAGATTCAGCGGTTCATTCACAAGCCAACCGAGCGCTGAGACGATGCGGTAGCCCAGCTGCGTTCCGTGGTCGCTGTTGCTCATCCAGGCGATCCCGACAGGGGGCTTGTATTTCGCGTCACGCGCAGTCGAGCCAACCGGAGGCAAGTCGACTGCAAGCACAACGCCGCTCAGAAAGCCTTGGTTCTGGCCGCCGTGGCCAATCAGGACGCGCCGTCTCTTGACATCGGTAGTCTTCAGCTGCCACCCGATTCCGAATCCTCCGAATCCATTGTTTTCCGTGAAAGCGTCGGCAACGAGAGCAGCAGGCAGGAATGGTTCCTCTCCCGCATTGTTTCCACCGTCAAGGCAGTCGTACACGGCGCGCAGTCCTTTGAGAATGTCACTGGGCGTCGTCCACAGACCTGCCGCCGCCATCTCGGGGTAGATCAAGTTCGGCACGGCATATCCCATGAACGACGTGTGGTGCGCTTGGGCGTAGTTGACGCGGGCAGCTTGTCCGCCGTGGATCGGCTGTTCGTACGTGCTGCGAGACATCCCGAGCGGGTCCAACACCAGCTCCCGCATGAGCACGGGGAACGGCTTCCCGGTGACCAGCGTTAGGATGTGTTGCACGAGTGTGGTCCCGCCTCCCGAATATGACGTCCCAAGGCCCGGAAACGTAAACGCGCGGATGGGGTGGTTGTTCGCCGGTGCCGCGCCATTCAGCGTAGCAACAGTAGGGGGGATGTCGTGGAAGTCTCCATAGTATCCGGCCAGACCTGACACAGTGCTGAGCCCCGATCTATGGGCTAGGAGGAGCCGCAGGGTGATGGGCGTTCTGGGTGCAGTTTCGGGGTTCACCACAGCCGATCGGTGCAGATCCTCGCGTCGAACACCCGACTCTTTGGCCAGGGCGAGATATTCTCCCACATCAACATCCAGATCGAGCTTCCCTTGCGCAACGAGACGCAGAACAGCCATCGCGGTAAAGGGCTTTGAGATACTTGCTCCCTGGAAGATCGTCTCGCCATCCACTGCGCTGCTGGCATCCGAGATATCCCGCACACCAAACGCACAGGACAGAATCTCTGCCTTGGAGTATTCTTCCTTGGTGCGAGTCGCGGGAAGAACGGCCACAGACAATCCTGGGGTGCTGAAGCCGGTCAGAATAGGACCCTGCACTTGCGCTCCCTGTCCCCGCAAATGAACGGGGAGGATCGTCTCAGTGAGATAGGCGCGGAGGTCGTTTTCTGCTTCGAAAGCCATGGTCGGGTCGCAAGTTTTGAGCTCTGCGCAGTACGCAGCGAAATGTATTGTGATCAAACTGTATCAGACATGATCTGGTTTGTTGGCGAGTTCATAGCCGGGCCATCTTTCCATCACCAATAATTCACGGAGAGGTTGAGGGTAAGTTTTTGATCGTGCTGAACAATAGCCGCTAGAATCCTCTTCGACGATGGTGGTCATCATCTCGGTTTTCAAGGTTTGTTTGTCTGTGTTGATGGGGCGGATCATGATGGCGGGGTTGTAATTTTGTCATCTACTCTACATACACGCTCACAGGTTGCCACCCCAATTCGGGGACATAACCGCATATGTACTGCGAACCATTCCGGGTGTTCTTGCCTGTTCTCACCCATCCTTCTCAGCATGTTCAGACAAGGATCTATCCGCGCCTTCTAATTATGTCACTCGTCAAACCCTGAGACTGAGGGAGATTGCGCTGAGACCGAGCGTGTCCTTCCGTCAGCACTCTGTATCGCACCTTTCGGACCGTCACTTAAAACTATATCCACTGCAGCTTCTATGTCCGATCGTCGATCTCCCGCCCAAACTCCCCCGCAACGACAACCAACATCGTGAAAAATCAAGATCAAGCACCGCCCAAAGCTACCGTACCGGGCTTCCCCCTTATTGTCTACTCGAAACATCACACGGCAATAATCCAGTGCTCTGAGTGGGGATCATTCTCGCACCCCTCATCCATCTCTGTTCCGGCCAACGAGGAACCCATTCAATCTTACGCCGGAAGACAGATCATCAAGCACGAAGCGCACACGGCCGTGATAGTTTGGTGCACACCAAACACTTCCCATGCCCGGGAGCGGCTTCTCGATCAGCTGAGACGTCGTCGCCAAGGTACGTATACATATATGTAGACCCCTGCGAGCTATCGACCTGCACGTTGCCTTTCCTCTGTCAGTGATGGAGTTCATATCTCCTACGACCTTGTCAAATGTCCAAGTCGTGTTTGTGGGTGCCCGTATCGCAGTCTGCGCCGTGGAACTGACGCAGCGCGTGGTGTCTCGTAGTATGTGAACGGTGCGCGTTGCATTCGATGTGGGAACGGGAGCTGTGGCTGACGGAACCCAAGCCGGATTCCTGACTCTTCTGGTGAGATCATTGATCGCGGCTTCCGATCACTGCTCATTTTCCTCACTCGAAGGTTTACGATATTCTGCTCAAGCTCTCAGACGAGGTTGGTCTTTGCGAGTTCGATTGAAGTTGAAGGATAGAGCTTATTCCTCCCCAAGTATCTGTACATCTGGAAATCCAGATGGACTGTCGTCAAAGTCATCTACTTCTGGAGTCGATACTCGATGTTACTCCCTCCCATCATTTCCACATTCAACTCCTTCAATCATTTAGCAGTGAGCCTCTTCAGCGCTCTGCTCGCATGCTCTTAAACACGTTTTTTTTTCAGCCTTGCGACAGTATCTCTAGATTCACAACGAGTGAGTGCGCCCTTCCGACTCCTGGGACGTTTACTAATCCAGCATTGCAGCTTTCGGCGGATTCAGCATCGGACTGACAGAAGGTTGACCATTCATTCAGCGTGTTACACGCCTGCATGCTCATCTTCTTCCACAGTCGTCTTGATGGTCCGAACGTACACACTATACGAGCGATCCAGAAGGTTGCTGGCCTTCTTTTCTCTGATGTGGCTCGTGAGTCAGACGCGCAGCTTCCATGGATCGGAAGCCGAGCTGAATTTCTCCTGCTGCAGGCCGTTGGAGTCGCCTCGTTTTGGGCTGTCTCAACGTGGACTTCGGCATGGAAGGGTGCGTGCTCGGGCAAGCGGCCCCAGGTCGACCGACGCTGACAGGGAATCCCATACTGTAGGCGTGAACGACGAGTCTGCTGCCTGTTATCTAGTCGCGCCCAGCACCTCCGGAAAGGTCTGTTATCTGTCTTTGCTCGTGGGCGAGTCAAGTGAGCAGCTTCCCATTGGGCTGGATTCCGATATGAACACATTATTTTCTCCACGCAGTAATAGCGCTATTGACCGCGTGGAAAGTTTTCCGCCGCTGTACGTTCTCCCAATTCTCAGGAGGGACGAAAATAACGTATAAATCAGTCTCTCGAGACAAATGGGGTTTATGGAAAAGCCTGAATGACGACGGTATGTGCTTTGAGTTGACGGATCTGCCTTGCAGCTGACACCGATCAGGGCTTTGGTTCTACCTCTGTCTGCTACGTACGTATTTTTTTCGATCGCTTCCAGGATACTCAATTTCGTCCAGCGTTCACCGTCAATGTGGTGGTCTGCTTGATCAAGGCTCCATCTGGACTCGGTTACCTCGGTGACACGTGGGATTTCGACTCTGTGTTTCAGTCCCCGATTCTGACCGTACATTCCAGACCGAACATGGTCATGCATTCCATTCTGACGTGCAGACTGTTGATCCATGCTCGCCACGTTGCAGCCAAACAGAGTCAGCGCGCTCTGCCAACGAACAATCTTCGACTCATGCGCCGGCCTGGTGCCATGGCCCCAGATTATGTTATAGACATCAGCGCGAAAAATAACGCGCTTTACACGTGAGGAATGTATACGTCTCATTTTCCGTGTAAGATACAGCAAGGAACACTTCTTGGACTACGTATGTAATTGTCAAAGATACTGTGGAGGGATGGCAGGACCAACCATATGACGTAATGTAACATCAACCAATCTTATCTGTAACGGACAGGCTGTTACATACGTAGTCATCTGAATTGACAAACTTTTATCTTATCTTTTATCACACAGCCGCACTTTTTTATTATATATACAGTTGATGTAGTAGACAAGTGGGCAGTGAATCTAGTCTTAGAACAGTCATCTCTAGCTTCGCAAAAAACCCTCCCGTGTGCCGGAACTCGACTCGACTCGCTTCCGTCACATATTTTTGACTCTTAGCAACTTGTCTCTCGCTGCTCTGGTTCCCCGTGGTCTGATCAACCATTCATACCGACATTGACGAGACCCCCCCAACACAAAAAATCTATCTACTATCCATGTCCAACCCTTCCTCTCACCCCCTTCCCCTGCGGGACTCCCGTGGTCGCTTTGTTCGACAGGATGCCCCAGACGTTCTCCCCTCGAGCCGTGTCTCGAGTGTTTCCCGTGGCAGCGTGGGTCGCTCCCCGCCGCGCGGTGTATCCCCGGACCTGTTATACAGCCGGGTGGTTTCCCCTCGAAGCGCAGAGTCGCTGGAGGGAGAGTCCGTTCCGTTGCTTGACAGCCGGAGCGTGGACTTTGAGGATGAGATTCAAGACCTCATCTCGTTTGTCGATCCCGTTGAGGATCCGAGCTTCACGAGGGTCACCAAAAGGACTGCTCGTTCGCATCGCGAACAACGAAGTTCGCAGGAGAGCGTGAATACTAGTACCTTCGCTACTCCGCCAGTTGTATCTGCCATTGAGAATATGAGCCCAGAGCGGCTGCTTGAAATATCTGCGCGATTTGGGCGCCTTGCTCGTGCGGGCTTTCGGGCTCGTGCGGGAGACCACTCGGATTTGCGTTCAGCCGAAGTGGAGTCGGATCTCCACAAGCATGAGGATGTGGAGCTGGGGAGTGATAACAAATCTCCCCTGACTGCCCCAGCCGCGGAATCAACTCCAACGCCTGGACTGGCAGCTCCAGCGCAGCCTCCGACTTCTCTGGCACCGCCTGCCAGGGCGCCAGAGGCCCCAACGTTGCAACCAGTGATGACACCGCCTTCGCCGGGACCGTCGAAAATGAAGGGAAAGGGATTTGATCCCCGGAACTTCGGTGGAATCGACTGGTCTGTAGATATGTCAGAAACTGAGCTCGAGGCGCAGCGCATGGCTTACCAGAACTTTAATGACAATCTCCGACCTCTCAAGGAGGAGTCGAAGTCTAAGGCATTTAGCAACTTACATCTGTTAGACACAGATATTGCTAACAAGAATAATCTCGGGGATGCTCCCCTTCTGCTGGAGGAGCCTGCCGAGCGTATTGATCCCCAGAAAAATGAGGGAAAAGTTCATTTTAGCCTCGAAGAGCAGATTGCGAACTTACAACAGCATATTCAACGACTTGAGGACCAGCAGAGACATACGGACGAAAAGTCCAGACAGCGTGCCTCAAGTAAATCTGCGACCCCGGCGAAGAGCGCCGAACTGTCGCGTGGCAAATCTGAGCGCCCCGTGGATACAGCCAAGGAGCCGAGTCCAAGGAAACGTTCAGAGAAACCAAGCTCCACTCGGCTGCCCGGAGGTAGCTTCTTGGACGATCTGGTTCGCCGATCCGAAGAAGTTGGCCGCTCGTCCGCTCCACTGAGTGACTCGAGTGATTCATCCTCGAGTGACTCCTCATCTGATTCGTCCTCGGACTCTGATCCTAGCAACCACTCGTCGGAATCTGACAGTGAAGGATCGTTGGCTGACAGTGAAGAATCTGATGAAGAGTCAGCGATAAACCACTCTCGGAAGTCCAAGAAGAAAACTCACCGGAAGAAATCAAGGATGCTCTTGCGGCCCCATCCTCCCAAGAAGTATGACGGATCAGCGAACTCCGATAAGTATATCGAGTTTGTAGATCAGAGCACCCAGTACTTGAAATTGGGTCGCGTCGATCCTGAGGATCAAGTGGCTATGCTTAGTCATTACCTTGAAGATAAAGCACTCACGTTCTACAATCGGAAAGTACGTAGCAGGCCCGAGAAGTGGACCTTGAAGAAGTTTCTGATTGGGATGGCCAACCACTGCTTCCCGCTCGACTTTCGCATGACACAGCGTGAGAAGTTGAATAAGCTGATGCAGAGTAATAAGTCAGTTGCGGATCATGTCACCGAATTTGAAAACATACATAGTATGATCGGTTTGCCAGACGACCAAGAAAAGGTCGTCAAACTCTGGGTCAGTCTTCGAGAAGACATCCAGACAGAGTTGTGGCGGAAAGGACGTGACCCCGAAGCCACGAAATGGAAAATTGTGGTGAAATCAGCTGAAAGAGCTGAGCGATTCCTGTCTCTGAAGCCAAAACGGCACCCACAGTCACAGAACTCTGCTGGGCAGAAGCAAACGGCTCCTGACAACTCCGGAGACAGGCCCCGCAAGCCGTATCGCCGATTCCGCAAATCCAAAAAATCGGGCCAAACTGAGGTGCTTCAGACGTCCGCTGCGGGATTCTCAGGTCAGCAGAATGGCGCGAACCCGCGCAACACGCAGAAAGGCAATAAATCGGGTCCCCGAATTCCGAACTGGGGAGACCGCCCCGGAGAGCGCAAGTTATCGCAGCAGAAGCGAAACGAACTCCTCGCAGCAGGGCTATGTCTAAACTGCGAGGAGGCAGGCCACATTGCCCGAAATTGCCCCAAACTCACAACTGTGAAATCGAATCAACCAGGCAAGCCGCCCGGGTTTGGGGCTCACCGTGTTGGAATCCAAACGGTCCCCGACCTGGGCGAAACCACAGAGGTCTACGAGACCCTACAAGTCGGATCAGTAGGGATCGACTTCGGACTAGAAGAGGGTGGAAATACCCGTGAAACTTTTGATTCCAAAGACGATCCCATTGGGGACCTGCCGGCGCGGTGGGCTGAGATCGTGCTCGAGCATCTCGGACAAGACTCATCCTGGGATGGTAAGCGGTTCCTGGTATACGGAATCAGCGACACGCACCATGTAGTGGTTGACGCCATGCTCAACACAAGCTTTGAAATCTGTAGCGAGCAGTTGCGGGATCCTCACTTTCAAATTGGCATGTGGATTGCCCGGCAAATACAGACTCACCTGGAGCTCGATCCGGACGATGTGCCCCGCGAGGAGCCGTATATTGATGAGCTGGGCGACCCGTATCAAGCTATGGTCGCACTTACCCTCGGAAACGATGATTTTGAGGTCGGGAATGTATCAAACAGGTCATACCGTGTCCAAAAGTCAGACGGACAACAGTCCACCTTGGCGAAGTCCAGTCTTGAAGACCGATCATTTAGATTGAAGGCGTGGGCCAGAGAGGCGTTCATCAGCCCGGAGCAGCCAAGCGATTCAGGAGCTCTGGAGCTCAGAGAAGTGAGCAATGGTCCAAAGAACGCACAATATGACTCCGAACCTGATCTCGAGGATATCCCTGCACTTCAGAGTGTCAGCGACTCTTCGGATGAGGAGGCCACAGACTCCGATTGCGGTTCCGAGTGTTCTTTCGACTTCTTTCCGACGAGCGAGGAGGAACGTCTTGACGAAGACGTCCATGGACCAAATCCGGGTCTGGCCGATGGGCCGATCAACCGTGATGAGCGTGAGGGAACTGATCGATATGATCAGACCTCCGGGCAATATCGTCCTATGGGAGACTTGCTTGCGGAGGGCGCAAGAGCGTTCCTGGAGACGTTCCAGCCATATCCTGGCGACGACCTCATGGCCGTAGACAATCCCTGTCAGACACGCGATCGATTCAAAGTACTTCGAATTTCAAGATCTGAATATCTCATCTGGGATGAGCTCTCACACGAGATGACGGCAATCCCAGAGAAATTATTGCGCAACCCAAAATTTGAGCTCGCAGGCTGGTATGCCGCCAGGTGTGCCGCAAATTTGAGACCCCAAGGTCAGCGAAGACCACGGGCTGAATACCGACTGGCAATTGATGATTTCCTGGAAATTGGCGCGGAAATGTATCTGTCAAATCTATTTAGCGATGGATCTGAGAATGAAACCATTTATCGTGTCATGCCTTGCTATGCAGCTCCTGGAACTTGGCCAGTTTCCGAATATATGGTTTCCCGAATGAGCGCTGGAGAGGTCGTCGGACCCATACAAGTGATCTCGGCAGAGCTGTTGATGAATCCACGTCTGGATTTCGCTCACTGGATTACCAGACACGACCTGAAGGACCAGTTGTCCGAAAATCAGAGCATTCACGGGATTGATTCAGTAGCCGTTGGCTATTTTTATGGCCTGTTTGACAATGAGCCGTCTGCTGAAGAACTCAAGGTTCTCAATAAAGAACTATCAGGGAAGAAACCGCTGCTATTTTGTGGTGGTACTCAGGTTCCTGCTAATCAATTGAATGGAATATCTCGGAGTGCCTCAACGCCACGAGTCCCTGACAAGATTGTGGCAAAGCCTCTTGTGATTGTCATCCGAGTCAATGGCCAGCCGGTCAGAGCACTCGTTGATTCAGGCTCTCTAGGAGATCTGATTTCTACTACAGTGGCAGACCAATTGTCACTTCGTCGAAAAGAGCTGTCCGAGCCAATCACACTGCAGCTAGCAGTTCAGGGCTCACGCTCAAAGATCAATCACTCAACGGAGGTACGATTTCAGTACCAAGATATAGATTGTGCGCGTACATTCTACGTAGCCAATCTAAGTGGCTATGATATGATCTTGGGGACGGCGTGGCTGTTCCAGCATAAGATCAGCATTGGCTTCAACCCTGCACGAGTATGCATCGGGAGCGCGGAGTGCTTACCTCTCCAAGGCGTAGCCACGGCGCGAGTTTACTCGAACTCCCTCCTGCTTGAGATGGGTGCGCTGCAAGCAGCTCGAGAAGAGCTCATCGAGTACGCTAAGCCAGTATGCAAGAACGCTGCAGAAACTGAGTTGCCGCCACTACGGAAGATAAACCACACAATACCTCTGATTGACGAGAATAAGATCCTGCCGTGGCGACCATCACGTTGTCCGGAAGCACTGCGCCCGCAATGGGATGAGAAGCGTAAAAACTACCTGAAAACCGGTCGGTGGGAAATCACAAACTCAGGGAATACCGTACCTATGTTGCTCATTCCAAAAGCGAAGTCTAATCCACCTCGACTACGCGTCGTGGTAGATTTGCGCGCTCGGAATAAGAACACACTGAAGATGTCGTCTCCCCTGCCAGATATGGAAGGGATCCTGAGACGAGTTGCGCGTTGCCCATATCGATCACTGATTGATGGGCAAGACGCCTACGAACAGATTTGCATTGTTCCTGAGCATGTGCCTCGGACAACGGTGACAACGCCAGACGGAAATATGGTCAGCTTAGTACTCCAGCAGGGAGACTGTAACGCACCTGCGACATACCAATCGCTCATGAACTACCTGTTCTCGGATTTCATTGGTCGTTTCATGGACGTGTACCTTGATGACATTATTATCTACTCAAGAACACTTGACGAGCACAAACAGCACGTCAGAATGATAATTGACATTCTAAAACGAGAGAAACTGTACCTCGGTGTTAGTAAACTACAGTTCCTGCAGCCAGAACTGAAAGTGCTTGGCCGCGTTGTTGACGACAAGGGCATTCGCATGGACCCTGATAAGATCAACACCGTGCTGAACTGGAAGGTTCCTACTAACCGTGAACTTCTACGCGGGTTCCTGGGCTCTGTCGGATACCTTGCGGACGACCTTGCCTTAGTCCGTGTCCCCATGGCGGTACTACACTCCTTGACCGGTGACACGGTCCCGTTCCGTTGGAGCTTCACACATCAGCGTGCGTTTGAGGATGTGAAGCGCATCGTTACTGACCTGCGAGAGCATCGCCGAAAGCCATTGACGTACGGTCCAGATGCGGAACCAATCTTCCTTGTTACGGATGGATGCAGCACAGGTGTAGCAGGAGTAGTCTCGCAGGGCAGGGACTGGAAGAGCGGCAAGGTCGCAGCCTTCTTCTCCGCGAAGCTGAACTCAGCTCAGCAGAACTATCCAGTTCATGAAATAGAAATGCTTGCCGGCGTCGAGGCGATGCTGCGTCATCGCGACATCCTGCAGGGATGCCGATTCCAGTGGATCACCGACCACAAGGGCCTGATCCACCTGATGAATCAGCGTGATTTGTCGGGTCGCCAGGCGCGGTGGGTCGAGAAGATCGCCGAATTCGACTTTGAGGTGGTGTATGTACCAGGCACAGAGAACGTGCTGGCGGACGCACTGTCTCGTATCTACTCGAATGAGACCCCCGGGACTGTCCGCGCACGAAGCGAATACACGTACCACAATGTAATTGACAACGACTCCCTCAGCGTCGGATCTATCACCATGCCAGTTTTTGCCGGGCGTGAGGCACAAGCCCTATCCAGTGACCGAGTGCTCCGCTCTGCCACCAGGGCAAAAGCACCTGAAAACTCATCAGTGGAGCCTGAGACAGCACGAGGACCTGTCGAGAGAGCCCCGAAGCCCTCAGGCAGAGTGCTGAGGTCTGCGACAGAAAAGCGTGGGCCTAGTGCGGGTGATGCTGTCAGGCTGCCCAGCGTTCCCGAAACCGCAGTAAAACCGCCCAGGAGGGCGAGAGGATTGTTCCCAACGCCTTTTGTTGGAAAGGAGGGCGAGGGTAGCAAGAAAAATTCGACCTTTGAAGACGTCGTGAGCGCTCGAGACCAAGGACAGCTGTCAGAACAGCCACCGGCTGATCGGGAATTGACCCCGGAACCAACGTATGAGATCCATGCTGAGATCAACAGGCTCGATCCTTCGCTGTTTCCTGTGGTTAAGGACGCTGTGAATGGTCTCGATTTATCGAAGTTCCTTCGAGGGAAATACACAGAGGATTCTTTCTTCAAAGACATTATTGCTCAACCACAGAGCTTCAAGAACTTTGAAGTGAAGGATGGCCTTGTGTATCTCAAGGATGGCCAGAACTTGATGCTCGGCATCCCGAGACTCACATACCAGGGACGAAACATCCGGGAAATAGTAATATCGGAAGCTCACTCCATCCTAGCACATCTGGGATCACGAAAGACTCTTGAATATCTACGAGAATATGTATGGTGGAAGGACATTGTTGACGATGTCCGTACATATTGTGAGACTTGTACTACATGCAAGCGTAGTAAACCAAGCAATCAAAAGCCATATGGGCTCTTACACTCGCAGTCTCCACCGAGTCGTCCCTGGGAAGCCATCGGAGTTGATTTTGTTGGGCCACTCCCCGAATCTAAGAACCGGGACGGCGTGTTCAATTCAATCACAGTTGTGATATGTCTACTCACCGGAATGGTTCATTGTATCCCCAGCCGAATCAACTACACCGCTCGCCAGATAGCGGAGTTGATGTTTGAGCAGGTGTACAAATTGCACGGATTACCTAATTCAATTGTCAGTGATAGAGACGTTCTATTCACCAGTACCTTTTGGCGCCGACTGAACGAGCTCATTGGGACGCAGATGCGCATGTCCAGTGCGTATCACCCAGAGTCTGATGGATCAACAGAGCGCGCAAATCGTACCGTGACGCAAATGCTTCGCCAGTGCATCGGCGAGAAACAGAGAGATTGGGTGGCCAAACTCCCTGCTGTCGAGTTTGCAATCAATTCAGCGCACTCTGAGTCGACTGGATACTCACCTTTCTTTCTGAACACGGGCATGATGCCCCGATCACTGATCTGGGATTCGGATCGCACTCGCGAATATCCGGGAATTGCAAATTTCGCGCTCCAACGACGCCTCGCTGTGATGGCGGCACATGACGCAATCATCGCCGCACGCGTCAAGCAGACTCGAAATGCCAATAGGAAGCGTCAGCCTGAACCGTTCGCACAAGGGGACTTGATTTACCTATCCACGAAGAACATCAAGTTCGAAAAGGGATTGGCTCGAAAGCTGATCCCGAAGTATATTGGCCCTTATCTGATCACTCAGGACTTTGGAAATTCGTCGTTCAAGGTGGACTTACCTCCAGAGCTGAAGCGACGTGGAGTGCATGACGTCTTCCATGCCTCCCTGCTGCGTGCACATGTCCCAAATGATGATCGTCGCTTCCCAGGTCGCCTGGAAAGTCAGCTCAATATTACCTCCGATGCCAGCGCTCAAGAGTGGGCTGTGGATCGAATTCTGAGCCATTCGGGAAGCCGGAAACGTGCTCTATTCGAAGTTAAATGGAAGTCTGGTGATCTCACATGGATGCCTTACCAGCAGGCGAGCCATTTGAACGCCATGAAAGAGTACTTTGAGGTCCTAGGCATATCTGATGTAAATCAGCTCACCGTCGGGCGAGGAATACCACCGCAAAATGACGCCGAGGTCTCGGCAAATGGGGCCACACTCCACGTCGGAGCCATGTGCCCCAACACTGCGCCGATTTTTAGTGAAATAAATGAGAATTTATTTGCCAGTGAAGAACTCACCTGGTTGTTCCCCCCCGTCATGCCTTACAACAACGAGAATCCATTCCACGATCCGTCGTCCTACGGCGCAACGCGCCCATCGAACCAAATCAGCCGCGAGTATCGCGAGTTCAACAACACGTACCGTGATATCCTCCTTCGTCAGGACCCCGGCATGTTCATCTATACGGACGCCAACGATTTCGATCGAGCTCTCCCAGCGAGCCTTGTGCAAGTCTACGTCGTTTATAATCAGTTTGGCAACCACCCGAAGACGAATAAGGAACGTATCCCGAATATGCCCGTTCACTACATGGACTGGGCCGACGACATGAACGAGCGTTGCCCAAACGGATTCAAGTGGGGCTGGCCCGACAGTGCCGCGGAAGACGGTTGGCACTATGCCGAAGGCAAGATCGCCTCGGTTTGGGACTTCGGCGTTGCGGACAGCCAGATCCAGTCATTCGAAGTGCCGGAAGGCAAGATGCTCGTCGACAAGGGTGATTGGGACGTCGGGGTCGAGTCGATGACGTCGCGGTTGAGGTCGCAGAAGAGAGCGCGCGAGCACGGGTTCCAGGAGCGCGAGGCCAAGCGTGCGAGGAAGAGCATTTCGACGAACGAAGACCGGCATGTGGAGTTTCGTCGCCAGAAAAACGCGAGAGCGGTGGTGAATGCGCGTGCGAGTCAGACGCGTAGCCAGCCGGACGAACCCGCGGCCGAAGCGGCCAGCACCAGTGCCGCAGAGCCTGCTGAGGACGACGCCATGTATTGAGGACAAGAAGGCAAGAAGACCGCCGTGTGACGTCGATCTGGAGGGCGTGTGTAACGGACAGGCTGTTACATACGTAGTCATCTGAATTGACAAACTTTTATCTTATCTTTTATCACACAGCCGCACTTTTTTATTATATATACAGTTGATGTAGTAGACAAGTGGGCAGTGAATCTAGTCTTAGAACAGTCATCTCTAGCTTCGCAAAAAACCCTCCCGTGTGCCGGAACTCGACTCGACTCGCTTCCGTCACATTATCTGCCTGCCATCATGTCTGGTGGCTCGACATCACCACGTCCCTCCTCCAGGAAAAAGTCGTGCGACAATTGTGTCACCTCAAAGACGCGGTGCGATCTCGCACGCCCTGCCTGCTCGCGCTGCGACACCAGGGGGCTCCGCTGCCATTATCAAGCAACCCCAGCGCTCTCTCCACCAAATCACGACCCCGGCTCTCCAGGACCGCCGCCCCAATCCCAGGCTCTCCCGCCCACCGCCGAGAGCGTGCAGATCGGGTCCCGCTGGCTCGACGCCCTAGTGCCCCCGCCGGACAAGACCGCGAAGCCGATCTCGCCCCATGCGGGGGAGCTGATGGCGCGCGTGCTCAGATCCTACACGCGCTGCATGCTGCACGACGACCCGGACGCGCTCCCTCCGATCATCCATCCGTACCAAGCGCACGGTGCGCTGCAGCCGGCGTTGGCATACTGCCGGAGCTTGCTGAGGATGTGGGAGTCCCGGGCGCCCGGCAGCGAGGGATTGGTGCGGGACACGATCAAGCGTGAAATGGGGCGGCTGCATTCTGAGGTATGTTTCATGAGAGGGATTGGCTCATCGGCTGGTGGCTGAGGATGGCAGTTTCGAACGTATGACCACATCACGCTGCTGGGCGCGTGCCAGTCGTTTCTGCTGTACTGCATCTTCTTCTTTCTCTCGCCAGACGAGCAAAACGCACTTTGCGTGGACACAGCGACGATCATCCAGCTGCAAGACCTCGAGGCTGCGCTGTCGCTGACGGGCCTGCAGCCCGACAGCTCTACTGTGCCGCCGCGGTGGGAGGAGTGGATCGTCAGCGAGGCAAAGCGGCGGACGCTCTACACGATGTACATGTTCGACAATGTGTTCAACTACCGGCATGGCACAACGTCTTTCGTTGCGATGGAGCTGGCGACGTTGCCTGTGCCCGGCCGCAAAGCGCTGTGGCACGCTCGATCTGCGGCTCAGTGGGACGAGGAGTACCGTCGGACTGCTGTGAACAGCAATTTACCTGTTCTGCAAGATCTTTGGCCGGACGAGGACGCCCAAGTGGCACAGCAGCGAAGGCAGCGGATCGACGAGTGGTTAGCCACCGTGGATGAATTTGGCATGTTTCTCTTCACTGTCACGAATGCAATCTACGGTGTGAACCTCTAGGTGTGTCTACTGTGTCTACTCCATCTTCTCACGCCCACCATATATCATTCGCGTGAAAGGCCTGTGATATTCAACCATCAGCTCTCGTGTCGGGATCACGTGGAACGTCGATAACTCACTCCTCGAAACGCAACGCAACGGCATACGTGATATGCACGTACAGCGCGAGCAACAAACCCGCCGGCCGCTCATACCTGCGGCACGCCGCTGATCAATCACAGCTACGGATCCACCCAACCGACGCACCACAGTGCCGCGCCTACAAAACAGAGCGTGGCGCCAACATACATTGGATTGTCGAGGACATTGTACGGGAAGCCGGTCACGCGCTTGGTCTGCAGGATTCCGAAATAGTCGCCGCAGAATGTGCCGTAGAAGCCCAGGCGCAGGTACGAGGCGCCCACGAGCGCGTTGCCGAGCCCAAAGAGACACCAGGCGAGCAGGGTCTGGACTGCGTATGGGAGAGGGTACCGGGGCTGGTCGTGGATGGCGATCCGATACCTGCGATATGCTCAATAAAATCTGAAGAATGGGATCCAGAGTAGCGTAGCATAGTAACCGTACAGGACGTCCCGCAATAAGCCCGCCACAAAAATCGAAATGCCGAGTACGGTGCTCGAGATGCGTGCCCCAAATCGTCTACTCAGTGTTCGATTCTTGTATTCTATTTTTTTTTTCAACCAGATGTCGAGATCTGAACAAACCACCACAAAGCAACTGACCGTTCCGACCGATGATGTTCCACAGAAGCGGATTGGCGGCGATGGAGAGCAGGCTGATATAGAGAGACCGGCGCGAGAAATCGATCCAGTGCGAAACAGATACTGTAATGAAGGAGACTGTCGGTGCAGACATGCCGGGAGAGAGTGCGAACAGCGACTTGTGAGCGACACGCACACGCACGCATGTCTGCCGTGACAGCCATGGGAAGGATGTCGTCCCGGATCACCGTGGTGATGGGGCGTACGCAGGCCATGCACGCCAGGGATTTACGGCCTCAGTCTCGACCCTAGAACTTAATTTTTGAGGGTAAACGCTGATCGGAGATTCTTGCTACGGTGACAACCCACGTCCACAAAGTTTATGATATGGAAGCTTGGCAGTCTCAACACTAAATTGCTATCAATACCATGGATTTCATTTCGCTGAGTCGACACGTGAAATAGAGATGCATACAGACTTCCACAGCATTTCGCAGCCTCCATTCAGCAGACGGTTGGACTTAGGTCCCTCCAACTTCTCCCAGGTCCGAACACGAGATAACCAATTCAGGCAATTCACAGCCACAAAGGACTCGGAAGGGATCCATTACTTACCTCACCTGCAACGGAAAGCTTCTAACCTAAAACGGCATTTGCTGTACATAGCTCATAGCTGTTTAGTAACGTCACGAACGTGCATGCATTTTACGACCTGCTTGACAGCAAGCTGTATCCAATTTGACTTAGTGGCATGGGAAATGATGCCCTGACTTTCATATCACGCTCATTATTGCTCAGATACGACAAAAGAAAAGTGGTATGGAAAGAACATGGGATGTCTGATGAGCTACGAGGCACCTAGCAGAGCAAATTGATCAAGAAGAGATATAAAACAAAACAATGGACGCGCTGGGGATCGAACCCAGGGCAGCTCGCATATCAACTGTTCCCCGGAAGGATAGTGCAAAGCGAGCATGATACCACTACATCACACGCCCGTGACAATAGTTGATATTGAACAGTTTCATTCATCATGAATAGCCTGCTACGTATGGCACATGGACACCGTATCAAATGGGAATGCCCGACTTCTTTCCCACCCTCAGACAAATATATCCTCTCACAGAAACATCTGCCGACGAGTCCCAATCCACGTATATACAATGAGGCCCACAACATAGCTGCCACTAGACTGGGGACTATCACAACACCGATTCCGCCATCCGTCATACAAATCACATCCATCCCAAACAGCTCAATAGGTCGACGCGATAACCTCCCCATCGCTGATATCCTCGAACTCAGCCTGGTTCGAGGCCTCGATGAGCGTCATCGAGCGATGGCGCTCTAACGCGGGGCGCTCGGGGAGATAAGCGTTGAGGCAGGGCGCGGATTTGAGGCTCTCGATGTCCTGAGCGATGATGTCCTGGCAGAACACGTCGAGATCCAGATCGTTCTCGTCGTATCCTGTACAGGAATCAGCATTCCAGCAGGGAGGAGGGGGGTGCGATGACGGAAAGAAGACGAACCAAAGGGCTGCTCGATCTCGTCGCCAGCGGCGATGAAGCCGAGGTAGATGAAAGCGCCGATAAACACCTGCACCGGCGTCAGCTACTCGATTTACAGAATTTAAGAAAAGAAAGACACGCACCGCAGGGACTGTGTGCCAGCCAAAGTCGCTCACGAGCTGGATGGGGAGGAGGAACAGGTAGAGCCAGACAGTGCTACAAGAGGGAATGAGAAGGGTGTCATCAATCGAGTTCCCCGAGCTTACTGTCTAGAAAGCAGGAAGGTGTGATGAGATTAGAGTTCACTGACACCCACAAAGTACACACCTGATGTGCACCGAGAAGGCACTACGGGGCTATCAACACATGGCGCAAACAAGACGAGCGCTACTCACAAAGGCAAAGGCGTCGTCAAGATATGCTCCAATGCTATTGAACAACAGAATGAGTTTCTCATCTCCAATACGCACACACTGAACAAAGACACGTACTGGCCAAACTGGCTTCGTACGCCGCGATACCACCCATAATCCCACCCAAGCTTCCGCCAGGAACGGTGTTTCGGTCTTCGAGGACACTCGTCCACTCGCTCAGACACCGGAGGATCTCCTCAGGCAGGTTCGGCCCGTGCTCGGCCTTGCGCTTGAGGAGCTTCAAGTCAGGGTGGACAGGGCCGCCCCATTTGCGTGGCGGCGGGCCCTCGTTGTATTGCGGCTACAGCAGCATCAAGAAAGGCTGATACTTGTTACAGGAAAACGACGCACGATGATGGGATCCTGCTTCCTGCCGAACACAGACATCCCACCGAACCAGCGCCGGATGGAAGAGAACGCGCCCGCAAGCGGGATGAGGTCGCGCGCGACGCCGGGCTCCTCGTTCATCGGGTTGGCTCCGGGGAGCAGGGGCTGGTGCGAGTGGTGCTGCGAGCCGACGGTGTCCGTGCTGCGGGACTGTTGGCGGAGCGTGTCTCGCAGGGACGCGTGCGAGCTGGTGCGCGAGCCGCCGAACGTCCCGTACACGCCGCCCGAGGGGTGAAGTGCGGCGCCCTTCGGCGGGCCGGAGGCGGTCGATGGAGGTGGAGGGGTGTTGGAGTTGGTGGCCATCGGCAGATTAGAGTGAGAGGTCATGCGCGCGTTCGGGCGCGGGGTGACAAGCGCTGCTTCGCGGGCTGCGTGTTTTTGCTGTTGCTGGTAGGAGTGAGTGTGCTGCGAGGAGATGAGATGAGGATGGGAGATGCGAGAGGGAGCCTGACTTCATGCAAGGGGCGAACGAGGTGATACAGATCGTCGTAGTAGATACCCAATTCGCCACGGATGTGGTGCTTGAGCGCAATAGCAAATCTTCATGATTCCAATGAGAAACAACGCTGAAGAACTACCGGGCACTGACCCCAGACACAAGTCCAACGCCATCCGTTTCTCGGCCATCACCTTGTTGAGCTCTTGCGCTGGTCGGATCACCTTACCCGTCAGCGTCTCCTCGTTCGTTTTGGGCGTCAGCCGGGGCGGCACATGATACCAGATCAGGCGGCCCATGCTGCGGGAGTTCTTGATCACGTCGGTCCAAGCGGAACGGCCCGCCCAGTAGCGGTCGTAGCCTATACCGTCCGTCGTCAATCATCAAGGTGATATATACAACGGGCGCGTTCGAGCGAACCTGACATAGCTCTGTGGAAACGCCGGTCAGCACACCGCCGATGAGCGCTCACTACCACTGACCTGTACGAGATAACAAAACCGATGACCACACCTAGAGGAGAACACAGGCCAGCTCAGCGCCGCTCGTCGGATTCCGCAGTCAACGCACCAAGCACAGTGAGCAGGACGCTCGGGATCTGAAGCTTGCGGCCCATGTGGTCCCAGAAGTAGACCACGAGCACCGCGAACAGCGTGTGGAAGATGACCGCCGGCCAGATTTTCCAGATCTGAATGCGCGTGAATTTTCGCAGCGCCGCGGATCCGGGGCGAAGGTGACTACTGACCACTGAGCCGCGGCCGAAGGTCCAAGCGACGAATGTGGTCGTCGAGACCTCGGGGAGAATCTTGACGTCGACCGCCGGTCGGACTGCGGGCTGGAGCGCGTGCGGAAGGGTGTATTGCTGCTGTGGTTTCGCGGGGGGTGTCATTTTGCTTGAAGAACGAAAAAGCTGAGAATGAGTGTATCTGAGTGCGGAGAAGACAGGAAGAGAAAGAGAGTGTGTATGAGTGTGTGAGTGAAGCAGGAGGGGAAGGGACAGTATGGAGAGTGAAACGTCGCAATGCCGCTCGCGCTTTTGGGCTGCAGACGGAGCTGTCTTGATTGAGTTGTTGCGAAGATCGCCAGAAGGGTGGCGTTCTATAAGTGGACACGAGCGCGCGCGCTGGTGTCATCCAAGCGCTGGAAACATCACAAGAGTCTCTCTTATAACCTCGTCCGTTCCACCGTCCCTGATAGACTGCTCCCTCTCAACTTCAGCTTCCTCGCCCGTTTGGTGTGCGTGGGGAGTCAGGCAGAGGGTCGGCACTCGAATATGAGCGTAGCGCAACCGCCGATCGGCGCCCAGAGCCATCATGATAAACATAAGATCGGGAGAACTTGGAAGCATACAAGTTAGTCGTCGGTGGAAGAGAAAGGCCTTGACAGCTGTGTGATCGTCTCTGAGGCCGATTGACACGTCGAACGCGGTCACGGGCAACTTATCGCACAGTGACATCACCTATCGACCGACTCAGCACACCATAGTAAGTAGTCCACAGTGTACACTGTACGTAGGTCAACTAGGTAGACAGTTTTCTGATTTCCATCACACGTTCTGCGCCGAGTTGGCGAAGACCAAGGGAGTGGAGATCTGCATTTCATCCGCATCCTCCTGCGACCCAATCTCACGCAGATGGATGATAAGCTGGCACGCCGAAATTGAATGCACCACGCGCAGCGGGCTGAGGGAGCGGTAAGAAACAATTCGACAGGGCACGTGGGTCCATATAGATCTCTCACGTGTCTGCGATGAACGTCAACGGGACCGGGACCGTTGAGAGCTGGAGACCGATGTCCAGGAAGTAGATCGCTGACAACGCGCGCGTCAATGGGTGGGGGCGGGCGTGTAGAGGGAGGAGTTTATGATACACACAGAGCATCATTACGTAGAACATGATTCCTACACGATTACCATGGATTCTTTGGGAACGGTCGATTTCGAGGTCGAAGACGCACCATCGCGGTAGAACGTGATCATCACTTTTGAATACGAGATGGCGGAGCCGCTGCGTGAGAATACACCTGAGCAGCGTGAGCATCCAAATTGTGAAGAAACAGGAGTGATCGACTAAGAGCACCCCCAACATACTCTTTCGTAGTGCATGCCATATTGTCAACAGTCCGACGACTGTCAGTCAGGTTTAGATTTTCTTGTGGGAGCTCGAAAGCTGAACAGCGGAATAGTACGCGCCTGTTTCAGTGACCGCAATCGACGCATAGGCAACCAACCCCAGGTTATTGTTGCCAATAACACCGCAGTTGGACGTGGTACCACTCAGGGATACCACTGGGTCGGATTCGGCTAGCATAAGTAAAAGCGATGAGTTCAATTCATCCGTCGGGTTGGGCATACCATCAAAATTGCTCGTCCAATGAAACACAGCCCACAAACTAATACTTGCGATTCCCTATGGATATGAGTGACTCGTTCCGATGTCGCAAAAGTGATTCTCCGTACCACCCAGAGTGCCGCAAATAACACCAGCAATTTCTTCGGTCTCCCGTAGATCGCATAGGTGCGCATCATAAGCACGACTTTCCGTTCGCGCCGCGCCGATTTCAGTCACGTGTCACTACCCACGGCTGCGAAACAGGCACCAGACCTTCAATGAGCCCGATCCCGATACCGGAGAAAACTGACGCTACGTGAGAGAAGGCTTGAAATGTAAAGGACGGAATCATACAGGTATTGAATGTTAGAATGAAGGAGCAGGTTGGGTGGCTGATCCCCAAGTTCACCCGTGCTGAATTTTGAAATAAATAATTGTGTAATGGATCAATCAGAGCTTACCGTATACAGCCAATGTGGTATCCACGAATGTAGCGTATCTGGTCCATAGATACAGGGCCTTGATAACGGTCCATTTCGACTTCCAGATATGTTTGTGCTGGAGCAGTGTTCATTGCTAGCACCAAATCTCGCACGAACTGGCATACGCACTTCGTCGGGGATATTTAAAAGAGTGTCGTAGGTCTGCGCGGGTGCACATCACATCATGCATCTCTTGTCATGGCGTGAGAATCGCACTGACCAGCAAGGCCAGACATGCCACTAAAATGGGTCCCAGACTAGATCTAGAGGAATTCACTTCATGGAACGATAGACACTCACCGTCAACGTACTGGAACGGAGCGGTCAGCGTCTTCAACTGCAAGTAAGCCTGAGAACACGGGACCCACAGCCACGGCCTGCTCGTATTCTTGATAAGCCTGCGCACCTGGCACAGCCATGAAGTCGCGGTTACAGAAGGTAGAAAGCCCTGAGCGACTCGAGGGGGAGTGCCATGCCAGCTCTTATACTCTGATGAAGACATCATCCGCAACAGACTTGCTTATTTGGGGACTGATTTGAGGTTGTTGGGATCGCCAGGTCGACGTAATGCTGATAAAACCCCAGGCCCATCTGTGATCCCGGTTGTGAAGCTACTCGTTGGCTCTCTGTGCTGGGAACAGGATTTCATGGGGTGGTTCGGGTCACGATTCTCACGATAAAAGATCATTCTTGCAGAGAGCCCAGAAGATAGACACACACAGCCTTGTCTCGTTCAAGTTCCGCGTAGAACACGACGCCAAGGATAGCACCCGAGCCAGAGTGCGACCAACACGCATTTTTGATGCATCTTCGACTCCCTGATATCCTCCAATGAGACGGGAAACCTGTATCGATCGCATGCCCAATAGTGATCTACAAAAGGATATCATGGAGGATAGTACGCCCGCGTCGCCTGCGTGTAATCCGGTGGCAGAAGCCCCAAACCATGCGACAGGGAGCCCATATCCTGCGCCCTGCCCTCCACGACCATCCGCGAGGCGCCCGCCGGCAGCGGGGCATGCGCACTCGGGGGCAGCGGCACCACCGGCCTGCCTTTGCCGTTGACCCTGGCGCCGAGGCCGGCTGCACCAGCGGACGTTGCCGCGGTGTGCTTTGAGGTCCAGCGGCCCTTGGGGGCGGAGGCAGAGGCAGTTGAGGATTGACCGGCACTGCTCGGGTGGTCCCCAGTGTGGGCCACGGTGCACAACCCGCATCGGGAGACGTCCCTCTCGGCCGGCGAGGGCTGTCCGATCGGGAGGGAGGTCAGAGTTAACACTGGTGCGTTTCAGGGATCACACGTACACTGGCATTAGACGCAGGCCAGGGGTTGCTTGTGACCGTCTCCGTAAATGCGGAGTGCGAGTGCTGGGAGTGCGATCCAACGAGAGCCGATCGATAGTATGACTGGTACGGATCGGGTCCTACGTGATTCATGTTGTCGTGGGTCGCCGGGGCGTATCGGAACTCCTCGATCGTGTATTCAAGAGAACCCTGCCGCTTCCTGCGAAGGAATAGAAACAGGAGTAACAATATCACTAGAACGGCCACCCCACCGACGACACCCCCAGCGATGGGGGCGGTCCTGATCGAAGATGAGGACAGACGAACAAAAACGGGGATAAGGTGCAACGCACTTGGTTGGCTGTGACGAGGTGGAGTTATTGGTTGAGCCAGTCCCAGTCGGACCTGCCGTTGACCCCGAGCTCGTCTTCGACCCACCAACCGAGGCATGCGGAACCTTGGCAAAGTCCAGCGCGAATATCTGCCCGGGCGCAGCAGGGGTAGCCACGAATTGCACGACATGGTCCCCGGACGCGAGATTGTCCGCGTAGAACAGCTCAACCATATTATAGTACGTCTGTTTCGTAGCGTTGAACGTCCCCTGGGGCACGCCGTCCAGAAGCACGCCGTACGGCGCCATCAGAGGCCCCAACGCTCCAAACACCGACACGAAGCTGCCCTGCGGGAGGAGTCGGCGCTCACAGAAAACGGTAGAGGTCTCGGTACCCACGGTGAATGACAAGGAAGCAGAAGCTTCGTTAGATGTGGTCTGGCTGTCCGCCGATGCATCAAAGTGAGTAGGGCGCTTGGACACTGATTGCGGGGACGCACTGCCCGCTGCTTCCGCTGAACCCGGTCAGCGATGGCGCCAGCTGGCTCGTCCATGCCGCAGCCGGGGTGAAGGAAAACAGATTGCTCGTGTCCTCGACTGTGGGAGCGCTGTCGTACGCCGACGGCGTCAAGGACGAGGTCCAAGTGATCTGCAGCGCGTCAATCGTTGTGCACGCAGGTGAAAAAGCCCGCGCTGATCACACACGTAGTCGATGTCAAGGTACGGCCTCGTGGAGTTCGTCAGCTCGTTAGTAATGGAGACCGTGTGAAGGCCTTCCGGCAGCACATTCGACACGAAGAGGCCGGAGAAGATGTCGTTTGGCGAGAAACCGTCGATCGTCTGCGTGACACCGTCCAGATTCACCGAGTACGGGCCTGCAGACGCAGAGATATATACACATAAGAGAGCGTCACTGGGCATCGCGCGGGGTGCTCACCGTGATTCGGTCGCTTCGCTCCACCGACCCACACCTGGGTTCCGTTGAACGAGAACGTCGCGGTGCCCCCCCTCGTTGTGCACAAGGTAAAAGTGCCATTGGAATAACTGCAAAACGGGGTATGTGCTCAGCTCGATGCAGGGACTCGGCACTCGACGCACTTCCCGGCCAAAGGATCGTTGGCATTCGTTCCTTCGGTCCACACGCCAGGCGGGGTGTACTGGATGCGCGGATTGATGTTGTCGATGGTGAAGTTGGACATGGGTGTGTCCCGCTGACGCCTGGGCGAGCAGAACTGGAGACAGAGAGAGCAAGGGGGGAATAGCGCGCTGATTCGCGGTAGACTTGATGTGAAGAGGCGGTCATTTTCAATCAGGGAGATCCCGCGATGTTGTTCCACCAGATACCAGCGCGGTCGAACAGATCCTGCCCTCCGTGTTGCAGTCCATAGATTATAGATCGCCTGGCGCCGTGTCCATCCACGGAGTTGGCTGTGTGGCCAGTGGTCGCATGCTGGCCCATGTCCAGCGGAATCAGCTTTCGACATCCATGGGAGCTTGGGAGGGGGCATTCGGGTGTTTTGAGCCTAGTTTCGGCTCGAGATCAATCAACATATATTGGGCAGAGAGCAGGCGCCGGAACGGGAACGAGTTTTGATGATCTTTGTTGGAGGGTGATGTGACGGCTGCGCATCGGTGGCCGTGCCACGGACTGCCACGTTCCCACGTTCTTGGGAGCTCCTGGTTGCCTATGTACAACAGGGTTTCATGCGGTGGTTCAGTCACGATTCTCACGATCAAAGATCCTTCTTGCAGAGAACCCGGAAGATACACACAGCCATGTCGCTTTCAAGTTGCGCGTAGGATACGATCGCAGTGCTACTAACACGCCTTGGAATGCATCTGGGCCTCATCAATATTCTCCAATGCGACAGCGAAACTGTATCGACTGCATGCTCAACATCAAATGATCTACAAAAGGGTATCATGGACGGGGAGGATAGTACGGCTGCGTCGCCTGCGCGTAATCCGGTGGCAGAGGCCCCAAAGCAGGCGACAGCGGGCCCATATCCTGCGCCCTCCCCTCCACGACCATCCGGGAGGCGCCCGCCGGCAGTGGGGCATTCGCAGTCGGGGGTTCGCTAGCGCTAGTCGAGAGGTCCCGGGTGTAGGTCACGGAGCGGAACTCGCATCGGGGGACGTCCCTCTTCACTGGCAGTGGCGGTAGCGGCGGTGGCTAATCGATCGGAAGGTCAGAGTTAATACTGGTACGTTTCGGGGATCGGACGTACACTAGCATTGGATGCGGGACAGGGGTTCTTCATGTCCGCCTCCTCAGATGCAGAGTGGGAGTGTTGGGAGCACAATCCCACGAGAGCCGATCGCAAGTGTGCCTGGTACGGATCGGGTCTTCTGTGATGTATGTTGCATTGGGTTGTAGGGGTGGATTGAAACTGCTCGATCGTGTATGCACGAGAACCCCGCTGTTTCCTGCGTAAGAACAGAAATAGAGATAGCAATATCCCTAGGACGGTCACCCCACCGACAGCACCCCCAGCGATGGCGGCGGTCCTGGTCGGAAATGAGGACAATCAGAGAAAAGACGTAGGGTGCAACGCACTTGGCTGGCTGTGACGAAGTAGAGTTGTTGGCTGAGCCAGTCCCAGTCGGACCTGCCGTTGACCCCGAGCTCGTCTTCGACCCAGCGACCGAGGCCAGCGGGACCTTGGCAAAGTCTAGCGCGAATATCTGACCGGGTGCAGCAGGGGCGGCCACGAATTGCACGACATGGTCCCCGGACGCGAGATTGTCCGCGTGAAACAGCTCAACCATATTATAGTATGTCTGTTTCGTAGCATTGAACATCCCCTGGGGCACGCCGTCCAAGAGCACGCTGTACGGCGCCATCAGGGGCCCCACCGCTCCAAACACCGAAACGAAGCTGCCCTGCGGAAGGAGTCGGCGCCCCCAGAAAACGGAAGAGGTCTTGGCACTCACGGTGAATGACAAGGAAGCAGAAGCGCCATCAGATGTGGTTTGGCTGTCCGTAAATGTATCAAAGTGAGTAGAGCATTCGGACAGTGATTGCGGGAACGCACTGGCCGCTGCTTCCACTGAATCCGGTCAGCGACGGCGCTAGCTGACTCGTCCATGCCGCAGTCGGGGTGAAAGAGAACAGACTGCTCGTGTCCTCGACTGTGGGAGCGCTGTTGAACGCCGACGGCGTCACGGACGATGTCCAAATGATCTGCAGCACGTAAATCGCTGTGCACGCAAGTGAAAAGCCTGAGCTTGTCACACACGTAGTCGATATCAAGGTACGGCACCGAGGGGTCCGTTAGCTCGTTGGTGATGGAGACCGTGTGAAGGCCCTCAGGCAGCACATTCGACACGAAGAGGTTGGAGAAGGTGTCGTTTTGAGAGAAGCCGTCGATCGTCTGCGTGACCCCGTCCAGATTCACCGAGTACGGGCCTGCATACGCAGAGATATATACACATAAGAGAGCGTCACTGGGCATCGCGCGGGGTGCTCACCGTGATTCGGTCGCTTCGCTCCACCGATGAACACCTGGGTTCCGTTGAACGAAAACGTCGCGGCGCTCCCCTTCGTCGTGCATAAGGTAAACGTGCCCTTGAAGTAGCTGTCAAACGAGGTATGTGCTCAGCTCGATGCAGGGACTCGGCTCTCGGCACTCAACGCACTCTCCAGCCAGAGGATCATTACTCGTTCCTTCTCTCCACACGCCGGGCGGGGTATACTGGATGCGCGGGTTGATGTTGTCGATGGTGAAGTTGGACATGGTTGTGTCCCGCAGACGCCTGGGCGAGCAGAACGGGAGACAGAGAGAGTAGGGGGAAATAGGGCGCTAATTTGCGGTCCCAGACTTGATGTGAAGAGGCGGTCATATTCAATCAGAAAGATCCTGTGATTGTGTTTCATAGGACACCAGCGCCGTCGAACAGAAACCGCCCTCTGTGTTGCAGTCCATGGGTTATAGATCGCCCGGCGCCGTGTCCATGCGCGGAGATGACTGGGGTGGCCAATGGTCGAATGCTGGCTCATATCCAGCGGTATTGGTTTTCGATACGCATGGGAGTTTGGGGGGGAGGCGTTCGGGTGTTGTGAGTCCAAGTTCGGCTCGAGATCAAGCAATATATATGGGCGAATAGCAGGCGATGACTTTGAAAAGTGATGTGACGGCTGATAATCGGTGGCAGTGCCGCGGACCTAGGAGCTCGTATTTGCCTACGTTTCATGCGGTGGTTCAGTCACGATTCTCACGATCAAAGATCCTTCTTGCAGAGAACCCGGAAGATACACACAGCCATGTCGCTTTCAGGTTGCACGTACGATATGATCAGAGTGCTACTAACACGCCTTGCAATGCATCTGGGCCTCATCAATATTCTCCAATGAGACAGCGAAACTGTATCGACTGCATGCTCAACATCAAATGATCTACAAAGGGGTATCATGGACGGGGAGGATAGTACGGCTGCGTCGCCTGCGCGTAATCCGGTGGCAGAGGCCCCAAAGCAGGCGACAGCGGGCCCATATCCTGCGCCCTCCCCTCCACGACCATGCGGGAGGCGCCCGCCGGCAGTGGGGTATTCGCAGTCGGAGGCAGCACCACCGGCATGCCTTTCCCGTTGACCCCGGTACCGAGACCAGCCGCACCAGCGGACGTCGCCGCGGTGTGCGTCGAGGTCCGGCGGCCTGCAGAGACGGAGGCGGAGGCCGTCGAAGGTTCGCTGGCGCTATTTGAGGGGTCCCGGGTGTGGTTCACGGTGTAGAACCCGCGTCGGGGGACGTCTCTCTCTGCTGGCAGAGGCGGCAGCGGCGGGGGCTAATCGAGCGGATGGTCAGACATGGGCTGGTGCGTTCCAGGGGTCGAACGTACGCTAACATCAGACGTAGGCCAGGGGTTGCTCATGACCGACTCTTCATATGCGGAATGGGAATGCTGGGAGTGTGATCCCACGAGAGCCGATCGCGAGTATGACTGATACGGGTCGGGTCCTATGTGATCCATGTTGTAGTGGGTTGGTGGAGTAGATTTGAGCTCATCGATCGCGTATTCGTGAGATCCCCGCTGCTTCCTGCGAAGAAATAGAAACAGAAGTAGCAAGATTCCCAGAACGGCCACCCCACCGACGACACCCCCAGCAATGGCAGCGGTGCTGACAGAAGATGAGAATAGATCAAACAATGGGGATAAGGTGCAACGCACTTGGCTGGCTGTGACGAACTAGCGTTGTTGGCTGAGCCAGTCCCAGTCGGACCTGCTGCTGACCCCGAGCTCGTCTTCGACCCAGCGACCGAGGCCGGCGGGACCTTGGCAAAGTCTAGCGCGAATATCTGCCCGGGTGCAGCAGGGGCAGCCACAAACGACACGACATGGTCCCCGGACGCGAGATCGTCCGCGTGAAACAGCTCGACCATATTGAAATACGTCTGTTTCGTAGCATTGAACGTCCCCTGAGGCACGCCGTCCAAGAGCACGCCATACGGCGCCATCAGGGGCCCCACCGCCCCGAACACCGACACGAAGTTGCCCTGCAGGAGAATCCAGCGACCGCAGAGAACAAGGTCTCAGCACTCACGGTGAATGACAAGGAAGCAGAAGCGCCATCCGATGTGGTTTGGCTGCCGCAAATGTATCAGTGAGTGGGGCGCTCGAACACTGATTGCGGGGACGCACTGTCCGCTGCTTCCACTGAACCCGGTCAGCGACGGCGCAAGCTGGCTCGTCCATGCCGCAGCCGGGGTGAAGGAAAACAGATTGCTCGTGTCCTCGACTGTCGCGGCTTGGTTGAATGCTGATGGGGACACGGACGAGGTCCAAGTGATCTGCAGCGCGTCAATCGTTGTGCACGCAGGTGAAAAAGCCCGCGCTGATCACACACGTAGTCGATGTCGAGGAACGGCGCCGAGGGGTCCGTCAGCTCGTTGGTGATGGAGACCGTGTGAAGGCCTTCCGGCAGCACATTCGACACGAAGAGGTTGGAGAAGAGAGCGTTTTGCGAGAAGCCGTCGATCGTCTGCGTGACCCCGTCCAGATTGACCGAGTACGGGCCTGCAGATCCAGAGATACATCTCCACACGAGAACCTCACTGGGCATCGCGCGACGTGCTTACCGTGATTCGATCGCATCGCTCCACCGACGAACACCTGCGTCCCATTGAACGAGAACGTCGCGGCGCTCCCCTTCGTCGTGCACAAGGTGAACGTGCCCTTGAAGTAGCTGCCGAACGGGGTATGTGCTCAGCTCGATGGAGGAACTCGGCTCTCGGCACTCGACGCACTCTCCAGCCAGAGGATCATTGGCACTTGTTCCTTCTGTCCACGCGCCAGGCGGGGTGTACTGGATACGTGGGTTGATGTTGTCGATGGTGAAGTTGGACATGATTGTGTCCCGCAGACGCCTGGGCGAGCGGAACTGGAGGCAGAGAGAGCAGGGGGGAATAACGCGCTGATTGGCGGTCCCAGACTTGTTCTGAGTAGGCATCAGACATCTTTCATGTTCAATCAGGAGGATCCCGCGATTGTGTTTCATTAGGCACCAGCGCCATCGACCCTGCCCTGTGTGTTACATAATACAGCAGCGCCCGCCGCCTTCGGACAGAACCTGCCCTGTGCGTTACAGTCATGGATTATAGATCGCCCGCCGCCGTGTCCATCCGAGGAGTGGGCCAAGCCCCCCAGTCGCTGGAGGTTGGCCCATGGCCAGTATGTCAGCTTTGGACATCCATGGGAGTTTGGAAGGAAGATGTTCGGTTGTTGCGAGCCTGATATCGGCTGGAGATCAATCAGCGGTCATGGTCATGTAGCAGCAGGCTATGTACATGAGAAGGTGTTCCGAGGGTCGATGGCTTTCAAGTTGATGTGCTGATCATCGGTGGCAGTGCCACGCCCTGCCACGTTCTCCTCTACTCAAATCCGCATCTACCTACTTTATGCTCGATTTTCTGTGAACGATATGCTCCTACTACTGCTCCCCGTGATCATCGTATCCTTGGTCGCTGTCTCTGTGGTGAGGCGCCGCGCCCGCAACCAGCGACAACTCGTCCTGCAATCCCTGTCTCTCCCACCCTCCACCAAAAGCCTGGGCTTTTTCCACCCATACTGGTTTGTCTCGCGTCACAGATCCGGTCGACATCTTTGATCCCATACAGCATAGTGATGCCGGCGGCGGTGGCGAGCGTGTTCTCTGGGCGGCTGTCGCGTACATCCAGCGGACGCGACCAGGCGTCCTATGCGTCGTGTACACCGGGGACGTCACTGCCACAAAAGCCTCGATAATAGCACAAGCACACGCGCGATTCTCGATCACACTCTCGCCGGACACGCTGCACTTCGTGTTCCTGCACCGGCGCTGGCTCGTAGAGGACGCGACCTACCAGCGCCTGACGCTCATCGGGCAGAGCATGGGCTCGGTTGCCCTGGTCGCCGAGGCGCTGTCACTCTACGTGCCGGACGGCTACATCGACACGATGGGCTACGCGTTTACGCTCCCCGTCGTGCGGCTGCTCGGCGTACCCGCCGGCGCGTACGTGCACTATCCGACCGTCAGCCCGCCGATGATCTCGCGCGTCACGGCGCGGCCCGTGAAGCTCGCGTACTACCACGCGTTCATGCTGCTCTACGCGCTCGCGCTACGCCGCGCTAGCGTCGTGATGGTCAACTCGGGCTGGACGAAGCGCCACGTCGACGCCGTGCTCGCGTACCCCCCGTTCGGCCGCGCCGCCACCGTGCGCACGCGCGTCGTCTACCCCTCGTGCGACACGCGCGAGATGGCGCGCCTACCGCTCGCGGGGAGGGAGCTTGTGATTCTCAGCATTGCGCAGTTCCGGCCGGAGAAAGACCACCCGATGCAGCTCCGCGCGCTGCACTCGCTGCTACAGAACCACCCGGAGTACGCTGCGCGGGGCGTTCAGCTGGTTATGATCGGCGGATGTCGGAATGCGAGCGACGAGGCTCGCGTGGAGGGGCTGAGGAAGCTTGCTAGCGAGTTGGGTGTCCAGGTGTGTGCGTTTTTCGAAGCGCCGCTTTGCGTGGCTCACATTGTGGACAGGACCATGTGCAATTCGTGCTGAACGCGCCGTATTCGCAGGTGCTCGCTTGGCTGGGTCGTGCAAGTGTCGGTATGAACACCATGCTGGATGAACACTTCGGGATCAATGTTGTGGAGTTTATGGTGCGTCTTCTCTTCTCTTCTTGTGAGTTTCAGTCAGCAGCGCTGACACACAATGCCAGGCGGCTGGAGTGATACCCATTGTCCATGCATCCGGCGGCCCGCTCGGTGATATCGTTGTGCCATTCGAAGGCCATATAACTGGTCGGTCGGCCCCCTCTTTCTTACTCAGACTGGTTGCTCATTGGTTCTCTCTCTCTCTCTTCCAGGTTACCATGCCAAAACCCCAGAGACGTTCTCAGAAGCCATCGATACCTGCTTCCGGTTGTCTACTGCGGAGGATCTCGCCATCCGCCAGCGCGCGCGGACCTCGGCTGTTCAGCGCTTCAGCGATGCGGAGTTCGAGTCAGGGTGGGAGGCCAGTGGCTGGTCGACGTTGCTTGGGCTTTAAACCATACTTAAGTTAACAAAATTGTAACATGACGCGATCCTGTCAAGTTTCGAGGCACCGATTTAGACCCGGATCAATCCCGGGGGATTTTGACAGGACCATCAGTCAATTTTTCTCGGCCCGGAGCTTGTTCGAACTTCGAAGGTCGAGCAAGGCAAGTTGGGAGGACACGGTCGGTCGTCTGCGACGGATTCGTAACACTACAACCGCCACCGCGCTGGCATGTGTTTCTTAGCAACTGGCATATGTTTTCGCGTCTGCTCGCAGATCTCTGATTATCGTGTGGCGATTGGTTGAACAGAGTCTGTCGACAGCTTGCAGCTCGCTGATTACCCGGCAGCGGGTACCTGTGGTCCCGCCGCAGCCTGTGCCCGAGCGCACGGGCGCATTGCGATTAACACAGGGGTGCGGGGCCCCAGATCTACCCCGCATGCCATTTAGGCGCGTAGTGTTTGCGCATGGATGTCCACGCTCTCGAGATATCCCAGGAACGCGCGGCTAGCGAGCGGGGGCGGGATGCGATTGCCATCAGTGGCAACCCAAAATCTGCACAGCCCGTGTCAAGACTGGACCCGTGACCTGCCACTGCTGACCAGCGAAGTGCCCTCTTCGTAAAGATGCCAAGGCACGCGCGCGCGACCACTCGGCCCCGTGAGACGAGCAATAGTGAATTATAAAGCTGCAAAATCTGCCTCGCTTAGGGTACGGTCCGAGTCGTCTGTCTGTCTGCCTGTCTAGCACGATGAAGTCCGTCCAGGTCCTGGCTTCTGTGCTTCTCCTCGCGCGTGGCGCTTCCGCGGGGATAGCTGCCGCGCGCGCCGCGGCGCCGCCGACCATCACGCTCGACAAGGGCACGTTCACCGGCAAGGCGAGCAGCAGCAGCATCCACAGCTTCCTCGGGATCCCCTTCGCGCTTCCCCCGTGCGTGCCCAGCGAAACTGCATTGCCAGCTTCAGACGAATAACCCCAACCTCCGCAGGACCGGCGATCTGCGGCTGCGGCTGCCGGTGGCGCACCCGGCCTACAACAGCTCGTACACGGTCACCTCGTACGCGGACGCGTGTCCGCAGCAGGCGATCGACCTCCCGATCCTGACGGGCCTGCCGGCGGAGGTCGTGGACTATATCGCCAACACGGCGTTTGGCGCGATCTTTCCGGCGCAGGAGGACTGCCTGTACCTCAATGTCATCAAACCGGCGACCGCCACTCCGACTTCGAAGCTGCCGGTGGTCGTGGTGAGTGGCTGTATTTGTGTCGTCCAGAAACTTGGAGTTGATGTGGGAGGGATAGTGGATCTTTGGTGGCGGGTTCGAGTTGGGCAGTCCTGCGATGTGAGTCCTTCTTTCTGTCTCTTTCTGTCTGGACCGCGGCTGAATAGGGTGTGCCCAGGTACGACGGAACGAGCATCGTTCAGCGGTCAATCGACATGGGCGAGCCAGTGATCTACGTCTCGATGAACTACCGGGTCGCCGCGTTTGGATTCTTGGCCAGCAAGGAAGTACGCGCCGCCGGTGTCGGCAACCTCGGTCTGCAGGACCGTGCGTTGAGTTTCCTTCTCCCCTCCTGAATTTGAAACGAATGATTTCATTTGCAGAACGCCAGGCCCTGCGCTGGGTGCAGCAGTACATCGGAGCCTTTGGCGGTGATCCGACCAAAGTCACCATCTGGGGGTACGTGTTCTTTGCCAAGCTCATCCAGTAACAACTCACTGGCAACAGGGAATCAGCCGGTGCAATTTCTGTTGCGCTCCAGATGCTCAGCAACAACGGGGATCCACAAGGGCTCTTCCGCGCCGGTTTCATGGAATCTGGATCCCCGATCCCCGTCGGACCGCTCGAAAACGGTCAACCGTGTCAGTGCTGGGAGCTGTTGAATGGAAATTGTGATGCTGACTCGAGTAATGTGGACAGACTACGACGCTATCGTCGACAGAGTCGGGTGCAACACTGCTGCCGACACTCTCGCGTGTCTCCGCACAGTGCCGTACAACACTCTCAAAGCGGCACAGGACGCGAGTCCCGGCATCTTTGCTTATCAGGTATGTCTTGGTCATCGAGGCCATGTTATCCACGTCTCACGCACACGTTCCTAGTCCCTGGTCCTCGCCTTCCTTCCCCGCGAAGACGGCGTGTTCCTCACGGCGAACCCCCAGCAACTCGTGCTGCAAGGCAAAGTCGCCAACATCCCGTTCGTCACGGGTGACTGTGACGACGAGGGCACGCTGTTCTCGCTTTCCACGCTCAACGTCACGTGCGCTTGCCTAATTTAGCACACGGTGGTTCGAATCTGACGCTCCCGCGCTAGCACCGACCAGGAGTTCCGCGACTACATCGGACAATATTGGCTGCCGTCTGCAGCCTCCGCGCAGCTCGACAAGATGCTCAGCATCTACACCAACTCGATCACAGCCGGGTCGCCGTTCGACACCTTGGTGCTGAATGCGCTGACGCCGCAGTTCAAGCGTATGGCTGCCTTCCAGGGCGACGGCGTCTTCCAAGCACCCAGACGATTCTTCCAGCAGCAGCGGTCGGGGAAACAGAACCAGTGGGCCTTCCGTGAGTCTTGCGCGTCCTCCGCCGTTCGAGATCCCTTTCACGTGACGATACTAAAATCGGAATCAGTGAGCAAGCGACTCAAAATCGTGCCGATTCTCGGCTCGTTCCACTTCAGCGACATCCTCAATATATATGGGAGCGGCGAGCTCAAGGACTACCTGATCAACTTTGCGAACAAGCTGGACCCGAACGGTGCGACCGTGCCGAATTGGCCGTCGTACACGACCCAGACCCCGAACATGATGACGTTCCTGGACGGGCTGTTCCCCACGACCATCTCGCAAGACACGTACCGCGCGGAGGGATTCCAGTATCTGACGAATCTGACGCTGCAGTTCCCGCTTTGAGGGACGGCGATAAAAAAACAGGACGGGGGAATTCCGAGAGATTTCTTGGGGAATAAATTTTGGATATTTACAGCATTTTTCTGTGTATGGCTAGCCGAAAACGAAAACTGGATGAAATGATACAAATTGAGCTCGGTCGCGAGGTCATGTGGTCGAGCGTTTCTGAACATGGCACTTGAAAAGATTACATATGTAACAATCCTATACACTTCAAGCATCGCTAGAAAGACTGTCCTTACGCAACGCCTTGATGATGCTATCCAATTTCTCCTCGATCACCGTCATTCGTTGCTCCATCGTGGTCATTTTCTTATCCAGCTCTGCAATGCTGCGCTCCTCGTTCGTCATGCTTTCAAGTTTGGCCAATTGTGGGATAGGCTCTGTGTCGTGCACGTACACGAGCGGATGCGACAAAGTATGACCTGGCTCCTCTCCTGACTCCACCAAGTCCTGATAGTTCGGGATCGAGTCCGTTGGGATGGGCCGTTTGGCCTTGTCGCACTCGACGCAGACGAAAATGTCCTGGACGCACATGACGCAGACCCACACTGGAAGGGACACCTCCTTGGCGCAGCACACGCATTTTGGCCTTTTCTTTTCCGTCACAGCATCCTTAAACGCGTAACCGGTCTCGGCCATCGTCTTCGCGCTCTCCGGAGCGTCCAGGCCCTTAAACTGCTTTTTGATCCGCGCGGCGACGGTCCTGGCTTCAGGCACGATCCACGCCTTGTCGCCATGGTGGATCCGAGAGAGCGTCTTGACAGAGACGTGCGAGGGCACGTGGCTGACGCCCTTCCATTCCGCAGACTGGTCCATGTGCGCCTCGCAAAAGTCAGCGCCATCATTGAACCTATTGTCTATGCACTGCACGCAGAACAGAAGCGGGCCCGTGATTGATTTGTGGCACATGTCGCAGTCCCGCTCTTGCTTGACGACTTTTCTGAGATCCAGCTCGACGGCGTCGTAGAGAGACTGAGTGGTCGCTCCCAGCACCGTGTGTAGATTGTACAACTCGTTCAGCTCGTCTTCCGACAGAGGTACCCAGGGCGGCGCCAGGTGCCGATGGTTCGCCATGACCTTTATCATCAGCTCGCTGAAACGTCGGCGCTCGTCGGAGCGTTCCTCAAGCGAGTCCACTTCAGGGTCGGGGTCTTTGGGGTGGACGTCATCGTTATACACATCGTTGGCATCATTGACGGTGGGATATATGAGTATGGCCTTGCGCTTGTCGTTCAATGCGTTGAAAGCATCGAACGAATGGCCTCTGGGACCGGTATCCTCCCAATCGGCGTCGAATTCGTATCCCTCATCACGGGAAGTAGCGGCAATGGTATTTTTGGCGACATCGGAATACTTTTTGTCGCTGATGTAGTCGGCTTGGAACTGTGATGCTGATATCAGCAACAGAAGCGCGGAGCAGCAGCAGACTGTACCATGCCGAATGCGAATCTATCAAATCGCTCATTGACATTCGAAGAATTAGATTTGAAAACGGCTGTGCAGCACCCAGTCAGCACAATCACATGACTGACACCGCAGTCTGGACATACCTTCCAAGTTGGCCATTCTCTCGTCGACTGCTTCGAAGATCACTCCCAACGAACCCGTCATCGTATCGAATTCACCATCATCCAGGACATGCATACACGCGAGCCGCAGAATGTCAAAGTGCCGCTTGAGAAGCGCATTGAGCAGAGGATAGATGAACTAAACTGGCTTTAGCGGAGACAATCCGGGAGGAGAGGATGGAACAGACCCTCTCGATACGCTTATTCCCAGTGATGAGTCTTAGACCCTCATAATCCAACTCGTAGCGCAGTTTGGTCAATCGGTCTTGAATCCGTTTGTTTTCATGGCCCTCGATCTTCTCCCTGACCTTCGCAAGATCCTCATCCCATTCTGGGCCGGCAGACCGAGTCGACCGCAAAAGCAGCTCGATCCGTCGAAAGGGACGCGAACCAAGATACTCATCCACGGCTTGTATGTTTTCACGCAAGATGGGTTTGTGCGCGTTCGTTGGGAGACGGAGCATTGCCTTGAGCAGCGAATAGATCCGGTTTTTGTGCCAGGTTACGGAGGTGTGCCAGCCAGCAGCCCAGTAGGCTGTCCATGAGAGTAAACTGGATGATTCTTTGTAAATGTTGGGGAAATTTTTGATGCACATCACATGCCTGCACTGTTCCTTCTGCCCAGATTTTATAAATTCATTCGTCTCTTTGATGGTGACAAAGCCAGTTCCATCGTCATCCACTGTCTCGAGGATGGGCTTAAACTGGTTGAGCGAACGTACAGAATCATTTCATGTGATCACTTACCTGGATGTTAGCCACAGTGATATACTTAAGCGCCCAGCGGTCATCGTCCTCGTATTTAGGCACACTGGGGAGTTCCGCGATCAAATTGATCGTGGTAACCTCAGGCGATGGAGGAGCAGAGGAGTTTTTGCTTTCTGGGATATGCTTACTGAAGAGTTCGGAATAATAGTCGTTGAGCGCGAGCACGAAGTAACGCGCTTTAACACTGCCTTTCCAGCCTTGGTCTTTCCAGAGCGTTTGAAGATCCTGTTTCGAATGCCGATGAGCATTTTCATGTAAGGAGAGGATACTCACCTCATCCATAATTCGTTCATGCAACCCTTCTTTGATAGCCTGGCGAAGCCTTTCCTCGCCGTCTTTCATTGCAGTTTTCAGCTCTTGGCTCTGTATTTCCATCTTGCCGTCAAACAGCAGCGCGTTCTTGCGAAACGCCTCATCGACATCCTCAGACAGTTCCCTTAAGAGAAGCGTCTTTGTCGCGGCGATCTGAGCAGACGTGTCGGACGCCAGGGTCGTGTCCCCGCTCTTTTCCATAAGCTCTGCCAGTGCGGCCTCATCGCTGATGCAGGCCCGCGCGCCACCGTTGTCGTCCAGGAACTTCTGCACTTCCCGCTCGCGCGGCGTGTCGAGTTTGCGAAACAGCGCTTCCATTTTCACCTCGATGGAATCCAGCTGCGCCGTCTGGTCGTCGAGCTTTCGGTTCGCGGTGTCGACAGAGCGCGATGTGTGCATCGTCAGCGCGAAGGCGATCGATTTCTTGTGGTCTGTGAAGTTCGCGACATAGGACGCCAGTCTGGCCTCGTAGATCTTGGACTTGATTGTTTTGGCTGTGAAGAGTGTATCAGTGCAAGTAGTTAAGGTGTTGGGGTACTCGCCAAGAAAGCTCTTTTTGAGATAGACGTCGCAGGCGCTACCGCAGCTGGTGATGTCGGCCGCGACTGTCTTCATGAGTTCTGACATGCGGTCTTTCAGTGTCGTCCCATTAGAAGCCTTATCCTCTGGATCGCGGAAGGAACCGAGTCTGGAGGCCAGAGATCAAACAGAGACAGCTGGAGGAAGAAGGTCGCAGACTGGAAGAGCACCGTCATGAGGTCCTGCATCTGGAGCTTCACCGCAAGCACCTTCTTGTCATTCTGCCGCCGCGTGATATCGAGCGAAATGATAGACTTGAACGCAATGACGGCGACTGTGCGGCTTCAGCAAATAATTATATTATTTTCTCTCAATGAGTACCCACCCCCGACGAAAGGATGGACCGCCATGAGCACGTCCAGACCCTTCATGACTACTGCTGACGTCTCTGCGAAACGGGATATCGTTGCCTCGATGGATTTCACATCTATGTTCGCTGCGGCTGCCAGCGCACTGGACGCGGTGTTGAGGACCGCGGCATTTGCAGTGCAGAACGTCTGGAGAGTGGCATACGTGTCCTTTGTCTGATTGATCGGGACCGACAGTTTGTCCTCTATAGAGAGAGTAAGATCAAGTTTCTGGATGGAGAAGGACTCCACACCGATCCTATCGATCTTCTGTTGCGAAGCAGACAAAGAAGTGGATGAGAGGGCTGCGGTGTGGGCGCTGTCGAACAACGCCGAGCGCGCGGGATCCTCTGCATTCTCCGTCTTTTCTCCGCTCAACGTCCTAGTAAGATGAATGACGGAAAGGCGGCGCGACATATGGGTGAGATCGCGGCGGAAGGGGATCTCCACGAGTTCGCACTTGAAGTTCAAGGAATGCAGTGGCTGACAGTCGCTGCAGCCAGACTTATATCGAGTGTGGTCATGTAGGTTGCCTCAAATAGCTCTGCTCGATGCTTGACTCGTGAGATAGATTCACAAGTTTTGGATAGGACGGGCGTCTAAGACTGACAGTTGGTATGATCCATGCACAACTGTATTTGACTGACGGGGACGTGGTTGTCCGCACTCGATCCTGTAGTGCTCAATGCAGACTACACTGTTGAGTCAAGTGGTAGAACTGACATTGGCCATCGTGTACTACGTGTTATTGACCCCCAACATTATTCCGCGGCACTGGCCGGTGAGATAATGAAGGGTAGATCCATCGATTACCGCAGGATATCTATTTTGAGACCGGTGCCCCATCAAGTCCCACGAATAAGCTTTAACTTTTCTTACCCCCCCTGCCCATGTTGGCCCTCGAATTTCCCAGTGTCTTACAGATAGCGAACGTTCATCGCCGCATTCCCCGCTCATGGCCATCGATAATATTGTCTAAACATGGACGCAATCCACATCATCGATGGTTCGGGAACTTTCGGAGGCTGTGAATCCATGATTTGAGCCGTTCTCCGTAGTTCTTTTGTGAGCTGCCGGAGCCTTTCAACATCCGAATCGGTCTTTGAAACCATCAGTGCACAGCTTCCAGTCAGATTTCTGACTATGGAGACATGTGAAGAGCTCACCTCTGGAGACGAGTCCTTATCAGGAAGAATCAGCGATGATGAGCCGGGCCAACTTTTCGGAACCCATCATCTCGTATTCAAAGGCTCTATGGGGGAGGAGCAGGCGGATTATCAACCAAACATTCCAACCTATCCTTGGCTCTTTTCTCGTCGTTCCTAGGTTGCCTGTAGGCTGAAATAACAGCCAGTCACTGGCTGATGCGATAGGACAAAAAAACGCCTAAAATGGACATCTTCGACCTATCGAAGTTATGACATGCGCCGGATGAGTTTCAGTCAATGTTAGACGACAATGCGACCTAGCAATCTGGTTGCTTCTTGACCAGAGCTTTCATCCTATTCGATGCTGAAAGGTCGACATTTGTCTGACTGAAATGGATCCAAAATTGTGAAAATAAACATCATATTGTAGGATGAAATTTAAAAGCAGTCACACATATAGCAGTGATATATATATATAGCGCTCATATGATCCAGTTTACTAGTGTGCGCAGTGAACGTTGCAGCCGTGGAACGAGCGCTAGCTATGGCGCACGGCCAGCCCGGCCCAAATTAGCTAGAAGGTAACAGTCACATCAATGTGATTCGTCTGCAGGGCAGCCACGAGTACTCACACAATCGCTTCAATCGCTCATCTCGTTCTCAGTGGTCCCGCTTCTGTCCACCTCCATTTCGTCCTCAAGTTCCTCCGACTCGGATACATCCTCCTCACTCACGCTAATCCTCTGCTTTGAGCTGTATGCCGAACTCTTTTGCCGAACCGTCTTTTTGGCGCTCTTTTTGGATTTCGAAGATTTCGAGCGGTGGGCGCCAGTGAGGACCGACTTGATTCTCTTGGTACGGGATCCAGACGGATCGCGTTTGGCGGAGTTGAGCCGAAGATAGTGATACTGGTCAGGTACCTCAAGCTCACCCGAACGGTATGCCTGACTGCGTAGATTTTTCATATATTGACGGAGAATTGCAATGGTGGCCCAGTCGTTCTCATAGTCTTTGAGCAGGGGGAACTGTTCGTTTAACTGGGAGCACGGTGAGCACCCTATTCTTTGCTGTTGGATGCACTGACCGCTGCTAGTAGCTTGGCACGCTCTCCGGTGGGGACGTCATCCCAGGCTAGTGATTTGTTGATATGAGCACGGTGATACATCTGGCGGCAACCACGCTGAGACAGGTGAGTCATTGCATATCATGGAAATGGGGGCACTAACTTGAATCATCAAAAACACAGCATGAGCTCGTGAGCGTGTCTCGCCTGGTAATAGGTCCATCTCAATCTCCAGGGTCCATTTGTTACCCCGAGGGCGAGGTATTGTCTGTCGCTGCTCAGACTGAGACTTCAAAGTCGCTAATTCTTCCTCTAGTGCGGAGTTTCTATCGTGGGCTGCCTGCAAGGCCACTGCGACAACGATTATTATCTGGTCAAACACACTTCGGGCTTCAACATATGCATCACATACCCTGCACCTCAGTAACGTCAACCATCTCGGTGCCTTTGTCATCACTATTGTGCTTTTGTAGCATGCTCCGGAGCTTGGCCAGATCACGATCTTTTTCTTCGTTTGCTGCTTTCTCTTGCCGCAACTGTTCTTCCTGCTGTCGGAGTCGTGCTGGAATCTGTCAGTACCTGTTGCTCAAAGGATGGTAAGCACCTGCCTGACAGCTCATCATTGTCAATCTGAGCATTGACTGCGCTGTACACAGTGCAGTTCTCGACATCATACTTTTGCTCCAGAGCAGCCAGTGCTGCTTCGAGAATCCTAGGGTCGTTCAAGACATCTAAGTCAGGCTTCTCCTTGCTGTGCTTCGTCTGTCGAGTCCCTTTGTTAATGTTTTCCTTTCCAGCCTTCTTCGCAGAGTGCTTTGCCATTGAAGGTGTGACAGATTGATGTCTCGGGTGCGTGGCTTTAGCTTGTGGGGTTCGTGGCTCAAGCAACGAGGCAAGGGATGGGGTAACGGGCCGACGACTCATGGTCATTCAAACCAGTTGTGGATGACGGCTGCGGTGGATTGACCAGTATTTTGCACCGAGTTTTTTCTTATCTAATACATTCCTATGATCGATCGACGAGACTGCTCACGTGCAGTACCCTCCTCTTTTCCGAAGTCAGCTATGGGCCGCCGCATCGCTGGTGTTCCTGTGCTCTGTGGCTGCTGTAACCAGTTTGTCTCTGTCCGTCGGGAACGTGAACACCGCAAACGTACTCTGAGTGCTCCATACACGGTCCAAGCTCCTGTCTCATTGCAAGGCAAACGGGACTTGTTTCGTTCTCAATTTGACCGACATTCGACTGCGGTTATCCAAATTGACACTAACTCTGGAGTGCTTCCTTTGATGGAGGATGAAGGTCTGGGGCAGGGTGCGATAACAAATGAGCTCAATTGTACGTCTTGTCTACCTCTTCCCGATATGTCTCTAACTGGACGTGGTGTGCAGATACGTCAGATCCTGCTTTCGGACCTGTTTCGCAATTCCACGACCACCCAGCAGCCCTGCATTGTATTGCGCCGCCAGAGACGGCTGAGCCTGAATATGAGAATGAGGAGACAAGTTTGCGGAGTGAAGATAGCCTCGCGGAGGATTCCGAAGAGGAGCTGTTCGATTGGGACTGTTTTGCTGCCTCATGCGATTCGGTTTCGGGACATCATTCCCAAACTGCTTACAATGAAGCGTACGATGCACAAGCACACGCAGGTGGGTTCTACTTGTTTCGATGTTTATTTGGAACACTGGCTCACGTATTCCTTAGCACTGAAACTGAGCTGTGGAGACTTGGCACTATGTCGAGCATTCTCGTTCAAAGTTCAGAGTAACACAACTGACCGCAACTTTATGAAGCTAGGCTTCGTGTTCCCCGAATCTTCGCTGCCACCCATAGGCACTGTCCGCGCTCGAATCACGCATTTGGCTGGCTTCAAGCCTGAAATCTACGATTGCTGCGTGAACTCTTGTGTCTGTTTTGTTGGCAGTCACGCCCAGCTCGATCTGTGCCCTTACTGCAATGAAAAGCGTCTCCGGTCCAACGGGAAGCCACGCAAGCGTTTCACGTATATTCCGCTCATCCCACGCTTGGTTGCAATGGCTGGAAATGCAGACCTAGCGACAAAGCGTCAATATCGTGGCAACTACGAACATGAGCCGGGGCAAATGAATGATGTGATGGACGGAACACACTACCGCTCTCTTCTCATGCAGGAGGTCGAGATCGATGGCAAGCCCCTTGGTCACACATACTTTGAGGACCCTCGTGACGTTGCATTGGGTGCATCGTGGGATGGATGGGGTCCATTCAAGCGGCGGAAGAAGACGGCGTGGCCACTGATCCTGTTCGATTATAATCTGCCTCCTGAAATCCGCTTCCACCTGCTCTATGCCATTGCACTCGGCGTCGTTCCTGGACCCAATAAACCCAAGGACACAAACTCGTTCCTCTGGCCACTTGTGCGAGAGCTGCTTGAGCTAGCACACGGAGTTCCAGCCTTTGATGCTCTATCGCAGAAGCTCTTCACGCTCCGTGCATATCTGATCCTTGTCTTTGGCGATATCCCCGCTGTCTCGATGTTCATGCGGATGAAGGGTCACAATGGTATCGTGCCATGCCGCATGTGCAAGATCATAGGTGTCGCCAATCCAAATTCAGCGAAGAAGACTTATTACGTGCCATTACAGCAGGCCTGTGTTCACTCTGAAGGCAAAGCCTACGACGCTGCAAACCTGCCAATGCGCACACAAGATGAGATTGTGATGCACGGTCACCAAGCAGAGACAGCGGTGTCAAACGCAGAAGCCCAACGCTTATCTTCTCAATCTGGTGTAAACGGCGTCTCTATTCTCACATATCTGGGATCCCTCTCTTTTCCGAATTCATTCCCGTACGACTTCATGCATCTCATCTGGGAGAACCTGGTTAAGAACTTGGTTCTCTTGTGGACAGGGGATTTCAAAGGTCTGGACGTGGGATCTGGTGATTTCGAGCTTGAAGCTCGTGTGTGGGAAGCTATCGGTAAAGCCTCGGCATCTGCTTCAGACACCATTCCATCTTTGTTTGGAAGCCGTGTACCAGACATCTCTAAAGACCGCTCTTATGTATCAGCTGAGATGTGGTCTTTCTGGACGCTATTTCTGGGTCCAGTGCTACTGCGCCGCAAGTTCCAAAACGAGAAGTATTACTATCACTTCATCGAGCTGGTCCGGTTGTTGACCATGTGTCTTCAATATGAATCAACCACAAGGAACGTCGAAGAGATACGTGTCGGCTTCATCAATTGGGTCCAAAGATATGAAGAGTGAGGGGGATTCTCATGCAGTTCGACACTACTGATCACGATGATGCCAATAGGCTGTACTTCCAGTATAATCCTGAACGGCTGTCGACCTGTCCTCTTACTATTCATGCCCTGCTCCACATCGCACCGAGTATCAAAATTTGTGGACCTGTGTGGTGCTACTGGGCGTACACAATGGAACGCTTCTGTGGAAGTCTTCAGCGTGGAATCCGCAGCCGCCGATGGCCATGGGCTTCCTTGGACCGCTATGTTCTTGAGCAGGCACAGCTCACACAGATCAAAGCAGTTTATAATGTATTCACAGAGCTTGCACTCGAAAAACCTACCGGAGAGATTCTCGGCTCACTCTCCCATCCAAATTGTACATTCCCAATCTTCCCTCGACTTTCAGCTTACATGGTCCTGCAGATCCGTCTTGCGTGTTGCTACCGCCACGTTCGGGGTATTTGAGGCCCGACGCTGTCCGGAAAAAGTCAATAGTCACGGCGCTTGCAACCCGGTACAACTGCAATGTTGCATTGATCAACAAGGTGTTGCCAGACACCCTGATACGTGAATGGGGTAAGGTTCGGCGTGTGGATTCCGAGGCTGGTGAAACGATTCATGCGGCTTCAATCTTGCTGCAGAACAGTCCCGAAGACTCACGAGATGCGACCCATGTCCGAGTAAGTGGCTATATGTTCGGGACATCAAGCCACTGACGCACCTGTTCACAGTACGAAATATTGGTCGATCATAATGCACGGAGCAAGAAGAAGGCAATCGTCTTCGACCTGAAAACTTTCTATGGTCAGCTCATGCATATCTACACCGTCGAGTTCCCTATGGCAGTGCCAAGCCTCCCAGTGGATGCATCGGAAACAGTCTTTCTGGCCGCAATTCGTGCCTGTAAGCTCGACAAGAATGATTCCGCACTGAATGGACTAGACATCCACTACTTTACCGGATATGGGGCGCTAGATGTGGTCGACATCACCAGCGTGCAATGTCTTGTTGGACGTGTCCGAGACACCCAAGGGAAGTGGGCTTTAGTTGACCGAAGCGGATCCTTGGCAAGAGCGGTGTGGGCAGCAGATAGTATTTTAGATGCGCACTAGTAGAGCTAGGGACTACTTGCAATTTTTCATGATTATCGTGCGTGTGGTACCTGTGACATAGCACATGATGTGACCAAGGATCGGAATTTTCTCTCGACTTGCTAGTGCTCTGACTCTTGTATCCCAGTCTCGACGCTCTATGCTTTCCTCCGAAATCTGAGTGACTCTCTAGGCACTATAGTCATGAAGACCGAACTTGCTCTTATCTATGAAAACGAAAGCCCGGAGCAGTATCTCTCAGCGTCCTCGGACCACGATGAAAATGGCAATCAATACGAGGCCTTCGGTAGCCAACAAGACGAAATCGTACGGACGTGGAGACGTCGAGAAAGTAGAAAACATCAGGAGGCTGCCCTGGAAGCTCAAGACTCCCCTCGATACGCTCACCGGAGCTCTGGGTCTGCGGCAATCACTGCTAATAAACAGTATGTACAATTGTTCCCATGCATGTGTCCGAGTCCACTCTAATAACTGATCTATTCACATTAGACTCTTCAAGGACGGCGGAGCCCTTGATTCGCAAACTGATTCGCAAGAGTTCATAGACAGACTAATGGGGGCACCGGCATCGCAGCCCAAGACAAACACCGCTCGACGGCGGAGGAGTGTTGATGTCAAGCCAGCACTAGTGAAAGCCGGTGCGTTTATGCATAGTTGTCCTTCCTCTGCTCTTGTCTAAAGCCTTCCGCAAGCCATGGATACAGAGTCCGAGAGAGAAGTAGATGGCCCTACTACCAGTGTAGGGCCACCAGCTGCCGAAACCAGCGAACTCGAGGAGTTGAGATCGGAGAATGGTCGACTATGGGCAGCGTTGGATGAGATGCAGAGTCAGCGTGACTGGTATAAGGTGCGATCGAAGGGATGGCGAGAAAGGGCTCAACAAGCGCGAGCTTCTCTAAATCTTGCCAAAAGCTGTATTGTAGACGTTCTAGATACCTTCGACAACACGTTGGCAGATGATCATAACAGGCCACCTCGGCACAGTTGAATGTATGTGCATGTGCCAGCGTAACGCGTCAGCTTCTTAATATTTATAAGTAATTACAATCGAGTTAACGTTGCCCAGTGTGCGACAGGTTTCCAATCTAATCTAGGTTGAATCAAGTTGGGGCCTGAAAGTGGTACATAGATTGATTCTTGTGCAAAAATACGTAGCCGATTGTCAACATGCAGTAGGTTGAAAGGCCTACAGTGCCTGTAGGGACTTCTCTTGACGCGTGATTTGGGTACAAAGAAATTTTTGCGAATTATTTCCCTTTTTCTGAGCCAGGAAACTGGCCAAAAGAATGCGTTTTAACACAAGACCTCATTTTTTCCCACGGTGTTTCACTTTTTCGGCCGGTCGGACCAAAAATTTGTTTCATATCTCTCGGACTTTCGCGTATCATACATCCGTATTCACCCGCTTTGTAATTACTAACGTGCGGTTTACACCAAATGCCCAAAAAGTCGAAACGGAGTGCTGCTGCAAGCGTTCAAATCAGGTTGTTGACCCATTATCTATTGCTAATTAGAATTTAGGCTGGGTTTGAACATTCAACAGGCTGTCTATGCAGTTAAGAAATACACCTCTCATCGCCGGATACCCGCCACAGTGCTTGAGGATCCTGAAATTATTCGGCGGGCGGATGTGGCGGTGTCTAACCCTACCCAAAAAGGGAACTGATCCGATCATTAGGGTTAGGTTTCACTTTTCTGAGCGGAAAAAGTCCAACTTCAAGCTCATCGTTAATGGAGCACAACCTAGTTAGATAGCATCCAATAGATACCAAATACATGCTCCAAGTGACCGAAAGTGTTTTCAAGAAAATGTAGTTAGCTTTCCAAATCCGGATGACATTCCCAGCCAGCTCGGCTAAGAGATGTCATTGTTGGCACTGTAGGATCAAAATGGACCTAACAAGCCGGTTGACTTTACAACAACCTAACTGCAGCCGCTCGTTGACTGAAAGTGTATAAGTAACCTATTCTAGGTCAATTTTCATCCTAGATCGAGCCCATAGTGAGGATGAGTCAAGTGCTCGATCTTCCTCGTCCGCGTCCTCACTCTCATGGGCGCTTATTGTGCCTCGAGGCAGCATGTCGTCGAATTTGGCGCACCAACTGAATAGAATGACGGGGGACTCAATCGATGACCATGTGTAGTTCAGCGCGTGAAATCTAGGGCTATGAACTTTACAGAGCCTGGATGAACACTTTGGGACTGATGTCGTGGAGTTCACGGTGGGTCTTATCTGTTCTTCTCTCTCGTTTCGGTCTGAAGCGCTGACGCACAAGGCCAGGCGGCTGGAGTGACACTCACTGTTCACGCATCCGGCGGCCCGCTCGGTGATATCGTCGTGCCATTCGCAGGCCAGATGACTGGTCGGTCGGCCCCCTCACTCTTACTCAGCCTGGCCGCTGATTAGCTCTTTCTCTTTCCCAGATTACCATGCCGGAACCCCAGAAACGTTCTCAGAAGCCATCGACGCCTGTTTCCGGCTGTCTGCTGCGGAGGATCTCGCTATCCGCCGGCGCGCGCGGGACCCAGCTGTTCAGCACTTCAGCGATGCGATGTTCGAGGCGGGTGGGAGGGAACTGGCTGGTCGACGTTGCTTGGGCTGTAACTTACACTTGAAAAAATTGTAACATGACGCGATCTTGTCAACCTTCATGGGCACCGATTTGAGCTCGGATCAATCCCGGGTGATTTTGACAGGACCATCAGTCAAATATTCTCGGCCCGGAGCTTATCCGAACTTCCAAGGTTGAGCAAGGCAAGTTGAGAGGACGGGTCGGAAATTGGCTGAAGCACCATTGGAGTACATTTGAAACACCAAGTTTAGTTTAGTTTTTGTTTTAAATGCCCATTTGAATTGATTCACCTCTGCCATCATTCCGTCACTGTGTGGTGGATTCTACTGGTCCTCTGTATTATCCTAGAAATTGCCACTGAAGGTAAATTCTCGCGGTATAGCATGTGTAGGCATAAAAATCAAATTTTTAGGACCTATGTACGGGTTCAACAAAAATGGACTTGAGCTTGAACCGCGTTGGACAGATATGGGGAGCATCAGCCAATTTTGGGGCGAACATTTGACTACATTAGACAGCTTGCGATCAGCCGCTAATCGCTGCCCGGCGGCTCCAATGGCATGCGATGCGGGCGGCTGCGTCATTTGTGGCGGCTGTCAACGCGGTGGTTCGACTGGCATGTGCATCGTCACAACTCTTCCTCTGACCACATAACTCACATACTAAACTACTTGTCGTACCCACTACAAGCCTTTACTACAATGCCAGTCACAACGCGCCGAATGGCAGGCAGTGCCAATCCCACTGCCCCAAAGACCACCGGAGAAGAGCAACGCGCATCGGTTGAGCGCAAAAGCACTGTTCAGCCAACCGAAGGGTCCGACGGACGCAAATACAGTCCCAAATGGACATCCTTCCGTGCCGACTCTGACATTGGAGAGGGAGGAGATGAGGAGGATGATGAGGATGATGAGGATGTAGCCACTCGCCCGCCCTGTCGACCTTGTGTAGGAGCTTCTTCGGGGAAAACTTCGTCCCATTGTTGGGTAATGGCCTTCAGCAGTGCCGTAAAATGAATATGATGCTCAAGCAGCAGTTCCTCTGCCTCCATGGAACCAAATGTGAGTGAAGGAAAGATAAAATGAGCGCGATGTCACTCCTGCCATCAGCCGCCCCAAATGACGTAGCCGCCCGCATCGCATGCCATTGGAGCCGCCGGGCGGCGATTGGCGGCTGATCGCAAGCTGTCTATTATCCGCAGACCTCAGCTTACAGCTCCCTGAGTACCCTGAAACGTGTACCTGCGGTAGCGCATTGCCCGCAACACAGGAGTACAGGGGAAAAGTTAATTAAATAATACAAATATGGAGATGATGTCATCGGACATCTCTAACATGTGACTGAGCAGGTGACCGCGAAACGCACGCTACTTCCGCCTGACCTGCGCAACCTGCGGCTCCGGTGCGAGCTGCGCATGCATGGTGTGCTCCCGCTTGACACCTCTCACCTCCTCCTCTCTCGGCTTGCGGCTGCCCTCACTGACGCGCACGAGGCCCACACTGCCCACCCTCGTGCACCCGATGAACCCGTCCACCATCTCGCCCAGCAGCCGATCGGGCCCGGTGTAAAAGTCGTACACCGCCTTCGTCGCGTTCGCTGTCAGGCGTCCCGTCAGCCTTTCAGTCGGTCTTCTTGAGTCGCACGGCCAAACGACACGCACCCTGGTTCAGCACCTTCGCGGTGTCCTCGTCCCCGTCCGCGAGCGCCGCGATCTGCGCAGGCGTGAAGATCGGCGCGCCCGGCGCGAGGACGTCCATCTGCAGCTTCGTGCCCACGGCGTGCATCATCTCCGGGTCGGTCGGCGTGAATATGTGCGACACAAAGTCCTGTGGGGTGTCAGCCTTCAGGTGCGGCACGCGGGGGAGGGATCTGCGTACCATGGCCTTTTGCAGCTCGTCCTCGGTGAGCAACCGGCCGGCGTCCGCGCTGCCTTGTATCACTGGCGTGGGGTTCCCGTCAGCAGCGTTCTCGGTGGGATGGATCTGGGGCACGCACCGGGCCGGATGAGGTCGAATGCGCGGTCGAAGTTGCCCTCGTCGATGTCGCTCAGGACCGGGACCTGCTGGTTCCGAATCTGCTTGTACGCTCCCGAGACCGTCAGGAAGAACCTGTTGTCTTTGCTCAGATCCAAGACCGGGAGAGACCGATGCCGCACACGCACCTGGTGTACGAGACGGCGACCTTGTGGTGGTGGAAGTTGCCCGCTTCCTCCTCTGTGCAGTGGCCCCGGATGGACGCCGCGATGGTCACCGCAGCTGTCAGGCCGCCTGACACAGCGAGGTGCACGCCCGAGCTTGCGTGGACATCAGATCAGTCAGTCAATTCAGCGGGCGGTGTAGGGAGGGCTCACGAGAAGAACGGGTCGATCTGTTCGCGCGGTCAGCGATCGCGGTCCACGAAGCGAGCGGAGCCACTCACAAACGCACTGGCGTCGCCGACGAGCCGAAAATGGTCGCCCGAATACCGCGTGGCCGTGTAGCTGAAGTCGCTAGCGGATTTGACCGGGGGGATCTGCCCCGATGCGTCGACGGCCAGCTTGGCCGCGCCGAGCAGCTGCCGCAGTTTCGGGACGAACTGGAACTGCGCGAGGTAGTGCTCCTGCAGCGTGTGCCCCGCTTTCTTGGCTGCGCTAATCTTGCCGTCCATGACGATGCCGACGGACACTCGGCCGTGCTGCAGCGGGATGAACCACGCCCAGCCGCTTTCGTCTATTGAGTCGTTAGCATAGATATATGCGCGGCGCGGTGCTCGCATATGAAGAGTACCTGTCAGCGCCTCAAACCACGGCGAATTCGCGCGCTCTGTACCGGGGCTATACATGTTCGCGCCCGTCCAATATCCCCAGCAGGCGACGTTCTTGAGGTTCTTATTCATATGTCGGTTGCGGAGGTAGCGCGTCGAGAGCATGCCGGCGCGGCCGGACGCGTCGACGAGGTAGTCGAACGTGATCGTGCGCGGCTGGCCCGTGGGGTCGCTGAACGTCGCGCTGATCGGACGCGTGTCGGCGCGGAAGCCGAGCGAGAGGACTTTGTGCTCCTCGAAGACCTGGGCGCCGCATTCCTGTGCATGGCGCAGGAGGATCTCGTCCAGTTCAGCGCGTTCCTGCGGAGGTGAGCTTTTGTGTCTGTTGTGATTCCGAGAGGCTTACGACGTTCCAGGAGTGGTTGCCGATGCCGAAGTTGGTGTACCCCTCCCGCTTCCATTGATCTGCCGCTTGCGATCAGTCTGTTTTCCATTTGTTGAATTTGAACACGCACTCAACGAAATCGCAGCGCCGGGCTGTGTGTTGTCATATCGTGTTTGTCAGCGGTGGTCGAGCTCGCGGCGACTGGAGCAACAACCTACCTTTTTCTGGAAACCATGTTTTTCGACTTTGTCCTCCGCGTCGATGAATCGGAGGAAATGGCGCAGGGAGGGTAGCATGCTCTCGCCGACATGGTACCTTCCGGCGACACGTGAGCTACATGCAAGTCACGCAGTTCTATCCGGCTACGCACCTGGGGAACTTGTCCGCCTCGAGCACCACGACGTCGATGCCTTCCCTGGCCAATACCGAAGCGGTGTAGCTCCCGGCGGGGCCACCGCCGATGACAAGGACTGTTACGTGGGCGGGTGTGCTCTGGGTGGTGCTCATTGAGATGTTGCAGCTCCGACGATTATCGCCAGTCCCTTTTATATCGCGCTCGCTTAGCGCAGGGCGTGAATAATATTAATGCTACAGGACTACACTGGGTGCATGTTTCAGGTCCCGGCCTCTTCCTTGCTCACCTGGAGTGCGCGCGGACAGCTCGCTCTCCGTTCCCGCTAGCGACTAGTCTGGCGATGGATGTTCTCCGCCGAAAAGGTGTCTGCGCGTGCCTGGAGCTAGCGGGGAGCCAATCACCAGCCGAGTTGGAGTGGGATATGTATGCGCAGTAGTGCTCAAACTCCAGCTTCGAATATATTGGAGTCGCCGATATGTAACACCCAGCGTTCAACGACTCAACATTCCCCGACCACGCTAACTAAAATTTGACGAACACTGCCACTGGAATGTATAGAATTGCATTTCACGCCTCGGTTTACGATATGTACATAGCCGGTGTCTGTACTACGTAGTGATGAGATCTTTGGGTACATATTACTCACCGAGAGCTTGAACGCCGAGCAGGCGTTTCACGGCTATCATTCGGAGGCCCTCATCTCGCATTCCATGCGCAGCCGCAAAACTATCCGAACACGTCCACGGCTTTGGCCTGTGATGCCATCAGCTGCGCGCTCTGCCAGCCCAGTGCGTCGCAGACGTAGTCGTGTGCCTTGGAGTACATGTCCTCCCAGCACTCGCGCTCGACGTCCCCTCCCAGCTGGCTGCTCAGATACGCCATCGCAAGCACCGTCGCAAGCAGCACGTCCTCGTCCTTGAGCCCAGCGGGCAGCGACAGCAGCGCCCGGAGTCCCGCACGGTCGACTGTGAGATGCATGAACGCGAGATCGAGCACCTGGGCGGAGAAGGCCCCGTCGAAGGACTGGAGCCGAGCGAGCGCCTCCAGCGGGTCCGGCTCCACAAGTGGATCCGAGTCGACGTGCGGGGGAGGTGTGCCACCGTCGAACACCCCAAAGCCCATGTCGTCGTCCGACTCTTCAGCATCGTCGACGGGAAGTGCGGTGTGTGATCCCGCATCAGATCCTGTGCCGTCTGTGTCATCTGATTCCGATGAGGAACTCGGAGCCACTGAGCCTGGGGGCGGTGCTCGCGGCGGGGGTGGCGGTGCTGCGATCAGCATAGGTGGCGGCGGCGCCGCTGATGCTGGCATGTGCACTCCGGCAGACGGTGCCGACGAAGCCGAAGCCGAAGCCAAAGTCCGCAGTGAATTCAATCCTTCTTCAAATGTCTCCACTTCATTTGCATCAACGCTCTCGATAGTCTCATCCACGGCGACAAACGACGTCTGCGACGACGCGATGCCGTATTTAGTGCCCAATCGCACGATCGCTGCATTCACTGTCCGAGTGAGCAGATCTGGGTCGCCATCGCGCGCTAGCCCGTGCTGTCCGTCTTCCAGGTCCTGAATAATCTTGCGCGCGGAAATAGCATGCAGTGCTGTGGTCCCCAGACAGCTGGCAGTGACGTCTACAGGCAGCTCGATGGTGGCACCGTCTGTAGTGCTGCCGCGGAGAGCTACTTTAGGGGGAATCTGTGATGCTGCCAAAGACAAATTCACGAAAACGGCACCATGTGCGGAAGGTAAGACTTACATTGCAAGATGGCATAAACAGTACACCGCACACCAGGTAGCAGACTGCGAATCTTGAACGGAGATTGCTGGGCAGAAGGAATTGGTGGCAGATTAATCTCGAGAGACGGCGGAGGAGCTGGACTGTCGTCCGACTCCAGGACATCGACATCGCAGTCAAACACATTTAGCTTGGCAGATCGTTTCGTTTGTGGCGCGGGAGGACATTCGAGTAATTCAAATTCCTCTTCAGCTTCATCGCTGACGACTGTCGATCCCCAGTCGACATGGACATCTCCGATGACAGGCGTCTTGGCCGCTTTGAGCAGTCTTGCGACTTTCCCTGTGAACTTGGTCTCGCTCTCGCCCACGAACATACACGCCCCGTTACCCACGCGCGCGATTCCCTCGCACATAGCCGTCGACACGGCGTCGCCGATGCCCAGCACGAACACGCGCACAGGATGCTCGTTCACCGTGCCTTTCACCAGCTCCAGCACGCCGGCCAGATCCCAGGCGTCGCCATCCGTCAACATGAAGATACTCGTCGGCCGGTCGGATTGGCGCTTCGCAAAGCATGTCTGCAAGGCATACCGAATTTCGGTCCCTCCGTATGTAGCCCGCATCGAATCGACGTGCTCCGTCGCCTGCTCCAGCGTCTCCTGATTGTACGCTCGGCTGCCCTGGGGCCAGAGAAGTGTGCAATCTGAGCCAAATGAGGCGATGTTGAACAACGACGAGGAGTCGCGGTGCGGCAGCGAGCGCAGCATCACGACCAGGGCCTTGCGCGCCGCGACCATCCGCTGGCCATCCATCGATCCACTGCGGTCGACCAGGAAAATGTACTCCTGTCTCGCAACGGGGGGAAGCACGAACCGCGGGACGAATGTCAATCCCATCGCGACTTCTCCATCCCGGGTCTCAGCTACGCAGCGCGGGGCGTCGAGCCCAGCAGACTTGACGGTCAACACAAAGTCCTTCTGCAGCTGAGCGTCGGAAGACAAGGAGACCCGAGCGTAGTGTGAGAAGGGCAGCTGGCTTGCATTGGGCAACGCAGGGTCCGGGCCCAGCTCCGTGGAAACTGTGTGCGATGGCGAGCCAATTTTGGATATCGGCGACGTGGATTCGATGTGTGTAATCATCTCGAGGAATACACCATGGGAGGGAACGTTTTGGCTCCCAAAACCACCGAGTTCCGCAGGCGCAGCACCATACCGGGCCCCAATGTGCATGGGAACGTGAAACCGCACCGAATCGTTCTCCTCATCCTCCGTGAGCTCAGTAGCATAGACCAACTCGATTCGGACCTCTTCATTGGGAGGTATGTTCCCCACTGAAACACGAAAGACTAGTCGGAGATCGTCAACAAGTGCAATCGCAGGTGGAGGCGGGATAGCGCTGACCATCGGGTGTCGACTGCTCCAGAATCCCGGCCTGTTTGCCGCGCTGGACGGCGGAATCATACGTCTTCCTCGCCGCACGCTTCTCTTGTACACGCCCCACGACCCTCGTCCCGTCCGCCCGGATCATCGTGAAGCTGTGAACGACCGCCCGAGCGGGGACGGGGAACGCGTAGCGAGCTTCGGTCGACGTGGGCACTTCGGGCGCAGTGGCGTTGAGGTACGTCTGCACCAGCGTGACCTGCGCCGAGAGGTCTGTGAGACGCGCAGAGACGCGCACGCTCAGCAGCGGAAACGACACGGGGGTGCACGCGGCGGAGGCGCCCGAGGGTAAACAGTAGAGACCAAAGATGGGGCTGTGGGAGGACATTGCGAGGGCTGGATCCAACGGGAGACGATTGAGGGAGGTGGGAATGCAGCACCTGTCCCTTATAGCACTCTCGCCTCACTCTTGACATCCCCGCGTCAAGGGCTGCTGACGGGAGTCATTCGGTGTGCGAATTCCGCAGCCGGCTGTATGCACTCGGTCGCAGCCGCATAGGGGTGTCGCGCTCTGACTGGTTTACAGCGTGTAGATGTCAGTCGGGTGATGTCGACATTGGACAAGTTGGAGATATCAAATGAAGGGTGCCTTGAGAATGAGTGGGTGGCGGGAACCCCAAAACATAGATTGAAGGACAGGAGCAGAGGTGAGCGAGAGTTATCCAGTAGCATAGCAAGGCATTGGACGGTAGGAGCGTTCCTGAAACGGTCCCGAAAAAGTGAGTGACCGAGACTGGCAGATCGTGAAGTCATGGGACAAAGGATGTCAGCAGTCATCATGATGGCGCTGGGAAACACGATAAGATAAGATCTTACCCTAGGTGTTGCTACATGTTATGTAAAGCAGTGGTTCTCAAGTACGAGCTTCGGATGTGCTTCGGATACATATGTACATTGAATTTTGTCTTGACGCATATTCGTTTATTCATGCCAAAACGCTGGATTCAAGGATTCGCTCACAAGCAGGGACTCTGTATCTGCGACCAAAGTTGTATAAGTATCTAGACCTAGTGAACTGAAGATTGAGGTGATACTCTAATTTATGTTAACACTTGCCGAGCTCCGACAAATCTTCAAATACATGATTTAACAGCTGCTGAAGTGGGCGGGTAAGGAACCCTTATTTCGCGTGACAGGACTACGATAAGATAAGATGAGCTGTAAACATAGTCCCTGTCCACTCTGATCGATCAGTCGATGATGTTATAGAATCACACGTGCTTGGCCTTGCCTGGGCGTAAATTTCCCGTGGATCCTTTCCGCTTGCGTCCCCCCATTGAGTTGTAGGTTCAAGCTGCATAGGTCCTCATCGTATCCGGAAAAACTCAGGGATTATGAACCCTGGCCACGCGGTTGGCATGTCGTGCTTCCCTATTCGGGCAACGTGAAAACGAGGACGCTAATCAAAGTCTCGACGTCATCGCGTCATCCTCGGTGCCCCTCAAAAAGTGGGCTTCTTCTCCTCTCAACTTGCTTCGCACTCCCATCATCTCCTCCCCCAAACTACTCCTTTCACGAGTATGCGGCCCTTCGCGTCCCACCTGTTCTGGTCTAACAATGTCCCAGCTATAACGAACTCACAACTCTGAAAATGTCGCGCGCGTTCTGCATCCCAGGCATCGTGTTCCTCCTGTGCGCGCTTGTCCTGAGCGTCATCGTCTCCATCTCCCTCCCCTTCCTCCCCGCGATCGACTTTGTTCGCGTCAAGTTCGCGTCTGGGGTTACGGCTGCCACCAACGGGGACGCCATGACGGAGCTTAGAGTGCGTGGGCATCCTTTGTTTGTGTCATTCCACTGACCTGGCTTCTAGTTCGGTGTATGGTACGATTTCACGCCACGTCGTGTCCTCCGCGTGGTTTGTTCCTGTCCATCAATACTGACTGCCACATAGGGCGCCCTGCTACTACGACACTCATGGCGCTCGGACATGTTTTAAGGCCGGTTAGTCGAGGAATGGTCTTCGGATCTTAGTCAAGCTCATGCATGCTATCTAGCACATGCCTACTCCATTGCCATTTCCAACGCGGCGAAGACCTCTAACGCGACCATCGGCTCCTCTTGGACGCGTGGATTGGCTGTCCATCCCGTTGGTGAGTGTATTGCTGCCTCGCTTCACCCTTGTTGTATTTACTTTTTCATCCAGCCGCGGCCGTGACTTTCATAGCTTTCATCTTCTCCTTCTCGACACATCATGCCTTTACGCTCTTCTCTTCACTCTTGTCCTTCCTCGCGGCCTTGCTCGTAAGTTGCACTCGACACCAGTCTGGCGGGCCGCTCATTTCCGCAGACCCTGATTGCCTTCGTGATCGACATCGTCCTTTACGCCCGAGTGCACCATGAAGTAGGCAACATTGCGGACGTCTCTGGACACACCACGACCAGTCCCGGTGCGTTTCCTCCCTCGTCTGCATCTGTGTCATGTTGACCTTGGGACAGCCTTTTGGATGACCTTTGCCTCGTTTATTCTTCTCCTGTTGGCCGGCTGCACTGTCTGCTTCGGACGTCGTCGTGACCGCATGTCGGGCGCGTCGGCCTACCCGATGGAGACCTACAACAAGCCCAGCTTTTTCTCTCGGTTCCGCAGAAACAAGGCGGCGGCTTACTAAGGGAATGCGATGGCCCTTTTTAACATGTTGTCTCTGATTGGACATTCGGTAAAACTTGATAGCTTCTATACCCCGTCTTCTTAGTGTGGTGCTTGAATACAATATAAGATCTTTTATTTGTACCTAGGGCCCATAACTCAGCGCCCATACCCTCCACATTTACCCCGGAAGTCAATATCTCTTTACCGAAAATCCGAGGTCTCACCAGGCAGGCATCGACAACTCCAGCAATTGCTCGCGGCCATCACTACCAATCACGAGTCACGTGAGAGTAATCACTCATTCATCAATTCATTGCAGAACATGCCAGCTGTCAGTCATTCAAGGAACCGGACCCGTTCCACTAAGAATAACTCCACGCTATCTCCTCGACACTGTACTGTACGCATGTGTGTGGCTCGGGTCAGGAGACCTACAAATACCCACAGTCTCGAATGTTCCCGTTTCGACACATCTCGTCTGGAATCCGCCATTGACCGTATCTTGCACTCCTCCTACCCATGAAGCATCCAAGGCCAGGCATAGGAGAATCTATGCCCACGGAGGCGCTCGAAACAGAGGAAAATGGCGACGAATCGCGCTTGCTGAATGATGCCCACGCTGCAGCTTTCTCCTCCGCCTCGCTGCCATCCAAGCAGCAAAAGATCGACGACTCAGGTACGTCCATTGGTTTTTCGTTTTCTAGACCCGAAAATCTCACCTCCTACACGACGCAGAGGATCAAGCCTCGAAAGCTTCTGACGCGTTCATGAAGCTGCAAACCTTCTATGACACGAACACCGCTGCTATCCAAGAAGCGTCGCAAGGGCTCGCGGCCGCCGCGAACCTTGACATCCATTCTGTAGAAGCGTCCATCACCGGGTTCGCGGAGACTTCGACGGTGATCATGAACGGCTTGGACGCGTTGGGAGCGGTGCACCCCTTCATTGGAGGCGCGTGCTCATTGAGTACAGCAAGAGCTTCGTGCTGATATTCCGATCTGCAGTCGCTGTCATCGCATTCAAGGCCGTTATCTCGCTCGATCTCACCCGCAGACAAAACAATAAGAAAGTGCTTGCCATGAAGCTGCAGATGCAGGACGTTATGCTGATTCTTTTCGAGTGCGTTTTCTTCTGCATCGTATGTTGCTCTACCGACCGAATGTTGTCAGACTACGCTCCGTTCGCGATCCAGAGCACAAGGCACCGGACGGGACCAAACTCAAAGACCAATTCTCTGAGATTCTCAAGTCGATTGCGCGTGACATAACAGAATGCGGAAATGTGTGCGATGTTTATCTCAAGGAGAACTTCTTCAGTGCGTCATACCCTGACTTGTCCGTGCTCTAGTGAAACAGACCTTTGGAGGTAAAACGATCCACTCCAAGGGCTACGAAGAGAAATTTGCGGCCTACGTCGCGTCATTCGAGGAGCACAAGAAGAACATTGTCTTGAGAATGCAAATGCACGTTGCTCTCTCTCAAGATATTGTCAAGCGGCACGTGGAGAATCAATCCACCCAGCTGGACAGGATCGAGTCGCTCATCAAAGAATTATTTCGCAAATTTGGGACAGCTGAGGAGAATGCAGCGCGGAAAATTTTGGAGAAGGGAAGTATCGAGGCCAGCCTCGACGACGATGCGACTTTGCACCAATTGGTCTTGTTGAGCGGAGACTCGACTTGGAAGAGCAAAGATATCAGTGAAACACGGGACTTGCTGAAGAAAATGCTGGCAGATGATATCCAGGAGGCTTTTCAGAGGAACGAGCGCTTGTTTGAGGGAAAGATGGAGCTGCAAAGCCAGCAGTTGGAGGCTGCCATCATAGCCAGCGAAGAGAGGATCGTGAATTTGTTGCAAGCAGGAGCGCATGATGATGTATTGGATCCCGTGCGTGACACTCTCGCTTTCCGCTTATCACTACATTGCGTCCACAGGACCTTCAAGCGCTCTGGAGAAAGCAACGTTGGAACAGCAGTGTCGAAGGACGCACGTTTGTGCTGGGGCTCTATGACTATTATTCTGAGCAGCAAGATTCAAGACGTACAGCAATCCAAACATCCTCCATTGCTGCCATACCCCTCATCGGAGTGGCTCACACTGGTGCAGATGATTTGTGGGCACTTGCGCTCATTTCGAACGTCAGTCGCATTCAGGTGAGCTTCATTGAACACGGACCTCGGACAACGACTGATGGAGGTCGCAGCCTATTCTCGAAACAGTAGATGACGATGGAACGGGCTTTGTCACTATCAAGGAGGCGAACGAGTTTGCACGCTCACGGCCGAAAGAGTGCAGGTGAGTGCGTCTTCTGTGCTTTTTTCCTACTCACAGCAGGACCCCCTAGTCTACTGGCATGGATCGCTTACTGGGCTGCGGGCTGGCACGATTCCATAACGTCGTATAAAAATCTGATCTACGCGTTGCTTCAGGCAATGCACGGACTTGCATTCGGGTCGCAAAGACGTGTGTTGGGTGCCAACATCCAGCAGGTCGACAGATACCTCGCCTCCGTCCCTTTACGGCAGATTGAGCTCCTTTTACGATCGACTCGGTCTGCGCGCCCCCATTGGAACGAGGATCTAATCAAATTGAGGGCGAAGATTGAAGAAAGCGAAACCAAACGGATCAAAGTTCACCTCGACCAATTGCGATACAAGTTGAGCTCTGGTTCAGTGATGCTGATCACTGGAGGGAAGCGCATCGAGAGAGTAAGTGCTGCTCCATCTGACCATCTGTGCTGGGCAGTATTCCTGAATCAACCGTAGTTCATCTACCCCCTTCTGTTCGAGGTTCTTCAACGACACCTGGACTGTCTGCGCCTGGCTTGTGTTCGTGTTCTCGACCAAAAAGAGTGTGACGAGATGGTCGGCGCGCTGTCGGTCGTTTTAGAACCGATCTATGACAGAGTGGCCAACCTGGAAGGTGAGCCAAGTCTGACAGCTGGTGCATTTCACTCATGTCATTTTACAGCAGTGTTTTTGTCATCGACGACAAACCTCGATGGACGATTTGGCAGCTTTTCTTTCGGGATGGTACGGTTGTTTCCATCTCACTGTTCTGCCAGTGCTTCTGACCTTCGCCAAAGTTCCAGGCTTGGCACAAGAACAAAAACGAACTTGATATTTCCCAAAATACTATCCGAGGATATCAAGGGCGGGACGGATACGGACGAAGGAACTGGGAAAAGGTGGATACCGACATCCATTCCTCAAATGTTTACAAGCGATTGGACGACAGCCGTGGGCGAATATTGCGATATCCCACTTTGGATTCTAGCGACTATGATTACGATTCAAGGCACACTAGATATCTTGATGAAGGGAGTGGCAACCCTAATGAGCTGGCCGGTCGATGGACGGGTGAATTTAGAAGACCTCAGAAGGCCTGCTTGCTTACTTCTCTTATCCTGTCTGTGCATGCCGACCGCCAAATCTCGGGTGCAATGCTGGACCTGACCGAGACGGACGAGGTCTTGGGCTCTATCAAGCGAACAAACCACTTTCGCTTGCGTGTGGCTTATGAACTCGAGTCGTACACGGGGCGCTACGATCCCATCTCAGACACCATCTCCCTCGAGTCCAATCCATACACGGCCACTGTTTTCTACAGAACAACCCCTGAATTGTTTCGCTTCCGCCCGTCTGCTTTTGCTTCTACTGCTGGTGTCGCTCATGCCCGATGGCGCTTTGCCATCAGCGCAGTCTTAGACCAAGTCCAACGCAAGAATCTGTCGGGAAGCTGGCTTAAGACACGTGGTGACGAGCGCCGACGGTTCATCGAACTCACCTTGCGTGGGCTCACGATGCAATCCTTGCTCACACGTGACGAGAAAGCCGAGCTTTCGCATCTCAAGGCGATCCTGACTCCGGAGGACGCCAAGTTCTATCTCCAGGTGACCCGTTACGAACGGAGTAAACTCGTCGAGCACGATCAGCGGTGTGACGTCTGCAGTTGTTCTATCTTGGCTATGCGCGTGTTCTGTGTCCAGTGCATGGACGACAGTCACACTAAATGCGTCAATCTCTGCGAGCAGGACATGCACAAGTCCGTCACCTGGAAGAAGGACGTCACCCACCTACCCTCTCATGCATTGGTCAAGACAACCGTCCGGCTGCATGATGTACACCTGGCGCGGATTGTTCGCCAGGCCAGAATGGTTGCTGAATGCGCCAAAGTGTTTTTCAAGCGCCCTGCTTATGCCGCTTCAACTTACTTGGCGTCGTGCAGTTCGTGCTATAAGCCGGTATCCCTGCCTGTATGGGCTTGCACCGTCTGTTCCAACGAATCATACCTGATCTACATTTGCGACAACTGCCACGAGACGGAACAACAACCCAGGTCTCATGAACCCCACCACTTACTGACACACCCACTGGTTTATGTCCATGACTTCGAGCCTCTGATGATCGGCATGAGCAACGAAGAGATCCGCATCTTAGAACTGGAACAACGGATGTCCAAGTATCAGGATAACGCGTTAAGGAACGAGCAACGTTCGGAGGAGAGCGCGACGAGGATGCAGGACAAGTTGGCTCAGATGGAAGCAAAGATGGACAGGATGATGCAGTTGCTAATTGACCCATCTTCTCGTACATCCTGACGTTCGTCTCAGACCGTCACTTAAACGATACAGATGTAGCAGGTTGTCCACTAAGGCAAGGTCCCGTAGTACTGTAGGACTATCTACGTACCAACGGGCCCTATCCTTCTCCCCAAATGCCGAGAAAAGAACTCGTCCAGCCAAGCAAAGAACTCCACCTTGTCCTCGGACGACAGATTGCACCAGTCAATCCGCGGTTCAATCGTCGTATCCGATGGTGGAGCGATGCTATTGCTGCGCCGGACAGGCAGAGAAGGCGCAGGGCTTTTGACAGCCACAGGTGATTCTCTCTCTACTTCTCGAAGCGGCGCAGCTTTGTTTCCGGATCTCGAAGGTGGAGGAGGCGGAGGCCCGGGGGATCGCACGGGCAGCTGCGGCGACGGCGATCCGACAGAGCGCGCGGGAAGGTGGGGCGGCGGCGACGATGAATAAGGAGGAGGAGGAGGAGCGAGCGCAGCTTGGGAGGGACCGCCGGGCCTAGTCGAGCGCACGATGGGGGGCGGCCCTGAGGATCTAGCCGGCGATGGTGTTGAGCGTGCGGGGAGTGCCGGGCTGGGCGACGATCTTGGAGGCAGCACAGGCGGTGCGGATGGGGGCGCGGATGGGGATGCGGACTGGGTGCGCGAGGGAGGGGGAGGGAAGTACGGTTGTGGCTTACTCGAAGCGTTAGTCCGTGGCGGTGGTGGCGGCGGTGGAGTCTGGGTCTTGCTAGAAAGTAGATGAGAGGGCGAATGACACCACACGATAGACAAACTCGTAAGGGTTCCAATTGGTGTTCTTCATAGCTACACTAGTATGGCGGTCCTTGGTATTCTGGATCGAATTGACAGTTGCATTCGCGGCTTTACCTGCCTTCTCGCGCATTTCGGCGACTGTCTCGACGTGAGGATAGTCCAAGGAGATAATAAAGAAAGAAATGACGTACATGAAGGCATCGCGACGGTCCAAACGCGAGGGCACTCAGATGGTGGTGGTTTGAAGTAAGATTCAGATCACGGTCACGACGCCATAGCTGGGACTGATGGGTTGATTATGTATATTCTACACCTCGACTCTTGAGTACTCAATACAATATTATACATGGGGGACAGGTATCGCGAGCTACAGGATAAACACTCAGGGGAAATCAGGAAGGCTGTCATCAAGTAATGCATGATGTCCCCTGATATTCAGGAAAGACCACTGGAGTTTGTCAGTCGCTGGATCTCCATAAGCCTTTCAAACCGTACCTCAACAACCGGCGGTCCACGTCGAAGGAAGTTGATATCGGGAAGATTAGGTTCGGTCCAGAACGGGCGAAGGCCAGCGTCTTCAAGCAGTGTCCACCAGCGGTCAAAGGTCCGAATGGTGTCCGTTTCTGCGAGACCACTCAGTTTGGACCGAGGAGCATACGGAGAAGCAGAGTGCTTACGGGGCGCATATCCAACATGAATCTCAATCTGCATCTGTCCGAACGGTAGCGGATGCCCTTTGAACGACTCTACAATCGCTGCCAGTACTTCAAACTCGGATCCCTCGATATCGATCTAGTGAGAGAATGAGCTCAGCTGGAGGCGCTGGAACTAGCACCGACTTTCAAGATATCGACAAACTCGTGCCCAAATTCTTTCATGATACCGTGAAACGAGTATTCTTTGGGCACCGCACCGTGGTTGTCCACTCCGGTGATCTTCCAGGGATAGAAATGAGCGCGCGCATTGACAGCGGTATCAGCGACGAGTTCTGGCCCCCAATCAGAGACGGAAAAATCAAATCCTGCAAATGAATCAGTATGCTCCCTATACTTGTGTAAGGGGACGTACCATAGACCGTACATGACTTCGAGCCCCTCAGAATCTGCTGCTCGAAGCTTGACTGATGATTCACTCCCATGGAGTACACGATACAGCGGTCTTGTTGGATAACACGCTCAAAACCGCACACCCATTTCCCGCCATCGCCCATGGTCCCTGCCGACTCGTGGAAGGCAGCACATGACGGAGTAGATCAACTACATACCGACACGAAATGCTTGGAATGGACACGAGAAAATCGGTGCATAGAGGTCCCAGAGCGTGTAGAAGGCCGTGAAGGGCGCCGGGAAACTGTGTAAGCGCCAAGAACTTGTCAGCCGACGAACATCGCAGCGCGAGATGAAAACGCGTACGCAGGCTGGTCTAGTCCACCAATCTTGTAGATGAACTCCCTGCGTTCACGGATCGCGGCTTGATACCGCAGCTCGTTCCCATCGAGGGTTTGGTTGAGTCGCCCAACGGGACGCGTCGCCGCGCTGGAGCCTCTGAAGACTTGATGTATGTTCGACATGCTCGCCGCTGGGACATGGTCTTGCGAGAGAAGAACCAGTGTGAGAACGATGGTGACCGCCACACAGATTTGCCATGGTGCGGGGCGAGACATTCAAGCTACGTGCGCGTCAGCGCTGACAGATGCAAGACATACAGGAAAGCTTGCAATTCCAGAATTCTGGCGAGATCACAGTAAGAAGCTGTAGATGACAGAGAGAGCTCTCGAGGCCCCTATGTCGAGCCATAGGTTGTTCGTGAAGCGCGTCGCAGAGGCGATCGTGATTGCCAATTCGAGACAGAGGTCACATTGTCCGAGTCACAGACTGACAATCGATTAGCCAAGGCCCTCGACACAAGACACCACTCTCGAATGTTCAAAAAGCCGCTTGGCACCCTGAAAACTAGTGCACCTCTGCGCAGCTCAGATAGAAGGAAGCTGAAGCAGCGTGTTGTCGCAGCACATGGTCTCTCACCTGAAGACGGCGACGATCTTGTTCCGGAGGGGATACTCTCTCTCAAGTTCCACACGCACCTGGATGTACCTGGAGTGCGGCGCAAGCGATGGTCATCTTTTCCAATCTGATCCACGAATAGACCGTGTATATCTCCCCTCATGGAGATCCGCTTTGGTTCACAGTAGGAAAAGGCTCAGATGAATTGATTCCCTCGATCTACACTTTGTGGAAGCGTCCACAAGGCCTCTTGCCCTTTCTTTCGACACCAGAAGCTGTGATTCCCGCTCTTGTCGGGGGCGCAGACTTGATGATCCCCGGTGGCAAGTCAATTGTCCCACCCGTCTATCTTTGACCCGTGAACCTTGCCCAGTGGTGCATATTTCCAAGTCGTTGCAAGAAGGTCAACTCGTGACTATTCGCCGTTACGTAGGGGGTAAAACAGGCTCATTGTCTGCACCGCTTGCTGTAGGGAAGATGGCACTTTCTGGTGATGCCATCCGGGATGGGCAACAGGCGAAAGGGAAGGCCGTCCATATCATTCACACCTGGAAAGATCACCTGTGGGACATGGGCTCGAAGCCGGATCGGGGTCCCGAGGAAATTCCTCTCTCCTTGGCCCAGGATTCAGAGTCGGAAGGAACTTCTCGTGCCGATGATTCTGTGGCACAAAATTCACCATCGGACGCTCTTCCAGACCCAGCCCCTGCCCAAGAAGCCTCGAGCGTGGCAGACGATGCGTTACCGGCGTACTCGGCCTCTGACATTTCCACCTTACTGCAGACGGCTGCTGTGCAAGCCGTGGCCATGATCCTGTGCAATGTGCCGGCCTCGTCGTTTCCTATATCGGGCTCCATCTTTTATTCAAGCTACGTGCTTCCCAGTCGGCCGGCATTCCCATCCTCCATCCTCCCGTCGCCCAACGAGTCGCCCAATCCTCTCGATATCACAATCAAGAATTCGATTCACAAGTCGATGACCTCATTTCTTAAATCACTAGAAAAGATCTCTTTGGTCACGCTAAAAGCGCCACCGAAGCACGGCCAACAAACAGAAGTCTCCGTGACCGGGGTCAATACCAAGCATCCCTTGGTCGCCGGTCACAAGCCGTTTGTCTCGGTCAAAGCAATCGAGGAGACAGCTGCGAAGAAGGCCCTCCGCCAAGAACGGTTGAAAGAGGCAGAGCAGAAGAGCGAGCACTGGGTGGAGGTCAAAGAGCTGTTGAAGCCGCATCTTAAATCGGTGGAACTCTTCAATGCGCTAGGCGGAAGGTATCGTGGATCAAATTATGACAGCCGCGTCCTTCTCATGTCAATTCCAAGTGCAGAGACGCTCTACAGCGTCACAGAAGTGCGCGCTAAGGTCAACGAATACATCACTTCGAACGGTCTGGTCAACCCGCGAGACCAGGCCTACATCAACGTAGACCCGGTCTTATCGCACGTGATAGCCCCGAAGAAGGGAAAGGGAGAAGCGTCGATTGCCGCCGTCGAATTCTTGAAGCGGGATGATCTCATGCGACAAGTTGTGGAGCAAATGCAGCCTTGGCACGAGATCACGGCGCCGGGCAAGGAACCGGTCGTAAAGTAAGTGTGCCGCCGCAGCAGCAGCAGCAGCCACCACCACGTTGTAAACGAGATCCTGATTGTCTCGGAGGAAGGGCGCCCTCAAGCCCATCCAGGTGGTCATGAAAATGCGACAAGGCCGCAAAGCTGCGACGCTTATTTCCGGTTTTGAGCCCTTCCTGATTCTCGTCGCCGAGGATATGGCCGAAGATCTCCGCAAGCTCTGCGCCGGAGCCACATCAGGTACGGGATTCTGGGTTCTGACGAGCTGCTTGCATTGAAGCGTCACAGTTTCCCAGCGCACGGGAGGGATCCAGGGCCTAGAAGTTCTTGTTCAGGGGAAGCAGTCGAAGATTGTTACCGACTACTTGACGGAGAAGGGCATACGGAAGGAATGGATCCAAGTATCTAACCTCCTGGGAAAGAAGTAATGCACCAATGAACGCGGGTACCATTATCTGTGCTGCTCGGGCCACCTGGCACACTTGACCGTCATGGGTCTTATAGGATCAGTCAGGCTTCACAGGATCAGTGATAATTGGGCACGCTGTATGTCCGTGCTACATCTCTTATCTCTCTTATTCCCCAGCTATTCCGCGCCGAATACTATCTCTGCGTCAATGCGGGTGCTCTAACAAAGGCGACATCCATAGACCGGAATGTGTCACTGGGTTTGATATTTATTTAAAGATGAGAGGGCGCTTACCCCGCAGTGCTTCTTCAGTCCTTACGCCGTTCTGCGATCCATCAATGTCCGAGCGGTCGTGAGTAATATCGTTCCATGTGTTATCGGGAAGTTCCAATGCCGCTCACAGCCACCCTGCGCAGATGTCGTCGACTGGACGTTTACTCCCGATTACCACTTACGCTCGCAATCGCTCCACGTCTCCATTTACTCGCACTCGCACTCGCAATTGCGCAATGGTTCGGCAACGGCCGACCGCACTCGGGTGACATCCGCGGAGCGGACGCATCAGCATCAATCGGATACACAGCAGACAGGTTGGAATTAGCGAAATAGGTTACGATAAGCGCTGCTAACAATACTGTACAGTAGAATAGAGTACAAGAGGGTCGACAGGACAGCAAACGGTCAAAGCAGAGAGCAGAGGAGGGGGGACTGGCTGCCGCATTTTGGCGCTCAGCGGCGACGGCCGCTTGTCGGGGCGGGCATGGTCTCCAGGCAGGAGGGACAGGGCGTCCGGAACATATTCTGGATGCTCGGTCGCGGGATTCGATACTGAATGCGATCCCCCAAAAAACAAAATACAAGGTCAGCTGTAATCCAGCCTGCGGAGAGGGGGGGATCGGTGGCGCACGGTGGGACACCCGCACTCGATCGCGGTGTGCTTATGCGCGGCGGACGTCTTGCAGTGCTCGTCTCCGCAGTCGGTGCGTGCGCTCGTCTCGTACAGGATCAGGTTGTGCTGCAATCAACTTCGAGTTGGAGGGGGGACACAGCAGGCGAGCGGCGGCCGAGGGACAGACCTGGCAGGCGGTGTAGCGGTCGGCGACACTGGAGAGGGGACGATTAAATCGGCACGCAACACGTGAGCAGACGTAGGCGAACCATCCAATGTAGCACATGTCTGCAGTGTTTGTCGAAAAGGATGCAACGGTAGTACCAGGAGAGGGGGGTGGATCCCCTGCTGGCAAGCGTATCAGCTTTTAAAGCGTGAGCGGATGTGCCGCACTGCATGCTATCACCCAGTCAAAACGTTGTCGGTAAAACGCGGTCGTCCGAAAACGGAGGGTGTACAATTGGGATTAAGCTGCGTCATTGAGAATCCCATCGATCACATGTCTGTCTTTCGGTGAAGTTATCCGGCAGATCTCGACACGTGGTTGGAACTTCAAAACTCGAACAGATCGTGCATCGGGGAGCGCCTGGATTCGCGCACGCGCTATTTCAGGCTTTCTCCAAGCCGAGCCTGCGCGGTCTGCCGCAGATCTGTCACAGGGCCGTTCCGTGCCCCGCATTCGCGCATATACCGTACACAACACAAGAGGGCCGTCCTCAGCAGATGTCGTGCGATCGATAAGGTCAGCAGCCGAGATTATCTTGCTGAGTTGTTGCTGCGGAGAACAAAAACGAGCACACAAAATCAGACGGCTCGCGGAGATAATCCGAGAAAATTGTATGTGTGTGTGTGTGGATAAGAGCGAGTGTGGTGAGGAAGAATCAGATCAGGGAGCAGTGCATGCAATCTCTGGTCGCCGAGCCTTCCAATCCACTCACCCAAACTTTTGTCCGCCCGATCGAAGCTTGATGGTCTAGCCCGGAAGCCCATGGCTCAGCCTCGCGCGGGGCCGGAGTTACCAAACCAGTACGTACGTAACGTATCGCGCGCACACCGGGGAGGGGGCCCATTTGTTGCGATCGCGCGCGCCAAACTCGCCGCAGGCAAAAACCCAAAGTCTAATCCGACATCCCAACTCAAACCTGGCGGAGCGTGTGGCCACGCTGCGGAGATTGCATTGCATTGTTCTGTTCATATACTGCCCATCGATATCTCCCCCCTCCTCCTCGGGGGGCAGGGGGACGGATTCAGATCTATCAAGCCTCGAATCGATTTTTTTTGGTCCCGAGCAGCAAAGGTTTCGCCGCGTGGGGCGATAAGCAGCCGCTGCGGCCCGAGTTCGTGGTACGCAGCATCCTTCCTGTGATCAGTATCCGATAGCGCATTGGAATCGGCCAGGTCGGGTCAGGCCAGGCCACATACCGGGCGCGCTGTGAAGAGACGCAGAGACCTTCCGTGATGGCCCAGCATCGCGCCGGATCACATATCGCGGCAGCCGCTCGCTGTCAATCAACAACATCGTTGGATTCCCGGCCATGACAGGGATGGACAACACATGGCTCCGCAAGAGAAAACGGTACATAAAACAGCCAGAAAAGTACATCCTCGACAGCCGAAACCCGCCAAGCCAGCTCTCAGCGCGTCTTGGTCTGCACGTACGGGCCGCGTGTGCAGTTGAATCCGAGTGTGTCCTGCTCGCCGGGCGCCAGGGTCGTGGCGTTGCAGATGACGTTCGTCGCGCTGTAGGGCAGCTGATACGGATGGACATGGACGCGTCCAACTGAGATGTTGACAGCTGTGTGTGCGCGTCAGATTGAGTTGTGCAGAAGTAAGTAGGGGGGGCGAGTGCGGCGCACCGGTGTCCGGGTACAGATCGAAGATAATGCTCTGGGTACCGTCGATGCCGGGGACAAAGTTCCAGCATGGCTGGGTAATGCAGGCTCATCATCGTTTCAGCTTTATTTCCGGGCGATGTGAACAATCACACTCACTTCCGTCGGCTAAATCGAACACAATCAGTGAGTGATAGGTAGGTGTGGTAATTTTGCTGCATCATCGATCCAGAAGTTCAAACACGCACTCCAGTTGGCATTCAAGCTGCCCGTGAAATTTCTGTACGTGAAATTTGAGACATGGGTGCTGTTGATGGGCCCTCCAGAGGTTTTGGGTGGTCCCAGTTCCTGTGTGCATTTCAACCACGACCAAATAAAGTGCCACAATGGGCTAGTACCTGGTCAAAATAGCTGGGAGATCCGAGTCAGCCTCTGGACCGACATCGGAAATCAGAAAACGTGTACTTTTGGGTGATGTAGATGGCGGTCGAGACGTTGATCAGGTGGATATCCTCCCAGGTGACGTTGTTTGCGAAGCCATTTCCGCCCGTCCAACTTTTGAACTTGAAACAAACGTCGGCATTCAAAGCTGGGGACAGACACGCGGAGACGCACGCGGGCTCCATAGACGGCTCCATCCATGGTCCAGTTCTTGAACAGAATGTTCTGGACCGTCTGGAACGCGCCGTTTTTGCCCAGCGAGCCGACACTCAAACCGTGGGAAGAGAAACCACAGAACCCGTTCTTCGCCACGACGCCGTCCGCTCCGTTGATCAGCGAGATGCAATCGTCGCCGTTGTGCCCGAAGTATCTGAGATGCATGCATCCATAAGTGGGTGCATAGGCCCTTTGGGCGACGACGATGATCGCACCCGTCGACGGTGATGTTTTTCCCAGAGATATTGATGCCTGGCTCTACCGCTCAGCCAAACATACTTCGCGCATTCGCAGATCACCTGCCGTCACTGTCATGCACCACCGAGTCGGAGCTCGTCAGTCAGTGATGTCATTTCCAGGCCTGGTCACCACCACACTGACGTATTGAAAGGGAAGCTCTGGATGGATCGACACAAGTGTCAGCGATAACACGGAAGCGAGCGAAGAACCTCGTAATAAGAGACACGTACGATTGTCTCCCACCGGGACGCGTTGGACGGCTGCGCGTCGACAAAGTGGTTCTCGACGCGTATGTTCGTGCCCGGCAAGTTCCAGCCCCACGCGATCGGCTTGATGACCTGCACACAGTCAGATCGCATCTGGCGCAAACTCCGACGTGTGGCATGTACCCACCTTGATGTTCCGCATCAGCCCGGTGGTGATGTTGAATGTCGCCAGCTGCGGTCGGAGCGTCTTCCGGTGTGCGCGAGCGGGTTTAGTCAGTGCCATCAGAGGGTCAATCCACGGCTAGCCAGCGTGGACCCACCTGCTGGCGCAGATCCCACCAGTGCTCGCCGAATCCTATGAACCGGCCCCACGCAAAGTCGTCCGCCGCGATCAGCTGCACGTTGCTGCCTGGTTGGCGCGTGAGCTCACTTAAATCTGCGAGATCGCGCCGCGAAGGGTCTCAGACCGTGAAAATAGAACCACGGTGTGGCGTAGGTCTGTTCCAGCCCTGGTCAGCGGACGGTGCGGGGGAGAGGCAAGCCGGACGCGCGAACGCTAGGTTGGTTTTTCGTGATGTTGATCGCGTGCTGCACCTGCGGGATGCTGCTCGGGAGAAGGAGATTTCCGTCCAGATGGATGATGACGTCGTCTAGATGCACCCGCATGATCTGCACTAGCACCCAATGCACGGAATAGATCCGACGCACCAAGCCCGGTCAGTGCGACTGGCGTGAATGCCGAGTAGTTCGCCCGCGAAAAGGTGATCAGGGAGTTTGTGGCGCACTCCGCAAACGCCGCCAGGATATTCGGCGAGTCATCGGACCCGTCACGGTTGTGCTTGACTGTGCAATGCTTTCTCCCCGGGTGCTTTCCATGGCCCCCGTGCTCGGGCTGGCCATGCTCGCCGTGGTCCTCATGCGCGAAAACCACGCTCAGCAGAGAAGAGAAGAGAAGGAATCGGAAACAGGAGGCAAGATCGAGGGAGCTAGTGAGGGAGACCATCTCTACACGAGCATCCAGGACCACGGTCAGACATTTCAATGCATTGCAGGCATCACGCGTTTCCGGTCAGCTGCACGCGTCGGGCCGGGATTCTCTTGGTGCAACACCACGTGATCGTGCTTGTAAATTTAGTTGCCGGCCCGGAAGTCCTCCGAGTGATGACATCACACACATGTAGGATGTAAACCCCTAGAGTGCGCCCACAGCCCAAACATCAAAATCTAGGAAAATACACGCTGCTGCCCATCATCGCTCTCTGCGACGATCTCGGTCGCATTGTAGCCCGCGCCGCCAGGAGGCGCATACCACCACAACGTGGTGACCCCAACAGGAAAGCTAGCCAAGGTCAGTCCAGTGCCAAGCGCTCTTCGCCAGACGATGCGTACGTGAAAGTAGCCTAAAAAACATTCTTCAGTATATCCGAGACCAGACCAGGCACGTGTTCCTACCTGCATGCCCCGGAACTCAATCGCCGTCTTCACCGGCGTCGGATTCCATCCATCGGAGTTGTCGTTGCCTGCGGGCGCAGTGAGATGGTCAAAAGAAAGACGACACGCAGAAACGCACAGTTCATCACCACCAGAGAGTACCGCAGCCAACTACCCGGCCCGGCCCGGCCAGTCACAAAAGCATTGACGACAAGCGCCCAGCCCTGGTCTCCCCCGACGGTGACGCCTATTCGCTTGGCCCACGGACCATTGACATCCTTTGGCAGAATGGCCTTGGACAGCTGGGCCATGGCGTAGAACTCCTGGTTGAAGCTGTACGTCCCGTCCGAGTTCACCTGCACGATCGATCGGCAGCCGGGGCCGCCACAGCTCGTCGTGCCCGGCAACTTGGGCAGCCCATCGTCGAGCGCGATGTTCCACATCAGCGCCGAATGCGCGTTGTGTGTGATAGCTCCCAAGAAGATGTTGTCCATGTACCACTGGGCGCATCCGCTCAATGACGCACAGCACGGGCAGCGAGCAACGCCGAACACACCTTCACATCGCTCCACTGCAGATATCTTCAGTAAGATCCGAGCAATCCGACGACACTGGGGCTCACCCAATCACTCCCGATGGTCCCCGCACATTCTATTCGACAGTGAGCATAAATCGATGGATGACGCTCGTAGAGGATCACCGGTGAAATAGATCTGTCCGAACCCAATCAGGTGTCCGCCGTCGACATACGTCAGCACCACTCACCTCCTTGGCTGGACTATAACACGGTGTCAGAGCAATCAGCTTGAGCGGATTTCCACCTACTATGCAGCATGGAATGTGTCTTGCTGGCCAACAGTGCCCTGTTTCCGTTAAGCATGACTGCAGCCGGCTCACCGTGTGGCCTTACCGCATAACAGTGGAACGCGACGCCGTCAAACGCATGTGGAGCGGCCTTCATGAGCTGGATAGGGTACGACCCAGCTGAGTCCCAATTGTGTTCATAGCCTGCGAGACTGATATCGGCACCGCGGTCACAAAGCCCAGTACTCCACCACTGCGCTTACCGATTAACTTGACTTGCGCGAAACCGTTGTTGTTCATCAGCGTCCGCAGTGCGATTCCAATCTGAGCATGCACAGTGACGCTCATCGCCGTGGCTGTCATAGACGTTCACATGAGTGGAAGCTATCAGGCAAAACCGCTACTCACTCGGATAAGATGACTGGGAGTTTTGAGGCTCGTTCTGGACGGATATCGCGTAAAGAGATGAAACGCCCTGTGCTTCAAACGCTTGCAGGCACTTGAGCAGATACTTGGCGTCTGCAGCTCGAGCTATTAGTGTGAAACAACACTGCGGCTTTCATCTCACAGGTAGAGATGTATTGGTATTGCAACGATCCACCGTTCATGGTGCCGCTTGTCTTCATCCAGCCGGGCTGAAGCAAATGTAAGCTAGACAATGATATCACAACCTCATGCACTCACCGGAGACCATGGTACGAGGTGCACTACACAGTTCAGCACATGGACGAGACGCTCGCGCTGCCGACATACCTTTAAGAACTGAGTAGCTGAGTCAGAACACGGCCACCCGTATCATGAATTTGCCACACGCACGTGGATTGACAGCCTGTATGTCGCGGATGACCGAATACAGATAAGAAGGCGCCCTGCTGGCGCTGAAGGAGTTGAGCGAGGTATCTCCAGCCGCATCGTCGAAGCTCCATACTGAAAGCCACGTGAGATTGAGAATGTGATGGGATATCGCAGCCCTACGTTTCGCTGAGAAATCGGACGCGCCTAGTGGCACACGGATATAGCTGTCAGGGAAATGTGAACGCGATTTCAGCCACAGGCAGTTACTCATACCTCAGTCCCGCAGAGTTCGCTCCATCGGTCGGCGAGAACACGTAGTTCAGCAATGCACGGTAGTTTGCTGGGTTTGGACCTAATGACGCAGCTATAGACAAGAGACGAATCAAGCACGTTGGATGGGTGGGCTACCTTAAGGTTAGACAGCACCAATGCCGAAGAGTCCGCTATTTCACGCGTCAGCGCAATCACGCAAAGAACATACGCATTGGGGAACACCCACTGAGCGAGCCTCCAACACCCCACACGCTCTGATATGTCGCGGTATCGTCCACCGCGATCTGCGCTGCGCTCCGGATGGTGACGTTGGCGAAATTGATAGGCTGCGAGGGAGCCAGCGAGGAAAACAGTTTAGACTGGTCCCACGTCGTTTGCCACTACGGAGAAATGTCGCGTCGGTTCACGCGTCTCAACGATGGAGACAGGCGGCAACTTACAACGTCCCAGATTTGCTGGGAGAGGATAGGCTGTATTAGCACAGCGAGATAGAGTGTGCGCATAGTAGACGGCGAAAGGGAGAGGAGAGACCTCAGAGAGAGGGGCGAATACTGCCAACTTGAGTGGGAGGCTCAAAGGTTTTGGAGTGCGATCCATAAGAGCATGATCCACATGAGACCAGTTAGGGAATCTGTCCGCAGAAACAGATCTGGCGAGGTCGGCGCGAAGAATTCATGTCAAACAGCATGAGGGAGGGCGGGGGAAGGTCGCGGGACCCAATTCCGACGCCCAGGCCAGAGAAGGCCAGCGATCACATGACACGCTGCCATCAATCGGGGGGAAGTTTTTTGGACTTCTCATTCCTCTCCATGTTCGTCGCTCGGGCTTGCCGACGCACACTACGCCGGCGCGGTGGGCGCACCACGACCCCCTCTCGAACCGAGCCCAGGGGTTATGCCGCCTCCGCGCTTGCTGTGCGCCGCAACGGTCTCGAGACCTTCCTCCAGCGGCCCTCGCAGTACGCTATCCTCCCTCCGCCCCTCCCCCCGTCCTTCACCTCCGCCGAAAACGACTACTGGTACAGCGACTCGACCACGCAGGAGCTCATAGCAGTCATGGACGCGTGCCTCTACAACACGTACGACGTCCCCCGGGCCAAGGGCATATTCGACAGGTTACAGGCGCAGGGCAACCCCGCGGTGCAGATACACATGATCAACACCATGCTCGAGGCGTACACGAAGATGGCGGTGGCGCATAAAGATGAGGCGGACTACTGGGTCGAGAGCGCGTGGGACCTGTTCGAGAGTGCCGCAGAGCCCACCGCGACGACGTTCGCCGCCATTGCGCTTATTCGACACCGCTTCCCGGACCACGCGCAGAGGACTTTCTCGTCCATTCTCACCGGTATCATCCAGGCCGACATCCCCATCTCGGATCTGGTTACGGACCGGGTGCTGGTCGATGACGAAGAGGCGGTGGACATCATCAGGGAGCTCTCGAAGGCGGCAATCGACCTGAATTTGCCGCATATCGTGGCGGAACTCGGGGAAGCAGAGTCTCTGGGACTAGACGAGGAAGAGGAATCCGTCCCCGCCGTGCGTCCCGTGGTGAAGCAGACAGATAAGACCGTGCCGTTCAACCTCGAGACGCTGCGAAAGCATCTGTCCCGGGCAGCATCTGCGCGGCGGGCACTGCCCGCAGATGTAAATGCGCGACAAAAGCTCCTGGAAGACACGGTGTATGACGCAGCGAAGGAGCGACTCGCCAAACAAAACGAAATGTTCAACAAACTCGGAATTCAGGACACGACACTCATGCAACGGGATCTCCAGCGCTGGATGTGGCAGTGGCATCTCCTTCTCAAGGTGCGTTTTCTTCCCTGGTCGCAACTTCGTCAATGAAACCTGTGCATCCAGGACCGGCTGGCAGTCGAAATCAAGGAGATTGCTATGAACGAGGCCGGCCGACGCCTCGGGCACAAGGGAAAACCCATCCTCTCGCCCTATCTCTCTCTCGTCAACGCCGAAAGATTGAGCATGCTCACCATCATTGAGGTCATGCGGCTGCAAGGAACGGGTGGTGTGAGCGAGGGAATGAAGACCACTCGGGCACTGATCAGCGTTGGCCGAGCCGTCGAGCAGGAGTACAAAGCCCACATGTGCAAAGCCAATCACATCGACCTCCCGGCCACCGACGTCTCCCGTGACTACTTCTCGAAAATGGGCTATCGCAGCCTCCAGGAGCGACGGGTCACGGCAGCGAAGATGATGACGGACAACGAGGGATGGACGGCGGCGTGGACTCAGGCCGTTCGCAGTCAAGTTGGCGCTATCTTGGTCGAGTGTCTGATGGATGTTGCCCAAATCACTCGAACTAAGATGAACAAAATGACGAACGAGCCTATGTGAGTGCTGTCCCCGTTTAACATATCCTACGTTCTGAATGTTCCGCAGCTCTGAGGAGCAGCCCGCGTTCTACCAGAGTTACGAGTATATGCGAGGACAGAAACTGGGAGTCATTCGATTGAATCCTGCCGTCGCAGAACGGATTTCGAAGGAGCCGATGATCCTTCACCCTCGTCATTTGCCTATGCTCGTCAAGCCCCGGCCTTGGGTAGATTACAACCAGGGAGGGTATCTTTATTCGAAATGTGCGTAGCGCTATTCTTCACGGCTGCTTTCGGCTGATACATGCCGCAGCCAACGCCATGCGCTTCAAAGATTCAATAGAACAGCGCTCCTACCTCAAGCACGCTTCCGAGATGGGGCACATGGAACTTGTGTATGCTGGGCTGGATGTGCTGGGAAGCACGCCATGGCAGATCAACAAACGGGTGTTCGATGTCGTGCTCGAGGTATGGAACTCGGGGAAGCGGCTGGGAAAGATGCCTCCCGAGGTCTATGATGTCCCCGAGCCTGAGGCTCCCGAGAACATCGACACAGACCTGGCGCAGCGCAACGTGCACGGTATCCGGATGAAGGCCTACAATCAAGCCAAGGCTGCAAACCATTCGGATCGGTGCAGTGTCAACTACAAAATCGAAATCTCGCGCTCCTTCCTCCACGAAACGTTCTATCTCCCCCACAATATAGATTTCCGTGGGCGAGCCTATCCGATTCCTCCGCATTTGAACCACATCGGAGATGATCTGTCGCGTGGACTCCTCAAATTCGCCGACAAGAAACCGCTCGGGGAGCGAGGCTTCCGCTGGCTCAAAATCCATCTGTCCAACTTGTACGGCTTTGACAAAGCGAATTTCGATGATCGCGCGCTCTTCACTGAACAGCACATGGACGACATCTACGACTCTGCGCTCAACCCGCTGACAGGCCGAGCATGGTGGCGAAAAGCAGACGATCCTTGGCAGTGCCTAGCCGCCTGCTTTGAGCTGTACTCCGCGATCGAGAGTGGTGACCCATTCACTTACGAGTCGAATCTTCCTGTGCATCAGGATGGCACGTGCAATGGGCTGCAGCACTATGCAGCACTCGGGGGTGATGCCCAGGGAGCCCAGCAGGTCAACCTTGCCCGGGGTGACAAGCCGTCGGATGTATACTCGCATGTTGGTGGCATGGTGGAGAAGATGCTGGCTGAAGATGCGGCAAAAGGCGAGCATTACGCTCTCTTACTGCAGGGCAAGATCGCTCGTAAAGTCGTCAAGCAGACTGTCATGACCACCGTGTACGGTGTGACGTTTGTTGGCGCTCGAGACCAGATCGAAAAACAGCTCAGGGATCGCAAAGACATTCCGGAGGAAGAGTGCTGGGGGGCCTCAGCCTATTTGGCCAAAAAGGTGTGTGCAGTTCTGAGGCAAGGAGGAAACAAACTCAACCCTCTCATAGGTGCTCTCAGCTATTGGGGATCTCTTCACCGGAGCACAAGACATTCAAAACTGGCTCAACTTGTCTGCGCGACTGATCTCGAAGTCGATTCCTGGTGACCGGATACCTGAAGCGCTCAGAGAATACAAGGAAAGCAAAGTCCGAAAGAACGCGGTGAAGAAGACTCTTCCAGATCATAAGCTCCGGAAGGAGCAGATGACCTCGGTTGTTTGGACCACGCCTCTGGGCCTGCCGGTTTGCCAGCCGTATCGAAAGGCGATGAAGAAGCAGGTCATGACCTCGATGCAGTCCGTCTACATCACCGACCCTCTGGCCCCTGCGGAAGGTAAGCGGGATCCGTTAGCTCTCCGTTCTGGCAACTGATGTGATACAGTCAACACGATGAAACAGGCCTCGGCATTCCCACCTAACTTCATCCACAGCCTTGACGCGACGCACATGATGCTGACTGCCATCGAATGCCAAGTGCAGGGTCTCACGTTTGCCTCGGTACACGATTCGTACTGGACTCATGCCTCGGACATCGACACAATGTCTTCGGTCATCCGCGATACGTTCATCGCTCTGCACAGCTCAGATGTCCTGCAGAAACTGCGTGACGAGGTTCGTGGTGCTTCTGCGGAGCGCATATGGCACTCACCCACAATCGTCAGTTTATGAAGCGATACGCCGGATTCCAGATTCCGCTGTTGCATCTCCGCACTCCAGGGCTCTTGAAAACGTTGCGTGCAGCCGGTTCGCGAATCCACGCCAGTCCGGAGCAGGCAGAAACCTTGGGCAGTTTGGGCGACTTGGTCGAGATATCGGATGAGGTCGAGTCCACAGTCGAGGTTAAGAAGGTCTACGAAGACCTGGACGAGCTTCTGGAGGGCTTGGACCTGAGCGGGGTCGATCTCGAGTCCGAAGACCCTCCAGAGTCGGTTCTGGCTATTGGTGATGATGCCGAGCCCTCTCTCGAAGCTGAGGAGGAAGAGACCCCCTCGCCGAGAGGTCGGCCCTCGAAAAAGGCTCCCCGCAAGGTTCTGACCGAGGAGGAGAAAAAAGCAAGGCGTGCCGAGTTGAAGAGGCGCGAAATTGTCCAGCTTATGGGCAAGTTCGTCAACCTCACAGACCTGCTTCCTCCGCTGCCGAAAAAAGGGTCCTTCGAGGTCAAGTTGATCAAGGACTCGCCGTATTTCTTCTCTTAAGGTACAGGGCCGCCGCGCGTTTCCACTGCTTTCGTTGCATATGCATCTTTCGTATTTTTATCCACTGCATACTTACATCTTACACACAACGGTCCCCTACTCACGGCATCGTACCACCAGCATTAATTGTATACTATCTGTAGACGAATGGAATCCCTAGAACATCTTGGAGGCTGAGCGGAAGGTTTGCACGTGATCGTGTTACTCTAGCGAGGGTTTGCGCTCCGCGGCCCTGGAATTCTCCAGGGCCAGTCCGTTCCTCGCTTTATCGGATTCTACCATGCCCCCACCAGGGGACTAACGGAGAAGGGCGCGCCCCTGGGAGGCCTAGTCCTGAACAGGTTTGGTCGAGCATTTGAAACTTTGCATCTGCTCGACCGCAGCGACAAGGGCGTCCAATTTCATTCAACAGCCCCACATCTACATTCGAGACCCGATCGTGCTACTGGACACTCAGAGCTGTTATCCTCATCCACTTGCGCGACATCCACAACGAAGCAGCCACGATCCATGCCGAAGTCAAGCCACAGAACATCATGCATGAGCAGGGCAGCATCCGCATCATCGACTTCGACACCATTATCGTGCTGGGCGCGCATTGATCAGCGCACTAGCCCGTTTCGAGACGGATCGCTCACCATAGTATCCAGGACGAGAACTCAATCTCATCAGATAAGATATCTGTGTACCCCAGCTATAGAGCTATTTATACCAGGAATCCTTGATCTGTAGATATCAGAAATCATTAACTGCCCGCACAGAGAACGGAGCGCACTGCCGTCTCATGATCGGGAACACAAGCAATCTCACGTGACTCGTGTCCCTCGGAAGCCGATCATAAACCCCCTTGTCAAATGCCATTCCAATCGCCACTATCGATTATCTCTACGTGTTCTCGGCTGTCTTGCTTGAATGCAGATCTCTCACACCGTGCCTGATAGACATCCCAGTTTTGCGTGGTTTTGGCTTTGGTAAGCTCGGAACGCCCGACTTAAACCTGCTCGATATAAGTCTGGGCGCGAGAACTGTCAGTCACCGTGTTTCTTCACCTTTCCGTGCACACCGGAGAGACCCTCCTGTCGCCGCGATCTCACACATATGTCGCGCCGCCCGCCCGCCATTGAGGTGACCAGGACGTTGAGCGGAGAAAAGGCGGAGAAGGCGGAGGATCCCGCGCGCTCGGCGTTGTTGGGCGGTGCCTACACCGCAGCCTTCTCCGCCACCTCTTTGTCTGCTTCTCAGCAGAAGATCGATGGGATCGGTGCGCAGGTCCTTCTCATCCAGAAACCCGGCCTTACTCTTCGCAGAGGACAAACTGTCGGTCCCGATCAATCAGAGCAACGACACGTATACCAGTCTCCAAACATTCTACACTGCCAATGCCGCGGTTATCAACACCGCGTCCAGTGCGCTGGCAGCCACGGCGAACATAGATGTCAAATCCATCGAGGCGACGATAGCCCGGTTCGCGGAGACGTCGGCGGTGATCATGAAGGGTCTGGACGCGCTTGGGGCGGTGCATCCCTTCGTTGGGGGTGGGTGTTCATTGGCAGATAACGAGGGATTTATGTGCTGAAGCGGTACAGTCGCCGTCACGGCGTTCAAGCTCGTCATTTCGCTCGACATTACGCGGCGGCAGAACAACAAAAAAGTCCTCGCGGTGAAGCTCCAGATGCAGGACCTCATGACGGTGCTCTTCCAGTTGGCCTCTACTTTCTCCGCTTGTCTCTCACTGACCTATGGCTTCCAGACTTCGTTTCGTCCGCGATCCAGAGGATAAAGCTCCTGATGGGACGACACTGAAAGACCGCATGTCAGAACTCATGAAGACGGTCGCGGGCGACATCACCAGCTGCGGTAGCGCCTGCGACGTCTATCTCAAGAAGAGCTTTCTTGGCGAGTACCCCAATACCTCAACTTCTTCGCGCTGACACACTCTTCACACAGCCAAAACGATCAAGTCCAAGATCTACGAGGCCAGACTGGCGTCCTATGTCGCGAACTTCACAGACCACAAGAAATCGATCGCCTTCGCGCTGACAATGCACACGTCGCTCTCGGTCGACACGGCGAACCGAAAGCTCGACGACCAGACGACGCAGTTACATTCCATCGAGGTGAAGATGGAAGCGCTGTTTCGCAAACTCGACACGCCGCGTGAGCGGGAAGTGCAGAGGTTCCTGGATGAAAACGGCGGCGCGCGGGCCTGCATCAGCGATGAGGCCGCACTGGCGCAGCTCGTGGTTAAGAGCGGGGACACGACCCTGGCGTCAAGCACGTCTGCTCAGATCACCACGACGAAGAAGCTGCTCACGCGGGAGCTGGCCGAGGATGTCGACGAGGCGTTTCGCAAGAACGAGCGGCTGTTTGACCGCAAGATGGAGCTGCAGAGCCAACAGCTGGAGGCTGCGATCGGCGCCAGTGAAGAGCGGATTGTCAGTGTTCTGATGGGAGGGGCGCATGAACGGATTATGAATGCCGTGAGTGTTCTATTTTGTGAAGAAATGTAGCTCATCTGAATGTGACATAGGATCTGCAAACGCTCTGGAAAGACCAAGGCTGGAAAGGCAGTGTCAAAGCGCGTTACTTTGTGCTCGCTCTCAACGACTATTACTCCGAACTCTTCAGCCAGCACGACATCGCAGAAAGCATAGCCTCTTCTGTTGCTGGATCACCCGTCGTCTCCCCGATCGATGTCATTGCGGAACTAGCTGGAGTAGAGGAACACAAACATGATGACCGCTGGGCGCTCAAGTACATCAACGTGACTCACATCCAGGTACGCGATCGCTTGACAAGATGCTCAACGTGCGCTCACCCAGTCCAAGCCCATCCTCGAGACAGTGGATGACGATGGAACAGGCTTCGTCAGCATCAAAGAGGCCAATGAATTTGCACAGTCTCGGCCAGATGGATGCAGGCATGTGATATCTATCATCGCTTTCATATTACGTACTGAAAACAAGCAGTCTACTGTCGTGGACAGCGTACTGGGCCGCTGGCTGGCACGCCTCTGTAACCTGGCACAAAAACCGGATCTATTCGCTACTCAGGGCGATGCTCAACCTCCCAACGAACGCGCCGAAGCCCATCTTACGCGCAAACATACAACGGGTGGATACTTATCTTGCTTCGCTTCCCATTCGGCGGATCGAGTTGCTTTTGCGGTCGACTCGGTCTGCCGGCCCAGACCGGGATAAGGATCTCACGAAAGTCAGGGAGGAGATCCAGGACTACGAAAACAAACGGATTCAAGACCAGCTGGACACTCTGGGGTATGAGTTGGATGATGCGGGTTTGAGGCTGATCACCGGGAACAAGCGTATTGAGAGGGTCCGTACTCTCTCAAGTTCTTCCAGACTTTTCTCCGCTGAAGCCAGTCTAGTTCATTTATCCTCTGCTGAATGCACTTCTCAAGCGGCACTTTGACATCCTGCGGTTGGCGTGTGTGCATGTCTTGGATGACGGCGATTTCGATACGATGACGGGCTCGTTGGGAGTGATTTTCAAAGCAGTCGATGAGAGAGTGGCCAACCTGGAAGGTATGTCCTGTCTATGATGTTAGTCATTTGGTTGTGCTGACTGGGCTCTGCCCAGCCGTTTTCAAGTCTAACTTCTCGAACGTCAATGAGCGATTCGGTGGTTTCGCATTTGGCATGGTACAGTCTGCTGCTGCTGCTCCGCGGTTCTATCCCTGATATCAGCACCGCAGTTCCAAGCTGGCTATACCAGAGACAAAACGACTGTCGATGTCGCCAAGAACAGCATTGTCCAGTTCAGTCGCGACGACGGATTCGAGTTTGACACGGAGTCCGAGGACACCGATATTGGAGGTTACTCGCTCGATATTTTCAAGAAGCTGGATGACAAGCGCGAGGACATATTGATGTATCCAACCGCAGATGGGGTCGACGATGCGTACGACTTCCATCTCAAACACCCTGACCCTCCCGCAGAAGCTGGAGATCATCTCGCCCTTGCCGGTCGATGGACCGGGCACCTCCTGTACGACGGACATGCTGATGAGGGCACCATCTCCCTCGTCCTGTCCGTGGGCACAGACAACACACTGTCGGGCGCGGGCGAGAACTTCGTTGACCTCTTAGAAGTGTCTGGCTCTGTCACCCCCGGCGAAGGTTTCAAGACCGAGCTGACGCTGACCATTTCGTGGCCGGATGGGTATTCCGCCGCGTGCAGTGGCCATTACGACCCAGAATCAGACACGATTGCGGGACATCTGGTCGAGGATGATGCCGGGTCGGACTGGGACAGCGATTCCAGCGATGACAGTGACGAAGAGGAAAAGGACGCAGATCAAGGATCCGACAACGACGAAGACTCTGATTCTGAATCCGACGCGAATACCAATACATTCATCTTCCACCGAACGTCCGCCGAATCATATCGTTTCCGGCCCTCTCCAACTGCCGAGAACCGCGCTGTCGCCCGCTGGCACTTTGCGATCAGCGCCGTCCTGGACCAAGTTCAACGCAGGAACATGTCATGGCGCTGGCTGAAAGCGCGCTTCGCCGAGCGCCGACGTTTCATCCACCTGATGACGCGGGACATAGCGAACGATCGGGATCTGACGCCGTGGGCGGCTCTGTCGGACGACGACCTGGCCGAGCTGCGGAATCTCAAGGCGGTGCTGACGTCAGCGGACGCGCGGTTCTACAACGACGCCGTCGAGCGGGAGCTCAGCGAAGCCGTCGAGCAAGAGCGGGACTGCAACGTGTGCCACAAGCATATCATGGGCTCACGTCTGTTCTGTGTTCAGTGCATGGACGACAGTTTCTATAACTGCGCCGACTTCTGCGAGCCGGACATGGACAAGCCTGCGAAATGGGGTGAGAACATCACTCACGCACCCTCGCATGTCTCGGTCAAGACAATCCCCCGGCTGCACGATGGCGACACGGCGTGGCTCGTGCCCGAAGCTAAGACCGTCGCCGCGCGAATCAAAAAGCAGTTCAAGGACCTGGACGCTCCGGAGAGCGCGAAGACGAAGACAGAGACCGGTCATGGAGCAAAGAAGGACGTAGTAGAAAAGAAGAAGCCGAAATGTGTGTGCTGTGCCAAGGAAGTGTCGCTTCCCGTGTGGGTGTGCCTCAGCTGCGTCGAGGACATCTTCGTCTGCGTTGAATGCGACAAGGCCAAGCGGCCCTTCCCAGAGGACTCAGGCACCAGCCATCTGCTGTCGGAGCCGCTTGTGTACGTGCACGACCCGGAGCCTATCCCTTCATCAGTCAAGAGCGGGGCAAACGAGGACCCCCGCGTGGCAGAGCTGGATAGGAAGATCTCCTTGATGGAGCAACGGATGACAGGGATCGAGGAGAAACTGGATAGCATTATTAAGGTGCTGATCAAGGACGGTCTTTCTAGTGATGCTTAAAGTAAAGGATTATTACTCACGTGGTCTTTTCAAAGTGGTTTACCGATGAATTGATCTATTATATATATACCCTGAACCTCATGTTCACTGGCCGTCTAGCTCAGCTGGTTAGAGCGTCGTGCTAATAACGCGAAGGTCTTGGGTTCGATCCCCACGATGGCCAATTTCTTTTGTTGATTTTACGCGGGCTAATCCGCGCTGATAACTTCATATGTTGAGGCCAGATCGTAGCACCCCAAACAAATAACTAATGTACAGCATTCTCCTGACCTCAGAAGTTCTCTGGCTCCGAATGAGTAAACCTTTTACATAAAGAGAAGAGTAACCCACCTTTTCCAAAGAAAAACCGTGCCCCTCTTGGATCCGAGTGCTCATTCGACATGGTCCGCAACGTTCCGGCCAATGCGGGAGGCCCACAATACATCTGCAAACTCCATGAGACCAAAAAGATCCAATGTATAAGGGAGGGCGACCTACAACGCCGATGTCCGAGCCATGATGCTTCTGTCCGAGCGCGCTAAAGATCTTGCTCCACGCTGGGCGGCCGTAGTGTGTCGGGGCGCGGAGGGTGGTGACGGCGTCGTGATCGGCGCCGACGTCCTGCACGACGATGTTGTGGATGTCGTCCTCCCGGAGCCCGCCGGTGAGGTAGATGCTGATCTCGATGCGGTTCTGCGAGTCCTGCTCCTCGAGCGCCTGCAGGAGCGAGTGGAACCACTCGGCGGCGCTGAAGTCGCGGATGACCCAAACGAAGTACACCTTGGAAAGCCGCGTGCGCCGCTCGGAACTGAGATTGTTCATTCGGTACCAGATGGACTTCAGTATCCTTATTGAGGCGGGGGGTCAGTGGAGCGACCAACACCAACGTGGAGGAGACGCACGATGCAAAAGGTGTGACGCCAATGCCACCGCCCACCAGCAGCACCGTCTCAAAATTCATAAACTCCTCCGAGGCGGTGCCGAACGGTCCATCGACCATCACGCGCGGGAGCACGCGGTTCATCTTCGCATCGGCGACCGTGCTGACGACTTTGCTCTCTGCGCCGCCCTGTTTCTCCAGCTGGCAGCCGACGGCGTGGGCCAACGCTCGTGTGAAGTCGCCGACGACGCGGATATGCACTGAGAGGTAATCTTCTTCTGGTGCGCTGCACACCGAAGTCAGATGCATCAGGAAGTCCAAAATACGGTGCTTGCGTACTGACCTGGTGAGCGTGAATGGGTGCCACTGGAAGTACGAGATCTCAGGACAGTTGAGATAGATATACTGCCCGGCTCGAGCCTTGGTCCTCTCCTTCTTGATCTGCAGCTCGATGACGTCCGACGGATGCTGGATCACCTTCGAGATGTAGGTCACATGGCGGGAGCGCACTTCCCGCAGGATGCGCTCGGCGATCCAGATCACACCGCCGACAAGCCAGTACCGCCAGAAGACCCCGATCGTGTTGGCTGAGCAGTACGGCGGGCGGTCGGGCTTGATCATGCAGAACATCCCGTGCAGCTGCCACAGCACAAAGAACGGGATGAACAGGTGGTGCGTGTACCAGAATCGCTCGAAGCCCCCGTTCGCGGCCGTCCTCCGTTTCTCGCGCGCGAACCACACCATGACGCCAAGGAGGACCCACATGATCCACCCAGTGATCAGTGGTCCGATGATAAAGTTAGCGGAGATGAAGAAGCCGATGCGGGCGCCGAGCGTGCGCGCGTTGGTGTCGGCCATGGTGAGGTGGACGAGGTTGACGACGTGCGCAACTGTGTGGACGACACTGCCGATGACGATGGCCCATCCTGTTGCCTTGTGGAAACTGAGGCTCTCGTCAAAAGGAATCACATCGCCCAGCGGCGTGCGGCGCAGAGCCGAGACGAGGTTTCTGCACACCGGGAGCAGAATAAAAATCACGTCCACATGCAGCACAAGCGCTGAGGCCCTGGCAATAACTGGCCCATCGAGATGTCAGGAAACAGAATCAGTCCGCACGGACACACGCACTGAAGGTCACCCCAAAGGTCGCCCGCGCGCTCGTCAAATTGTCCTTCAACCCAAAGTGCAGGAGGCCCAGCAGGGCGATCAGAAAATGCAGGATCACAAAGACTGCGAAAAAGACGCGCGAGCGCCCTTCGTTGATCAGCCACAGGCTAATCTTCTCATTCAACGTCCTAGGCCGGCTGGGATCGTGCATCGGGGCGTCTTTCGTCTTGGACAAGTTCGCGAAGGACATCTGCAGTCCCTGGAGTCGCCGCCGCTCGGTCTTGTTCTTGCGGGGTACCGAAGAGGTGACATCGTCCGGATTGGCGCCGTCCGAAAAGTCGAGGCCAGGTGCTGCAGGCATTACCGCGGCGGAAAAAGAAACAGAACAGCAGGAACGAATGTGAAGATCTGCAGACAAAAACCGGGCCAACAGAGTGGGAGAGAGGGAAAAGGGGCTAGTAGCCTTGTTTGGTCGTCACAAGTTATCTATCTACTCCTTGTTCGATGCGATGCGACAGTTGACGGCTAGCACGTCGACCGGCCACTCCTGTTTGCGTCCATCAAAGTGGGCATTTCGGGCTTCAATCCATCTGCCAGATAAGTAGGGCTTGGCATACGTAGTTTTCCCAGCGGAGCTCAAGCGCAGTGCAGAGAGCGCCATCTCCGTGTCTTCCAAGTGACCACCTGATGGCTCACTGGGAGGAAGTCAGTGTGATACGCGTGAAACGGGCCCACAGATTTGGGTCTCGGGAGGCCTAATTTACGGGGCTATGCGCACAACTTTGTGCTCTGCTCGCCTCTAGTGCCCCAGCCATATGACTGCCAAAGCTGGCGTCACGTTTCTGCCAGCCAGTTGTCTTGTCACTTTGGATGCACTACCACCGCAAGTGGGGGGAGCCGTATGTAAGTCCTCCGCAGGCTGACCTCAATATATGCACAGCGATATGTGCATTGTGAGAGTGAAATTCGAAATTGCGGCCGAAGGGGTCAAAGGGAGGCAATACCAAGTCGATCGTGATGCCATCAGCTTGATCTCACCAAGAATCAAACAGCTCCACTCGCGGCCGACTTGCGGGAATCGAACATTGAACGGTCGCACTAACAACAGGTTTACAACAAATGTCTACCTACCTAGAAACAAATCAAATGTCCACAAGGAAAAATAGAGTGCATCAACCGGCTCAGATGAGCTGCGCAGCCACCATGATCCCCGCACCAATCGCAAAACCTAAGCCCGTCACGACAGATTTCCGGGCGGAGTTGGGTTTCGAGCTCTGGGAGACGGTGGTTCCGGGTGGCGCGGTGGTGACCACAGACGGAGGAAGCGATGGCGACGTCGGGGTAACTGACGAGCTGGCGCTCACGCTCGACGAAGAGGGCGTTGACACCGCTGTACTAGAGCTAGCGCTGGTGAAAATAACGGTGGACGTAGAAGGCTGTGCAGTAGTTGTAGTCGGGGTGCTCGTCTTCACAGTCGTTTTGACCGTCGTCGGGGTGTTGGTGACGTGGCTGCTCCCTGAGATCGATTTCGACGAGGAAGATTGCAGCGACGACGCGCTCGAGAGCGAGGCGGAAGTGAGCGATCCGCTGGCAGAGACGGACGAGGCGCTGCTGCTCTGCGATCTGTCGTTCTCATCAGCGTTCAGTCACGGCCTCCGAGAGAAGGAACGAACGCAGTGGATGAGATCGATGCAGTGGGCGACGTTTCTGTAATCGTCGTTGTGGGAGGCGGTGCTGCAAGAGCCAACGCCGCGAGACCCAAAGCCAAAACGACAGGAGCGAACTTCATGAGAGACGAAGTCGGAAGGGATCGAAGGAATAGTGAGTGGGAATGAAAAAAGGTCGTGCCCCGCAAGCGGTGGATTATATACCTTTGCGGTCAGATGAGCCCGCGAAGGCGTCTACTGTATACATTAAAGAGTTTCATCGACAGGCGGAGCGTGAGTTCCTTGATGAGGTGCCACACGTGCCTTGGGAATTTCGCCGGACCTTCGAGACCGTGTTTGATCTAGCCATATCATCCGCCAGTGGATTTCGAGAATCCCGAGGAGGTCCTGAGAGTGGCTCAGCAGTGTGTCCCGGACACCACTGTTGCTCGCCCTGATGAGATCGGTCCCGAGGAGCACTGATGCAGAGATCAAGACCGTTGAAGAAGGCTGAGAAGTCTCTATGTAAGTTTAATTGCTCAAATCGGGACTTCTGAGCTTCCTGGACCCGAGTCAACATCGAAGCGCTGGAAAGGAATACCTCAAGTGATGAGGTCCACGTGACGTGACAGGACGCGTTGGATATTGCTTCTTTTACGTTTTGACGAATCGTACTTACTGAGTGTATACGAAGACAGTCGAGAGGCGTCACCTCACCCTACAGAGAAGACGGTGAACCCAGATCAAATCAATGAAGCCTATGAAGCTGATCTCATGGCCGAACATGACTTTTTCTATCTGCTCTCCTCACTAGATTTCGCAGCAATTGATCCCCACTCACGGGCTCATACGCAGCCATTTTCAAACTTCAAAGAAAGTATACATCATTTCATTCGCTGATACAACCGGAAGGAAACTTTGATTACTAACGCACTACCATCGAAGTTTTCCCCTTCACCACAGTCGCGTGCTGAGGCTTTTTCGCGGCGTTGCTGGTGGACCTGCACAACCATGCAAAGGCCCTCTTCATGCCCTCGTATCGTGCTACAAGCCAAAACAATTTAATTGCTGGGCTGTTTGCATCTCAGATAATTATCCCGACCACAGTCCTGACTCATTCCACCTGCCCACAAATCCGTACCGTGCGCTGGCAGTGTCCGTAGTAGTCGGCTCTCTGCTCTTCGCCCGGATCGCTGATACCCATCCATCTAGCGTTATGATACACAAACGATCCAGGCACAAACCATTAGCGCGTGGCTGTATCCACTCGCACCGGGAATAAACCCCTATCCACGTCATCTCGACGTCCGCACAAGTGGCACTGCGTGGCTCCAGAACGGGATCCACACACACACACTGAGCTTGATACAAGAGCCGCCCCACACATA